ACAGACAAGGAGGAGTGGTGAATGTATAAGCCCAGAGCTCATTACAGCTTACTTTCAATCACCCAAACATTGATTGCAGAGCATCTGAACCAGCATTAGAAACTCAGATATGTAAGCTATTCGCCAAATGGCACCTTAAATCTAGGTTTCAGTCGCCACAACAGAATGTCTAGACACCTGGGGCGGGGGGGGGAGCAAGATTGCAAAGCAATACAGTAAACACACCGTCAACGTTAATATATTTAACAATTCAGTTGCACATTTTACAAATTACAGGTTCCCCACCACCACCACATGAACTAATACTGCAACTGTCGGGGGGCGGAGGGAGGGAGAGAGAGAAATGCCTCTCGGGGAGGCCTGACTGGTCCAGCATGGCTGCTCCAAGGTGCCAAGCAACTGCCTCATGAAATACAGGGCTAGGCAAGCTTGACAGTGTAGGCAGAAAGGTGAACGTGCTTCCCCTTCTTTCTCCCTAGCTGCATTTGCTTGGAAGTATGCCCCATCAAGTCCAGAGGAACATTTTTACCCTCAAGAAAGTGTGCCTAGCAGCTTGTCCGGCAGCACAGAAGCAAAGTTTGCTGCCCGCACAGCAATACAAAAGCACAAGACGTGTGTCTTTTGCTGCCCGCGAGTCTCCTGGCTCATGTGGGAGCCTCACCCAGAAATCTCCACTTTGTCGCAATTGGACCCATGCCGGTCACAAAACACGCCTGGGGAATTCTGAACACTTGTCTGAGCCAGACCATATATCGATATCATCAGTCATAGAAAGATTCCCACAAAGAGCTTAAGTCTTGCTCTTTCCATGGGAAACTATAGGCCTCATAGAATCTTAAGAGTTGGAAGGGAACCAAGGGTCATCTAGTCCAACCCCCTGCAATGCAGGAATCTCAGCTAAAGCATCCATGACAGATGGTCATCCAACCTCTGTTTAAAAACCTAAAAGGAAGGAGAGTCCACCACTTCTCATGGGAGTCTGTTGCAATGCCAAACAGCTCTTATTGTCAGAAAGTTTTTTCACATGATTAGTCAGAATATCCCTTCTTGCAACTTGAAGCTATTGCCTTGAGTCCTACCCTCAAGAGCAGAAGATAATAAGCATGCTCCCTCTTCCATGTGACAGTCTTTAAGATATTTGAACATGGCTATCATATCTCCTCTCAATCTCCTCTTTTCCAGGCTAAACATACCCAGCTCCTTCAATCGTTCCTCATAAAGCTTTGTTTCCAGACCCTTGATCATCTTGGTTGCCCTCCTCTGAACATGTTCCAGCTTGTCAAGATCCTTCTTAAATTGTGGTGTCCAGAATTGGACACATTATTCCAGGCGTCCTTATGCCAAAGTAGTTTTACTGGCTTACTCCTATCCACTGTGCGTGACCGTGGCCCGATATAAACTTTCTCCTCTAGTTAACAGACTCTGGCCTAATTCTCACCTAGGGAGTGTCCAGGGGTCAGCAAACTTTTTCAGCAGGGGGCCGGTCCACTGTCCCTCAGACCTTGTGGGGGGCAGGACTATATTGGGCGGGGAATGAACAAATTCCTATGCCCCACAAATAACCCAGCATTTTAAATAAAAGCACACATTCTACTCATGTAAAAACTCCAGGCAAGCCCCACAAATAACCCAGAGAGGCATTCTAAATAAAAGGGCACTTTCTATTTATGTAAAAACACACTGATTCCCAGACCGTCCGCGGGCCGGATTTAGAAGGCAATTGGGCCGGATCCGGCCCCCAGGCCTTAGTTTGCCTACCCATGATCTAGGGCATACTACTTCACATAACGGAATGCTCCTCAATACTAAAGATTCCTTTCACAGAAAAACTGAACTCTCAACACGTTACTCATGTGAAGGGCTCTCATGTATCAATGGAGGAGCAGGGTCATGTTGGTAGCTGCACTCTTAATATTTCATGACCAATATCTCTCCACCCCAAGCAGTGTTAGAAATTAGTCAGGCACCAGACAAGTTTTGCGGCTGGCACAGGTCTAATTGTGACCACGTAAAAATCTCTGGGTGACAGGCTGGCAACTAGGGAAAGCAAAATGTCACTTAGAGAAGGATCTGAAATATTTTCCTTGAAGCCTGGGCTTGTTTTATTCTACATTGTTTGATATTTTAATGTGTTGTAAACTGCTTTGAGATTTGTTCTTCAAAATATAAATCAGTGTAGAAATGAAATGAATAATACTGTAACGACAATAACAACACCCCACTGGGGAAAAATGGTGCCTAGATATTCTATTGTGGTGACCATAACCCAGGTTTAAGGTGCCATTTAGCAATCAGATTATATATCTGAATGTCTAACACTGACCCCAAGTGTCCATGTACTGAACACTTAAAGAGCAATACCTACACATGTGCTCACACTTAAAGATAAACAGATGCCACACATGGATGCTGGGAGGCAGAACTAGTTCAGCTGCAAAACAGCTACACTTTTCTAGTTCACAAGAGAATTATCCATACCAGTAATTGTGAACAAGAATTATGCACCAGAGCAGAAGACTCTACTAGTCTTTTCTTGCATCTATATTCTGCAGTGTTATATTCTGCAGTGTATAGTCCAGATACAGGTTCTATCTCAGAAAGAAAAAGCACTGTGTGCCACCTACAACCACCTACTGCAGACAGCTCATATTTTTTCCAACTCATTCTACTCAGGCCCATTCCTGCTTTGCTTCTTGACTCTGCAAACATTTTCCCAGTACAATACCTACTCTCCCCCCCCCCCATGAGTTGGAACTGCCTTTTGAAAAGTGATTTCAGCTTTTCTCTATAGCCAGCAACTTTGTCCTATAGATCAACCACTTCACCCCAATCAGCTAACTAAAACAGACGCAACTTTCAGAAGTTCCAGATCCTCCTCCCCTCATGAACCTACAGGTAGTGCATGAAATCCCTGCATGCATGACCCTGTATATTTTTTTGTTCACTAAAGTCAGTTCTAAATTTGAATATTCAATAATAAGCAAGAAAAGTCGCACAAGTCAAAGAGCAATCAAGTTCATAAATAGAATTTAAAAACATTTTAGGAGCTATTTCTGCTCATAATGAAGTTGTAAATATATTTTCACAAAAATTATCAGTTACTGTTACTTTTGTCAAAATAAATTAAAACAATTCTTTTAAAAGATAGTTAAAAAGACTCTTAAAAAACTAAAAACTCCCTTAAAAGAATCAAGTCTTCAAAAAAGTTATATGAGCCAAGAAAGTCTTTAAAAGAATCCTTCCAAAAGAATTTAAAAATTATAAGGTAGCACCTTAGAGACCAACTGAGTAGTTTTAGGTATAAGCTTTTGTGTGCGTGCACACTTCTTCAGATACTTTTGTTACTTTTGTGTAGCTTACATAATACATAAAACATGGTTGATCATAACTACATTCTATGTTTAGACAGAGCAACTACGGAAGTATTTAATTCTTGCATTTGCCTGCCAGGGAACAAAGTTTCATTCATACTAAAGGGATGGACTGTCCTATGTCACTGGCCTTTCTCCAATTAACTAACTACAACTTGAAATTCCCCCTTTTTCATGTTGTCCCCAGGCAAAATGGGACTGAGAACTGGGATGGGGAGTGAGAAAAATAGCAACACAGTTTGCAAATGTGGAAGATAGGGGGTCCCTGATGGTTAGAGTGAAGGAGAGAAAGAGAAGTGGGGCTGATGCAGGGATAGAAAAATTAATAATTGTGAAGGGACAGAAACCAGGTAAAGGGACTTTGAATGATTAGCAAGCATTTGTGTAAAGGAAAAGGAAAAGATAGACCACAAGTTGACTGGCAGGGTTTTAAAATGAACTGTTCTCTTCTAAAAATTAAAGTTTCAGTTTAATTCACTCATACTCAGATTTTAAACTTAATTCAAAGACAATTCCTTTAAAAAAACTGCTTACAGCCTGATCATAAGAGCAGTACTGCTAAATCAGATCAACAGTCCATATAAGACAGCATTCCTTTTCCACAGTGATCAGTCACATGCTTCCAGTAAGCTCATCAGCATAGAACAACTTGGAGGTTCCATTTTACTATCATGGCCAATTGCTACTGATAGTGTTTTGAATCTTCTTTTTAAACCAGCTAAGGCAGTGGCCATAACTTAATACAGAATCATAGAATTGTAGAGTTGGGAGGGACCAAATGGTCATCTAGTTCACCCCAGCAATGCAGAAATCACAGCTATACAGTGGTGCCCCGCAAGACGAATGCCTCGCAAGACGAAAAACTTGCTAGACGAAAGAGTTTTCCGTTTTTTGAGTCGTTCCGCAAGACGAATTTCCCTATGGGCTTGCTTCGCAAGACAAAACGTCTTGCGAGTTCTTGCGAGTTTGTTTCCTTTTTCTTAAAGCCGCTAAGCCGTTAATAGCCGCTAAGCCGTTAATAGCCGCTAAGCCGTTAATAGCCGCTAATAGCCGTGCTTCGCAAGACGAAGAAACCGCAAGACGAAGAGACTCGCGGAACGGATTAATTTCGTCTTGCAAGGCACCACTGTATACAGAATCACATCCGAAAACACAATTCCAATTAAGTACACTTGGACCTTGGTTCTCAAACAGAATGCGTTCCGGGAGTCTGTTCGACTCTCAGAACTGTTCAAAAACCAAGAAACGGCTTCCGATAGGCTGCAGGAGCAGAAGCCACACCAGATGTTCAGCTTCTGAAATTTTTTTCAAAACCGGAACACTCACTTCCAGTTTTCAATAGTTCAGGAGCCGAAACGTACGAGTTCCAAGGCATTCAGCAACCAAAGTACGACTGTATACTTAAGGTCTTTAAGGCCTATCATATATATATTCAATCCCCTTTTCCAACCCATGCATTTTACTGAAGTTCTACAATGGCTAAGTTCACATGTCATGTTCAACAACAATTCAAAACAAAACATGGTTTAAAGTGAACACACAGCATGCTAGTAGTGCACGTTGCTCAAGAGTTTTTCATTCTGCTGCTGTTCCACTCTTGCTACTCTGCACTGTTGAGAACAAGCCAAAGTGTGGCTTTGTGATTATGTCTGAACTCAGGCTTTCGGTTTCTCCCCGAACAAGCCACAAGCAATAATTAAGGTTTATTCCTGACTTACTGCTCACTGTTCATTTAGAGAGAGAAACTGAAAGCCTGGATTCAGACATCACATATTTCTTTTCCAATGATGCAGTGTGAGTGGGATAGGAGCAGAGCAAGAGCTTTATTGGAGCATATGCAAGTACGCTGCCCATTAACTACACCATGGTTTGTTGTTAGCTACAGATTAATATGCCATGCAGACTGGACCACTGTATATTAACAAAAAATACTCGTAAATAACTTGTGAACCTAACTTGAACTCTACCATCTGAGATTAAAGGTCCACATAGTCCAGCTTCCCATGTCCCACAGTGCATTGAGATGCCTCTTGGAATTCCAGAGCCAGGCTTGAAGGCAACAGCACTATCCCATTGATGCTCCTCAGCAACAAATACTTAAACACATACTACCACTAATACCGGAAATTCCATATAGCCATCAATGACTAGTGGCCATTGACAGGCTTATACTCTATGAATTTGTCTAATCCCCTTCTTTAGCTATGTAAGATAATGGCCAACCATATCTTGTGACAGCAAATTCTATAAATTAATTGTGCATTTTATGAAGTACTCTCATTCGTCTAGCTTGAATCTTTTGCAAACCCCTAGAATTAGGAGGGGAGAGAAGATTTCTCTCTATCCAGTACTCCAAAATATGCATGCTTTTATATAGATCCCTCTTGTCGCCCCTTGGCCACCTTTTTTCCCTCAACTGAGAAGTCTGAAACATTGTAGCCTTTTTTCATAGTCAGTTTTAGAAATTCAGATATGTAAGCAAATCGCCAAATGGCACCTTCAACCTGGGTTATGATCGCCACAACAGAATGTCTAGACACCATCCCTCCTAGTGACGTTTATTATAAATAATATCATTATTCATTTTATTTATATAATGCTTTATATTTTAAAGAAAAATGTCAAAGTGGTTTACAACACATTAAAAAATCAAATATAACAATCCAGAATAAAACAAAATTTCAGATCCTTCTCTAATTGACATTTTGCTTTCCCCAGGTTTATTTACCTACTTGATTTATATAGCTGCCCCATAACAGAAGTACCCTAGGAAGCCAGTGTGGTGTAGTGGTTAGAGTGTCAGATTAGGACCCTGGAGAAAAGGATTCAAATCTCCATTCAGTCATGAAGCTCACTGAGCGACCTTGGAGTCAATCACAGCCTCTTGACACTGTAGGGATTAACTGAGGAGCAGGATGAACCATGTACTCCTTGGAGGAAAAAGGTGGAATATAAATGCAATAAATAAGCTATTCTGCTTACCTGCTTAAGCAAGCTGGAGAGGCCAGCCAGGTGGAGATGTCTCTATGTGGTCCCAATTGGACCTGCACCAGTTGCAAAACATACCTGGCACCAGCCCTGTTTAGGGAAGTTTTAAATATTTAATGCTGTATTGTTTTTAACACTTGATTGGAAGCCGCCCAGAGTGGCTGGGGAAACTCAGCCAGATGGGCGGGGTATAAATAATAAATTATTATTCTATTATTATTACCAGGCTAAGTTTTAACACTGCTCATAGTAAATAAGTTCCAGACCTCTGATCATTCTGGATGGCCTTTTTTTGTACCTTTTCCAGCTTTACAGTATGGTTTTTGAAATGTGGTGGCCAGAACTGTACACAGCATACATAGTATAACTGCATTGCAATAGTAGTTATCTTATTTTCAATCCCTTTCCTAACAACGAATAGCATTAATTCACCCTTTTCATAGCTGCCGCATACTGGGTTGACATTTTCATTGAGCTATCTACCAGGACCCCACATTCCCTTTCCTGTTTAGTCACTACTACCAGTTTGAACATCCATCAGCATACAACTGAGTGATAGCCAATTAAATCATAATCAGAGCAGACCCACTGAAAACAATGGAGTCAAGTAATTTTTCCACTGTATGTCTAACTTTGATTATCACTCATAATGTGAAGATTTTATGTGCTAACATGCATCATTTTACACTTAACTGAAAACTTTAGTTTGCTTCAAAATAGGGAAGGGTTGGGGCTCAGTGATAGAGCACCTGATTTCACACAGAAGGTCTTACTTTCAATCCCCGGGTGTCTCCAGATAGGGTTGGGAGAGAACCCTGGAGAGCCACTGCCAGTCAGAGTACATAATACTGAGCTAGATGACCAATGGCCAGACTTTGCCTTCCTCTGTATAATCCTATTAAACTTCCGTCTGCAGTGCAAGTAAGACTTTATGACCACAGACTTTAAAGACCAACGATAAATTCCAGAATTCTGACTACTGAAGTTTAGCATTAATAAGGTTGTTAAGCTCTTCTGAACTCCTAGCTGACAGCTAGAACCAGACCATGCTTCAAGAAACTTTGGTTCACTTTTCTAAACTACTGAACATAGCTCCCTGTGAGACACATGTCTATGTGTTCCAGATTTAATAATGCCAGACCTGACTTTTAAACCTCCATGAGCAATGTTTGTTCCCAAAGATCTGCAGGTAATTTTTTCCTGAAGCCAACATACACTGTCTTCAAAAGAAAATACTATTAGTTGTATACACTGAGGCTGCAATACTATACTAACCCTACCAATGAGTAAGTGCTATCAAATGCAATGTAGCTGTCTTCTAAGTAGACATGTACAGGACTGAGTTCAGTAGAATTCACTGATTTCAACAGAATTCAACTTTATCTAACTTGTCAGTGAATACCATATTTTTTCCGTCTATAAGACGCCCCCATGTATAAGATGCCCCCTATTTTGGGGGACTTAGATTTAAGAAAACGGGGGGATGGCCCCATGTATAAGACGCCCCATAATTTTTGACATAATTTTTTAGAGGAAAAACCTAGTCTTATACATGGAAAAATACAGTATACTGTGCACCTTCTACATAATTAGTAGAAGAAATATTATTAATTGTATTTATTACTCACCCTTTACCCTAAGGTCCCAGGGTGGGTCACAACAATTTAAAATGCAACATTAAAAAGTTTACAACCATTCAAAACTTTATAGCCACAGAAGTATGGTGATTCCTTAATATATACATTTCAGATATCAAACGTCAGGGTAAAAAGGTGTTTTCAGCATTGTCTGAAAATTGTATAGCAAAGGTACCAGACATACCTCTGTGGGACAGGAGTTCCACAACTTAGGGGCTTCCACAGAGAATGCCCTCTCTTATATCACCTCCTGCCCCCTCCCCCAAGCTTCCGAGGGCAACCAAACTACCAAGATGGCCCCCACTGCTGAGCTTAACACCCAAGAAGGTCTGTAGGGAAGGAAATCATCTCTCAGATACTTATTTTCATTAAGTTTTTAGAAAACAAAAAACAGTAAGGCAAAATAAAACTGTTCAAAATTCTTGTATAAAACCAAGATACCTGTACAATTAACCAATTTCATTCAATATCATATATCTCTTTTGTGTCACTATTACAAAAGTTAAAACTCATTTTCCCAAGTTTCAATACCAAAATTACCAATACATAACGCTATGTATTACAAATATCTACTAAGGATTAAGGCAAGGAAATTCCCAGTCATTAGAAAAACCATAGCCAGATTAAACCTGACAAAATCTCTTTGAAAGTAAACTAAGAACAAGAGTAGCAGCCAGTTATAAGAATTTTCAAACTTTACCTTGTGCAACTGTTCTTAAAAAGGATATTGAGGCTGCAATCCTAAACATGCTTACCAGGGAGTAAGCCCCTCTGATCTCAGTGGGACTTATTTCTGTATAAACATGCACAGCATAGGGCTGTAAATATAACTTTTCTTTATTCCATATTTTTATCAATTTCATAATACTTTTAATTTTTGAACAGAACTTAGTTTGAAATAACTTAGTTTGAATACTACCACTCATGCAATGAAACTATCCCTTCCTCTCCTTCCTCCATAATAAACCTTCCCCTAATCTTCTCTGTGGGTTCCAGAGAATTGCACTGAAAATGTATTTTAGAAGATGGGCAGTCTAAATTACTGTATGGCATCAAAATGCCAATCTACTTTCTAACTTTCTTCTAACTGTCCTATTCTGTGCAGGGAAACAACAACCATGACAATTTAACTCAGACTTAGATGAGTTTAAAAGAGTTGTCTAAACAGACATGTTAACTTTCGTTCAAAAGTTTACACACAGTAAAACTGGGTTATACCATACATTTTACCATGACATGCATTAGTTTTATAATTCTTGAAACAATACTATAGTCTGGCAAGTAGAATGGTATTCCTACCAAGACTCTAAAAGAAGACAGCTCCAAGTTAGGGTGCTATCCAACTAAGTTACACTCAGAGTCAACCCACTGAAATCAATGAAGTCCATTTACTTCAATGGGGCTACTTTGAATATGACTAACTGGAACTTTCACATGCAATTTTAAACATACTTACTGGGAAATAAACCAATGAAACTAATGAAAACAGCTAAACTTGCTTCTAAGTAAATATGAACAAGAATGCACTATAATTCATTGATTTTAGACTCCAGTTACTGGAGCATCTAAGGCTTGCAACCATGCTTTCACAAAATAAAAAAATTAAATGGAAATGAAAGAATTCAACTATAATTTAATATATAAATAGAATGAGTATATATGAACAGTCTATGTACTGTTCTTTATCTACTCAGAAGCAAGTCTCTACTCCCAGTAAGCATGGTTAGAATTGAAGCTTTAATACTTTATCTGGAGTTTAAGGCTATGCAAAGTGAACCATTCTCCTAACTGATGGCAATAATACAGTACTGAAGGCTGTAGTTTTCAATACAGCTTCCTGGCTAAGAGTACACCCTTGACAACACAGTAAACATTCAAATTCAAAATCTGCAATGCATTGTGTTTTGTAGCATAAATTCTTCTCTATTTAAATACAAAAATGAAACACTTCTCTATCAGAATAGTTCAGAACAATTTCTTGACATGTATAGCCTTCCTTACCTGTGAAAACCACCTAGCAGATTTTTTAAACATGCAGACAGTGCACCCCATCTGAAAAGTTGCTTTGCCAGCAAAGATCACAGGATGGGGCAAACTGAGTGCTCACAGCAACATATTTCATGTCCTTAGGTCAACACAACAAGCAAATGTACTAGAGCAAGTATTTAGGCTTAAGGTGCTAACCTTTCTGGGAAGGAATGAGCTCTCTCTCTCTCTCTTAATAGTTTCAGGTAAGTTCTATGAAGAATCAGGTTCATATTAAACTAATTTTCCCCAGCGAGATTATCATCATAACATCTGTATGTCAGTAATACAATCCTATGCATGTTTACTCAGAAGTTCCACTCAATTTAATGGGAAGTGTCCCACTTAATTCAATGGGACTTCCACCTTTGCATCCTGAGAGTTCAACTTCTTGTCTATGTGAAATCCAGAAATAGTATTCACTCAAAAATTGCTTTAGTACATGTACATACATAAGATTAAGATATCAAGTGAACTATATTAGTTAATCTGTTGGTTAACTTAATAGATTGTTTTTTGATAACTGAACAGTGACCAGACAGCTAATCAAAGAGTCTTGATGGGAAAACCCTTTACCCATTTAGTTGAGTGTAGACTCAACTAAAATGTGCAGCATACTCATTTGGAAGCAAGTCCCTTTGCAATAAAATCTACTTCCTAGTGAAAGCAGTTTGGGATCGGCATAAAATGCAATTAAAGAATGAGAAAGGAATCATTTGGGAGATGCTTATTCTAGTTGGGATAACTGATTTCACCCCACCACATGACAGAAGCATCCAATTCAGATGAATTATTTTTGCTTCTGGCGTCTTTGGCAAGGGAATGAAACCCTCCCTGAGTGACAGAGTACATGGGTACAAGTGACCCTGGCGTGACGGGAAACACCAGATTTCCCATGGCCAAACCCGACTTCCATACCAGTCAACCAGATACCTACTGAGGAGCACCTAAAATTCACCCGTATCCCTACAACAGGTGCTATCTGAGAGCTGCTGACTTTCCGCCACTTGCCCAGGGGGTTACGAAGGAAACTTCTTCCTTCCTCCCCTCTGCCATCCTGGCCCAGGTACGGGCGACGCCGGGCTCTCAGGACCAATCCCATAGCCAGGTGGGAAGGGTCTCCCAGGCCTCAGCCGTCACCTTCACGATTTAGAGCACGGGCGGAGCTTGCCCTCGCCTTTCCAGGCCTAGCCGGAGAGGAACGGCGGCTGGAGGGACAGCCGGCACCTGCCTTTCCTCCCGCTGGGTCGGCCACCTCCTTCTCCTCCCCACCGGGGCGGCCAAGATTCCCTCTTCAAAATGGCAGCGGCCCCTCTCCCTGTGCCGTTGAGCCGGCGGCCCCGCTGCCAGAGGCCCTGCCGCTTACCCGTGTGTGGGGCGGTGGCCGCCTCTAGTCCGCGTCCGGGGGCCGCAGTCGTCGTCCTGCTCCTGGCCGAGGCCTCCTTTCCCGGGATGCAAGGAGGGAGGGGGTGGCCGGGGGCGGCGGCGGCAGCAAGCAGGAGCGGCGGGTGGTGGTGGTGGGTTCACTTCATTCCCCGCCTCAGCCAGCGGCCCAGCCCAGCCAACGTCTCCGCAGTCCTCCTCCTCCTCCTCCTCCTCCTCAGCCGGCTTGCCTCGCTTAGTCCGCCACGCTCGGGCCCTGTGCAGAAAGGGAGCAGAGCAGGGCCTCGGCCCCGGAGCGGAGCCCACAACCCACCTCCCTCTTGCGGGAGGAGGGCAGCCCGGCCCGGCGGGCGGATCCGCGGCGTTTCCTGGCCGGGCAGATTTTCTATCGCTCACAAAATGGCGCGCGTTCCAAACCTGCGCAGCGATCGGCAGCGGGGCCCGGACACGGCGCGGCGGCACCTCAGCTCCGGCTGCTGCCTGAGCCCAGGCCAAGCAGAGCGGAGAGCGCAAGAGCGGCGCGGGCGAGAAGGGGAGCGCAGCGCTGAACCGAGCCCCCGGGAACTCCTCGCTCTCCCTCTCTCGCTCGCTTGCTCGCTCCCTCTCCCTCGCGCCCCCTCCCTGCCTGCCAGCCAGTCAGTCAGTCAGCCCCCCGCTCTCCTCCCCCTCCCGAGCGCTGCTGCTGCTGCTGATGCCGCCGAGCCGGCTTCTCTGGAACTGCGCTTCGGAGCACTCCTGTCTACACGCACGCTCACCCCGCTTCGCCTCGCTACCGCGGACCAAAGCGGGGTAATTCTTCCGTTTCCTCCGCGAAAAAATCCGAAGGGAGACGAACCAATGTAAAGTTATAATTCGGGCGGGAAGGAATTTTTTTTTTCAAAAAAAAAAAAAGTCCAACTGACAAAATGGCGACGAGAAGAGCCTGTTACTATGGCAACTGTCAATCACGCCGAAAGAGCCCCGCCCCTCCCAGGCGGGAATCCGCGCTGATGGAGAGGAGAGGAACGGCCGAAGGCGGGGCTTGGTCGCCTTGGCGACTGCTGCTTCATTCCCTTCCCCGCCGTCCGGTGATATTATAAATTCCGAGGCACGCACCGCTCTTGCTGTCATTAGCGCCTTCTCGGAGAAGGCTCTGGCTCGCTGCGGTTTTTCTGGGGGAGTCCGTTCGGGAAAGGAGCCGGGGAGCGGCCCGATGCATTCTCGGAGACTGCTCCAAGGTTACAGGGAGGTCCGCGGGCCTCAGCGCTACCAAATCTGTGTTGCGAGGACCCAATACGGTTTGTGTTCGTCTGCTTTCGCATTTGGACCTGCCTCGGTGGGAAGCGACCTCGGGAAGAAGACACAGAACCACAAGGCAGGAGGGTGCAGCGCATTCGGGATGTACGAGTCAATTGGCGAAGCGACCTACAAGCTGGAGAGGAGGATGCCTAATTTCTATACACATAGGACGCTCGGGGCGCTTAAACAGATCTGCATTGCTGTTCTCAGCCAAATTAATGTCTAGTATAAGTTTCCGTGAGTTTCCAGACCTAATACAGAAGCTAATCTGAGCCTAGTGAAATATTTTTGAGTGGCCTACCTATGGCAAAACAGGAATGCCATACCTTCTCACACATACACCTGCATTGTCAGATGTTAAGAACAACCGGAAAGCATGTGGACAACTAATTTAACTTTTGTTCAGTCTTCTTTCTCCAAGTCCAAAAGACTCCCTCCAATTTCTTAGATATGAATTTTTATTTATTTATTTATTTTACAGAATGGCATTCATGGTATAAATCATTTCAACAATTCAGTCTTTGACTTTCTGCTCATAGGCCAATCTGCAATGCCTTCCTCCAATTAACTATTTTTTTATTTGCTTGCCAATTTTTTGGTGTGTAAATATGAACACAGGCCATCAAATAAGTGCATGATGCATTATACATCAGTTTCGCTCACTCAACCTGCAGCCAACCCATTTTAGCCTGGATGTGAAGAATTACTTATGAACTTTAACTACAGTGAAGCAGAGCAACATGGTCTTTTAGAATCACTACCTCAAAAAACTTAATAATTTAGTTGGTTAGTCTTAGCTAGATCTGCTATAACTAAGGTAATGTTTAAAGAAGAGAATGATGGTGCAAGTTGAAGAATACATCTATTTAGGACAAAAAGTATATATATTGGGGAGAGAAAATTAAACAGTGGAAATGAAGAGAGGAGTAAAACAATCATGGGCAGCCTTTGAAAAACTCAGCTTCATAATGAAACAAAAATATCTCCTTAGATTTTAAGGAGTTAAATACAGTCATACCTCGGGTTAAATTTGCTTCAAGTTGAGCGAGCTCGAGTTGCGCTCCGCGGCAACCCGGAAGTAACAGAGTGCGTTACTTCCGGGTTTCGCCGCTTGCGCACGCACAGACGCTCAAAATGACGTCATGCGCAGAAGCGGCGAAAAGCGATGCGCGCATGCGCAGACGTGCTATCACTAGATGCGTTACCTCTACTCTAGATGCGAATGGGGCTCCGGAATGGATCCCGTTCATATCTAGAGGTACCACTGTATGGGCATATTACCTGTAATGTTACAGTGTGGAGAACTGAACCGTGACACAAAGAAACATGAACAGCTTAAGAATAACACCTAAGTCAAAAGATAATATATATAAGTAGAGTAGATAAGGCAGGAATGGGGAATCGGAGGTATTTCAAATACTGCCATGCAACTCCCACCTGGTATGACTAATTGTCAAGGATGATGAATATTTTGGTCCCACAATGTCTAGTGGCCTGTAGAGTTCCCATCCCATTTAAAGGCTTTTGGTCAGAACCCAACAGGATTCTACTTCTTAAATGCACAAGAATATGTTTGTCAAATATTTTAGTGGAATTCATACTTCTGGGAGAGCTTGATGACCCACAAATCTCCTTTGAGTTCTCTGGCTTTCCTTTTCCTTCCTTTTCATTTGCACACATGGCACAAATATTGCCTTATAAATGGACTACCAATATGTTCATCTGCTAAAGTTCTGAAGTATATTAAACCCTATTAAAATATATTATCAGATTAATCTGCTGCTAGTGCTAAGCAAGCCTACTGGTATATTCAAAATCTTTTGAAGACTCAAGTGCCATTAACAACACAGTATACCACTTTATACCCACCATGAAATTCATGAAAAGAACATTCCATATGTAAAATAAACTGCACGGGTACTCTTCGAAGTGTTCCAGTTCTTCAAGACTGGTACTCGAAATACTTAATGCTTCCTTTGGAAGAATTGAATGGTATAACTTAAATGGATAAAAACCATATAAATTGTGCTTTGCTACTATTTAGCAAAGAAATTAGTAATGGTAGAACAAATAACTTGTTGTTTCATAAAGTTAATGGGGTTGAAGTGTAGCAGAAGTCTCCGATAAGTATTTTTAAAGTTAACATGTTAACTTTCAAGTGCATGCTTATTGGAAACAAGTCCCATTGGATTCAGTGGGACTTTTCCAAATCTGATTAAGATCTGACTGCTATTCTTACATCAGGACAATGCTCCAACCCAAAGATTTATAACACCAAAAGTTAAGTACCTACAACAAAGTTTACCAACAATGTGCAAAATCACTATTCTGGCATTGCTGCATTGTATGATTCGGATCAAACTTGTATTTACTCAGAAGTAAGTCCATTTGAATTTAATAAGGTTGCTAAATCATGTTTATGTTTAGTTAGATGTAAGTATCATTGAGTTTAATGACTTCACATAGATTGCAGCTTAACTCCAAAGTAGATGTCCATAGGACGGCAGCCATGCACTCAATCCTATTGATGTGTAAAAATATTCCACTAAGGTTCAAATTTACCCCTTATTTTAAATTACTAGGGTTCTAGGTTAAATGTAATAATGATCAGCAGTGAGAAATAGTGTAGGAATTTAATGTTACAGGGTTAACTTCAACATAGTTTGTAACATTTTCATTTTTTTTCTTAATTCTTAGATTAACATTGATACAACTGTTTCGGGTGCAAAATGCTTTATTGCAATTGCTATCATTATTTGTAAGAATGAGATTCATAATACTATAAAATGCTTTTAGCAACCTTATGTTAAATTATTGTGCCCAACATGCAAAGGATTCGTTATTAAACGGCACTGGAATTATTTTTTAAAGATTCAAACATGAAACAGCCAATAGTCTGCCATTTGAAAAATACTAAATATGGAAATTTATGAGTCTTCAACAGCTGTTATTTCAAAACCTATGGGAATCCAAGTAGTTCTGCAGCAGATATGGCACTCCACTAATAAGCCTGTTAAATGAAAGTGATTCCCATTTTAAAACATGGATTTGTCCCAAGCAAACCATTTGAAATTGTTTTCAAACACAATTAATGATTCCTTCAGTTTTGTTTGTGAAAGTATACAAAGAATCTCATGGCCTTAGTCCCATAATAGCTCACCTGAGTCAAGTCGCTAGGATGACAAAATGTTCCAAGAGAAGAATGCTCCTTTCAGGGTGCAATCTGCCCATGCCCTCTTCCAGAATATTCCATTTCATCCTTCTTCACTGATTCTACACCCCTCAACAAATACTCAGCATTCTGTGGCCACTGAATATGCTCAATCCTCATTGGGATGGCTTATTTTAGTCTCTACCCCTTCAGATCTAGTTCTTTAGAACCTTATGAGTTTCCCTTACGCCTGCTGAATCCTCAATTACAGGCATCTCCCCACTTACACAGGGGTTATGATCTGGGGCCCTATGCGCATAAACAAAAATCGCATAAGTGAGGAGCACCCTATAAACATCTCTTAAATGCCCTCTCTGCTGCTCTCGCCCCAATCCAGACCAAAAATATTGTATCCAAAAATATCCACAACTAGAATTGAAGTGCTGGGGCCAGCTGGAGACGCACAGAAAAGAGGCTGCTGTGCTACTGTATGCACCAGCTATTAGGCTGGGAAGCTGAGCAGCCTAAACAAAGCCTCCCTGTGCCTGTGGTCACATTAGGGCTTCCTCTGCCCTCACTTATGGGGAGGGACTCCTTGAGTGCCACAAGGGCCCTCCAGCTCTCTCCCACTGTTTGCAGGTTTGAACTGAATTATTTATTTCCTAGCATTGCACATAGGTGGGGACATGCCCATACTTAATGTGTTTGCCAAACAACATATCAGATAAGTCTGATATGAAAAAAGGAGGTTCTTAGAAGTTTCATTTACTAACACATTTTTCTCCTTTTACAATACAGTGGTACCTCAGGTTAAGTACTTAATTTGTTCCGGAGGTCCGTTCTTAACCTGAAACTGTTCTTAACCTGAAGCACCACTTTAGCTAATGGGGCCTCCTGCTGCTGCCATGCCGCCGGAACACGATTTTTGTTCTCATCCTGAAGCAAAGTTCTTAACCTAAGGTAATATTTCTGGGTTAGTGGAGTCTGTAACCTGAAGCGTATGTAACTCAAGGTACCACTGTATTAAACCGAGCTATTGTTTCAGTCAAGTATTTGTATCTTGATTAATATTGTTAATTTGAACCAAGAGCCTCATGCCATTGCCCAAGGGTTGGAATAGGTTTAGCCAAGTCATTGATCTTGGACCAGATCACCAGATCACAGAGCCCTCTTCAGGTACAGAAAAGGATACACAACGTCCTCTGGTTGGGAATGAAGCCTCTGAATAGTGCACTAATTTCCAGACCTAGATCCAGCTCAGATCCTAGCCTCTGATTTAAGCGTCAGTCTTCAGCTTCAATTCCTAGGTTGGAGACAATTATATAGTCCTGGTTTATCAACTTGCACAGCACCTAAGGCTCAAACACAGCCTTGTGGTTATCACTACAGCAATTGGACATCATAATCTTGCTAAAGTTAGTTGTGTGACTTAGTCCCAGTGCTTTTTTCAGAGGGTGCTCAATGGTATGCAGTACCGGCATCTCTTTTTTGTTGCTAAAAACTGTGGCACTTACTGTAACAACTTCATGGTGACTACCGATACCTATTTTTCTAGGAAAAAAGCACTGAGTGTGACAACTTTCAAGAATGGTTGGTCACTGAATATTTTGGCTGGAGTTTGAACCAAATTACATATAACAATGGGATTTGAATTAATTGCAACTAATTTGTTCAACTGCTTTTAATGGGATAAAGTCATTGTTACCTTTTTAGCAAGAGAAAGGAGCCAGTAGCTTTAGATCTGCAGTAGCTTATTAGTTCCCATGAGTGTTATTTTGGTGGAGCTGTGTGCATTCCATATTTTGATATTCCACAGGAAAATAGGTTCCCAGCTGCCACAATGTTTCCAGTCCAAAGCACTGAACAACTTGGTGCATAAAGGTGATTCCGATTACCGTAAATGTCTAGAAGAACTTTCTGACAGTATGAGCTGTTAGACAGCAGAATGGACTCCCTCAGAAAGTGATGGACTCTCCTTCCTTGGGGGTTTTTAACCAGAGGTGGGATGGCCATTTGTCATGGATGCTTTTTTTGAAATTCCTGCATTGCAGGGGATTGGACTAGAAGACCCTTGGGGTCTCATCAAATTCTACAATTCTAAATACTTTAAGAACACTTCTTTCTGTAGAGTCCTGCCCCAGAGTTAAGACTGCTGGAAAGGCTCTCCCTAGCATCCATTCAATAGGTGTTATACATCAGAAGACTACATGCCTTCTCCATTGCAGCACCCTGGCTTTGTAATCCTTTAAACTTGAAATTCATTCAACATTCACACTGTTAATATTTAGACATGACTATTGATGTAAGTATTTTGAGGTTCCCACTGATGTTCAGTGGAATTTGGTTTGATATTTTCACTAAGTTTTTGTATTTGATTATATTAACATTGTTATTTTATTGTTACCTGTCTCAAGATCTTTGGATTCAATGCAGGATACAAATCATCAAATAAATAAATAAAATTTATGCAAACTTGCTAAATAAATAAGAGATAAAAATGTCAACCTTGCCCAGCAAATAAATAAAATTCACCAGTATGGCAGTGAATAACCAGGAAGGAGATTTTGGGGTTGTGGTGAATAAATTCAGTATGCCATCATGGGTGTGAAAAAGTAAAATTGCATACTAGGAATGGAATTGAAAATAAGACCACAATATAAATAGCACATTTATATAAGGGTACAGATACTTCTATATAGAAGTTTATTGTGGATAATGTGCTATTTGTGTATGTAAGGTTTTGGTTTGGTTTGGGCAGCAACAATATCACCATCAAAATGCCAGCCCATACTTTATATTTGTTTATTTTTAAAAATACTTAAATACTGCAATTTCATTAAAAAGATCAAAACAACATACAGCAAATACACACACATATACCGTACATATACAATAAAACCTACATAAAAACTAAAGCACAGTTCACCGGCTGACTAAAACAGAAAAAAACCTTTAATTTTCAGTATAAGCCTGACGTCATAGAAAAGTTTTTAACAGATGTTTAAAAGTTAATCCTGAAGATGCTTGTTGTTTTACTATGACAAATAACCCTATATACATTTGCACTCACTGCTGTTATGGAAGATTATCATTGTATTCTATATGTAGCTTACTACATGTGTAAGGAATTTTTGGTCCATTTATTTATTTAGAGCATTTGTGTACCCCACTCTTCAGCCAAAAAGGGTCCCAAAGCGACTTACGTACAACCAAAACAAGTCCCCACCCACAGGCTTACAATCGAAACACACACACACACTGTGCAAGGGGAAAGGGACAGAGAGCAAACCTAGCTATTGTGCCTCTGGTGCTTCCAAACAATACACGTATCCCTATTTCCACCAACTGCCATATGCCAGGGGCACGTCTGAATATCAACAACCTGGTTAGAAGGAACTGTTCTCTCAAGATTTTCATACAGTGCACATAGGGGTTACCTTGAAGATCATACTAACAATACATACATCAGGCAATAATAATACAGAAGTATTGCACAATAACTCTTTATCATGCTTCTGCAAGTCTTAGGTAAATGTAACTCTTCTACAAGATCTTAATATTATTTTTTATTTAAAAAATACAAATTGATTCCAAAGATACAAGCCCCGCTTTCACACATTGTGAAATATAGTTACTAAGGTTAGTAACATTTCCTCTCGCATGGATCTCAAGTATGGGACAGTAGGGTGTTTCTTATTATCTTTACTTATTAACTATCCCGCGGGTAGCGCTGTGGGTTAAACCACAGAGCAGATCAGAAGGTCGGCGGTTCGAATCCCCGCGACGGGGTGAGCTCCCGTTGCTCAGTCCCAGCTCCTGCCAACCTAGCAGTTCGAAAGCATCTCAAAGTGCAAGTAGATAAATAGGTACCGCTCTGGCGGGAAGGTAAACTGCGTTTCCGTGCACTGCCCTCGTTCGCCAGAAGCGGCTTAGTCATACTGGCCACATGACCTGGAAGCTGTACGCCGGCTCCCTCGGCCAATAAAGCAAGATGAGCGCCGCAACACCAGAGTCGTCTGCGACTGGACCTAATGGTCAGGGGTCCCTTTACCTTTACCTTTACAGGCCAAATTCTAACTTTATATTGTGCATGTGATTGCTAGTCCCTTATACTATGTAGTATATATAGTATATAGTATATTCCCTCCCTGCAATCTTTTCTAAGGACTATTCATGTTGACACAACCAAAATAAACTTGATGGGAAATGAGACAATGGCGTCTATCTGGCTGAAGGTAACTCATCCAAATTCAAAAGTGGGAATAGAAAGAGCAACAAGGATAACAGCAAATTGTTCTTTGTTTTTCAAAGCATAGTTAAATTTTCTCTTCTTCGACTAACACCATTTCACACCAAATGTTGTCTTAAATACTGAATACAACTATTAACATTTTTCAAAAATAACATTCACAACACTTTTATCACTACTAGATCTAGCTGGGAACTCAAGTCTTACATTTGCTGAAGCAGCAAGAAAGTAACAATCTAATACATTAACCATCTCTAAAATATATACTATATTTAATCACTCTAGGAATGAAAGCATTAATTTTGATGCAACTGTATCGGTCAAGAATGGTCTCAACACCTCCTCTCTGTTTTTAAATGTAACCATTCCAGCCTTAAGATGTTTGAGTTATTCAAATATTCATGTATCAATATATCTTTTTCTGGTGGTAGCTTACCTACCCGCTTCCATATTTGGATAACAAACTAAGTCAGAAAGTTATTTGAGGGGGTCAAGTTGTTTAGTTTTATTTTTGTCTATCACTAATAACGCTAAAAAAATGTGGTTGCTATTACTTCCATCTCTATAACCAACCAATCAGAAAAGGAGGACTGTAAATAACTGGTCGGTCACATACCTTGAATTACAGAGACATTTATGTATGCTTAAACATAGCAGAACAGCACAACTGTGAATGAAGCCATACAGCAAAATGTTAAAGCTGTTAAAATAATGATATATTATCGTCAACACTCATTTATTTCCCTGGATTATTATTTTTTGCCTATCACGTTTGGACAAATTCCTTGTGCATTTTATTTCAATTTTACTGTCATATTTGAGATTCTTCTGTTGCTATCCACAAATCATGCTATTTATAGGGAATCAGTTTAAGACAAACATATAACAGAATAATCACTGAACGATTTATGCAGACTTTCAATGCAATGTTCCATAACATTTTGAGAATATTTATGCAATGCTTAAGTCAGAAAGAACAACTGAAATTATAGAGTAAATTGGTATACTGCTCTCTTACATGTAAATAATACCTAATAAATAGTATTAGTCTATAATACTAAATACTAATTTAGTATGTAAATAGTAATAATATTCTGTGCTGGGACCTTCAGCAAAAGTCTAGAAAAAGCCATGATATTATTTATAGATATACCTGATGATATCCAATGTTAGAGTAAACCCATGGAAATAACTGAGCTGATATCACCCATTATTTCCCAGTTTTACAACACAAAGTAGGCATATATGAGCATATCACGGCCTAGGACCCTCCTACCTATGGGACCGCCTCTCCTAGTATGCCCCATGGAGGACCTTAAGGTCCATAAATAGCAACACCCTAGAGGTCCCTGGCCCTAAGGAAATTAGATTAGCCTCAACCAGAGCCAGGGCCTTTTCAACACTGGCTCCGACCTGGTGGAACACTCTGTCTCATGAGACCAGGGCTCTGCAGGATCTGATTTCTTTCCGCAGGGCCTGTAAGACAGAGTTGTTCTGCTGGCCTTTGGCTTAGAATCAGTTTGATTCCCTCCCCCTCTTTCTTTTTCCTTTCTCCTCCTGTGAAGAGGCTGCATCCTAATGTGTTAATGTTGTATTTTAATCTTGTTTTTTAAATTGTATTTTAATCAACTTGTTTTATTATTGGTTGTTAGTCGCCCTGAGCCCAGTCTTGGCTGGGGAGGGCGGGGTATAAATAAAATTTATTATTATTATTATATGCTTTGAAATCTCTTGACCTCAGAATCACAAGGTTGGATCCAGAGATACTTGAGGTATAGGTGAGTTCCCACGAGGCAAGACACAGCGATAACAGCAAAAACCTTTATTGAACTACATAACTGGGAAACGGGCAAAGCAACTGCTTGCATACATTCCTGAAAGCCAGGGCTCCAATGTGATTGGTGATTGGCTGTCTAAACTTCCAAGCTGCGAATCATGACTCAGAGTTCAAGGGCCAATGGCAGAGGCCCAAATCCTGAAATGTTCTGTGATTGGACATCATGTATTGAATCAGAACACAGGAGCTCAGAATCCTTTGTCCACACTCAAGCTCAGGCAAACACAGACCACTGAATACAAAACAATACTCATGCAATGGGATGCGGGTGGCACTGTGAGTTAAACCACAGAGCCTAGGGCTTGCCAAGCAGAAGGTCGGCGGTTCAAATCCCCATGACGGGGCGAGCTCCCATTGCTTGGTCCCTGCTCCTGCCAACCTAGCAGTTCAAAAGCACATCAAAGTGCAAGTAGATAAATAGGTACCGCTCCAGCGGGAAGGTGAACAGCATTTCCGTGCACTGCTCTGGTTCGCCAGAAGCAGCTTAGTCATGCTGGCCACATGACCCGGAAGCTGTAATCTGGCTTCCTCGGCCAATAAAGCGAGATGAGCGCCGCAACCCCAGAGTCGTCTGTGACTGGACCTAATGGTCAGGGGTCCCTTTACCTTTACTCATGCAACAGGTCTTTCCTGGCTCCTCCCACAATAGGCACCTGCATCCCAGTCAAAGCCACTCCTCAGAGTCAAGGACCCTCTGAAACTGTGGATGGGGCATGAGGGACTGTAGTGAGACAGGAAACTGGGAGAATTTGGTGGGACTGCCTTGCATAAGTGCATCCCCTTGTGGAAGGCATCTCTGGATCCAAGCCATACAGTCAGATCCTAGGCAATGCTACACAAAGTAGATAAGGTGCTAAGCTCCCAGCTCCAAGACAAGGAAATGTCATTTAAACTTTAACCTAATGTGGTTTCTAAGAGTCAGAAGCCACATTATGTTAAAGAAAATGGTGGGGTTGACAGCAATATTTTACACCACATTGTAAGGGTTGGTAGAGTAATCACATCCCTCTAACACTATTACAGTGATGAGGTGCTGATGGTGAGGAAATATCAGATACACTGTGTGCTAGAAAGCTGTCTGTGGACAAATGCCGGCTTTCTTGGTCTGAAAAGCGAGATAAGCGCTGCAACCCCTAGTTGACTTTGACTGGACTTAACTGTCCAGGGGTCCTTTACCTTTTTATATTGCAAGAATTCAACTGCCTTCATCTTGCCCACTTAAACCCGAGGAAAAGTAGAATAAATTGTAATGGACTCACATTGCTTACGTGGCTGGCAACAATATGTAATCTTTCCCTTCATCACTATCTGTTTCCTGGTAGTGTGTAAGTCCACCTCTTCTTGTTAGCTACCCACCCCTCCACCAATATTTATTCTACAATTACTTATTATATAAGCCTCCAAATCTGCCCGTTTGTTGCATGCACTCTGCTTTGCGCATTCAGTGTTGGGGAGGTCAATTTTCCTTCCTGCCACAGAACATCAGCAGAAACAATGGCAACAGAAACTTTTATGTGGAACATGATGGAGGGATGAGTTCTCCCAGTAATGTAGATACAAGCTTTTCTATATGGAAAGAGGGTGGTATTTTTCCAAAACAAAGGAATTATTATTATTATTAATGAAACACATACTGTGTATTCTTGAAATTTATATTCCATGCAGTATACTTCTGAAACAGAAAATTCTATTTTACTAAAGCAGTAACAGAACTTGATGGGGAAGGGGGTGGGCAGGTGAGCAGCAGCAGCAACAGCAGAAAGTTGTCCATTGAAAGAGGACTAAATAGTGAATAACTGGCACTGAATAGAGTTAGCACTAGAATAGTGTTCACATGAAACTCTTTGTTGTATAGAATAATACCTAGTTAATTTTTCCTAGTCATTTGATGGCACTTGACACAACAGGAAATTAGATTCTTCTGGATTAGCAGTAAGAATTGGCAACACTAGTTCGCAGTAGTTCTTCTGTTTCACTGACAGGTTTGGGAAGGTGATGTTCATGGGACTATTGCCCCATTCTACCCCATGGGAATTCTCCTGTGAAGTGTCACTAGGGAGAATGTAGGTGTCACTCAATAAATCATCCAGAGCTTTGGGGTGAAGTGTGATGATTGATAGCCAGCTCTATCTTTCAATGTAAAGAAGTGTAAAGTGATGCATGTTGCCAAGTCAGCCAGGCACCTCCATGACAGGAGAAAGAGGAGAGAGACTGAGGAGCATTTGTGGGGTCGTCACCCTTGATAGACATTAAGAGGGCAGTTCGCAGCATTGGAAACTTTAACAATAGATTTAGGAGCTGAGGATTTAGCCCGTATCTTACATTCACATTTACATTGACAATTACACTTAGACAGTGCGTTTTCTATTAAAAAAAAAGTTTGGGGTAATCTCATTTTGACTCAAGAAAATCACCATTTTATAGTTCAAATTGGGGAAAATAAATACAGTCAATGGACAAAAGTACAAAGATTCACAAAATGTTTAGGGGTATATGTACCCCTGTGTTCCCCCAGAACAAAGCACTGCACTTATCAACACGAATGGGTCTGAACTAGCAGTGACTGAATGAGGACTTTGGGTCTTATATTCTTACCTTTAATAGTTGTGTAAAAGAGGGCATTTCAGCAAGGACAGTTTGGAAGATGGTTCAGAGGGGAGAGGAAATCATTCTCTTCTCTTCTTCCAGCAGGAGCCTCTGCTGGTTCTCTCCTTTCTGCAAACAGAGAATAGCCATTATGGCTAGTAATCACAGATAGCCCTCTCCTCTATGAATTTGTCTAATCCTCTACTATGCAGCCCTCTACTAAACAGCTGAGGCAGTGGAAGACAGGAGTGCCTGGCGTTCTCTGGTCCATGGGGTCACGAAGTCGGACACAACCGAACAACTAAACAACAACTATACAGCTGCAAATAAAATGTTTAAAGTGTGTTTTAAGTGCAATATGCAATATGACACTAGGTGGGCCTTATGGAAAATTCAATGTATTTTTAAAAACACTTTTTAAAAAAGCATTTTCAGAACGTTTTTTATACGTGTGTGGAGTCCACCTAGGTTGGTGGATATCACTGCCTCCTGAGCAAATTCCATAGTTTAACAATTTGCTGTGTGAGACATACTTTCTTATATCTGTCCTGTATCCTCCAACATCTTAATTGTATGTCCCCAAGTTCTAGTTTTATGAGATAAAAACTTTTTTCTATCCACTTTTTCCATGACATGCATAATTTTATACACATCTATCATGTCACTTTTTTTTTGCTTCTTCTCTGAACTAAAAAGCCTCAGATGCTGTGACCTTATAAGGGAGTAACCATTTCATCTGGCTACAGTGTGCTTTCTTGTCAATCTGTGTACACATGACATTACCCACAATGCAGACTTTTCTGTAGTTTCTTGAGAAATACTGCTGTTAAACCAGCTTCAATCTGAAAGGAAAACATTCATTGTAGTTGAGGTGTGCACAAGACACAAATAGTGCATGTGCCGATGACAACGCATGCGCAGATGACAGCTTCACAAATGTCGCAGATGTCGAGCTTTTTTTACAATTTTCCTCCAAAGTTGCTGAGCTTTTTAAAGGATTTTACCCTAGGACAGATACTGCCACGGGAGCAGGATTAGGCCCCCGAAACGGACTTTGGACATGCCTGACATGACTGTGCACATTGGGTGACTACATCGCCGAAGCCCAAACTCTAGTTCAGGAATGTGCAGATGGAACTTGAAACACAGCTTGGAAAGAAAGACATCACTGCGTTTTAAGCCGCTAATGTGTACATAGCCTTAATAATAAGCCCCGTGAAGTCATCAATTTTCACATATTTTTGCATAGACGGCAGTGAAAGAGTTTCCTCATCTGATTTCTGCCTAAGCGCACTCTAAATAGCACTTTATTAAACGTGGTTTCTTCCCGGGTCAAGGTGCATATGGTTGAAGTCCCTATCATATAATCCTTACTGGGGCTTAACGCCGTTACAAGGCCGGAGGAAAAGCCCTGATACAATCCCACTTTTCTTTTTTCCTTTTTTAAACATCTCCCAGCATACAGTGAGGCATGGACGTCACTTAGACGTCTTGCGTGTATAACGATATTTAATCTCTCTGGAACTGCAGCCTGGGAAATGTAGTTCGTTTCCAAAGCTGGCTTTCAGTGCCCAATTTCTTTCCCGTTTTCACCCTGCCTGATCTTTCGCCCGCAATTCCCCGGTTTTTAGTTACGCTGAAATAGAAATAGGAACGGAGACGCGCCGCGTCCCCCCCCCCTTCCCGCCTTGCACTGTTGCTAGGCAGCAGACGAGGAAAGAAAGGGCGGGGACTCGGAGGAGCGGCCATTGCAATGACGTAAGCGGCGCGTCCAGTTTTAAAAATAAACGGCGCCTTAAGGTGTAACGTTACTGGGCCGGATATGACCGTTACGGCCCCCCCCAGCAAAAGAGGGAGGGGACGGAAGTGGGAGCGAATCGAAAAGCGGAAATGAGGATTCAACTCTTCCCTCCTCCCGCCCAGAAAAAGAAGGGGGCGGAGTCACGTGGTCAGAGCCGCAGCTCAGGGAGGCGGAGTCACGTGATCCGGGAGCGGGGAGGGGTCGCCATGGGCACCGCGCTGGATATCAAGATCAAGCGGGCGAACAAACTGTACCATTGTGGGGTGAGTAGCCTTTGGCAGCGGCGTTGGAGCGGAAGGAGACGGCAGGGTCTGCGTTGCTCGTCCCCCGCCCCCATTAATATGTTTTTGTTCTCCTGGGGGAGAGGAAGGCTGCAGTTCTGTGCCCCCTTCCTTGCGGGTAACTCCCATTGGACTTGAATGGGCTTCCTCTTAGGGATGCCGCTGCAACCCGGGCTTCCTTCAGCCGGGCTTGTTTCCGCCCTTAGCCTTCGTAGGATTGCAAGGGTGCCAGCTGGGATGAGTATTCGGCGAGCCTGGCTTCGTTCCCCAGGCAGCAGAAGAAGGGGGCCAGCCATTCTCGCCCTTGCTGCTCCAACTGAGGGAATAATAATAATAATAATAAATAAATAATTTATTTATACCCCGCCCATCTGGCTGGGCTTCTCCAGCCACTCTGGGTGGCTTCCAACAAAAATAAAAAATACTGTACATTAAAACCCCAGTCCTTAAAAACTTCCCTAAACAGGACTGCCTTCAGTTGTCTTCTAAACGTCAGATATTTATCTCTTTGACATCTGATGGGAGGGCATTCCACAGGGTGGGAGCCGCTACCGAGAAGGCCCTCTGCCTGGTTGCCACAAGTAGAGGAGGGTCCTCTCCGCACCAGCAGAGGAGAGAACATAGAGCCCTGCAGCTGCGCCGCTGAACTCCCAGCAGCCCCAGATGGCAGGCCAGGGCTCAGGAGTTATCTACAGGGAATAAAGATCCTGTGGCCGCCGCTTAGTGTACTGTAGGCAGTACTCACTGGGCATAAGACAATATCCCTGTATGTGCTTTCTCCTTAACCCAGCCTGTGTTGAGATGTGGTGGCATGAAGATCAAAATAAAGCAATTTCCCATTCACAAAGAAATGGAGACTATTGCAAAATTTAAGGCCAGAGATCAGGGATAGAGATGTTGTCGGACTATCAACTCCAACTGGCATGGCCAGTAGTTGTTGGTGATGCCCCTTAGAGAGGGTCACAGGTTATGCATCCCTGCTCTACAGATACAATGCTAGCATGTCTGAAGGAAGGGAAATCTGCTATAAAATCAGTGCTTTTTATCAGGGGTACTCAAGGGTACACAGTACTGAGACATATTTTTCTAGAAAAAAAGCACTGTATACAATGCTAACCTGTTGAGAAGATAGCATGTCTGTTGTCCTGTCCCCAACCTCCGACTCCTGTGTATTATTATTATTTATTATGTTATTATTATTATTATTTATTTTATCTATAGTGTTGGTAGGGGTGTTTATTTTTTCATGTGACCCAAACCTACAGTTTGAATATAACCGTCTGGGCATGGTTTTACTGGCTCATCCGCTGATAAACTCATTGTCATTGGATAGGGCCTATTCAACCTAGAGTGTCCCAAATAAAAAATTGAATTGATTATAAGAAATGGGTTGCTGTACTGTACATGCAACAAAACAGAGGACAAGTCTGCATGGCTGAACAGAGACAATTGCGTATTATAAGAGCATTTGAACTAGTGGTGCAGTTGGTGAAAACAAGTGAAAGAGCAGGCTTTTTCAATATTTTTACATTTTCTCTATCCCTATCTGTTAGGGAAACAGTTAATCATCATAATGGAGTGATAGGAATGTGCTTAGAGTGGCAAGGTATGTGCAGAAATTCTAGAGGTTGAGACTTGTTTGGTCCAAAGGTGGAATTGGGGAGACTTAAGTACATGGGATCCAATTATTATTATAATTAAATTAATAGAGTCAAAAGATTGTGCTTCAGAGCATGGTTTATCTCCTCCAGGATTTTGTTTCTGGCAGAGGCCTCTGGAAATGTATTCGGTGCATAAAGGGCCTTCTCTTCTTCTTTGGTTTCTGCTATTCAGAGGTTTAGTGCCTGTGCTCAGAAAGTCTCCATTTAGCTGTTGCAACTTGCACTTCCTCAAGCCCTGTGAAGTTTCTGTGCCCAGAGCTCAGAAAGTGCTTACAGTAATGAAATTCCCCATCACAAAATGTGCCTAGAACAATGGGAGTTTTGAACACTGTGTTTAAGATTTCAGATTAAAACTGCAGAGTGGAAGGAAAGGAGGACCTTTTTCTGCCTCCCCACTGTCAGCTACTCTCTGAAGACTGGAGAAGTGACCCTCTTAAGAATATCAGGGGTGTGGGCAGGGGAAAGACTAGGCCATGTGAAAAATGAACATAATATTTTAGCTACAGTTCATTCATTTTCAGCTTTGAATTCTTGTTACAAAGAAGCACACCTGGGCATTCCATTGTTGCGCCCATAACCTAGGTTTAAGGTGCCTTTTAGCTCCTAGCTTTCATATCTGTTTCTAACACTGCACACACAGTCAGTAAGTGATCCTGAGGAGAAGATGAGACGCAACACACTTCCTAGAGAAGTTCTCTTTTAGAGCTACTTTTAGATGAGCGATCTGGGAACAGAATGTCAAAAATAACTGTTTTGTTTACTCGTTGCCATTGTCAAAATGCTTTTTTTTTATTTTTACTGGGAATCCCTAAGCTCAGCTAAAGATGTTACAAACTCATCTCTTTAATTATGAATCATAAATTCACTAATACATGGGCTTGCCTTCCTTAGGAAGTCATCTGCCACTACTGTGACACAAACCAGAGCTAGTCATGTTTCATTTATAACCTCTTTCATTTTGGAGAATTCCAAAGTGTGTTGCAACAAAGTGGCACACAGGAAAAAGCTCCTGAATGGAGTGGAGCTGCATTTGTCAATGACTCTGTTAATGGTATAGCAGTGATGTGAGTTTTCCATTTCATATGCTCATTAGTAACAACGAATGGGTATCAACTGCAAACACCGCATTAGGCAAACTCGACAGTTTCAAAGTTTTTGGTTCTGCTTACTAAATACAAGTAAATTAAATAGGCTAAGTTAGATCACTCTAGAGCAGGAGTTGTCAACCTGATTCTGCAGCACAAGCTGAATCCTCCTTCCATCGAGTACTGGTGGGCGGTAAGGAAATTTTACCATCAAGAAAGATGCATTAGTGGGTGGTAGGTATAAAAAGGTTGACCACCCCTGCTCTAGAGCATCAGAAAACTTTCCAGTGCAAATTGCTCCAAGTTGCAGAAGAAAAAATTCTAGAAAATCTTCCAGTTAATATTTCTTCTTCTTGAAAATCCAAATCACTGCTATTTAGCAGTGTCACATAATAGTTGGAGCTAGGACAGAAGAGTTCCAGACAAATTATGTACTCTTCCACCATGTCACCCCCTTCCGTGAATCATGCTTTTTGATAATGACAGCACATTGCCATTGAAATATTAAAAAGATAACGAGCAGTGGATGGGTGGTTCTTGATTTTTCTCTCTCCTCACCATTTCCACCCACTTAGGAAGTTCTCACTGGAGTGGTGGTCATAACAAGTAAGGATGCAGTCCAGCACCAGGGTATTTCCTTAACAATGGAAGGATCTGTCAACCTGCAGCTGAGTGCCAAAAGTGTTGGTGTGTTTGAAGCCTTCTGCAATTCTGTTAAGGTACAAATATGGTTATGGAAATTTTTTTCTAAAACTCTTCTTTATTTTTGTGAAGCCGGCGTATCAAAGGTCATGGTTGGATCAATACCAAAATATGAAGTGTTAAAATACCCAAAAACTTAGCTTGGCTTTCATAGAGTCACCGTCTGTGCAGAGATAAGCAACTTCTTCAGTTTCTAATAGGGAATTTTGAGCTTAGAGCTCTCTGCAAAGAAAGCTTACATTCAATAAGCAATATCATTGTTCTATCTATATGCCTGCAGTAGTCATGCATTTTGAGGTATTCTGAGGGGCTGATACCTGCATTGGAACTGGTGAAGGGCTAAACTACACAGCGATATATGGCTTTTTATCTTTCCTTTTTCTGTAAATAAGATTTGTTTTATACATTTTGAAAATCAACAGTTAAATAATAAAACTGATGATGGGCCACTTGAATTCTTAACCACACTTTCCATGTTTAATTTTCTTTCTTTCCCCCCCTTTTGCAGCCTATTCAGCTTATTAACAGCACTGTAGAAATGGTAAAACCTGGAAAACTGCCCAGTGGTAAAACAGAAATTCCTTTTGAGTTTCCACTGCAAGTGAAGGGGAACAAAGTTCTCTATGAAACCTACCATGGAGTTTTTGTCAACATCCAGGTAAGAGAGGCTTTCAGTTTGGCAGACTTGTGGGGAATGTGCAACCATAGCTATTAATATTTATTATTTGCATTTGTATTTTTCTGCTAAGCCGGTTTAAAATACTGAAACACGTAAGAATTATGATACATGTTAAAAAGAAGAGTTGTATTAATTTTGGCTCCTCGGAACAGATGGCATGAGCTCCTTGGCCAAAGTTTCTCCTCTGCTACATATTGCAAAGCAGACTCCATAAATCTAATTTGTTTTCCTGATAGTTTAATCTGCTTCTTTTCAGATAAAAAAAAATGCCTGTAATAGAGAGAGCACAATAAAGGAGAGTACCTAGTACAAGCTTGTTAGAGTGCTCTTCTGTAGATTCACCTTTTCATTTCCACTTAAATCACATGGGTGATGCTTCTGTACATCTGCACGATGTTTCCAAACTTCTCTCTCTGTGCCAGCCGTCTTTCTTATTTAATGAATTTCCTCTTACCTAGTTTTGGCTCAGGCTTCTTCCAGATAGAACATCTGCTGTGAGCAACAACATGACAGAAGCTGTGCCAATGCATATGCTGAGTTACTTCATACAAAGTTTTAACTGAGAACTGATACAGTCACTGATGCTTAAGCCATTTTTATTAAACTAGAGCAAAGGGAACAATTTCACTGAGGTCAGCGGGAGCTTCGATGGAGGCCTCCGTAGGGCTACTCACTCTTTTTCCTTGTGTAGGGGGGCCAATAAGATATCTAGCTTGTGAAAAGTTTTTTGTTCCTCACTCTTGCAGAACATTTTATTTGTTATTTTGAATAAATTGGCTTTATCATTACTGCATAGGCATGTGAGTTCATGTAGCTTGGTTCAATGATATAAGAAAATATAGTTTAACAGTTGTTAAGATAGTTATTATTTTTAAAAATTTAGTCTGTCACTTGAAAAAACAAAAACAACATTTAGATTTTTCCAGTTATCTTTAATTGAAACCCCCCCCCCCCGTACAAATACATTAAATGCTTAAAAAACACAAAGTTCAGCACTTAATAAGTCGTACTTTATGAGTTTAACTCCCATTAAAATTAATGATATATATAGGTGGTTAGATTTGGAACACTTTCCCTGTTATAGTTGTTAAAAATGAAGCAAAATAAACAGCAAGGGCCCTGTGATTAAAAAAAATTATCATTGGTAATCAAGAGTGCTCTTTGCAGAAATGCTTTCCCTCAAACTACAAGCAGTTCAGATATTTATTCTTAGAACTTGCCTTATTCCTTTACTATAGGGTTTTAATGATGTAAATGAACTTGCTCACCATGGAATTCTTTTTGAGATGAACCATAGAGTCACAGAATTGTACAGTTGGTAGGGACCACAACTAGAGCTGCATTGTAATACAGTGGTACCTCGGTTTTCGAGCGTCTCAGAAGCCAAATGTTTCGGTTTTCAAACGCCAAAAACCCAGAAGTAATTGCTTCCATTTCCGAACGCGCCTCGGGAGTCAAACAGCTTCCGCTGCGTGTTTTTCCATTTTTCCAATTGAACTTGTAGCCATGGTTTTCCAATGTTTCGGAAGTCGAACAGTCTTCCGGAACAGATTACGTTCGAGAACTGAGGTACCACTGTAAGTGGGTATTGCAGCACTTCCTGTGACAAGATAATTTTGCAGAAGATATAAACTGTTTTCAACACAGGTTGTGCATAAAAGTCTAATGGTGAGTTGGAACAAATGTGAAGTCCATTTTTCAGATATTGGGGGGGGGGTTAAAGAGGTATTAATTTGTTTTACTTAAACCTAGATTAATCATCAGAAAGACGTGGCTCTCAAATTACTAATCAACAAAATAACTCGTTAGTAGATTGCATTCTTTTTCCAGTTCCAAGATGGAATAAATGACTGTTTTTCCTTTGCATAGTACACCCTTCGATGTGACATGCGGCGCTCTCTCCTGGCTAAGGATTTGACTAAGACTTGTGAATTTATTGTCCATTCACCAGTAAGTACTTGCCAAAACATGCACTGGTGAATTGGCAGTTATGTAAGGAACCAATAGGGATTTATAGAAGGAAGAATGTGGACCTGAAGTTGGGGGAAATGACAGAAGACGTTGTGTGAATTCTCTATGATTCCAAGAAGGCAGGGGTTTTAATCTGTTACAGAACAGTTAGATCATGACTTGGTTCACACATCACAGTGAGCCAAACTATGGCTTATTGAGGTCACGTGACCATCCTGGCTCCTGGAGAGGAACTTGCACCTGCTTTGCTCTTCCTGGTATTTTTAGTGCAGTCTGAGTGTTGTCCAAACCTAGGATCATGGTTTAGGTTTTTCCTCCTTAGCCATAATCGGTAGCAAAGGTTTGGCTTACCATGTGCACACCATGTCATTATCGTTTATGTTGCGCTCTCCTTTTAATTCTGTACTGAAACTGCATCTTGTTTCTATGCCTGAGGGAAACACTATCCTAGGCTGCCCCATTACTATAATGAGACTTTTCTTCATAGCCACTAGAGATTATGGGAGGGAGACCTCCTCCCTCAAGGCTGATGAGAGCACGTATCAAAGGACTGCCCCACAGATGGCCAGTTGGGATTGCTGGCACATCTTCCACCAAGCAAGAACTACCTTTCCTATAGTCATCCATTCTCGTTCTTGTAATACAGTGGTACCTCGGGTTACATACGCTTCAGGTTACAGACTCCGCTAACCCAGAAATAGTGCTTCAGGTTAAGAACTTTGCTTCAGGATGAGAACAGAAATCGTGCTCCAGCGGCGCAGCAGGAGGCCCAATTAGCTAAAGTGGTGCTTCAGGTTAAGAACGGACCTCTGGAATGGATTAAGTACTTAACCCGAGGTACCACTGTACGTGACTTGAAAATATCTTGGTTCTCGAACAGCTTCGTTGTCGAACAAATCTGCTCCCGATCGGCTTACCTGGAAGTAAGTGTTCTGGTTTGCGATTGTTTTTCAAAAGCTGAACGTCCAACGCAGCTTCCACTTGAGTGCCAATCGGAAGCCGCGCCTTGGTTTTTGAATGGTTTTGGGAGTCAAACGGCCTCCCGGAACGGATTAAGTTCGAGAACCAAGGTACCACTAAATATAACGCCTCAGGCGTCATAAATTGACAAATACTAGACTTACCACTTTGACCCTTCTTTTCATTCTGTTGCAGCCTCAGAAAGGTAAACCAACCCCAAGCCCTGTGGACTTTACTATTACTCCTGAAACTCTACAGAACGTGAAAGAGGTAAGACCCATAGTCCTGTAAGGGATACCGTACTAGTGTGCTTACTGAAAATTTGGTTGTTTAGATGCTGTGTCAAACCATGCATAGGTACCAAGGAGGCCTGTTTGTGTGTGTTCCTGTCCGCCCCCTGCCCCCATATGTACGCTCTGGTTTTTTCCTTCTCACTTCCAATCTAGTGGCAATCCATAGCTGGCCATCACACCTGCCCTGGGTAAACCATTGCACAACAGTCTGTGCAAACCAGCATTGCAATCCCAGTTCTTACCGTGGTTTATCATCTAATGACCATTTGCCCAGTTGAGATGTAATGGCCTGTAGCAAAATCGCCATTTAAAATGTGTTTTTCCTAGAACTGGGTTTGGTTTATTATTTTTAGATGCAGTGTATTTATATGTGGAGTTAGGATTGAGACCATATGCTTGGCGGCTACATAATCCAGTTCCTTTTTTTTTTTTTTTATAAGATATTTATTGGTTTTACAAAAAAGATTCCAAAAAGTACAGAATTACAAAAATTCAACAAACAAAAAACAACAATAACCATGACAGAAAACAAACAGAAATGACAATTTCCATAACCAGAAAAGAAAAAGGAAAAAAAAAAAAACAAAGAAAAAGAAGCAGAAAAATTTAAAAGATATTTATACTTTCATTTAGCCTTCTTATCTTTACCTGGTTCTTTGACTTCCCACATCTCCCGCTTGCACTTCCATTTAAAAACTCCTTTCAGCAAATCCTTACCCTCCTTTCATTATCTTAACTCAAAAACTTAATCTATTTATATATAAATATTTTTACAACCTTATCCATCAAATATTCCATACTCTTAATCACAAAGCTTTTGCCAATACCAGTTATTTTCAATCAGACTTCAATTTAACATTCATTAATTTTATAGTATTTCTGTAGATAGACTTTAAATTTCTTCCAATCTTCTTCCACCGACTCTTCTCCCTGGTCACGGATTCTGCCAGTCATCTCCGCCAGTTCCATATATTCGATTACCTTCATCTGCCATTCTTCCAGAGTGGGTAAATCTTGTGTCTTCCAATACTTTGCGATGAGTATTCTTGCTGCTGCTGTTGCATACATAAAAAAGTTCTGTCTTTCTTTAGCACCAATTGGCCAACAATGCCCAAGAGAAAGGCTTCTGGTTTCTTTAGAAAGGTATACTTAAATACCTTTTTTAACTCATTATATATCCTTTCCCAGAAGGCCTTAATCTTTGGGCACGTCCACCAAATGTGAAAGAATGTACCTTCAGTTTCCTTACATTTCCTACATAATCCAGTTCCTGTCCTTCACGACAAAGCAAATTTGATCGGTCAAGGGTTTTAGAATGTTCAATGGTTCTGTGCTTTTCCATAAAATACCTTTCTTTCCGCACAACTACTCCAGTCCCATCTTCTGCCATCATGCTGTCCCCCTTTTTTAGATAAGAGCTTAAACTACAACATATAAAGGGTTTTCAGTTTAGATGGTAACAATCTCGTAGAGCAGTTATTAATGGCAGTCCCTTTATCGAGGGTCCTTTTAATTTCTTGGTTGCTTGTATTTATTTATTTATTTTTATTTATTAGGTTTATATTCTGCTCTCATCAAAAGAGATCAGGGTAGTTCACAAGATAAAAAAGGCAATATAAAAGCACAAATAAATAGTTAAAACAGAGGCAACGAAACAATAATTGTATGGAATGAAAACACTAGCTTTAATAAACTTAAGTTTCAGTGGAAACAGAATTTTTTCTTTCAGTATTATCTGTGTTTGATGGAAACAGGTCACAGAAAAAGCAGTATTGTGTGGTGTGATTTAGGATTTTAATCCTTGTTTTGCTAAATTAGGAGACTTCTAGTATGAACTTGGATTAAAAGGCAATCATACAGATTTGGCTGGGCAAGTCTACCTTCCTTTGTAACAGACTTAGAGTGACCTAGAGAATATTTCCAGGTTATTTCTTATTTGTAATGTACCTAAAGTGTTGTACAGAGTTTTTGGAAACCGACACAGATCCTGCTTGCAGGCTTAGTTTAATACAAAGGGGAAATTGCAGAACAGAACGGGGAAAATGGCAATTCTTGATTAGATTACCTACCTTCTCCTTTAACTTCTCTTTGCATTTAGAGGGCATTGCTCCCAAAGTTTCTCATAAGAGGCCATCTCAACTCTACAAACTGCATCATAACACAGCCCCTCACAGGGGAACTTGTGGTGGTCAACTCAGATGCTGCGGTTAAGAGTATTGAACTCCAGTTGGTACGAGTGGAAACCTGTGGTACGTCTTTATACGTCTGTGTATAAATGTTCCAGAGAGTTTGGTTTTATGTTTTTAAAGCACGCCAAAGTGTTTTCAACTTAGCCATTAAATTGAAATGGCCCTAGAATAACTGAAAGCTTTGCCAGTAAGCAAGATGAAATACCAGCCATAGTAAAGGTCACGCCACATGTTGGAAAATTCCCAAAGTACTTGTAGTGCACATCTGCATAGGTCATAACATGGGTGTGCATACAACAATTTACATGTGTATTAAAATCTTTAAATTTGTAGGACATTGGTTCTTAATTGGAAGCACCCCATCCCTGGCCAACTGTAGGAATGTTCTAGTACTTGAAGCAGCAAGCATGGTAATATGTTATTTAGCAAAGTTTGGTTTCCTTTTAATGCCACTTTTGCCCTGCTTTTGCCAAGGCTGTGCTGAAGGTTATGCTAGAGATGCCACTGAGATTCAGAATATTCAGATTGCTGACGGAGATGTCTGCAGAAATCTTCCTATTCCAATCTACATGGTATTCCCCAGACTCTTCACCTGCCCCACCTTGGAAACCACAAACTTCAAAGTTGGTAAGGAATAGTTTGACTTATTCCTATTATTCTTCATTTATTGGTTGCATTATATAGATATAGGTCTATCAGCAACTTACAAAAATTAATTTTAGAAGCTAGTAGTCCCAGTGGTTTTAGTGTAGGTCTATTCTGAGTGACTAAGGTTGGATATCACCATAAAAAATTACCTGGAATTGACACATTATATTGGTAATTATCAGCTTATTTTCTGAGGCCAAGAATCTAGCAAGGCAACTTGCCGCCAGCATATTTCTTCCCTAGTTAAGTTGAAGCAATAGTTTGACTTGATTTTCAGTGCTGGCTGTCTGGAACTCCCTGGAAAATGTTGTTTTGATTAAGATAGAGACATACGCAGCACCTAGAAATGCTTGAATATTTTTATGCTGCCTTTCAAGTTACCCAGTTGGAGCTGAATTTTTGAGGTATTACTTGGCACCCAAGGATGTACTGATCTTCTTGTCTCTAATGAGATGCTAATCCAGTCTCTACCTAATCATTATTTCAAACCATTTTGCAAGCTACAAATGTACTACTAAGATTACAGGGACCTGGGCGACAATGCTAATTCCAAGATTGTGTCGTTTGTTCCTCTAGAATTTGAAGTTAATGTCGTCGTCCTCTTGCATGATGATCACCTCATCACGGAGAACTTTCCACTGAAGCTCTGCAGGCTCTGATTAATTAGAACAGTTTCAGGAATACCATTGGGACCAGAAGCCTCCTATCAGTTGGGAATCCAGTGTGTTGGCACTGCGAAAACCAAGCAATGTGATTGCTGCCGTGTATTCTCAAATCCTATGGCGATAGAAGAATGAAGTTTAGGTGTTCTGTACACTTGCAGCTATAAAAGTGCTCTCTCAAGGTTGTTGCCCAACATCAACCAGCTGAATTTTGCCCCGATTCTACTGTGGAGTCGTGTTTATCAGATGTTGAAGAGTTGCCTCTGCTTATGGTGAAACCTTATCACATACAAGACCACTCTCTAGCTGAACTACCCCTTCATCTACTTGATCCTTGTTTGTATTGGTTCTGCTAGCAGGAGATCATAACACGAAGGAGTTTTGTTTGCCAATATGTCATTCCAGTTGAAGCCATTTCCTATCCATGTGAGCGTATGCTCACTGTGCTTACATGTAGTAATGCTATACAAATTTTGAAGAAAATCTACTGTAATCTTCGAAAGAGCTGTGTGGTAGGAATTATATTTACCTAAGGAGCCGACCTGAATTTTTCAAAATTGAATTTTTCAAACTGCTATATAGAAATTCCTGTTTTCACCATCGGCATTTTAAATAAAAACTTTGAGTGAATGCTCCTGGCCATCAACTGCCCGTGGGGGGTATTTTGGCTTGGGTGCAATGGTTTAACATAAATAGCATAGGATTCCTCAGTATTGGGAGCACCAACTATAATGATTAGCTCTCATTTGCCTGCAAGCAGAATGGTATTACACTGCCATCTTCGGACAAGTTTGCCTTTAGAATGAGACGAAATCCACTTGAGTTGAACTAAGGGAAAATTGGGACATAGAAGAGGAGATGGTAGAATAAATATCGTGCTACCTATCCTTGAAAGGTGTCAGCCTACAAGCTTACTAAAGGAATGGAACCACCTGGTGATGTTCATTTTTGCCTAGACCTGATCCCATGTCCTTGCTGCATTGCCTTACCAGGTTCTAAATGTTGTACACCAACCAAATACAGCCCATTCCTGAGTTGTGGCTACTTGCATAAAGTAATGAAATATGTAGTTCATTATCCCAAAGTGCCTGTTTAGTGACAGGAGCTTTGATTTGTTCCTCCAAATATGTCTGTTGCTAAAATGGATGAAGTCCTCTCACATATGCAATGTATGTTAGAAAGCAAACTAAAATTCTGTGGCTTGCTCACAGTGTGTTGTCTTATCTAACAACTTGCGTCTCTACCCAAGTTAGGCGTGCACTGGTCTTCCTGGGAAGTGGTTTCTAGAACCTTATTTTGGAATCTACAGGGAAAACATGCTACAAGGTGCTGATATGTGCCCATTTACTTTTACATACAATTAGCCTACATTTTACATACATTTTTTACAGGTGACGCGGGTGGCGCTGTGGGTAAAACCTCAGCGCCTAGGACTTGCCGATCGTCAGGTCGGCGGTTCGAATCCCCGCGGCAGGGTGCGCTCCCGTTGCTCGGTCCCAGCGCCTGCCAACCTAGCAGTTCGAAAGCACCCCCGGGTGCAAGTAGATAAATAGGGACCGCTTACTAGCGGGAAGGTAAACGGCGTTTCCGCGTGCTGTGCTGGTGCTGGCTTGCCAGAGCAGCTTTGTCACGCTGGCCACGTGACCCGGAAGTGTCTTTGGACAGCGCTGGCCCCCGGCCTCTTAAGCGAGATGGGCGCGCAACCCCAGAGTCGGACACGACTGGCCCGTACGGGCAGGGGTACCTTTACCTTTTACCTTTACATACATACATTGCATGTAGATCATGTTAGCTCAGCCTTTACAGGAGGTGATATTATGGTCAGCTCTCTCAACTTTTTTTTGTCTTTGAGCCTAATAAAAGTGGCACTGGTGCTCTGTTTACAGTTGTACCACTAGCAGCACACCTGCCAGAAGTGGTGATGATAGCCCTGCTCAGTCATTTTGCCCATTACTGCAGCTATTAGGCAGAGTAGGTGGAAATGAGCAATACATTGAAAAATAGGAAGGGCAAAAAACTGATATGGGCAACAATAAAAGGGCCTTCCTTCCTTTTTTTAAAAAAAGAACTGTAGAAAGGGACAGTAACGCTGTGTAGAGAATAAGGCAACTTAAACAGGGCCATGTACACACCAAGGAAAAGACTACTCTGAAACCAACAGCTAAGCTACTGGGGATTCAGAAGAAAAGCTATGTGATAGAACTCTGTCCAAGGGCAAAAAAGGTAGTCAAACTGCAGGCAGGGTAACAGAGCTGAGCATGAGGCAGGCCAAGTGTGTGACCCAGTTCCTCATAAATGAAGGCAGGAACAAACCCAGGCTTCAGAAGTGGCAAGCAGGAGCTGTTGGTCTTACCTGAAATACATTTCTGAGAGATGTTTCAACAGACTCAGGTGGGCTTAGCTCCCCCTAGCGCTCAAAGACAGGAATGCAGACACCACGCAAGAAAAGTTTCAACTCTCATTTCCTTGAAGCTACCTCAAGTTATTGGATAAGGAGCAAAGAAATGCAGGCCACACAAAAAACAGAACATTATATGCAATGCAGACAACAAATAGCTGAACATCTGAATGCAGCAAGGAACCACTAGCCTATGCATGTGAAACGAAGTGTAGGATTACAAAACAAGGTGACAAAACTAATTATGAGTTATGAAAATCCATTTTCTTAAAAGAGGTTTGTCAGACAACTACACAGTTGATATTATTCATTTTTATTGGTTCAGAGGCTGTGATAAATGTGATTACAAAGTTTTGCTTTGAAAGTATGCAGCTATTTCAGTACTGTATTCTGAATGCAGGTAAAATGAGCAAATACTCAGCATCTAGACAACGTATAGAAGGTCTTCAGTTATGAATCAAACATTTAAATGCAACATTTTGAATCGGAAGGAGTGACAAAAAAGAGATCCATGGTTTAGGGTTGGAATTCCCAAACAGCCTTTTTGTTAAATTACAGTGCATTTTCAGCAATCAACTTACAAGCATCTTGTCAGTACAAATGCCTCTTAATATTTGATTATCAGTAAAGGCAGCCCATTATTCATCTAAATAACCCAAAACTGTGGCCAAGGGCTTGCATTCCTTGATGAGAGTTGCTTTTCTGCAACAATTTGGTATTTATTTGCCAAGAGGGGGGAGAGGAAAATGGTGAATTCTTGCTTCATGAGGAGCTTTCTCCGCGGTTGAGTAGAGCAAAGTCATTGTTTTATATTTTGTACCCAGACATTTAATTTGGAAATGTGGGAAGACAGTTCCTGATGTAATTTAAAATAGTTAATATGCAACCTTAATTTTAAAAGCTTTGGTATTCACATGGATTTATTTGTGGCTAATTAAGAACAGTGAGGCTATACAGATATAAAATAAGTGTGGCTATTTTTTAAAAAAATCTAAAGCTAATTCCTTACAACAACCAAACAAGCTAGTTTATTTGCTCACTTTGAAGGAAACTATTATGGACTTTATATGCAAATTTTAAGGAAACCTACTCACAGGTGGTTTGCAAATGCTAGAATGTAATATGAGAAAATAAACTAAATTCAGAGCGGATCTTTCTTTTTCACAAGCAGGAAGATGAGGACTGTTACAGGGTCAGCCTTTCTCACAAAGCGTTACACAAGTTTGTCTGCTTTCTCTTCCACAAGCATGTCTAGGCATCTTTCAAACATGGTTCTTTGGATTCAGTATTCCAAATTTTAGTTTATCTTTGAAGCCAAATATTAGCCAAGAATTATTTTTGAAGGGCAGATTACTAACTTGTTTTTGAAAGCGCTGAATACTAAAGAAAACAAGGTGCTTATGAGTCTACACCTGGAATTTTCAGGCTGTTCTACTGCTCTCATCTGGAAATTAAAAAAACCTCTCTTAGAACCAGTACCAAGCTTTTAATTTGCTGAACTGTACTGCCCACTCTTAACCAGCCTCCTGAATTCACAAGCGTCACAACATTTGGATCCACAGAAGCTAGAAACAGAAACAGATACCTCCTCCTTAAATATATATATTCATGTGTTAAGGGGATAAACATTTGTTAGGCAAATTTTGAAGGCTGCTAACTTTGTTTTGCTGCAATGCAACCAAGGTATTCATTGCTCATGTCTATGAACCAGATTACTACTGCCAATACAATAGAAACAATTGAATAAAATAGCAGAATTTCTAACTGCATCATTGCTTAAAAGTATTTCAGAGGAATTGTTTATTGTATGTAACATACGATACTCTATAAACTGATGACTCCACACAACTTTATCATCATGATTCTGTATGATGTGAATCACATATTCTTGCTAATCTGTATGTAGCATCTAAGTGGTTCTGTTTCGTCCAGGAAGCTCAGGATAATCTTCAGGTAACAAAACATGACGGCGACAGGTCGGGCATGTGCTGTGCTCCTTAATCCATGGACCAATACACTGTATGAAAAAAAGCAAGAATTCAGAAACCTTTCATTTAAAAAGTAGGGCTATGGAAGGTGGGCAACATTTTTTTAAAATGACATTTTTCTACAGTTCTGAGCACTCTAGATTCATGCTATGAAAGGAAGACAAGTGGTAAGCATAACTTTGAAACATTATGGTGCATATAAAAAAGACCTGACTTCAGTTAAAACCAAACTTCTGCAACTAGGCTTTGAATTCAAACATTTTCTAATAATCACTAGTGAACGACCTATGCTAAAAGGCTGACAATTTAATTAGAAGGGCTGTCAACTAATTAAAGAATTCAATACTGATCATTGGCTTTTCGGCAGATTACATCAATGTATGACATTTACACATTAGTCTTTCTGGAAATGTTGGAAGCGGAAGGCAACTCGGAATTCTAATGAAAGCTCCCACTTATTGTCAGACAATATTAAAGACGGCTCTATTAAAGTTTTCTACTACAGGTACACACCAAAGCCCACCAACTGCAACAGCAAATAAAAAAAAATTGGAACATGCAATTTCAACTAAAACGTTTACCTTCTCTATTGTTGATATTTAAGAATGTTGCAATCAAACCACTCAAAGTGCTTGCAAATCAGCATAGCAATTGCTATTAATACTAGTAATAATGTTACTAGTAGTTGTAGACAGTCTTAGTGTACTGACTAGGCAACCTGGGCAACTCTTAATTTCTAAAGCATTTTGTCCTAAGCCATACTGTGGCGCTTCACGGACATGTTCACGTGATTGTAACTGGCTGTATGTTGAGATACAGATACATAAAGTAGCAAAAAGTTACATGAGTGGCCCATTTCAGTCCCCTGAAAGTATGGTGTTTTGAACACATGCCACTACAACCACAAGTGTATGTTATAGAGGTGTTGCTTCTCTAGCATATCCAGGACTGAGGGTGGCTTGAGCTTCACTGCCTCAGTGTGAACTTTGTATTCCTATTTACATGCTCTAGGATTGGGATTTTCAGTCACTGAAAAGTAAATTCCAAAGTAAAACCTTATCTTTCTGTTTAGCCTTTTTGTTTTCTGAAATGTAATTCCAGAATTTTGGCCAACTAAGAGCCAATGCCAATAATACAATCCTTCCAATAGCAAGCAGCAGCCATAAAGGTAAAGGGACCCCTGCCTGTTAGGTCCAGTCGTGGGCGACTCTGGGGTTGCTGCACTCATCTCGCTTTATTGGCCGAGGGAGCCGGCGTACAGCTTCCGGGTCATGTGGCCAGCATGACTAAGCCGCTTCTGGCGAAACCAGAGCAATGGCAATGCCGTTTACTTTTCCGCCAGAGCGGTACCTATTTATCTACTTGCACTTTGACGTGCTTTCGAACTGCTAGGTGGGCAGGAGCTGGGACCGAGGAACAGGAGCTCACCCCGTCGCAAGGGAATCGAACCGCCAACCTTCTGATCGGCAAGCCCTAGGCTCAGTGGTTTACACCACAGCGAACACACTTATTTAGACAAAATGTCCCTGTGTGTGCAGCCTTTGGAGGGCAATCTACAAATTTACAAAGACACGAGCAACAGAACTAATACGAGTTACCTCGCTGGATTTATGGTTCCACTTACCACTTTGTGAAATCTGTGTCCACAGTCTAGCACATGCAACATTTCGGTAGTTAGTTCATCGTGACATATTACACAGGGATCATTATCCTATAGAAACAAATGCATTTATAATAATTTCAAAACTAGTTACAAAGCTACTGTTTTCCTACTGCACAGAGAATGACTAATTCCCATAGCTGGAATATGTGCCTTGCAAGTCCCAAGGATCTCCTCTTAAAGGTGGAAGAATGAAGGTTTCTGTCCCAAACCCCAAAGAGCTGCTGTCAGAAAGAGCACCAAGTACTGGGGAGTAGACAGAACAATTATTTGACTCAGCATAGGATAGGTCCCAAACTGTCCAGTTTAGCAGCTTCCATAATGTTACATTTACTATTCAGATATAATCATTTTGAACCAATTTACAGACACAGGCTATCTCCAACCTTAATTTGGGAAGAGAACACAAAAATCCAGCCTGTTTTAGAGTCGAGAAGTTGGATGTATAACTAGATCCCACGTTCTGTGAGCAAATTCCTATTTAGCAACAAGGTGCACATGACTCCCCAGCTACTACCTGAAAATCTACTCCAGAGTTAGAAATTCTCTGGTGGCATGAAAACAGTATCTGAAAATCGTCTCCTTAACCTCACTTCCATTCACAGAAGCTTCTACTGGATCCAAGCACCTTTCAAGAAAAAAATTATCCTTTTGTTCACAGAAGGGCACCTTTGGATCCAATTCATGTGTAGGCAAACTAAGGCCCGGGGGCCGGATCCGGCCCAATTGCCTTCTAAATCCGGCCTGCGGACGGTCCGGGAATCAGCATGTTTTTACACAAGTAGAATGTGTCCTTTTATTTAAAATGCATCTCTGGGTTATTTGTGGGGCATAGGAATTTGTGTCCCCCCCAAAAAAAAAATAGTCCGGCCCCCCCGCAAGGTCTGAGGGACAGTGGACCGGCCCCCTGCTGAAAAAGTTTGCTGACCCCTGACAATTCATTGCTGACATTTTAAAATTGACTTCATTTGTGAAGCAAGACATTTGGGATAATGATAATCTTTGAGGGTTGATTCCAATGCTGTGTCAGTGGACTTAAGCTGGCACAATGAAACTTCCATTTCCTCTCCCTGAGTGCCCCCCCACAAAAAAATCTGCTCTTGTGGGTCCTCCCAACCCTCCAGAGCTGATTCTGAGGGCATGCAGGGTAAAGTCCCTTACACCAGCAGAACTGCAGCGTTGGATTCAGCCGCCAAACAGGAAGTTTACAAAATATTTTAAGATTGATGAGGAGCTAACATGCCAAAAGGTTTTCCCTGAGAGCTCAGGACATGAGAAGATTTCTATGTACCTTTTGAGGAAGGTTTAATTTCAGTATTCTAAAAGCCAAGGGTACCATATTTGGGAGAGAAGAAAAGTTTTTGGATTTTCAAGAAAATAGATCTTTTTACCAACTCACTCTCTGGCACTTCTCAAGTGTCTTCTACAAAGTTAAAGGCTAAATGCTTGCTTTTAAACATATGCTATGCTAGAGATGGGGGGGACGGGATCAGAGGGTTCTATTCAATGCTACATGAACAGAGTTCCACTCCAGGCAGCAGAACTTCCCCTTCATCTCCTCTCCCATCTTGCTCCCAAAAACTGAATCCCCCAGATTTTGAAGATCTGTAGGTGGAAAGGAGAACATTCTGTTGCACAAGAAGAAGTCTGCTGCACAAGGAGAACAGCAGCAATGGATACAACCTAGTTAAAAGCAAATGTTGCCTAACTACGCATATAAAATTATTCATTGTTTTTACGGTTAACATTGACAATGATACAAAGACCTACAGCGGCATCACTTGATTTCTTCCACTTTGATTTTGATGTTTCTCCAACAGTTTTCCAAGGCGCGTGACTTGATGGAGGTGGGAGAGTCGTCTTCTTTGTTTTTTCATTAGCAAGTTTTGACTTGGAGAGGTTAGACACGCTTCGTCCTGGCGCCTTCAGCAATTTTTGAGTCTGATTTCTGCTCCCTCCAGAAGTGGTGGAATATGCCGCTTCTATTTTCCCCAAAGAAGGGAGAACCTAAAGAGAGATAATGAAATCTGGTAATATCTTAAGAAAATACCAGGGTTGTAGCTCAGTGATCGAGCTCATGCTTCACATGCAAAAAGTCCCAGCATCTCCAGGTAGTTGGTGGAGAGGCCTTGGATGAAATCCTAGGCAGCAGCTGCCAATCAGTGTTTTCAATACTGAGCTAGACTGAGCAACTGTATAAGGCAGCTTCCTATAGCCCTATACTCAGTTCTCCCATCCTAGCAGACCATTTGCAACTCACACCCCTGGTCTCCACCCTCGAACTGCTACTGATCCGATGTCTGGCTGTGGTCGCTTTGGCCAAAACTGGTTCTCCAATCTGACCTAGCTGTGGATCAGTCCAAGGCAAGGACTTCCATAGATGCAGCTCCTCTATTTCGTAACCTAGACAAAGAACAGGAACCTGAACTTCCTTGTACCACAGAGACCCCATGCCCTGACACACACATTATATATATATTTTACCATAATTTGTGTTTTCAGCATTTCAAACATTTCTGGCAACTTACCTTTTTCTTGCTTGGACGATCCAAAATAAATTCTGTTACCCTGTTTAGGAGTTCAGCTGTGCTCCATTTGTTTCTGTTCTTGACTTGGACTTCTTCGATGAAATTTCCAATATCTGATCTGCAGCAGGAGGAAGAAAAGTTATACATTTGTTAGCAGTGTGAATACACAGCGATGTCACAAATAGCCTTTCCCCCCCGATATCTATACTGGTCAGCTAACAACATAGATCTCTGGATGGCTTGCAGAAAGCTTAGGTGCATGTTAGCCCCCTGGAATATCTGACTCGAATATCTGACTCTCTAACAACATATTCTTTGACAAATATGGAGCCAATATCCAGCTATCAATTCATCTCTATCCAAAAGCAACTTGGCAATTTTGCTTCCGACAGTGTTTAGGAAATAGACGGTCAGGGTTCCACTACAAGTTCAAAAGGTTACTATACAGTTCAATGGCATTTTGGAAGAACACTTAATTTCCTTAAAACTGCTTCAGGAAAATGTATGCAGGCGAAACACTCAACACAACAAATGGTCAGCATCAAGCCCTATAGGACTGAAAATATTTGAGCAACAGGGTCATTGAGAAACTGAATCTTATCAGTATCCTGAAGTAAGACTCTGCTCAACTTACACCAACCAGTGGAAAGCAAAGTAAAAATAACTGGGGACTACTCTTCTGTTGATGCCAATGCATAGCTATATGGATGATAAGGCACTGCTGCCAAGTCTGGAGTTTGCCTGTATCAAGACAAAGACCATGATGAAGGACCACAAAGAACAGGTGTGTCTGCTGTTGTCAGATAGTGCTCATGCTAATGGCAAGAAGGGCAGCTGCCATTTTTCTACAAGCTCTTGTTTAACCTAGAAAAAGTGCAGTCAGAAGCAAGCAAATGTGCATTGCTCTGCCACGTTATCTTTTTAGATGGTTATGTGCCAGGATTACAACATTGAAAAGCAGGGACAAGGTAGCAGCTTAAACTAGGAAGGGAAAAAACATACACCAAGAGGTAGTCTCCAGCAGAACTGTGAGGAATCGGTTTAACCAATGGGAAATACCTTGTAAGGTGAGGAAATATAATTATGAGTTCATCAATGACGTCTTCATATAGTTGTGGCAGCGCTGGCCTACTTATAGCATTAGCATGGTCCAGCCCTGCAGCTGCTGCTGCTGGTTCTTCTTGGCTGCTGTGTTGCAGCTGGGTGTCCTGGATAGATCTTCTAGAGATTCCTGGTGACTGGGGTAGGCATATGTAATCAGAAAGTGCCATATCTCTGCAGTCAGGAGGCACTTCTTCCAAGCCTTTATTTGCAAGAGAGTACTTAGAATCTTTCTTGGATATTTTATTTCCCATATGCTTGTTAACTATGGAGTGCAGAGGATTATCATCGTCAGAACTTGAAAAGGTAGCAAACAAATTAGAGGGCAGGTGTGGAGCTGCAGCTGAATACATTACAATGGCTGGATCATTAATGGGAGGCCTCTCATGTGTTACCTGAGGAAAAAAAGAACAGCCCAAATAAGGCGAGGAATATTTTCAAGCATTCTAAAGAATTCAAGCTTCTGCTACTTCCAGGGTGGCTTTATTATTATTATTACAGTGGTACCTCGGTTTTTGAATGTAATCCATTACAGAAGACCGTTCCGACTTCCAAAACGTTCGAAAACCGAGGCACAAAGGGCAGTCTGCAAATTTAATTGAGGAAATTGAGACACTCAGCGGAAGCCGTTCGACTTCCGAGGTGCATTCGAAAATGGAATCATTCACTTCCGGTTTTTTGGTGTTCGAAAACCAAAACGTTCGACTTCCGAGACGTTCAAAAACCAAGGTACCACTGTATTATTATTGCCCCAGCCATTCTGGGCAGCTTCCAACAGATATAAAAACACAATAAAACATCAAACATTAAAAAATTCCCTATAAAGTCTTCACTATCAAATTGCCCATTAAAAATTAAGACAAAAAGATACAGTTTCAGCTTCATCTGCTTTACCTAGGTGGGCACTGCAACACCATTGGGTTTTTGGAAAAGTAAGATTTTAAAGGTGCGATCTGCTCTTCTCACATTATCCCATAGATGCCAAAGTTATAAGCAGAACACTGCCTTGAGATTTTCTGTCAGACTGCCTTTCACTCTCTTCAGAATGAATCACCACCATAACCCTTTTCCTACTTCAACATCCCTGGCCTCTTCAATGAAGGTGCTGCTGAACTGTGGCAGGTGGGCTGAAGATCTGAAAGCAAGAAGATGGGAAGGGGCTTCTTGACTCTCTTCACCACCCTCTGCTCTTCCAAATAGTGTTGGGGTCTCAAGAAACCAGCTCTTTGAGGCTGCACCCTCACCCCAGGAAATGCAACTTCGGAAAGCCACTGAGATGCGGCACTGTGTCTCCTCCACCCCTCACCACATGAATTGTTTTGGTACACATCAATGCACTGGAAAGCTCTCAGGAGCAAGATGGAGGTGCTACAACATATTTTTCAATATGTGCTAGATATAATGTTACTTCATGTTTTAGATGCACCCAATCTATAACGAGAATTTCACGGTGCACTGGCTTTTGACACAAAACAGTTAACAAAGACTTACGGATGAGAGGACACTCGGAGGTTGAAGTTCTGCAATTTCCACTTTGGAGATACTATCTAGAAAGGCACCATTTTTCACCATGTAAATTCTCTCTTCAAACTGCCTCTGCAAAAAGAACAGAGGGGAGATATTTGAAGTGAGCAGTAATGTTTCCCTAGCTAGGCAACTCTTCTTACGGCTCAGCTAAACTTCCAGTGGCTTCAGATAGGATTCTAAAGAAACACTAGTTTGACCTCTTCTATATTCTTATGTAAATAGGACACATTTTTAAAAAGGAAAAGAAGTTATAAAGTCCTTCCTAGGGAGAAATTGATACATATTAGTCCGCATACAGAAATCTGCAAAAGAAGTTAATTCACTTCTATCGAAAAGAGAAAGCTATTAAAACCTTACAATATCTTACAATAATTAATGTAATAGACATACCTCTGCTTTCCTAATTTCATCTTTGGTATTAGAAATAAAGGACTCCCAAGAATTAATTTGTAACTTCAACTGGGGTACTGAAGAGTGGCTGGGAGGGCGGGGAGAGAGAGACACACACAAAATTTTAGTTAGTTCTATGCCATGGTGATAGTTTGAGATTAAGAAGGACTTCCAAGAAAAATAATGCTACCCCAAAATGATATTCCAGTATTTTAATCCATAGAAAAGATTTGATTTTTACTGTCTAGCCAGGACAGCAGTAGTCGATATTCCAGATATATATTCCAGCACCTGGAGTGAACACTGTAACCCAGACTCATCTGAAGTACTAGAGTTTGTAACATTTTAAAGTATGTTTCCTCCAGTTTTTCTCCAGTCTTTTAACCAGAGGCTTCAAAGAATGGCTTTCTCTAGACAATAGCAAAACACAGAGGGGGTCTCCAAATATAAGTACTGAAAGACAAAGTCACAGGGTCCCAAGTGGGAATGAAATTATTATTGTTTAAACATTAACTGTACATAAAATTGTATAGTGTACAATACACAACGTGAATTCTTCAAGTTGTAACTACTGTGTATATATATGTGTGTGTGTGTGTGTGTGTGTGTGTATGTGTGTGTGTGTGTGTATATATATATATATATATATATATATATATATATATGGGGATCCAATTTGATTCTGAAGAAGCACAAAGCAATATATAATCCTGGAGATCATGTCAATTATTTTATCTCTATTGTTTGGAGAACTTCGTTATGTTTATTCAGTGGCTGGTGCTTGGAGAATTTATGTTTTCTAATTTGTAATTTTCCAAAAATACATAAGCTTACATGTATAGCCTGTATTTAAAGAATCCTTATTTTTATATCATTTCCTTGTAACTTGGGTTACTGCAACTTTGTTTTTCTTTTCCAGACAATCCCATTATCATATGTAGGATTGGGTGAACTAATATAATATGTACCAATATAGTGGATCAAAGTCAAATATGGTCCCAACGTACAACCCAAAAAGTTCAATACATGTTACTTTTTTATGCGGTACAGTGGTAACTTGGGTTACAGACGCTTCAGGTTATGCAATTTCGGGTTGCGCACTGCGACGAACCCAGAAGTACCGCAATGGGTTACTTCTAGGTTTCGGCGCTCTTGCATGCACAAAACCGCTAAATTGTGCTTTGCGCATGGACAGAAGCGCTGAATTGCGACCCGCGCATGCGCAGACATAGCACTGCGGGTTGCGAACTCTGCGGGTTGCGAACATGCCTCCCACGGATCACGTTCGCAACCCGAGGTTCCATTGTACAAGTTTTAGTGAGAGAAAAGATGAAGTACTGATGGTACTTCTGAGAGAAATTCAAGCAATCTTATTTAAATGCTTCGTTTGTGGCATACTCATATTCAAAGCCATACCTTGTCATAAACTTCAGATACTTAAGATAAGTTTCCGCATCTGTTGCTATTTTGCCTAATTTATATAATTCGGTGTCCTTCCAGTTTTCAAGCACAGAAACCTAAAAAATAAAATTAACTGAGTTTAGATTTTAAAAATCTAACGGGACGTTACTTTTGTATGGTATTAACCAATTCTAAACATTTCCATTCATTCACCTGCCTGAAATGCTGTCATGTTTAATGGGGTAGCTTCACTTTCCCAGCTACTGGCTGTGTCCTTCCTACTAGGTTATTGTTTTGTTCCTCAACATTAAAAACAATCTTATGCTCTGAGTTTAAAATTCATTTATTTGACCGCAAAGGCACCTTATTCATCTGGCAGCCTAATACGACTAGCAATGATACGAAAGAATCCAGATAATATTGAGGTTATGCAATTTATTGCGGCAAGCCAATAAAACAGCAAAAGGAGGAAATTAAAAATCATAAAAGGACATGAAATTTTATCGTTATCCTTAAAAAAACAACCAGTCACTTCTAGGTACGTGGCAGAAACACTACAGTGGGGAATACAAAACACTATTGTCCACGTGCAAAATTCTGAGCACCACTGGTTATACAGCAAAACTGGAGTCTTTCAGAACAGTCACAGTATTACCGTACTTTTACATCTATAAGACACCTCCATGTATAAGACCCTCCCCCTATTTTGGGGGGCTGAATTTTAAGAAAATGAGGAGAGATGGCCCAAAGTTGTTGAGCCTCTCCCCCCCCCCCATGCAGCTGCGGCCAGGAAACACTCCCTAGATCGTTTCCTATGCACAGAGGCATCGGGGGAAATTGTGCTCCCACAGCCAGCCAGTTGGCAGGAGGGCAACTTCCCCCAATGCCGCTGCATGCGGGAAATGATCCAGGGAGTGTTTCCCTTGCGCAGCAGCATCAGGAGAAGCCGCACTCCTGCCAACCACCAATGCCACTATCCGTGTATTGGATGACTCCAGTTTTTTTACATGATATTTTAGTAAAAAAAAAAAACCTCGTCCAATACATGGGAAAATACGGTAGTTCTTTAAGTGGGAAATTTCTAGGCAAGGATGAAGCGTTACAGCAATCTTCTAATGGTAATCAAAAGTGGGCAGGAATTTGTGGGAAGTACAAGAAAGCAAGGTTGCAACCCAGCACGTTTTTACCTCAGCTGCGATAGCTCGTGCAACACACTCCTGGTGGTCCTCCCGTCTTTTCTTTATAAGCTCCTCCCTTTTTACTTTTTCATTTTCAAATTTATTACTAGGGAGTAAATTCAGAAGGTTACGTATTTATTTTTAAGCAGAGATTTCAATTAAACACAATTGGCTATATTCAACTAACTTTTAACTCCAAGTAGACTCACTGAACTGAAGTTAGTCATATGGCAAGTCCACTGAAATTGATGGACTTAAGTTTATCGATTTCAGTGGGTTGACTGATGGGTTAGTCGGACATCATCCATAAACCAGAAAACAAGGGCAATAAAAATTACAGCCATTATCAACTGAAAACTACATAGCAGCACCTACAAAACTCCAAAGCTCAATATACACTTTAATCAAATGATTGGGTAAATAACAGAGTTTTAAGCTGGCACCAAAACAAAAAGAGAGTCAACACCAGCCATGCCTCAGAGAGGAGGGTGTTCCACAACCAGAGTGACACTGTGGTGAAGGTTGTTAATACAGGCTTAAATTTCAGTTCAACCAAACAAGCACATTTTCTTTAAAAATATTACTGCTACTATTTCAATGGTTTTTCTAAGTCCTAAAACTTCATTTTTCAACCCTCTAAGGCAGCCTTTCTCAACCTGTGGGTCCTCAGATGCTGTTGAACTGCAACTCCCATCACCCCTAGCTAGCAAGGCCAGAGCTCAGGGATGATGGGAGTTGTAGTTCAACATCTGGGGACCCACAGGTTGAGAACCACTGCTCTAAGGTAATGCTAGCATCAAAATGTCACAAGTGGGGGCTTAGGGATAGCAAAGTGCCTATTACCCAATAAATTCATGGTTGGGTTGGACATCCAATTCTTCAGTCTATGCCCTTAACCATTCTGCCGTACCACCTTCATCCTCTCTCAAAATAAGTACATATAAGCATATTCGTAGCTATCTAAGAATCTATGCTGCATATTAGAACAGCAGAGCTTTCACCATTTACCTGGACAGTTTATTCTGCTTTATTAATCCCCATAATATTTGGGTTTATGCAGTAACTAAACTGAAATATCCTTTGCAAAGAGAAGAAACCATGAACTACCAGACATTAACTTCTTGTTCCCACATATCTTTCTGGACTGAATTAGTACTGAGAAATATTTCAGCATATAATTCATTAATATTAAAGTGGCAATACATAAAGGAATTTTAATTGTGACTAATCAAACATAATAGCGTAATATGATTCTTATGCTTTATTATTTCCTTGTGCAATATTCAACAGGGACACACCTTGGCCCAGAGTCATCCCACTCAGCATGCCTTTCACAGCTTGAATGAATTCTGAGCATTCGGACAGAGCGACAGACCCCTAACCCTACCATAGCAGTTTGAGAGAACTTATAGTGTCCAATTAAAAACTGCTTAGCAAAGCAAATTTAAACTTACCTGATCTCAATGAATTCATCCAAATGTAGTTTGTACTGTTTATCCTTCTCATCAATGTTTCTCATGCACCTGTTTCGTTATACAGGCAGGTTATAGGAAAAAGAAGGCTCACGTCAAAATAAGTAAATAAATACACTCATTCAAAACAAAATTAGCTAACTACATTAACCGTACTCAAACCTTCATTTTGTTAGAAGCCCGTTTTCCTTTTCATCCCAAACTACTATTTAAAAGATGGAATATGGTTGTATCCAATGCTGTGCAAACAAACTTTCCCTCACACAGAAAGACTTTTCCTTCCTCCACTGTCTCTGAAGCTGGCTGTGCACTCCCAAAAAACTACTCTGAAATGTAGTACTTCAATCCTTTTGGAGCTGGTTTTGATGGCATGCAAGAGGGAGGAGAGGAAGCGAAAGTCGCATTGTGCATGTGGAAGTCTGTTCTGCTCCTGCAATGGCAGAACTGGATACAACCCAGTGTTTTCTGCATCAAGAGCTGTAATATAAATCTTATAATAGAAGGGAAGACGGAGACCAGGGCAGAGTCTCAAAGAGAAAGCAATTCATGGGTAGGCAGCCTGAATCACTGCTACGCTTTGCCAACTCATAATATAAGGAGCGGGCCTTAAAATGTTCTGACTAGAAAATGACTTAAAAGCAAGCACTCTAGAACTACAGTATGACAACTCTCACTCAGCATTCCAAATAATGGCACTGAAATTAGCCAAATTAATTAATGTCTAATTAAACTTCAGGTACTGATACAAAATACACTGATAGATGAATAGCAGAAAGATCAGACTGATGTAATGTCACAAATCAACAAGCAGCAAGTTTGAGTATTGTGGAGATAGATAGCAGGGTTACACCACATCTTCACAAAGTATCCATATAGTCTCATAATGTTCCAACATCAGTATTCACATGCCTCACTAAACAAGGGTTTGCTGAAGAATACACTAGGTTTCTGTGCTTCCTCATTCTACTCATGCCAGAGAGAAGGCACTAGGAAGCATTTGCTTCTGCTTTTAGTTACGCACAGCTTCCAGTCTCATCTGAACCTGGATAAACTGTGGTTAACCTTAGTTTAAATCAAGGCAGCTCCAGAAACAAGTTTGAAACTTGTTTTAAAATTGCCACAGCCATTGTTGACCACAATTTGTCAGTCAATCCATAGTTAGTCAAAGGCAAAAGGAAAAGCTTCCAAACTCCTTTGCTTGGCCATGCAAGAGTAGAGTTAGGAGTGTGCAAACCGGAGGCTCATTGCAGCTCACTCCTGCTTGTGTATGTTATGGTAAACTGTGGTTTAACACAACATGCAAATGTGGTCAGTTAAGTGCAAGCATTGTAATAAGCAGAATTAAGTCTGAGTAGTATTATTGATACAAGTTTAGATGCGCAAAAATGTAATCACTTACATAACCTCTTCCCTTCATGACCCTCTCCCGCAAACTAGCTTTCACTTTTAGGAAAAACTTACCCTTCATTGGTTTCTGTTAGCTTCCTTATTTTATTCTTTCCCACTTTTAATCCTTCTTGATTTTCCTTCTTCTCCTGTTGCCATCTTTTCATTTCTGTTTCTGCATCTTGATGGAACCAATCCAGCTCTTTTCTAGTGAGCTATAAAATATGGGAGGTGGGAGTCAATGACATAAACATAGCTCCCAAGTCCAACAATATATTTCTTTTGTCATCTGGTTGTACCATTGCTCCGTCTCTCTGATTAGTGCATTTTTATTATTGTTTCTGTTATGTGAAACTTGTTTAAATGTTAAAAAAAACCACAAACATATTTTATAGTGAATATTTCCAAAGGAAGTGAAGGATGTGGTTGGGAAGGCTAGCCATTATCCTGAACACAAAGGACTGATGACCCCTCTCTTAAGTGTATTTAGCCTTTTGTGTACCTGCACCTTTGACTTTTCCTTCCAAAGCAAGTTATTCATTCTGCGCAGCAAAAAGCATTTAGTCACTCCATTTCGCATACGGGGGAGATTCTACTTGGGGGGGGGGGAGCAAATGCCACTAAGCACACGAACACAGTATACTGAGCAAGCCACAGGACTGTACAAACCACAGCCATAACAGGGACAAATATCCCCTTATTTTTAGTGAAAGGCACTTCCATGTGATACTTTTGATCCAAAGGTAGGTAAGTGGAAGGAAAGTAGCCACCAGCACTGTTCTGCAAATATTTTTATGTGGCTACCATAAGTTGTTTCTTCTGGAATCTTATACTTGTGGATGTGGTCCAGTATACCTGAAGGAGCGTCTCCACCCATTGTTCTACCCGGACACTGAGGTCCAGCGCCAAGGGCCTTCTGGTGGTTCCCTCCCTGCGAGAAGTGAGGTTACAGGGAACCAGGCAGAGGGCCTTCTCAGTAGTGGCGCCCTCCCTGTGGAATGCCCTCCCACCAGATGTCAAAGGGGAAAAAAACTAGCAGACTTTTAGAAGACATCTAAAGACAGCTCTGTTTAGGGAAGCTTTTAATATCTGAAGGACTATATTTTGTTGGAAGCCACCCAGAGTAGCTGGGGAAACCCAGCCAGATGGGCGGGGTATAAATAAATTATTATCATTATGATCATCATCATTAAGTGGGTCATCATCTGCATATGTTCAGTACAGTCCATATCTGTCTATTCAGAAGTACATTCCCTTAAACTCAATGGGATTTACTCCCAGGTACACAAGTATAAGATTTGCAGCTTTGCTGCTAGCTGTCCCCAAAATCCTTTAGGGCAGACCTCACATTCACAGAAGGACGTCTTTGGAGCCAACTCACTATGTTTAGGAGTTTAAGTTTCAACTGTACTGATGGCCATTTTTCTTTGATACTATATTCATAAAGATTTATTACCTTGTTTTCTTGAACAAGTTGTAAAATCTCAGCTTCTAATACATTGATTTCTTCTGAGCTTCGATATTTAACCTGCTCATATTTTTCACCTGCTTCTTTAAGCTGCTCTTGTAGAACCTGGTGTTCTTTTTCCATACGTAACATATCTCCCTGAAAAAAGAAGTATGCAGATAAAATTTTAAATGCTACAACAGTGAAGTTATAGTCCGTATATATAAGGCACAGTATAATCACTGTTCTTGTCACCAAAAAATGTTATTGCCTACAAAGTTCTTCAATTTTTCAAAATGTGTGATATGAGAAAAATCATGCCAAGGGAATATGAAATTTCCAACAGAGCTAGCACAGTTTCTTGAGTTATTTCTACAAAGAAGTGCAGGTACATAAGAGCCGCAAAACCAACAGAGATAAAAGTATTTCGTGTAATCTTAGCCACGTTGCAGAAGTTAATACTTAACCAAATTGGAAAATCAACTAAAAGAAACAATAAACTAAGTAATTAAAAAGAGAGAGAAAGAGATGGTACTATCTGTGAGCAAGGCTCACGGATATTTCAGCTTAGAGGTTTACATAATAGCATTTTTCATTTGTTAAAACATATTCTGAAGTATGCTTTTGCTTCCTCACCGGGCCATCTGTGGACATCCACTCATGCACTTACTTGTTGGGTTTCATATGGATGAAAAGGTAAAGTATTGATTCCCACGTCTGCTAGTTCTTGATCTACCTAAAATGCAAAGAGCCAGAAACTGTTTCAATAGAGGTTAAGTTATATCCCAACATTTCACAGACAATGTGTTTCCCATAGATCATTTCTTTGCCCGGTAAATATGTACGCAGTTGTGTTCCCTCAACACCACCACCCAGAAAGCTCTGTAAATTGAGTTATTTGATTTTATAACTTCTGATTGATGCCTAACTGCAAGCCCGCCACCACAAACTGAAGTAGCAAAGGTAATAAAGAAAAGCAGACTCAGCAGGTGAACAAGAGTTTCATAGTCCCTAAATAAAGGTAAAGGGACCCCTGACCATTAGGTCCAGTCGTGGCCGACTCTGGGGTTGCGGCGCTCATCTTGCTTGCAGAGGGAGCCGGCGTACAGCTTCCGGGTCATGTGGCCAGCATGACTAAGCCGTTTCTGGTGAACCAGAGCAGCACACGGAAACACTGTTTACCTTCCCGCCAGAGCGGTACCTATTTATCTACTTGCACTTTGACATGCTTTCGAACTGCTAGGTTGGCAGGAGCAGGGACCGAGAAACGGGAGCTCACCCCATTGCGGGGATTTGAACCGCCAACCTTCTGATCGGCAAGTCCTAGGCTCTGTGGTTTAACCCACAGCGCCACCCATGTCCCAAATACAAACAGCTAATTGTCGGCCAGAACAATAATAGTTTCCTAACAGTTCTTCAAAAGAAATCTGTGAACTTGTCTTCAACCATCCATTTGACGGGAGGGAGGGGAAGGACATTTGTCATGACAAGTCGGTGGAAATGAGCACCTCTCACACACTAGGTCTGTAGAAGTCCACCATAAAGGTTACATACAGTGCCAAGACTAAGGATTATAATGCAGTGTGGGAGAAGGGGGAAGCACAAAAAGCCTATCCTCCAGTCAGGTCTCCCTTTATAGCCTGAGAGCGGCCCAGAAAAGTCTTTCTCCTCTCTGATCCGTCCTTGGTCAGCAGGCATCAGGAAAGGAGGCAGAACTAACAAACCTTAAAGGTCATTAGAACTGGAAGCCAGGTGCCATTCCAGGCACAGAAGGTATCCCCGCTGGAAACTGGCCTTATAGAAACATTGCAGAAATCTGCTCCCTAAATTACACTTGTGTTCTTTAAGCAATATGAGGCTAATAGGGCCAAATGCAAAATGAAGACAAGCAAGTTTGATTTCAGGTCCGCTTTTTTCTAGAAGTTCACTAATCTTAACACACTATTTAACTCCAGTGAAAACCACTTTCCACACATTTTTCATACACAGAATACAGCTGTAGAAAGGGGGGGGGCGGACACATGAGTAATGCCATGGATATCATGTGCTATTTTGTCCATTATCCTGCAGGAAGCTGGCAACAGCTTTTCACATAGCAAAATAGTCATGTGTGTTCTTCACAGATGATAGTATACAGATGCACAAGGGAAACTTGCGATAATGGCATTGCGTCCACCTAATGAACTTAGTTTTGGGTACCATGTTTGAAAGCCACGTCCATGTTGACTCTCAAGTCTAACACAGATATTTTAAAAAACATTAGTAATAGTAATTTATACTGCTTTCCCATGCCTTTTTAAAAGAAGAAACTTCTTTACACATTGAGATGAACATAGCAAACTAGATGCAGATAGCATATTAGAGACAACATGTCTATAATTAAATTCTTTATCAAGCGAACAGGCACTGAAAGAAGCAAACTGATATACCACACCAATGAAACTCACTCCAGAGTTTATACATACAACACAGAAAAACAAAAACACTGTCAGCTCCACAACGAATACTGTGCACAGCTTATTATTCTCACCTGAATAGCAATCATCCTAGAACGGGGTTTGTTTCTTGCTACAGACTTATTATTGGTTTCCATTTTAGTAACAGAGTCACATCCAGCTTCCTTACTATTATTCTCAATGTTATCAGGATTATTTTCACAAGAGCAAACGTCAGACAATGCTGACAGTTGCACCTCATCATTCGCCACAAGAATATCTTCGCCATCCTCGCTTGATATCACTTCTGGGTCAATATCAAGGAAAGCATCTGGATATATATAATTAGATTGCTCCAAAATATCTAGCATTTCAGGAATCGTTGGCAATGTTCTCTCACTCTGATATTCTGACTGAATCTCATTCAGAAATATTGGATGGCTTTGGAGTAAAGCTGAAGGCAAAGAGGCATCTGGCATAGGCAGTGATGCTGCCATCATGTCAGTTACCGGAGTGGAAAGGGAGTATGTGGGAACGAATGGACTAAAAGCGGAATGGCTGGTAGTCATATATTCCAGAGTATCATGGGCTGGAGTATTAGTAGATACTGACACATAAGGATTGTTAATATATGAGGTGGGCTGGAACTCCTTAGCAGCTGGGTTTAAACGTGGTTTGCTGTTTTCTTGACTAGGAAGGCTTGCCGAGAAATTTTCTTCATTTTTAGTCCTTTCTGCAGCTCCGGTGACATCCGCATTTTCCTTCAGCATCACTGAATGTTTCATCAAGCCAATAAGGTCGCCAATCATAACAAAACGTAGAGATTCCAGAAGGAAAGATTTCAGACCACCAGCATCCTCTACTATTTTACGAGTCTCCGCAGGAAAGTGTTCATACTCTCCAACTAATAGTGAATTATCAATTTCCATGGGGCCATGTTCTTCCAAGATTTGAGAAAAATAGCTGTGAAAGCAATCAAAGTCATATCTAAGTTCAAGAGGAAGCTGTGCGATCACAACTCATTTAACAAAAGCTACCAATGTATACATGATAAAAGAGGTTTGAAAACACCTACCGATCTCACGTCAACATTTTATTTTATGTAAACTGATAGAATAATGTTGTCACCCTAAGCACCAAACCGTGTCTTATGATGCTCAAGACCATCATGCCAACTTGCCTCCTCCTCACTGGGGACCAACAGGCATTTTTAAACACCTTTGCCAACTTGAACAAGCAGGAGTCAATGCTTTGGGTGGCAACGATTAAAACTGCATGAGTTTCGGGTGCAAATATGTCAAAGAAAAAGGGACTAGAGACTCAGAGAAGAAACACATGGGAAAGGAAGTGCCCCATCGTATTTCCAATGCCTGTCCCCTAAAAAGTTCACTTCCCACTTTTCTTGCTTTCTTCGGCAGCTAAAAGGTAGAAGTAAATGTCAGGAAACAAAGAGAATTCTGTTAGTGCTGAGTAATCAGTACCCAAGTATAACCATTAGTAATCATAGGAAGATTTCAATGTCTGAAACACATACCGTATTTTTCGCTCTATAACACGCACCCGACCATAACACGCACAGAGTTTTTAGAGGAGGAAAACAAGAAAAAAAATATTCTAAACAAAACAATGGATGTATGATTTTTGTGGTTCATGCTGTGGCCACAGACATGTGATCTGACGGTGAGTTTGGGGTAGCCCAATGCAAAAATCCTGAGGATCCATGTGGATCCATGCTTTGTAAACGTGTTTTTGCACCTCTGCAGGGGCTCTTCTCCCGCTTTGCTGTTTCAAAGCGAGCCACGGAGGAGGGAAGGAAGGGGAACCATGGATCCTCTGCTCACAACTGCAGCAGATACCCTGCCATCCGTAGGCATTCGCTCCATAACACGCACAGACATTTCCCCTTACTTTCTAGGAGGAAAAAAGTGAGTGTTATGGTGCAAAAAATACGGTACTCTTGTTCCTATGCCTTACTGTTAGCACCTATGTGCTCAATCCTCAAACTGCTTTTGAAACCCAGGGGAGTTAAAGATTCCATTTTGGAGCTTGGGTGAGAGCAGACTCGAGAGAAAACTCTAAATCCCAATCCTCCTCCTCTGGGGATGGGGATGATGCCTATATCCAAGGGACCTCAGCTCTACCTTCATTATTTTTTCTGCTTGTTGGAAAATAAAGAAGGAAAAGGAAATGGAAACATACTCATATAAGCTTTCACACGTTGGGTCTGGGTAATTGTCCAAAATTCTCTGGTAACTGCTACCGGAGGAAAAATTATTATACAAAGCTTCAAATATCGCCACCTGCTCATTAAGACCATCTGGGATTCTGAAAGGGTCACGTGGATTCATAAAACTGTTGGGAAGACAAAGAACAGACTTTAAGAAGAGCAAGCTCCTTATGAATGGAAAGCTCCCAACTCACAGTGAACAATAAAAAGCTCAACAGCCGTTTTATTTGTTTTAGGCATAGGCCATAACAATAACAAAGAGACATGCTTTCAAGCGTAAGATGAATATTAAGACAGAATAAAAATAAACTAAGACAATAAAAAAACAACCTCAGCTGTACAATTTACAGTCAATAACAGGAGCACTGGCATAGTCTGGATATTTTGCAGATCAGCTGTAAGGGCAACAGTACATACTTTCTGGGTTATTGCATTAATATCTGTAAATAAATGCTCTACTTGCTATCTGTCTGACCATTAAGTTCAATTCATCCCACCAGGAATTACAATAGGAACATCCCTCTTATGTCATCAGAAATGGAACATGGAGATGTATTAATGTGGGATATTCTCTGTAAAGGCTTCTCAAAAATACAATGGCAGAGATTAACAGGAATATTATAACAATGCTTCTCTAGAACTGCCAGGCAGCATTTGAATCTGGAGTAAAGGATTTCCTCGGGGGGGGGGGGGGAGGACAGAGGTTCAATAAATAGAATTCATCATGTTTAAATATTATCATGGCACATCTTAAACTTGGTTACAAGGCACATTGCGCTTCCAAGTTGTCATGGATTCTGTTCTTAAACTATTTCCAGGGGCATAAGGCTTAATTAATTAGTCCACAGAAAAACCCATATTGCACCTCTCCTATTCTCAGTCACTCGTGTAATCAATAGATGAAGAAAGAATACAAGGGTTTCATTTCTCAAAAGTAACATTTTTCAGGTATCACTGTCTCCCAAGACACCGGAAAAACATTAAGTTTTAACAATGAGGAATTAAGACGTTCACCTCTAATACCCCCAAACTAATAGGGTAACATTCAAGCTGTCTGGTTAGCAATGTTATTGTCTGATTAGTAAATTTTATTTTTCAGTTTTATTTATTTAAATACACTGTAACAATTGCAGTTCAAAGACAATTTCTATAAAATGTCACTGCGTGCTTCAGGTGCCGTAAAAAAAAAAATAGAGACACATGCATAACATTCTCATTGGAGTCAAAGGAATTTAACAGTGTACTAGTGTTCTCAAAGGTAAGTCCCACTGAGTTCAACCAGACATACTTCCAGGTAGGTTAGCTTAGGACTGCAGCCTAAAGGTGTTTTGGCAAGAGCATGCTCCATGCATTTTTTGTGCCAGAACTTACAAGGTGCTTTCTTCTGAAAATATATTGTCTTCCTCTCGAGTTACTGTACCAACTCCACCAGACAGGACTAAAATAGACTAAATCAACAAGGAAAGAATTGAAACTTGTTACATAATGACACGTAAAATTTTAAAACGAAGTAATCCATCTTCAGAATTCAACAGACTCATTTATATAATCCTTCTTCCCTAGTTCACATTTATTCAATGCCCCCCCACCGCCAAAAAATGAGGTTTGGCAGTGATTGTAAGAAAAGTAGATCACAACATTCAACTGTGTCCTCCACTCACAGAAGGTTCTTTGTTACAGTGAAGCTTCTCTTCAAGGAAGGAGGGAGGCCATTTTCACTGCTTCCCTCCTAAACCCCCTCCTCCCACCCACTCCAAATCTGTTCTACGGATAGGAAGACCACTTGGAACAACATGGGAGGTGGCACTGGCATTGGGGGTGCAAGAGAAAGGGGGAATTAGAGAAAACCAGCTCCTCCTCCTTTCTATCCCCAGGAGCCACCTCTGGAGCAGAGAGCCTTTTAGCAGCAGTGGGACACAGATGGATACACACCAAATTTTTTTATTCAAAACTAGAAATACAAAGCAGGAAGAACACTACTCAATCCAGAGTGACTCTTTAAAGCTGCAGCAAACATTTTTCTCCAAATCTACTGTTCTGCTTCTATGCAAAATTATGTTGATAATAGACAGGAACATAAGAAGCCGCCTTATATCACAACAGACTGTTAGGATGAACAGGATCACTACTATCCACATGGACCAGCAGCAGGTCTGCAGGAGTTTTGAGAGGCAACATGACCAGTCCCACCTCCTCCTACTGAGCTATGGCCTTTTCCCCAACTGATTAAAAACTAAGGTGCTGGCGCATGCTGCTCAGAAGTCCCGGTCTCACTCTACCCCGCTTCTGGCCATGCCAGGAGCAACATGCCACAATACCTGCCTTGTTGTTTCATCTGAACCTGGGCCCAAGGTTTGTTTCCTTCCCATCAAACCACAAGGGGTGAACCAAGCTCTGTTCTTGGCTTGCTGGTCATGGCCTAGTTGGAGAGAGGCAAATCACACGCCCAGTTTCAAATGACGTGACAAAGCCAAGGCTTGTGGTTTGCTGCTCCTGGCATGGCCAGGGGCATGGGAGGGGCAAAGTAGGGACATCTAAGCAGAATGCACTACTAGCACACTGCTCATTCGCATTTCAGTTAGCTAAACATCAGCTATGGTCTAACTTGGCATGTGAACCAGGCCTGAGGAAGTCTAGAAAGAGTGAAGGGGAGAAGAAATTGAAGAGAGAACAGTACATAGGCATTTACTAGCTTTGCTTCTTTTGCTGCATTCTACCAGCATGGACTCCTTTAAAGAAATAAAGATATACCTTTGGTTCCTTTGCCTTCTTTCGGTTTCTGTTTTTAACTTTGATAGTATTATTCTAGGCAGAAAAAGAGATGGTTTAGTCGTGACCACCACCAGGAAAAAATATTACCATAACACTGCTTATTTTATTTGCACATTCTATTTCCATTCTTCACCTTCGCTAGCAAGGAAACAAAATCCCTACGTCTGTTTCCTCATTTCTTTTCTACTTTTCCCCTTCAGAGCAACATGACGCCATGTATAACTATTTCAGTAAGAGCTTATCATGATGACAAACACCAAAACTAAATGATCGCTGTGTGGTGGTTCCTCCCCCTTTGAAATGCTCCTCCCTCAGACGTGAGATTGGTGCTATCGCTTTACTTATTTTGGTGCTAAGTGGAAATACATATTGGTTTGCCCAGGTTTTTGCAGGAGTCTGTTGAGCCTACGACGACGTTGCATGCCCTGCTGTGTATGTACGAAGGGTCCCTTAACGGATGCAAGAAGGAGGGTCTGCAGGACAAGCCATGTCAGCAGAGACAGGGATACACGGTGTCTCTAACAAGCTAATAAGCAACATGATAAACACCAGAAATTTGGTGAGTACTCAAGATTCCAGTATCCCGTGACTGGGCTGAAAGGGGTTTGGAACAGGTTTAAGTCTTTCCTTGCCATGTTATCATCCCCACTGCACCTCAGAACACCCCTTTTGGGGGTCTTTCACTAGCGTGAAGTCCCACCAGCTGAGCTGTGGTGAGGGGCACTCCGGCAAATCTCTGGCTCAGCTACGGTGAGACTTGTGCCCAGCTGGCAAAGCCAAAAATCTCCTGAATGAAAAGTTCTCTCATCCCGGCGGACCGTGGGTTTGGACTGCACTGTAACTCTGCAACAAATGTGTGTTATAAAAGCAGCAGTGCAATATAAGGGGAACACTCTACCTAAATATATTAGAAAGGGTTCTGATTGCAATGTATTTGCTTTCATTTCAAGAAAGGAATAAACATAAAAACTTACTGAGGCAGTTGCATTCTCTTCCTTCCTTATTACAGTATACCGATTATCTATTTTTAAAATAAATTTTATTTAAAAAAACAAAACAAAAATCTAAGACAAAAGCACAAAGCTCTAAACAGTTTTGAACAACTGCGCCGTAACTTTAGTAAATAGCCCTGTCCTCTCACGGTTGTGCATATGCTTTAAATCATTATACTATATAGAGATATCTAACCATGTTGGCCAAATAATTACAGTACTTTGATAAGAGGCCTGAGTTCTTACAACAGAGTATATTTTTAGCTGCTTAAAGCCAATGGTTCTGAATCAAAAGAAACTTGCCTATGTCCTGCTGAAATCAGTACAGTCATACCTTGGTTTTCAAATGCCTTGTGACTCGAACATAAAGGTAAAGGGATCCCTGACCATTAGGTCCAGTCGTGACAGACTCTGGGATTGCGGCGCTCATCTCGCTTTGCTGGCTGAGGGAGCTGGCGTACAGCTTCCGGGTCATGTGGCCAGCATGACTAAGCCGCTTCTGGCGAACCAGAGCAGCGCACGGAAACGCCGTTTACCTTCCCGCCGGAGCAAAACGCCGCAAACCCCAAAGTGAGTGTTTCAGTTTGCAAACTTTTTTAGGAAACTGAATGTCCGACACAGCTTCCGCAGCTTCCGATTGGCTGGTTTCTGAACTTTTTCGGAAGTCGAAAGGACTTCCGGAACCGATTCCGTTTGACAACCAAGGTACGACTGTACATGTTTATGACTAAAGTGATACTGAATACATAAACCACCATACACAGCAACCAACTCAGAACCCGCCCCATAAAGAAAGCAGCATCTCCCCACAACTGCAATTAGAAGGATAATGGAACATGGGGTTTCGCATTTCCTTCCCCACGTGGGCTGAACCACCTGCACAGAACCTACAGTTCACCTGGTCTGAATCCTTTCATTGCTGCCCACCACTGTTCCCCTCACAAAATCTAAGAAGTCATTGATAAAGTTAAAGGGATAATAAACTCCCTTTCGTCATCCTAGTATACTTACCCATGTTATCAAAATAGTCATCTAAGTATTGAAGGAGAGATGGAAAATTCTCTCTGTTCTCTTCTAAGAGCCATAAAAAACACCGAAGTTCTATCAACGATAGCTCATCTATCATATCTGGAGATGTGCAGGTGAACTCCCTGCCTAGTTTAATGCCATATTTCTCATTCCACAGCACTGCTATGAAGTCAAGATCAAGCTGTAAGATGCATGTTCCATACTTGGCAAAAAACTGTTTTGTAGCTTTTAAACCTGCAAAAATAAATATAAATTATAACACCCAAAAGTGGATTCACATCACAGAATATATTTTACCTTCTAGGGCAGACATACACAAGGATTTGACCTGCTTACATTTCAAAGAAGCATTTTTTGGGGTAGATCTCCAAGAATTAGACCAACTAGATGGGGGATAGTATAGTGAAAAACTCATTATCTGGAACTTGTTAAAATTACCAGCGCCCACCCCAAAGCTGGGGCAGGGACAACGACACTAGGAGCCATTGCTCTTTGAAATATGTGGGGAGGGAAGCTGTGAATACTTTTGTTGGGTTGTATCCAACAATACCCTTCTGTTCACAGAAAGGTTTCCGATCAAGTGAAGGCATTTGCCATTGGAAAGGAGGAAGCCATTTCACCAATTCCCCTCCTCTCTGAAAATCTGCTCTGGAGGGTTGTGGGACCATCTGGAAGAGCACGGAATGTAGTGTGTGTGCAGGGAAACTCAGAGAAAATCACCTCCCTCTCCTCCCACCAAGTCATTCATAAAGGCCTCTGCCAGATGAAAAGTCCATCTGGATTGAGCCCACTGAGAGCTGGCTAAGGATACAAGTATCCTATCATAAAGTAACCACGAACAAAACTGATCCACGCACCCGTCATAAAGTTGTCTGCCTGAACAGTATGAGAAACTGCAAAGATGCAAAAGCAAAACTAGCGGTGTGCTAAAAGCAGGTATAGGAAAACTTGGCCCTCCAGATGTTTTGGGACTACAACTCCCATCAACCCTGACCGCTGGTCCTGTTAGCTAGGGATGATGGGAGTTGTAGTCCCAAAACATCTGGAGGGCCGAGTTTGCCTATGCCTGGCTAAGAGTGAAGAACAAATGAGCATCTTGGTTTGAACGTCTTCTCAGCAAACAATTCTAAGCAGGAAATGTGCAGTCTAATATATTGAGACTATTTTGAGAATATTAAAGGAGCATAATAAAACTTGGAAATTAGTACAAAAATTAAAAATAAGGAACAAGAAGTGCATTGGAAATGTAATTATTGCTACCCACATCTTGCTTGTAAAAAACTGAAAACAGCAGTGATCAAAACTTTGGAATGTTGTAGGAAATTACAGTGCTGGCCAGCAAGGGCATAAATTTTCCAATTACTTATATCCTTGCTTTTGATACTTAAAGCATAACCTTATGCTTTAACTATAAATATAAACAGAGAGGGATTTGTTGATCAGAATTATTTACAAATCCAGTTCCTAACTTTTATTTTCAGATCAGCTGCAATTGCAGCCAGCTCTCATATCTAATGTGAACAAGCCTAATAGATAAATGCTCAAGAGTTAAAACCCTGTAATGGAACTAAGCCTCAGTTTTATGTTACAGTATAACCACAAATAACTTACTCTTACCATTACTATCAAGATGTTTCATTAAGTCGTGTAGTCTAGGATCCACTTCTTCAAGCTCACTTAAAACATGAACAAAAATTCTTGTCGCCACTCTATTATTTTTGTCAATTACGGAGCTTACAATCTGATCCATTACTTCAACTGAGGTTACACAGTTTGTTGATAACCATGTGTGGTCCGCTTCGCTAATTACCCACCACGAAAACAGTTCATTAAGAAGTTTGAAGCCATCACGTACGCCTCTCCGTATTTTCTCAAAATTCTGCGTAATAAGCTGCAGGACTCTATCCCCAGCAAAATAATTCTTGTGATCAAGGCCACCACTACTCCCTAAGATTAAAAAGCAAAAACAAAACAGTGAATGCCCAGATACATAACAGAAACGCAGGACCCCATGGGGGGGGGGGGGAATCAAGGTATTCTCAATACAGGTACAGTGGTGCCTCGCAAGACGAAATTAATTCGTTCCGCGAATTTTTTCGTCTAGCGAATTTTTCGTCTTGCGAAGCACGAAATCCCATAGGAATGCATTGAAAATCAATTAATGCGTTCCTATGGTCAAAAAAGTCCAAACAAAGCCAAATTTGGTACAACAAGAGTTTATTAAGTGCTCTTTAAAGTCACACATACTGTAAAGAGCATTTCAAAATTCAAACCCAGAAATTTTTAAAAAAAACAGCAGAGTGGCCCAATGGTCACAGAAAATCATAAAAATGCAGGAAAAAAACCACAAGCTTCCAGATTCTTGCAAACCCCTCCCCAACTGTTCCCCCAGCCACCCAGCACACAGAAATTCAAACCCAGAATTTTTTTTAAAAAACAGCAGAGTGGCCCAATGGTCACAGAAAATCAGAAAAATGCAGAAAAAACACACACAAGCTTCCAGATTCTTGCAAACCCCTCCCCAACACCAAGTCCTTGAATTCCAAACACCACAACCCAAAATCCAAAACCCCCCAAAAAAGTTTTAAAAGCTTAACTTACCAAATGGCTGCAAAAGAAGTTTTGGAAAAACTTCAAAAATCACCAAAGTCTTTAAAAACCTCAAAAAAGGCTACTATATACACTGCGTTCTATGAGTTGCTCCTCGAAGTCAAGTCGCAACTTTTTTAACGGTGTTAATAAACAGGAAACAAACTTGCAAGACGTTTTCGTCTTGCGAAGCAAGCCCATAGGGAAATTCGTCTTGCGAAGCAGCTCAAAAAACGGAAAACCCTTTCGTCTAGCGAGTTTTCCGTCTTGCGAGGCATTCTTCTTGCGGAGCACCACTGTATTTACTATCACATACCTTTATCACTGTCATCATTTGATATAGAGTCTGCTGTGTGAAGTACTTCTGCAAAGTTGCCTAGTGACAGTAAAGTGTCTTCTTTCATTAATTTCCTCTTCCGTTTTCTCTCTTGTTTTTTCTGTAGGGTCCTAGAACTGACACAGTCAACTTAAAGTGAAGCCTTTTATTTTTAAAAGCAATTAGACATTTTTCAGTTGAAATGTAAATATTCAAGACTACTGCTCTTTCAGGAAAAATAAGTCTCCTGGCCTGTTAATATATGACAGAAGCTCCCGAAAGAGTCAGCCAGCCTTTCAATGAGCTGCCTGACTGTATCAATCATAGCAGACACATGAAGACGTAATCCGGCGGCAATCCTTATGTGAAGGTCATTATGACACTAAATGCGAACAGGCCTTCAAGTATCCAAATATATATTCAGGATTGTATCCAGTAAGGTCTTTCCAGCAAACAAAAGTCTCCCTTAACCAGAAAACGAGATAGAGACCATTTTGGCCAATTTCCCTTACCCTACGCTGAATATTTCCTGCCTTGGACAACAGGTGGCGATACAAACCCCCATATTCTTCAATGAGACTACCATCTTGTGTCAGCCGCTCTGAAAACGAACTGCTAGTATTATATGACTAGCTAGGAAACTTACCTTGTGCATTCCTGTTTAACAATGGGCCTTGGAGGATTCTTGCTTTTTATTTTATCTTCATACTAAGAGGAGAAAAGAATAACGGGAGCTTCAAAGATTTATTTTCCGTAACAGTGCTTAGAATTGTGGAAAATAAAATAGATACTGTTTTGACATTAGGTCAAAGCAAAGAAACAAAAATGAAATTTATATAGTATGACAACAAATTTGGAAATGTTGAATGCAGGTAATAATAAAGGTTTCTTTTCATCTAATTCCATTTCTAGTATTTATATTATAAAAAATACCAACCAGAAATCAATTCTTACCTCACATTTGATTAGACCAGAGGAGCTGAAGACAGCAATATTAGAAATGAGACCGCTACAATCTGGAGTGAAACATAGCTCTCGAAGGAAGTCCTGTGGGTGTGAGCAGAAAAAGGACTTGTGGGTAGGATTTCGCTACAGAGGCTACAGAAGTAAAGCATTAAACATTTGATGTTACCTTTTCAGTTTTATCTGTATATCTTGCTGCTTTCAACTTCTTCCAACAGCTTACATGAAACTCCACTTTACATTGTTCACAGCAGGTAACACGTATAAAACCCTAAAGTTTGGAGATCATAGATAAGCGAGCACTGTGAGTTCAACAGTAAGGCACCATTTATATTAGGAATATTCAAAACATATTTTGCATAAGCCTCTTAAGAGAAAGTGCACCTAAATTAAAAGTACCTCAAAATCCTTTTCAACAACCTTCATATTACCTTGAAATCTGGGTCGCTAAAATAGATTTTTATTTTCTGCGCTTGGCACGGCTGGTAGCGACAAACTGCATGTGGAGCTGGAGGAAATCTGCATTCTTCAATGTGATCTTGCAATATAACCTATGAAGCAGCAAAGCAAGTTAAATATTGTAGCACCTTCCCTGGAAATTCTGTACTACCAAGTGTGCATGTTTATAAATGCAGTCTCATCGAGCAGAATACTGAATATTCATCATTTCCTCGACTTTCAATTTCTTCCACTTTCTATTGTTTGCCACCCCACAGAATATTAGGCTGCCTGTTAGGTAGGAAGGAATTCAACCCATCTGTATGAGGCCAGGCTTTCAAAGTTGACTACAGTGATGTGAGATGAAGTCACGCAGTACTGCTCATAGATTCACAGAATCATAGCGTTGGAAGGGATCCCATGGGGCTTCGACTCCAACCCCCTGCAATGCAGGAATCACAGCTAAAACATCTCTGGCAGATGGCCACCCAAGCTCTGCTGATAAACCTCTAACGAAGGTTTCCAAAGTAGTCCATTCCGCTGCCAAACTACAAACAAAGCAAATGGGTTTATTGCTCTTTAATTTTGTTCTGAGGAAGGGGCAATCTCAGTGATGAAGGTACAAATAAGTGAATGGTAATTGACCTAAATACAACTTCTGATGCCAGTACAATTCAGCTGATTAACCGAGGTATTCTACAAAGATCCCATATTCAGCGCAGCTGGCAAGTCACTCAAAAGACTTCCTTGCCATTCAGGGACCCTTAGCAGGTATTTAGATCCCCAATTGCTAAGGGCAATCCTTATACTGGAAAGGATGGACAGAGTCACACATTCAAGTACGCTCACCTCCACTGAAGATGAATGCAAGATTCTCTGCTTTACCAATTTTTTCCTTGCTGTAGTCCTCAGAATATAGACAGAACTTATCTTGGACAGCCACCACACAAATGATATACAATCTGGGTTTTGTTTTGTTTAGCTTTACAGGGTAACAATCTTACTTACTTGAAATTTTTCTGTTCTTGTCTCTTCAATAACTATGGAAGTTGTAGGCCATGTCAATACACCAGGCATAATCTTATGACTAATCATGGTCTTTGATTTCAAAAACTGGTCCAGAGCTTCTGAAAACCTATCGTGTACGCCAAAAGACTCAACGTCACATGCTATATCCAAGCGTCCCTAGTGTCAGTGTGTTTCGTGTTTAGGAATCTAATAAACGATGAGTGTCATTCCTCTCCCCAGGACCCCAAACACAATATTAAAATGGGAAGTAATTGTGGCTGGTTTAATTTTTAGTTCTGGCTATTTATTTATTTTATATACCGCCCTATACCCAGAGGTCTCAGGGCGGTTCACAGAAAAGATCACCATATATAAAATCAGAGTAAGAACAATAACCCAATTAACACTCCCCTCAAAAAACAGCCCCATTTTAAAAGGGTATAGGATGTCAATCAGGTCAACTTGATTGGTTAAAAAGGAACATTTTTGCCTGGCGCCTAATGAAGGCACCAGGTGAACTTCCCTGGGGAGAGCATTCCACAGATGGGGAGCCACTGCAGAGAAGGCCCGTTCTCGTGTTGCCACCCTCTGGACCTCTCAAGGAGGAGGAACACAAAGAAGGGCCTCAGAAGATGATCTCAGGGTTCAGGTAGGTTTATATGCCTTTCTAACAGGAGGTAAACGTCAACTCTGGATTCCATAGTCCTTTTGAAAATGAAGAGGCAGCTCAAGTCAAGCATGCTCACTCTCCCCTCACCTTGACACAGTAGTGCAGCAGGGAGGGCTGCCGCGATTGTTTACTCATCTTGCTTGCTTCCTGATCACTTTTGGCAACGGCTCCTTTCCCTAGAACAGGGGTGGCCAACTCCCAAGAGACTGCGATCTACTCTGTGTTAAAATCTGGCAGTGATCTACCCCCTTTTGGGGGCTTCAGGTCTACCTGTTGGATGTGCCTGCCCTAGACCAAAAGGGCAGACTTCCCTCTTCTCCCAGGCAGCTTCTCACAAGTTATTAGAGGGAGTAAAATCGCATTTGCTAGGGGGAAAAGAGACACTGAGGGGAAGCGGAAAGCAGTGGCTTAGAATCCCTCCTTGTCAGAAAAGCAAGCCATGGGGGAGTCTTCTCCACCCCATGCTACTTTAACTGCATGCTGTAAGTCAAACTCCTCAACCAGGGGTCAATACAGAGGGAGGTTTGATTATGAGTGACCCCTACAGCTTAAACAGCACCAAGCCATTAAGCAAAACTGTTGACTATTACATTTCTTTCCAATCTGATCAAAGGCCACAGGCATATTTTTAACTCTCTCACTAAACATATATTTCATCTCAAATAAGCCTGCCTTTCTGGAGAGTGGTATTAGCTGACAACTGAATAGGTAAATAAAATTTCTAAATTCCTCCCTAAGAGTTCACACATATGATACAAAAGTTTTGTCCTCTTTGGTCTTCCGCTCTGACTAGTCTTCTCTAGTGCGATCAGAGTTAATGCGAAATGGACAAATTCAAGAAGTGCAAGAACTGTCCTCAGACAAGGTATTTAAGTGATCAGGTTTTTAAAGAACAAATGAGCTCAATTTCTAAAATCAACATATTATACTCACCTATTTTGTCTCAAATATACTTTTCCAATTCCATAATGTGCTAAGCAATCAAATCTCACTTTCTCATACTTCTCAATTATGTTATTGAAATGGTCTTTGGCTTTGGTTAGTTCCTTTGAAAACAAATGAAACGGTTTGATAATAATTTCAAACACAATCAAAACAGCAAAAGGCAAAAGAAATATAAAGCAAAAATAGTTACAGCACACGATGGAGATTTCAAGACTTCTTGGGATAGCATGTTAAATGATTACCATAAAGGTAAAGTCATTTTAAAATAACTGAGGTTGAGAATTTTGAGAATGACATCTGATGCCTTCGTAGATACGGTAAATCAGACCATTTTTGTTTTCAATACATGCAGTATACCACAAAGGCTACTAATACCACAAGGATACAAAAGGCTTCCGAAGTAAAATAAACTAATACATTTGCCTTCTATGACTGCATTTCAGCAAAAAATATAGGCACCTATGGGACAGAACTATGCATGATTGAAAGTTTTTCTTGGAAATTTCCACCATAGTGACGTGAACTGCAGAAGTAGGCTACTTTTAGATTTTGAAATTTAAATGTGGACTTCCCTAGTGCATGATAAAAATGTTACATAATCTCTGTCTCATGTCAGGATAGCAGTCATTAAGTTTCCGGACTCCTTGCCTACAGGTCCTTGGATTCTTGAGTTTCGTACTCTGTTTTAAATAAAACAATATCCCCATGACTGCACACAACTCACTGAACATATGGATGAAATATTTGTTCAAACTGAAGAAGATTATTTATACAATACATTTGTTCAACTTCATGATTTCAAGTTTTGTTACAAATAAAAAAGATGGCATTTCCCTGCAAACAGTTTAGATGGGAACAAGTTATTAGTTCCTGTGCTAGCTAAGTCAGCAGCCACCCACTGTTCTAGGAAGACATTGGCAGGAGGGCCCTGGCCAACACGTAATAGCTTGAATCTTACCTCAGGCTGCCCTATTCCAAGGAGAGCAGTAGCATAGCCATAGAGGATGACGACATAATCAACAATAGCAAACTTCAATGGCTGCATCAAGTTTAAAAAATAATAATAAAGAGAAGACAAGAAAAAATGATTTGTCATTAAAAATCACATCCTCAAGTTAACAAAACTTGACAGAAAGAATTGTATCCATTGGAACCTGTACTTTATATATATTCAGTTTCTGTCTGCTCAACTGCATCTGATCCCTATCCTTGACAAGATTACTTTGTTCATAAATCTTTAACCCAACATTTAACCCAACATTTTGCAAACACCTAGGGTGATATACAACCAGGTCGTACTAAAGAGTAGACTGAAATCAATGGAGTTAAGTAACTGCCCACTGATTTCAATTAGTTTATGCTGATTACTTCTAATGTTGGATGCCACCCTTAGCCTTACAGAGAACTGAATCGTAGAAATAAGTTACTTTGCCTTTATAATTTACTATGACACAGAAATTAGAAAGACAGTTTCCCTTTGTCTACACAAAATGCACAAAACCTGGAAGATGGATTTCAGAGTCACTGAAAAACCATTTTGCATATTTCCTGTTCTGTTTTCCAGAAATTTCAATTACTTAGCACAATATAATAGTGGATGTACTTAATAAAACTAACCTTTACCCTTTTCTTAGGAATGCTTAAAAGAACCGTAAACATATACAGAAGGTAAAACTTATCTTGAGCCGACCATGGCATTCTCCCTATTACCTTTAGGTTGGATGGATCTAGAACACTTAACAATCGTGCAAAGGATTGTTCAGCATTGTGAAAGCGCTGATCCATCAATGATGTACATGCATCTTCTACAGTACTCTTCAACGACAGTGTTATTGTCCCCTGCAGAAATCAACAAGGGACAAATGTTGTCTTTGTTTCCTTTATCAAAACATTATGCTTATCAGACCAGTAATACATGTTGTTTCAATTTAATATTTCACATTTTTATTTCTTACTCAAATGTTAATTCTGTAGCAATCTTAGGGAGCTAAAATGGCACACAAACTGTAACACAAACAAACCCAGGAGACCTTGAGAATATTCAAATAATCCCTACAAAATATGTACTATGCCAAGCTGGCAACATAGATAAAAGTCAAGGGGGGACGGGGACAGAAACAGGTCACTCCCATGATCTGATTATTCTGTTTATAAGGACCCACTTGCCCCTTTCCTCCAGGAATAAGAGCAGGGCCAGGATGCCACTGTCCACTAAGAAGGAAGAACTTTCATGACAAATTCAATGTTTCTTACCCCTGCTCCCATTTCAGACAAACCCACCCTGTTCCTTACAGAAAGAACTGTACAATCGTTAGCATATAGCTCTCTATCATCTCAATTTGGATTGCAGTCTGGTCTGAAGACTACTACGAACATAACATGCAATTAAGAGTGGGTAAAGACTTATGCAGCTGGCATAATGTATTGTGGTCTTCACCTGGACTTCAGGCTAGGAAGAGATCCCAGCTGAGACTAGGAAACCTGCCAACAAGGGCTTGTGTCCAATGCTGCACCCGTGGGGTTCCGCTGGCACAAAAGGACTTCCTCTCCTTCCTCCACGTGCCCCCAAAATATATTCCAGTGTCCCTGAACCCCCCAGAGCTGATTTTGAGCACACCCAGGGGACAGAAGAAAGCTCCACTGCAGGCATGGATGTATAGCACACCAGTGGAGCTGCAGTGTTAGATACAGTCCACAATTTTAAAAAAGTACTTGCTGCTGTGTTTCACTTGTGCATGTGAAGGCAACACTACGAACAGAATCCCATAACGAAAAACTGCCTGGTTTTAAATATTCAGTGGAGGCTGCTGCTGTATAATGTTCTTACATGCCTTTCACCAACCATATGTAAACAGCATTCCTGACATTCAGTAAATTCTTAAATTTGCAATGCCATGCTTTTTACATATCTGTTACCTGTCGCACAGTACTACAGGGAGCTTTCTGTTTGTCCAGACATTTCTGAGAATCAGTTTTTGAATTCAGCTCATCTCTGGAATTAAAAAATACAGTTACTTTTGTCAATAACTCAAATGCACACACATTTCATGCTCTAAAAAAACAACAACCCACAACCTGGGAAACTTGTCCCTGGGAAACAGGGATTGTCCCCAACCTCTCATGTGCACCAGGGACCAGTGTCCTGGTGACGTCCCCCTCCCCCAGCTATCACGGCCAATTAAAAAAAGTGGACACCCAGGTATGAAAGCTACAATAAATAAAGGTGTTAAGGTGAAACCCCAAAAACATTTCAAAGGGAAGTTTTGAATCTGAAAGTATTTCCACTATTATAATGCAAGAGAAACTATACCTTGTCTTTTCAAAGTCACTCATTTTGCTCCTGGATTTTCCTGGATTTTCCCTCAGCCCTGTCATGAGGGGGAGGGGGAAAAATCATTTTGAACCTGGTTATTTTCCTCAAAAAGAACCACACACTCTGCATCAAAAATTTCAAGGAACTGTACAAAGAAGCTGAAAATTTGACAGGGCTGAAAAAAGCAACATGCTAACGCTTAGAAACTGATTGTTATGTGCCAACACTGTACAAAGCTGACTGAGAATTCTGATGTCTTTATCCTGGTCTATGCAATAATTTTCAAGCTTCACTCAGAGAAAAAAAGATGCAAGGATTGCTGAACAGAAATGGAATAAATTGTGTGTGGAGGCACCAGGTACGGAGGGCAGCAGGGAACAGTGTGCGGAGGCCCTTATCCAGTCGCTGTAGCAACACCAGAGCCACTCCAATATGATGGAGCAACATTATGGCACGGTGCGTGCCGACGTTCAACACCCACATTGGGGGACCCAAGTCGGCGCCTCTGCCTGACACACTAATGTTTTGGGGTATCCATACCATGGACCACATATGGTCTAACTTATTTTAACTTACCTGGCGAAATATCTGAAAGACGATCTTTGTTTTCTTTAGTTAAGGTATTAGCTGCTACCTGTAAAAAGATTTTAAAATGAGTATTTCCTCCCACTGAACCAGAAAGGGGCATGTTGCTAAAACCACCCACCTGAATAGATTTCCTTGATATGAAGTGTTGTGTGTGTTCACCCATGGAAATGGAAGAGCTCAAATGCTTCTACCGGGAAGGCATCTTAGGCCGTGAGTTTCAAATCTCCTTAACTGTCTAACTGTGCTCAGAGCAGGCTGGCAATGTTATAATACTTGCTAAATCAGATGCGCAGTTACAAATGGCAAAGGTCCTTGGGGAAGAATGCAAAGCATCTCTGTGTACTCTTAACTGAAGCCCAACACACCCAACTTGCATAATGCAACTTAGGAGGAAGCTATACCGCCTAACCTAAGGACTGGAAGGCAGGTTTAGCCATCGCTGCCTATGCGTGTGCAACAGGAATGCTTCACTTTTCCCCAGCAAGAGTGAATTCCCAACCAACCCACTTACATGAAGTTAAGTAAATGGATGCATTCAGGAAGCTGCTAGGGTAGGGCTAAAATGTTCACAACCCCTGGTGATCCTTGTGTTCAAGATAGGGAGAGGGTAGATTTTGCTGCCTCTTAACCTGGCTCTATAGAAAAGGATGGGAACTTCAAAGCTTCAACTCTGTTCATGTATATCCCCATTTTTGGACTATTTTTCCTGATCACACAGTGAAAAGGGGTGTGATATATCAGCACCTATGCTTCAATCTACCTATTGCTATTTACCAAATTTTATGCGGGTGGCGCTGTGGGTTAAACCACAGAGCCTAGGACTTGCCGATCAGAAGGTCGGCGGTTCGAATCCCTGTGACGGGGTGAGCTCCCGTTGCTCGGTCCCTGCTCCTGCCAACCTAGCAGTTCGAAAGCATGTCAAAGTGCAAGTAGATAAATAGGTACCGCTCTGCTCTGGTTCACCAGAAGCGGCTTAGTCATGCTAGCCACATGACCCGGAAGCTGTACGCCGGCTCCCTCGGCCAATCAAGCGAGATGAGCGCTGCAACCCCAGAGTCGGTCACGACTGGACCTAATGGTCAGGGGTCCCTTTACCCTTTACATTGATGCAGGTTATTAATTATTCCTACACAGTGGTACCTCGGAAGTCAAATTGAATCCATTCCGGAAGTCCGTTCAACTTCCAAAACGTTCGGAAATCAAGGCGCGGGCTCCAATTGGCTACACAGGAAGCTCCTGCAGCCAATCGGAAGCTGTGGAAGTCGAGTCAGATGTTTGGGTTCCAAAAAACGTCCACAAACCAGAACACTCACTTTCGGGTTTGCGGCGTTTGGGAGCCAAAACGTTCGACTCGCAAGGTGTTCGGGATCCAAGGTACGACTGTACGCTAAGAATCTTGGGTTAAGCAGGGCAGAGAGATTGGAATCAATGACCTTCCCAGTTACAGTATCATCACCTTTAAAGCCCTAAACGGCCTCGGTCCTGTATACCTGAAGGAGCGTCTCCACCCCCATCATTCAGCCCGGACACTGAGATCCAGCGCTGAGGGACTTCTGGCGGTTCCCTCATTGCAAGAAGTAAGATTACAGGGAACCAGACAGAGGGCCTTCTCGGTAGTGGCGCCTGCCCTGTGGAACATCCTCCCAGCAAAGGTCAAGGCAATAAACAACTATTTTACTTTTAAAAGAAAACTGAAGGAAGCCCTCTTTAGGGAAGTTTTTAATGTCTGATGCTGTACTGTTTTTAATATTCAGTTGGAAGCAGCCCAGAGTGGCTGGGGAAACCCAGCCAGATGGGCGGGGTATAAATAATAAAGTATTATTATTATTATTATTATTATTATTATCTGCTGTCTGCCAATCAATTGAGATTAGGGCCAGTTCATCCTGTTCCATGCCCACTCCAGGTACTAGCAAAAGAAACTGCATTTCAAATGCAGAATGTGATCGCTTTTATCAAATTTCACAACAGAATGAATCCATCCATTCCTCCTTTCCTGACCCGACTGAGATTAAGAAGGCATTTGAAAAGGTTCTTTCTGTGCAGCTGCACCTGCCTGGTTCATAAAAACCTTAATACAAGAGCTGCTGTAGCATAGTAAACAAGAGAAAGAGCTAAAATGCAATGCCCCACTTGACTCTCACCTGTGGGATCTCAGGCAATCCATTCTCCCTCAGCCCACCCACCATCTCCATCTGAGGAACAGGGATAATAAATAACAACCTCTATAACAAAGTTGTAATAATTACAAAATAATGTACATGGAGTGCTCTGAACATCTAAAAGCGCTATATAAATGGCTTATATGCTCCTTTTTTTCAGCAGCTGGCAGGAAGGTGACTAGCTGCAGCTCCACTACTCTTAAGATGTTCTTGGTGAACAAAACAGAACCTGCCCCAACTCTTGCCCCAAACAGAGAGCTGAGGGGCTCAGATATTATCAGTTGCGGCTGCAGTTTATGCGGAACCAAGCTTCCCTGCTGCTGATTGGCAGGAAGCAGCCATATGTCTACTGTTCTTAAAGAAGAAGCCTCTCAATTTGAACAGGAAGTAAGTTTTCGAGTTATTACTTGCTCAAAACCCAGTTAGCATCCTAAAGGCTGCCAAACAAAAACCCAACGTAATTGTTTAATACCTGTTTTTTCTTGCTTTTGCCAAAATTTCCTCCCATTGAAAAGGAGCACCGCTGTAATTTAACTCTGCATACGCACTTTGCCAATCTTCAAGTCTACAGCCTTCTCTTTAGTTTCATTTCTCTGAACGGCTAAATGACTCACTTTCTCCTCCCAGCTCCACCCTTAATTTCTTTTGTATGCGTTGTCACAGGTTCAGCTAACTGTGCTGAGCCAACAGTCTCTCATCTAGAACAGCCGTCATCCCTCTACTACTTATTTGCACAATGGCAGGTAAAGAGGATGGACAGGTTAAGCACTCTCAAAGTAACGTGAAGGGCCTGCAACCCTATCCTCTTGATGTCAAGGGACTAAGTAAATTCATGAGTCCCATCCACAGAATTATAGCTAGGTAATATGGTATCAACTAGATAAGATGCACTGGCAGTTTATGAATCACCAAGACCAAAAGCCCTACGTCAGGGGTCAGCAAACTTTTTCAGCAGGGGGCCGGTCCACTGTCCCTTAGACCTTGTGGGGGGCCACACTATATTGGGGGGGGGGGAAATGAACGAATTCCTTGTTACGATATAGAAGCAATGCAGCTGCAAACTGCTAGCTTGAAAAGTAAACATGATGGGAATGTTGGGACTGTCCGTGGGAAACAGAGGGACAGTCAATTCTCAGTGCGAAGCACCGGAATTAGCTCAGAGTGTAATATGAGCTCTTCCTATTGTTCCTGTACAGGAAGTGTTTGTCTCTCGACTGCTGGAGCTCGAAGAGAGCAGTCATGTTTTTTGTAATGCTGCAAAGACAGAAATAAAGGCATGTGAATACATTTCTGTCTATCTCTTTCCCCTGCCCGGGGGGGCAGGAAAGAGGGTGTGTGTTCTTCTCACGCTGAGTAGAATCGCCTATCGCGACCTAGCCCTGGATCTTGCTGGGGAATGCAGACAGGGAGGTCAAAAGGAGATCAAGCCGGGTGCCTGGAGAGTTGCCAGTTACTACTGATATAGGCTTGAATTCCGACATCCCTATGCCCCACAAATGACCCAGAGATGCATTTTAAATAAAAGGACACATTCTACTCATGTAAAAACACGCTGATTCCCGGACCGTCCGCGGGCCGGATTGAGAAGGCAAATGGGCCGGATCCGGCCCCCGGGCCTTAGTTTGCCTACCCATGCCCTACATGAACCTTCTCCAAAGATGCTCAGCTAGAGCTAATTCTGTTGGACTTTCAGCACCAGATGAAGACATTTCAATTCTCCCAGGATTTTTATATATTTTATTTTCAGATGTTTTTACTACTGTCTTGCTGTTCTTATGGCTGCTTTTACTGGTACCTTGTTGCTTTTATTTTTGTCTTACTGCTATTTTCACTGGGGATGGGAATTAAGCCTGAATTTAAACTTGTTTTATTATAACATGAGCCACCTTGGAAGCTGCTGAAAGATAGCCAAAAAAACTTAATAATTGGAAAGGTTACTTAACAGAAACAAAAAGGACTGCAAGGCAGATAAGGAAAAAGATACAAAAATAGCAGGTTGTTGTTTTTGTTTTTATTCCCTACTCACCCTTTACCATAAGGTCCCAAGGCAGGGTTCAACAACGTAACAATGCAACATTAAACCGTTTATGACTTTGCTAAGCCAGGACAAAATTATTAAGAATAACAGGAAATCTTAATTAGAAATGTGGGTAGAAAATTACTCTTGAAGAGCAAGACACAAAACTCCCCTTCAAACAATGACTACATTTAATTGTAGGAGGAAAACATAGTTTGGCATTAAGAGTAAGCAGGTATTAAAAGTAAGCCTGAAGCTTGCCTTAGCCTTCCTCCCCTTCTCCTGCAAGCAAAGGGAAGGATTTCTGTTACTGGCTAGCAGGAAACATTATTTACTGCACTTGGACAAAATTGCAAACTCTCTCGTATCCAACAGCATGTCAAATAAATAACAAAAATGGAATTTGTATTATATTTGCTATTGTGACCTTCTAACTGGTGCTGGAATCCAGGAGATCTCGCCCTATGTATTGCTTCACAATCAACCAATATGGATGAGCCTGTGCTATTACATTATGCTCTCCAGCTATCTGAGCTTTGAAATGTTTCAAATTCCCAGATTAAGACACTTGCTTTCTATCTCATAGAGAAATACTATTTTTGCCCAGTAGCAACCACTCTTGCTTCTAAAATATTCCTAGTTATAGCTGATCCTAAGCATATTTATTTGAAAGCAAGACTGGCTTTGTTCAATGGAACTATTTTCATGATTTAAAAAGTGCTATGTTTAAAAGGTTTGTTGCCTTTTTCAGTCACATTCACAGATCTTCTTATAACAGGCCAAGTAGCTAGTTGCTTGCCAAGTTCAAATAACTTTAAAGTGAGATAAATTAATACAAAGCCAGGCTATATCACTGCCAACAAAAAGTTAAAGCGACAGCAGAGTCAGGGTTGGCAAGATATGGAGCAGGAACCTAAGAACCCTGAAAATTATATTCATGTTTAAGGAAATTTCTGACAGCATTGTCTTCCAGACAGCAGCTCTCAGTAGCATTTGCATTTAAAAACAAGCAAACGAAAACAACTTACCTTTGTATGCCTCTGTTTACCAAGATTGTTGTCAGGCTGCGTTTTCTTTTCATTGTCAGACTTCTTTGATTCCTGGGCACTGACTGAAGGAGATTCTGTAGAACTAAACCAATAATTCAAAATAAAACACACATTGCTTGTGGAGGAGGGGGGTTTTAGGATCTGGAAATGTTCTTTTGCCATCGTTCTTTGGTAATAAAATAAAGCAACACCCTATCATAAGATGTGAAGAGTTGTTTTCTGCAACATTTACATTAAGAATAACTGTATCTACAAATGCAACCTTTTTCGTTCAGGATCCCTTCTTTACAGCAGGAAGAGAGCAGCTGGGCTCTTAAGAGAAGCACACATGGCTGTTTTCCTTTTCTAGGGAGTGAAGGACAGTTCTGAAGGCAGCTTTCAGAACAACTGACACTGCCCCAACATTGGAAGCAGAGAATGTAAAAAAATATAAAGGACCCCTGTACAGTTAAGTCCATTCAAAGGTGACTTTGAGGTTGCAGCGCTCATCTCGCTTTCAGGCCGAGGGAGCCAGTGTTTGTCCACAGACAGCTTTCTGGCTCATGTGGCCAGCATAACTAAACCGCTTCTGGCACAACAGGACACTATCTACTTGCACTGGTGTGCTTTTGAACTGCTAGGTTGGCAGCAGCTGGGACAGAGCAATGGGAGCTCACTCCGTCATGGGGATTCGAACTGCCAACCTTCTGATCGGCAAGTCCAAGAGGCTCAGTGGTTTAGACCACAGTGCCACCCGTGTCCCTAAGCAGAGAAGACACCAGGGCACCATCTCCTAGTGGTACCAAATCTGTGCTTGTAAAATATTAATTTAGCCCCTTTTATTTTATTTACTGTTTTATTTTATTTATTTATTATTTATTGACTTTTATTTACTTTCACATATAAAGTAAAATAGAATTAAACTTACTTTTTCTGAACTACTGCCTTCTTTATTCTGTGTTTATTTTGTTTCACACCTAAATAAATGATAAAAAAGTTGATTCACTAAATAAAAGTTATTATACAAAGTATTTTACTGTATTTAAAGACAATCTTAAAGAGGAAATGTTACCTCTCATTTCATCAATTTGCTTTTTAAATTTCTCATGTTGCTGTATAAGATCCTTAATTCCTTCAGGATTATTTCTGCACAGCTCTTGGCCTTTCTCATTTGCTTCTAGTGCTTTTTTGTGTTCCCCCAAGAGATAGAGTGAATCACAGAATCGATAGTGTCCCTACAAAAAAAAAAAAAGAACAAAGAGATTACCACCCTCCTAAATAGAGCAAGTTTTGCCAAATAAAAACATTTTCACTCCTATTTTCATCATATGAGTCTAAAAGCCCAACCCTACATTGGCTCCCAGTATGTTTCCGAGCACAATTCAACGTGTTGGTGCTGACCTTTAAAGCCCTAAACGGTCTCGGTCCTGTATACCTGAAGAAGCGGCTCCACCCCCATCATTCTGCCTGGACACTGAGGTCCAGCGCCAAGGGCCAAGGGCCTTCTGGCAGTTCCCTCACTGCAAGATGTGAGGTTACAGGGAACCAGGCAGAGGGCCTTCTCGGTGGTGGCGCCCGCCCTGTGGAACGCCCTCCCACCAGATGTCAAGGAAATAAACAACTATCTGACTTTTAGAAGACATCTGAAGGCAGCCCTGTTTAGGGAAGTTTTTAATGTTTGATGTTTTATTGTATTTTTAATATTATGTTGGGAGCTGCCCAGAGTGGCTGGGGAAACCCAGCCAGATGGGTGGGGTATAAATAATAAATAATAGGAGGGATTTTCATCTAGTAGAGACTTAAGTGTTGGTAGTCCCTCCTTTACTGAGCTCCACCTCTCCCTCCTGTTCAAACTTTAACCCCTGAAGAACCAATAGTGTATCACACTACAATCTGTACCACCTCTCATTACGTGGCAGGTTCACCAAACCCCAGGGAGCACATTTCTGGGGAATGCATTGGAAATGGGCAAAAATCAAATTTCCCCACTCTCCCTAAGTGGTCACTGGGACTGCCTCTTCTGTGAGCAAAACAGGATCTCTGGATGCAATCCTATGCTGGCACATGGTAGAAAGCCAGAATCAACAAGTATCTACATTAGATCAACATTAGATCATTATTAGAAGATTAGATACAAAAAGTGAATCTAATACATACTTGTTAAAACTGGGTAAAGGAGCCCAAAGAGACCATGCCCTAAAAATAACTGGTATGGGTCCTTTCAATTAAGAAGCTGCCAAGGACATAACTCCTACCTACTCACAAATATATTACATTTAGAGATATTTTCTATATGAACCAGTTTAGAAATGCTTTTAAATAAATAAAACTATTGCATACAGTGTATCTATCCCCCAGTGATTTATAACTAGTCAAATTAACTCAAAAAGGGAAGCTTCCTGTTTATATAATGGTTAATGTTCAATGTTTTCTGACTTGAGTTCCAGCAAAGACAGATCTGTGAAAGAAATGCAGCTAACCTTTGGCCAGTTGGGCTTCAAAATTATGGCTCTCTTCCCATCACACAGGGCTTTTCTGAAAACAGTAAGAAGTTAAGATACTAATGAATGAGGAAAATGTTCTCATTCAAATATAGTACATTTTTTAAGCTTTTCAAATTGCAAGACTAAATCCAAAAACCTGAGAAAGTTCTGTCGTTAAAAGAGAAGAAATTTCACTCACCATGAATTCCCATTCTGGAGAGCAGACAGAGGATTCTTCAACTCACATCTCCTCCTGGGGGAAGCCAGGTTCAAATTCTGACTTCACCAGAGGGGGGGGTATTTTTGTCTTCACAGACCTAGCCTTGCAGAACCAAAGCCCTTCACATTTACCTCCCTGAATGCTACTGACTACTGAGTAAGATAGTCTTTCCTTCTATTTGAACGTTTGTTCCTGCCAGGTTTTCCTTCCGAGTACTCTTAGAGCATACGAAGAAAGATATTGACCCAAACCAACATGGCAACAGTTCAATGCTAACAGGCTTCGTCAACAGAAAAGGACATCACTGAAAGGTCCAATATACCATCCAGCATTCCTACAAGTCTAGTCTGAACCAAAACACTAAGGTGGGCCGACTGTCCACTCTGTAAAGTTGGAATCTATGTTAATTTACCAAAAATAAAAAAAAATAAAAATTCCTTACTCCTCAAGGAGGAGAAGGCATAATATTCACCTCCAAGATACAGAAAAGCAATACAGAAAATACAGGACAGGTTGGGATCCAAAGAGGTGGCTTGGGTCATAGCTGGTGGAATTTATCATATTTATTTTTGCTCTGAGCACCTGATCTCCTTACCATCCAATAAACTACTTTTTTGAAACTATCTGCAGTTTCAAAGTACTTCACTGAACTAGTTCTATGGACTAAACATCAGGAAGAGCTTTCAGACGCTAAGAGCTGTTTGACAGTATTTCTAGTTTTCTAGTCTTTTGTTGGAAGCCGCCCAGAGTGGCTGGGGAAACCCAGCCAGATGGACAGGATATAAATAATATATTATATTATTTTCAGATTTGCCCCAGCTTTGGTGGAACACTCTATTGCAGGAGACCAGGGCCCTGCGGGACTTAACATCTTTCCGCAGGGCCTGCAAGATGGAGTTGTTCCGCCTGGCCTTTGGTCCGGGCCCAGTTTGACCCCCCTCTATGGGACCCTGTAGGTTACCTCTTTGGCCCTTTTATCACCTCATGTGGGACCAACATGGATAGCTGGCCCTGATGAATACTTGAGGTTCCCGACCCCTATGGTTGTAATTCCTGGGCAATCATCTAATTTTATCCTGATTCTAATTTTTAAGCTGTATTTTAATCAATTGTTTGATTGTGTTTTGATGTATTTGATATTTGATGTTAGCCTCCCTGAGCCCGGTCTTAGCCAGGGAGGGAGGAGTATAAATCAAAAATTACTTACTTACTTACTATATTATTATTATTGACTCTCTTTCATTGGAGGTTTTCAAACAGTGGTTGGATGGCCATCTTTGATTAATGCTTTTGTTAAGATTCCTGCATTGCAGAGGGTTGGACTAGATGACCCTTGGTATCCCTACAATTCTTTGGTTCATTTGTTCTTTGGTCTCTGACCACTGTGTATTTCTGTCTTTGAGAGATCACTTTTTTTTATTTGACACTAACATGCATCAAATCCAATGCTCACCAGCTTCCCCAAGATTCAAAGTCCCAAAAGAGATCAAAACCAAACCCAAAAGCTCTAAAAACTGAGATTAGCTGAAAACATTTCCAATTTAATGCCCTCCTCCTCAATTCCTTCCTTCCAATCAAACCAAAAATTAATTGCTTTTTCGCTCTTGCTCATGCCATTGAGCAAGTGGGTGTAGAAGAGGATGAGAAACTATAACAAACTGAAATAAATCCTCTGTAATGTAAAATAATACTAAATTTCGCAGCTGGAAATTTAACTTTATAAATGTGCAGATGAAATGTTACATAGCCATTTAGTCTCTTAAAGCAACACAGCTTTAAAAAAATGGACCATTAGATTCCTATTCAGTTTAGATAAATATACTTAGGCAGTGTTTGAACACTCAACTGCAAGCCCTCTCAAGCTTTCACACTCCTCCATTCCCAGTCCCTTCTGGCCAAGGGGTTTGAAGGTATGGAATTCCACTTGCCTTTTAAGCAAACTTTTGCCATTTCATCCAAACCAAGAACTGTGATTAACTGTGGTTAGTTTAATAAGCCAGCTTCATAAACCATGTTTTGAAGTAGACTTGTTTTAAACTAACCACAGTTATCGCTACCCACAGCTGAATAAGAACAAGAGCTTCCAAACTTCTCTTTCCGATCACATGTCATGCAGAGGAAGAGGGGAGCATGCAAGCCCAGGAGAGCAGGCTAGAGTCACTTATATAACACTAAACCATAGCTTAGGGTTCCATTCAAATGTAGTCATTGAATCCCATGAAAAAAAATATACTTACTTATATTGTCCAGTTCGGATAAAACAGAGAGCCCGGTTGCCATAAAGAATGTGATTTTCAGGCCTTTAAAAAAGGTTAGATTGCATTCAGTTTATTTACTCTGAACCAAAATAGTCTTCTGAAAGTTGAGCCATACATGTAATTATGCAAGATGACTTTCCTGCCTTAGTTTGGATTTTTGGTAGCAGTTAATACGCAAGGTTTGAAAAGCTGTGGTCTGCATAACAAACTCATTGAGAATAGTTTACAGCAGTCTCCCCATGTAGGGTGAATTCAGAAACAGGTACACCTGCAGTCCCAGTGTCAGCCTAACCGAAGTTAAAAGTCGCAATTGTTGCAGGTAACATAGGTAGTGACTGCTGTAAATAGTAAGTACTACTGATAGGCACAGGACATGGGAGGCACTGTGGGTTAAACCACAGAGCCTAGAACCTGCCGATCAGAAGGTCAGCAGCTTGAATCCCCGCGACGGGGTGAGCTCCTGTTGCTCAGTCCCAGCTCCTGCCAACCTAGCAATTCAAAAGCATGACAAAGTGCAAGTAGATAAATAGGTACCACTCCGGCGGGAAGCTAAACGGCGTTTCTGTGCGCTGCTCGGGTTCGCCAGAAGCGGTTTAGTCATGCTGGCCACATGACCCAGAAGCTGTACGCCGGCTCCCTCGGCCAATAAAGCGAGATGAGCGCCGCAACCCCAGAGTCGGTCAGGGGTCCCGTTACCTTTACCTTTGCTGATAGGCACAGCACTCAATTTCAGTACTGTAATATTGATTTGTATTAGTGGGGCTACTTACTAAATACATTGCCAAGCATTGCTATTCAAGTGGTTTCAAATATGACAGGTTTTTATTAACTCTGTCATCCCGTATCTCTACTGAACAGCTATAAACTACAAAGTTCTCTCAAACAGTGCTACTCAGCTGACAGTAAGGCTTCCAGCAGCAGAGCATTTTTCCCCCTCCCCCTTGCAGCCCCCTCACACTCTCTTAATTGCTCCAGAAAGTTGGGAAGCCCACCAGAGCAGATTTAAGTGGTGCACCGTGAGCTAGTGGAGCGAAGGAAGTGGTTGAAAATTGCTTCTTTCCTCTAGGAAGCCTTACCATCAGCTGAGGGACACTGTTGGACAAAACCCATGGTGTATTAGGAATGGCCACCAAAAGAAAAAACAGTGGAGGGTACACTGTTTCTTCTGTCTCAAAAGACCAAATCTTAATCCAGATTGAGGCGATAAATCATGCGGTTTGTTAAACAGTCACTACTCCCTACTGGACCTTTAAAATCCTACTTAAGGGATTCTGCTCTCAGGTCAACATGATCCACTAAAAGATGCTAATTGTTTGGTGACAAGCGCCAAGGAAAAAATAAACCCCTCTGAAAGCAAATAGACAATTTCAGGTGAAGTAAAATCTAATTAAAAGGGCACTAAGAATGCAAAGAAACACTACAATACCCATAGTGCATTCCATACACCCTACTCTGTATAGGAGCAGCTGTCTTTGGGAACTACTCTTCTCTTCATATAGAAAATACCTTTCATCTTCTGTCCAAAAAGGTTCTTATCTCAAATGCATGTTTCTACATCTTTGTTCATTAATATAATTTATCCCTTACCATAATTCTATAGCTTTTGTATAGGAAGCGGCAGCAATATCAAATTGCTCTTTAGCAAATGCTTCATTTCCCCAATTTTTCATGAGATCACTTTTCTGTAATGAAACAGGACAAATTCAAATTAACTTCAATTGTAAAGCAATTTCAGATGGGTGCATATATATACAGTTTACTAAATTCATCTTAAACTATGAAACATCTTTAAGTTATTTTTAAGATTGTGTTACACAATGACTGTGTTTGGATGCTAACAAGCCACAATACAAACAAGCAATTTCAACAGTGAGACCATTATCTGAGAAATCCTTGGATCCAGAACACTTGAACAACTATAGGCACATTGCAAACGTTCCTTTTTCAGGTAAAGTTCTTGAATGGGTGGTTTTGAACCAACCTCAGACCTCTTGGATGAGTGTGATGGCCTTGGTCACCCTTGTAGTATAATGACTTGTGTTGGGACAAGGGGAGTGTGTCCCTGTTAATTCTCCTTGACCTCTCAGTGGCTTTCAATACAAATGACCATGGTATTCTTTTGGGGAGACTGTCGGAGCTGGGAGTTGCAGATACTGTTTGGCAGTGATTCCACTTTAACTTGGATCACTGCTTGGAGGAACCTCCATTACAGGGTTCCTCAGGGTTTGATTTTATCCCCCAAGCTATTTAACATCTTCTTGAAACTTAGTGGGGGGTCATCCAAGAGTTCTGGAGTTTGCTTTCATCCGTATGCTGATGACACCCGACTCTACATCTCCTTTACAGCTCAAGCAGATGTGGCGCTGAATGTTCTGGACTGGTGCCAGGCCTTGGTAATAAACCAGATGAGAGCCAATAAACTGAAGCTCAATTTAGACAATACTGAGATACTACTAGAGGGTGGTTTCTCTGCCCAAATGAAAGGTGTGGCATTTACAAGTAAGCTCTTATTTTTTTAATATAACGTTTTGTTTAAATCTTACCTTCATACAACCGTCACAGTTTTGAGATTCAAATGCTTCTATTAAGTTGTAGTCCTCCAATATAATTTTGCTTATGAGATGCTTGTCTACAAAGCGAAACACAGTACAATGTTTACTGCTACCAACTATAGTACTGACATGTACTTAAGAGTTACTTTTCCCTGCCCAAAATTATTCCTTTAAGAACTATATAAATATCACACATATGTACACTAGTGTAATCCAAGTGAGTAGTTCAATCTTCCATTTTTATTTTCCAAATCAAAAAAGATTTCAAAGTTGCAGAAAGAGATTTTTTTTTTTTACTAACAAAGTAAATTTCTCCCAAATCATGCCACCTGTCCATGGGCTGATGTCCCCTGAGGGAGAGAGGGGTTCAATTCTGTGTCGAATCCTTGTTCCCAGAAGGAAACCTTGTTCCTAACAGGTGCTCAAAGTCAAAGCTAGCAAGATTGACACACACACCCCTTGACTGCTGATGAGCAGGGGTTAAATCCAGCTCAATTTGGCTATGCACGCCTGTTCAATGTCGGGAACAGGCACACACAGTCAAAGAAAACAAGCAAAAGGAAACACCAGCTAGCTGGGTGAGGGAGAAGTCCCTCCTACAGTCCCTGTGGCCCCACCCCCGGTCGCTGAAAGAAACCTGATTTTCTGAAGACATTGATCATGATGGGGATTTCTCACATGTGAAGCAATGCCTGTAAATTGCAGGAAAGGGATGGGAGAAAGAAGCGCTTTGCCAGACCAATGCTCAGCACCAGAGATTCTGACATGTAGGCAGGACTACCTACTTCTCAACCACGTAATGTTATAATGATGTGTGACTGGCAGGTGCTGCCACCCACCTGTCAAATTTGGCCTGCAAGGTTGATCCTATGGAGCCAAAAAGCTTCCCCATCCATGATATTTCAAAGAACAGGTTCGCTTAAGTGTGGCCTGGATCTAAAGAATCATGCAGCCCCTCTTGCTACCCAAGAAGCTACTCCAAGAAACAACATGGCATGCGACTGGCACTATATCTGGGAGGTGGTAGAAATCTATGATCCCCCATGCATGAGAATTAATGTCTTACTCATGCACGGAGCACTTTGGATCCAGGCCGATAAATTTACCAGCGAACAACCTTAAGGCACATGGCAGCACAAAGTTGCCAACTGGTATATATTGGGAGGATGCTGTATTTTTGGTCTTCAACTGCAGAAATAATCAGTTAACTTGGTATCCCCCCTGACCTTGACTTCCTATCTTGAAGTAAAACTGGTAGTGATATGTTAACTTCAGCTTGGTCTAAGTCTAAATGAAAAGAACACGGGCTCAGTAGTAGACCGGATGTGAGTCATCATACCAGTGAAAAATAAGCTGTTTCCTCAAAAAAAAAAAAAAAAAAACTACAAACGCCGTAAAAATTACTTTCAATTAGGACTAGAGAAACAAAAACAAAAAAAGCTGCCTTTATAGAGCTAGTATTATGGAACAAAGGTTGATCCACACACAAAAAACCTTTGGGCCATATGTTTTTTTTTGGGGGGGGGCAACCAAAAAGACACAAAAATAAGGCAAACCTTTGATTTCTCAGAGCTCTTCATGAGGAATAATGTTCCATGAAAGCTTTATCCTGGAACTGAATCTACAGCCTTTAAAAACCCCAATTATAATCATCTTACCGCTTCCTGCTTTGTGTAACATATCACCTGTTGAAGAGTTCCGCAAAACTCAAAAGCTTGCCACCATTTCTGTGACTTTTTGGTTGGTCTTAGTCAAAGTATCACCCAACTGTGAACCACGGAGTTTAAGATTAAGCAGGAACAGGAACACATTTTTCCATACACCACTCATTGTAACATTGTGTATAACTTACATTCAGCAAAGAAAACTTCTAGGAAAGGCCAACAATAATTTCCAAGCTTTTCTAATTTCTGTAAAATACCGATGTCATCAGCATATTTTATCCAGTCAAGAGCATCATAAATATTGAAGATTCTCTATTTCAGATGAAGGAGAAATAAGATACTATTACTTGAAGTACTTTAAAAAAAAAAACAAGTTAAAATTAAATACAAATATAGCCATCCAGGCATGAGGGTGTTAAATAATATAAAGACTGCAGAATCAAGCCAGTGGCCTGCAGTTATACTCTTGCCTCCATGAAAAGAATTAATTTCTGCAGACACCAAGAACTCTGCTGTTTATGCTGGATTGTTATCCAGTACATTCATTGGATCATTCTGATTGGGTTTTACAAACAGCAGTTTTTAGTTCGCTCCCCATGATCCACAAGTCACATTATGATTGCATTTTGGATCATGAATAATCCACAAAAAGCTTGCAGCTCCTATAAATCTGCTAACTCTAAGGAGGTCTAGGAGGGTCAGCAGCTGGATGGGAGATCACCTGGGAACCACTGGTCCGATGCCTTCCATGATGGATGAAAGGCAGGATATAGATCTTAGTAAACATTGTGTTTATTCAAAAAAAGTGGTGTGGGATTCTTACAAAGCAAAAAGGCTTCTAGTATTTGAGCCCGGGAGCTGAAAACAAACTTACATTGTCTATTTCAGCTCCAATTTTCAATATGCCATTGATGAAACGTGGAACATCCTGGGGGTGGAGAGAAGAAAAAGAGCAAAGGCTTATCAACAACCCTAACCTGCACTCATTTAACACCATGTCACTGATCTGAAGGGGTTTTCTAACTTCAGCTGAGATTCAAGAGTAAGGCTACACAATACTACCTATACTTGCCAGGAAGAAAGCCCCACTGAATCCAATGGGCCTTATTTCTGATTAGGCATGGCTAGGATTGCTCCCAGACTTTGGCCCTCCCTCCCTCCCTAGGGAAACTAGACTGGCTGCCTCCTTATCGTCCTTCCGCCATCAGATGAAGACTTTCTTATTCCAACAGGCTTTCACAAACTGATTGTTTTTAATGAAAGGGCTGCTGCCATGCCGATTTCATTATAACTACTTGTATGGCTTCAATATGTATATAGTTTAAATTCTATCAATGTTTAATTGGTTTTTAATTATCTTTTTTCTATGTTTTTAGTGGTTCTTATTTTTATCTGTAAGCTGCCTTGAGTCCCCGTCAGGGAGAAAAGGCGGAGTATAAATAAATATAGAATAATAATCTTCTTAATGACTTACCGCAAACTTTTTGGCTATATCAGTAACATCTTCTAATGTCTCGATTTCATATAGTCTCTCCAGATTGAGCTCACCCACTTCACAATCACTTAAATATAAACAGATTCACATTAAATGACATTTTCTACTACTATATGAGAAAGATCAAAATAAAGAAGGTACTTAGAACTATGTACACATATTAAAACAGATTTTGAGACACTCATAATTCATTTAAACATCAATAGTCAAACAAGCATGTCTATTCAGTAGTAAGTCCAACTGAGTGTTTATTCTGAATAATTTACAAAGCAAAGATAGGCATGCTGGTCCATAAGAAAAGATTCAAAATATTCAGTTGGGCCATGCCTTTAACGGAACCAACCAAAATGTCACAGAATTGTGATAGAGATTCAAGTTCTCCAGTACTCTTAATAAGACAGGATGTTATAAAAAGTAGAAAGGTGAGGGACTAGGAAAAAATTGTGCTAGTTAATTTATTGTTATTTCCCCATGACCCATTAAAAAAAAGAATGTTAGCATTCTACTTTTAGAACCGCTCTCTGTCCTGATGCTGCAAAACATACACAGGTTTTCCATATTTCAGCTTTCAAACAAGAGTGCAAAGTAAACATTTAATGAACAAGAAAAACGCCTGCTTACCTGGAATCAAGACATTTCTTTGTGTGTTTACATCCAGGCGCAAATAAAAATGGCCAAAAGGTATATATTTTGATCATGTCACAATATTTGTGCAACTCAGAAACTGGTTTACTACACCATATTTTACAGATTTCACCTATGGAACAAAAAGAAAGGAAAAATAAAACTAAGCTCTAATAAGCCTTACAAATCTGAAGATCTGAACCAGTGCTTGACTGCTACATCAGATCTTAAGTCTATTCTTCCGCAGCACAGCAAAATGCAGGACGGGACCATTAAAACAACCATAGACAGACAAACTAAAGAGGAAAAAGAATTTCTTACTAACTTGCATTGTTAGTTTATGTACCTGGTCTATATTTCACTGAAGAACAGCTTCCAAATTTTGCACGAACCTACAAAACAACATAGATATTGACAGTTAAAGCACTGAAGGCAAATAATGTGAACCAAAAGTTAAAAACAGCTCACGTGAAGCAACAGTGAGTCATCTGATCCAGGAACAGCTTCTGAATGCAACTCAAAGGATTACCAACAAGTTATCAAGAACCAAACCTGATCTCTTTTGCAGACCATGCTCCTACCAAGCAGTTTCTCAATGCAGGCTGAGAAGAGGATGTTTGCTCTGAAAAGCCTGCTGTATGTTATACAGGCTAGCTGAGCGTTGTTTTCACCGCTGAAACAGAAGGACTTTGTTTGCTACAGAAGGACAGAAAAGAACTTCTAATCCAGCAGCATGGCGATGATTTGCAATGGACCGACATAAAGCAGTTTGTGGCAGAACAGTGCCATAGAGCCGGTGTATGAAATACCCTTTGAAATGTATAGTAGGGGACAGGAGAGAACTTCAGAAACAGAAACTAGTTTACCATGGTGAAATGTTGCACGTCAAAGCATTTAATAGAGAATGATGTTACCTTGTGACTGGCCTTCAGACTGGGCCTTCCACCCCCAAAGCACAAGTCTACAGCATATTTTTTTAAAAAAACTGTTTCCTAGTACCGCCTATGATCCTCTCCTGTTTCTACGATGACAGAACAAGACACCTGACAGACCATTACCAATAGCTCTTTGCTGCAATGTTAACCCACAGTCATCCATGTTAAAAATGAACAAATATGTCAATAAAAAGGCGTCACTGCATGCCTATCATCAGTGGTGCCAAATGTGTTTCTTTTTCTGATATACGAACAAAAGATGTGCACATATGGGAAATAAAAAATTAAGCTGATTCTATGCCACTCTCTGTGTCTCCCTCTCTCTGCACTACAGCTAGTACCAGAAGGCAGCAAGAAAATCAAGCACAGCTTACCAGTTCACAACACGGTCTGACATACGCTCCATATAACGTGATGTGATTGAAAATATCTGGATCAAGTTCAGGATTTGCCATTTTGCATGATCCTGAAAAAGAAATAAATAAATGAGGAAACAATGAAAAGGGGGGAAATAAATAAATTAGCCTAAACACTTTGAAATATTGGTTATCCCTAAGGATTTTAATACAGGTTTAAAGCACAAAGAACCAACTTTCCCTGCAAGAACAAAAAAGATCTTAATGAAAGAGGGAATAAAACATTTGAAACCATTTGATTCAGCTCTTGGGGACACAGCTTTAAGTATAAGTATTTTATTTATTGCATTTATATCCCACAATTTTCTCCAAGAAGCTCAAGTTAGCATCTCCACAACAACCCTGTGGGGTAGGCTTCTGATAAAGCACACCTCAAATCACCAGGCAAAACTGTTAGGATATTTCCGTTCCACCTTAAAAGGGAGCAGGCTTTGTGAGTCAGAGTCTGCGCATGTCCTGTTCACAGGATGTTTATGTTTTCTGTTGCTTTCGTTTTCTCTCTGTGTGTCATAGACACTAAAGCAGGCAGTCATGTTTTTCTGTGTTCTGTTCAACGCTGAATAAACTTGTAAATAATGCTCTCCTGAGTGCAACTTTTGGCTGTGCATTATTTGCTGATAGAGTGTGCATGAGCTCTGGAATGTGGCAAGAAATCTTCTAGAAACTCATGTCGCTAATTGCTGATACTGCGGGCCTACGGGAGATCGATGGATCGTCCGGCAGACGGCTTGGGGCCATGATGGACTTTGTCTCCCTGGCAGTATCCCAACTCTGAATCAGAGTGCCAAACATGCCTCTATTTCTGCTAACATAATTATTAGTACTATAGGCTTAATTTACTCTTTACAAACGTTCTATTCGTTCACTAGTACCAGATGGAAATACTTGTTTGCATTGGATTCCCTTACTGCAGAGACGGATAACTCGAGACACTCCAGATGTGGCTGGACTTCAGCTCCCATTAGCCCCAAGCAGTCTGGCCATGGGATGGTGGAAACTACAGTAGAACAACATCTGGAAGGCCACATGCTCCCCCGCCTAACTCGAACTGATTTCATAAAACTTTACTTAAAGCCAAGTGACACTGTGTTTGCTAACTTGTTCATATGGGAGGCATAACAGGCCCCAACAGCAAGTCCAAAGTTTGCAATCCAAAGAACAGTCAACTATAGCAGGATTAGATCAACTGTAATTAGACTGTAACATCCTCGGGGAATTGACCTGACTTTTTTCTTATGTAGACGAGATGAATGTTGGCTCAGACAAGATTGATGTCCCTACATACAATCATAACAGTATCAGGAAAACTTTATCAATGTTAACTTTTGCCTTTGAAAAGGGTGTCGTAACTTTACTACTCACAGCTTTTGTTTTTTAAAAGAGCATTGGTCCTGTTATTTATTTTTATGTCACCTGTTAACCCTCTGTTATAGGAATTCTAAGATCATATGTGTGTGTGTGTGTGTGTGTGTGTGTGTGTATAAACGTACAAGGCAAACACATATGTACGTATATAAACCATGTGTCTGAAATAGTACAGGAGAACAATCCTGAAGCCATTCTGACTCTCCCAAATTGACCTCAAATGTTTCTCTGCAAGGAGGAAGGAAATGGGAAAAGCTTTCCAATTCTCTTTGGACTGTAGGGGCTTACACTTCCCTGTAAATACAGCCTTGCAAGTACAGTGGTACCTCGCAAGACGGAAAACGCGCAAGACGAAAGAGTTTTCAGTTTTTTGAGTCGTTCCGCAAGACGAATTTCCCTATGGGCTTGCTTCGCAAGACGAAACGTCTTGCGAGTTTGTTTCCTTTTTCTTAAAGCCGCTAAGCCGTTAATAACCGCTAAGCCGCTAATAGGGTTGCTTCGCAAGACGAAGAAACCGCAAGATGAAGAGACTCGCGGAACGGATTAATTTCGTCTTGCGAGGCACCACTGTATCTGTTAAGCTGAGCACACTATCAATATGCATAACAGATTCAGAAACTAAGTATTTACCATCTCAAAGCCAGGCTACCCAGAAACGGCAATCAGATAAGGCATTATCAGGTATTCTGGCAGACAGGATAGAAGCAACACTTTCAAATTACTGCTGGGGACCACCTCTTTCTGTGATGTATTTATGATGTTTTGGGGGGTGGTCTTGAGCTACAGGATAGTAGGCAATTTCAAAAGTCTATACGTACAGTATAAGAGCTTGAAACCAATGTCCTGGGTTCCTCTCCTCCCTCCCTGCGTAGGGTGAGCAGGAGACCCTGTTGCAACAGTTTAATAAAGATCATGCTTACTAGCTGCTTTGCTTCTCAATATTCTCTGGTTTGCCTCTGTTATTTTCTCCTGCCAATAGAAAACCTACGTAAGGACTCTATACGGGCTTTTAGATACCCCATAAGGGAAAGGGAGCAGTTTTTTTCTTACAACACTTCCCAAAACTGATTAAAGTTTAGGTGTTCAGTCTATGCTAGTAGTGTGCACACTTTCTCTCTCAAAGTAGATATGAACCTTGAGGGAACCCAGGTAGCCGGACAGCCAATAGCATCATCTGCCAGCTCACCGTGTGAATGTACATTGGCCACAATCATTGGAAACATGCAGGTCAGCCCACTGCAACATGTTCTGAAAAGGACTCTAAAGCTTCAATTGGTTCAAAATGCAACAACAAAGGTGCTACCTGGAGCCTGCCAGAGAGCGCATAGCACCAATAATGCATCAATCACACTAGCTCCTCATTTGCCTCCAGACACAGTTCCAGACCTGATACCAGTCTTTGATGCTTTGAACTCCGATAGCTCAAGAAGCATCTTTTCTCGTGGGAAAATGCTGGCTCTCTTAGGTCATAAACTGAGGCCCTGCCAGATATTAGCAACTCCTGTTGCTAGAAATAGGACAGGAGCCCCCAACTCCTCTAGCAAACATCTTCCTCCACCTGAATTCTTAATTTCCTTTTTAAATTGTTTTTATTAAAGATGTTCTCAATCTCAAAGAATTAAGGGGAGGTGGCTGTGTCACTTCAAGAGGCAGGCATGTTCAGAACAGCTCACCTGGAATCCTACAGGCAAATACGTGAGAACTCTGAGGGTTGCCTGATTAGAGGAGCACAAAAATGGTTTTGATTGTTTGTATGTATGTATGGGGGATTAGCTCAGAAGGTGAAGGAGCCGGGTGGGGAAGAGTGTCAGATCCAGTTCCTGTAGTCTGGCAATAAAAGCAGAAAGAAGAGGCAATCTGTGCAAAAATCCTGAAAGCAGTTCTCTCTCTGGACTTTGCTGCCCCATTGTTGCTATGCAAGGATTTTAGGCTGCAGAACACTCCAAAGTCAGTATGGTGCAGAGTTTACATAACAAGTATAGAGTACGATAAGCCCTGGGACCTTATAGCGAAGGGAGGGTAAAAAATCTAAACTGAAATAATAAGGAAGAGGTAAAACTGTTCTGCAAGCCTTTTAAAACACTAATATTTATTTAGCTTCCTGATAAGACTAACCATATATTTAAGGTAGAATTCTAAGCATCTGCCCACAGAGCCAAGGCCTACTGAAACTGTTACAGGTCAAGGCTTTGCAGCTGGCTGCTAGATAACAAAGCTATGAATCTAATCAAGGCCAAATTCAGCCACAATTTATACTCCCCCTCCCCCACAGCCAGGGGTGGGGAGCCTTTTTCAGATTAAGAGCCACATTTCCTTCTGGGGAAGCATCCTGGGACCACAGGCCAGTGGATGAAGCAAAGAAGGCAAATTTTGCCACTGTATATTGAGTGGGCTGGAAGATTCTCCAGGCACCCCTCTCTGTCTCTCATCCAAGTAACCAAGTCATCAGCACATTCCAGGTAAGCAAGGCCAGAGAAGGGTATGGCCTACAGAGAGCAGGAGTGGCCTAAGTCAGATAGAGATGCCAGGAGGGCCACATTGGGCTCCCAGGCAAGAGGTTTCCCACTCCTGCCCATGGTGCAACTCTACACCGCCATGCCTGGTGAGATCAGGCTGGTGGGCATGTGGAGCAGGATGTTTTTGACCAGTCCCTCCAGGCTTTGGGGCTCCCTCCTCTGGGATAGCCATATGGCCCCTTGCTTTTAGCCTCCTGGCGCAGACATAGCATTAAGAGTTTGGTGTTTCACTGAGCATTTAGGGGAGAGGCCCAAGTTTTAATTGGATGCAGTGTTTCTGCTCTTAACATTTCAATCTCCATTGTTTGGTTGTTTTAGTACTATTGGTAGACTGGTTTATTCCAGTTGCCGCCAACCTCTTGAGGCCTGTAGTCACATTTGCAAATCAGGGAAACGGTATGGGCACTACACAGACCCTGCAACACACCGCTATCTATTCTGCTGGAAACAACAGAATGCTTCATTCAAGCTGAACTTTAGCAGGGGAAGGGGAAGAGACCACTGAACAGAACATGTGCTTCTATGGTCACCTGAGATCTGTGGGTGAGGGGTGGTATACAAATTTAATAAATAATAATAATGTTGGTGACCCCCTAGTTTATTCTATCAGCTCCTTTTTAAATGTATATTTTGGTTACCTTTCTTTAACCAGAAAAGCTAAACTCCAGTCTCCTTTTCTGATCTCTGGTTGTCTCTGTCATTTTCTCCTTCCTTCAAGCTAACATGTATTGCACTGGCAGCAGCACACAAGTTTTTCATTCTCCAGCAATTCACACATTACAGGCTTTCCTGCATATTCATTGACAGAAAACCCAGGTATTCAACTGAGGGTACACTTGACAGGAAGCTGCCAATATTGGTTCTCAGCAGCACGGGCTGTATATGTTTTTCCAAACATGTTTTTCTATACTGTATATGTTTTTCCAAACATGCATTTGTCTAATTCACACATAGTGGTTTGGTGCACAGCAGAAAACCTAATGCATGAACTGATTATGAAGAAGTCTCAGTCTACGTTATCTTCACTGAACTCAATGAGGCATACTCTGAGTAATCATGTTTGTGCAAGTCTGACTTCCGGGCTGCAACAGAACCCTCTGAATCACCAACACAAAACAATGCATATTGTTTCTACCTCCACTTGATTGGGCCACAAATGCTTTTTAAAAAGAAAAAGAAAATTATCAAAAGAGGAAACATCAATCAGCCCACAGGCCTTATTTTGTAAATTTGAATTTTCTCAAATTTAAAATGGAATAAATTGTACTTTTAACTGTATACTGTACTTCTTTTATAGTAATATATTGTTCGTTGTTTGGGGGCTTTAGGGGAAAAAGTAATAAATCCATTAAAACTAAGAGAAATTACATGGGGTTTGGGGGAATTTTACACATGCAAATAACTCACTCCAATATAAAGTTGCACAAAACTGCCCAAACAAAACTAGGAAGCTCATAACCAAAACATCTGCACATCAAAGGGATTTATTTTAAGAAGTTGGCCCTGGCGTATATAATGATGGACACACAAATATAATTAGTATTAGGAACTTCCTGTAATGTTTATTTAAGAAAAAACACACTTAAAATTCACAACTTGGGAGTGTGGATTGCCTTTCTTCTGATATGGAGACAATGATCCAATTCAAAAATTCCCTGGAAACTTGCATCACTGCAAGATTCTGCATCCATCACTCCATAGGGCCACCCTATGCACAAAGGCACAGATCCAAAAGAAGAGAAGGTTTTTAAACAAGGCCTACCCCAAACCATAATCAAATTGTGCATCACCCCAGAAACACATCGCAAAAAATCACCACCATGGGCACAAAGGCGTGGATCTAAAGCACAAATACGTACATGCGATTGTTACACAGATTGCCTCCAACTCTCCCAGACCCTGTACAGTCATGCAACTGTTTAAAAAGTGCCACTCTCAACTTGGGGGGGGGTCTGGGGTCCGAATCTGCACTTAGGCATTCGACGGGGGGCGAGTGTTTATTAGTCCACTTCCAGGTCATCCAAGGAGGAGACTGGAAAGAGTTTGGCGCCTTCGGAGCGGAAAGCCTGCAGCGCCTCTCCAACAGCAGGCCTACTGCTACAAGCCTAATGTTCCCGATTCCGGAGCGGGCGTGGCTGGAAGGAAGCGATCGCCTGGCAGCATTCAGACGTGCACTTCAAAATCACCTTCCCCGGCCACAACAGCCACAGGCTTAGTCATAATCAATATGGACAAAAGGGCCTTTCGCGCACGCACTGTTTGAATGCCAGGCTCCAGCATGGGAGAAAAGTGAACCGCCCAAGAGACTGTGGAGCAGCGGCCAGGCAGGCAGGCCAGGAGGCTGGGCCACGCGGATTCCCAAGCAAAACCCCCACGCCTCCACCCACTCTCCGCGCGCACCGGCCGTACCTCTCTAACCGAGCAGACGGGCAAGTCTTTGCGCAGCTTCCGCGCCGCCTCCGCCGCTTTGCTTTTGCTCCGAGCAGCCACCTCCACTCGCTCCGCCCGCTCGCAAGCGCTGACGTCCTGCTCTGCTCTTCCCTCCCCAAGCAATACGCAGGAAAACCCACAGGCGACGCTTCGGTTTCGTTTCCGCTGCTCTCCTGCCATAGAGCGAGAAACAGGCCGGAATTGCAACCCCGTAGACTTGCGGGGAAATGGAGGGACGATCCCATTCCTTCGGGGTGGAATGCCTTAGTTCCTTTTAACGATTTGCGGGAGGGATAGCCGTGTTGCAGGAAAAAAGGCTTGCATCTTTATTATGGCATAAGCTTTCGTGGACTGCGGGCCACTTCATCAGAAGCGTGACATGGCATTTTTAATAACTATCCTAAGCTTGTGTGTCTATATCTTTGCAATCAGCGAGATTTGAGCTGTTTGCATTTAATTTCCTGTAACCCAGGTTTCAACCCCATCAGTGCTAGGTGTATAAATATTACTCAGGAGAATGCTTCCTGTATCTGATAGAATTGGCTGTAGTTCCTGAAATCTTGTGTTTCGGTTCCTTCTGAAACATACTTTTCTCTGCTCAGGCCCACAGAAAACCAGGATTATAGCTCAGTCTACAGGGTACCCACAGCAACAAAACACAGGGAAGATGCACTTAATGAACTCAGGTATAATTTTGTATGTATTGTTTTGTGTGCAAAATGTTTATGTTTGTGTTTAAATGTTTCAAAAATAACACTGCCAACGCCAATGTTCTTCTCCATACTGAATGTATGAGAAGTGGCTATGCTGAAGAGTGGCTCACAGCAGCCCCGCAAAAGGGGATCCAACCTCAACTTAAAATCCAGTTGGGACCAACCCAAATATCACAAAAAGGTGACAAGCCTCCAAACACTCCAGAATTCCTCTTCAGGCAAGATGCTACACACAGCAAGGGGTAAGAGGGACAAGTAAAAATGCAAAAAGAACCAAAGAATGGGCTAATGTTGTAGACATGAAATTAGTTTATACTCCTAAAAATATGGAGGCTCCATCTCGACACAGTTAGGTGATATTTTTATTGAGCCCATTTTAAATATTGCCCAACTGTGGAGTCTGAATGCTTTTTGTATGGAGCAACACGACTACCTTTGCAATGCATGTGCCTCGAACTACAAAGGGCATATTAAAGACTTAACACTTTTATGGTATGAACTTTTGAAGGCTTCATCCGATGCCAATTGGGCGTGTGTGTGTGTGTAAAAGCAGCGAGGTTGGGAAACCAAGTGCCAAAAGTACAGACAGTGAGAATTCAGTTAGAGCCGACTTGTGGGCAAAAATAAGCGTAGAGACCTTTTTTTTAAAAAAAAACACAGTAGTGCTAGATGCCCAAACAAACAGCTTGCTAATTCGGAGGTGACTTAACATCCTCAACGGGGCCATCAACGAGTCTATTATTCGAAGCATAGAGATAGAAAGGGTTAGCATCGCACAGCTTCTATTTCCGGTAAAAAAAAAAAGAAAACCGCCATTAGCTGTGATTCCCTAAGCGGGCTCAGAATGGCGCCGCTGCCTCCCTTTGGCATATCTATAGGGAGCCCGCACCCCTTTACATCGGAAGGGAGAGCCGAAAGATGGTTCAAATTGCGGACCAGGAAGGCTAAGAGGGGCTGCGGCGCAGTTGTGCGAAGGGTTGTGGAGCATCTCTAATGTCTCCTGCCTGAAGTTGTGGGCTGACTCACACGCTCGCCCAACTTCCGGCTGAATTTGGCGAGTTTCCATCTGACGGGCTCGCTAAGGGGGGGAAGCAGCAAGCCGGGACTGCGCCGGAGTCAATGGGACCATCGACGCCTGCAGTCGGTTGAAATGATGGATTTGGGTGGGTGGATTTCTGCGAGGGCAGTTTAACGAGACAGTTGCAATCCTAGGTGTGTCTTGAAGGGGGCTTTTTGGAAATCCAATCCAGGCATCGATAGAGATTGATGAGATCAGGGCGGATTTTTAACTGGGATGGGGAATATTTTACAGCAGTATTTTTAAAACAACACCATGCCTGCTTTTGGGTGTAGTGCGGTGGTTAGAGAGTTAGGACTTGGTTTGGGGACCAGGTCCAAATTCGGGAGTGCCCATAGCTCGCTTGCTTTGCATGAGGAAGGTTCCAGGTTCCGTTCCCCAGCATCTGTATGTAGGGGTGGGAATAATCCTGCTCGAAACCCTGGGAATCCTCTGCAAGGCAATGGTGACTGCGATTAGCTCGATGATCCAAGAGTTTGACTCGTGTCTAAGGCAGCTTCCTGCCCCTGTTCAGACATGAAGACCTGGGCACAGTCATTCTCTCTTAGCCTAACCTGCCTTACAGGATTGCTGTGAAAATATTTTTCAAGAGAAGAAAAGGAGGGGTGAGAAAACCATATATGCTGCCCCGAGCTCCTTGAAGGACAGGGACGATATAAATTTAAAAATAGTAACTTCCAGTTGCCTTTATAGGGAGATGCATGTACTGTAGTCTTTATTCACTGCAGGTCTGCCTTATATTCTCCCCACACCCCCAAAAAAGAAACCCACTTTGTGGTTGTAGAAAACACTTCTCATAATTAGCTTCGAAAGTTGTTGGTTTTTAATACAAAGTTTAATGAATGATAAGAGAACATGAAGCTGTTAAAACTGTTCATAGTCCCCTTTTGGTGGGGACTGTTAGGTGTTTGGAAGTGCTAAATGATTTGTAATTGCACATTAGCATAAATTGAAGTATTTGAATTTGTAACCAACATTGCCCTGGATGCAGCTGAGAGTAAGCTAACTTTTCATATTTCTGATGAAGTGTTTTTTGTAACTTGCCATCTTGCATCCAACCAAAGCAGGAGTGATGCCTAGTTTGTATCTCTTGTATACTTACAAGTTTTACTGTGTTTTCCACAGTTTCACTTCTTCAGTTGGTGGGGAATTTTATTTGAGAGCAGTGCCTTGTTGTTGATGGAGGTAGAATGCTAACACAACAAAACACTAATGGTCTTTTCCCCCTCCTAAATAGATAAATAGAAGACAGCAACATGGTTGAAAACTCACCGGCCCCATTGCCAGAAAGAGCTATATATGGCTTTGTTCTGTATTTAGGATCCCAGTTCCTATTTAGTAAGTATATTTCTGTGTTCAGTAACTCGTTTTAGCCCAATCCTCCTTCCACAGTTGTGACTGCAATCCAAGAAGACACCTTGGGCAACCTGGTTATTTCACCTTATAATCAACCACTTACACCCTTTCATAGTTCCAAGACTTTAAAGTGTGATGGTAAGGAGGATGTCAATACTGAAAGCAAAAGTGCTTAGGGATCATGACCAATTAGGCATGCTGGGTTGAGCCTCTGCAAGGGTTGCTAGACCTCTTGAGGAGCCACATATAAGATTGTACTGTAAAGGTAAAGCTCATTGATTTCATTATGACTTATTCCCAGATAAGTGAGCATAGGATTGCATTCAAATCTGTGGGAATTGCTTCCAGGTAGTCATGCACAAAATCTAAAGGAACAGGTTACAGGGAAGCCTTCTTCTGAATCCTCAGTTTTATGTGTTGTACTTTGCCTTCATTTGAAAGCACTTGACCAATATTCTTATTGTTCTAAAACATGCAATCCTTTGGACTTGTCTTGTCATTCAGCCATTTGAACAACTTTAGCTCTTCACTGTTGGAAGCTGCTAAGTGGCCAGTGATGTCTGATAGACTTCCCCCTTCTCTGCACAAGAACCTAACCCTATTCATTTTTACTTGAAGTCTATTGCAGCACTGTAGTGGTATTTCATCCAGATAGATATTAGCCAGATCAGAATCTCATAACCGGCAATAACAGGCTTTCCAGTGACAGCCAGGCCATAGATGCAAGCTTGGCTACTTTGTTGTAGGAGATCATATTCCATCTGCCATTGCACTTTTCTTCCTTCTTGTTTTATGCAGTGCTGTACCTTGTCTGGGCCTATATACCTGAATCCTGGCTGTTCTCCTGGGGGTTAACATACTGGCCTCAAAAGTAGGTTTGAATAATTTTTCACACTAAATGTCTTTCATGTCTGTAGACCTCAGCTAAATAGAGAATAATAGTTTCTGTACATTTTGCCTTATAGCTCAAGTTCTACAAATACTGGAAACATACTTTTTTTAAAAAAATGAAAGCTGAGAATTCAAGGAAGGGGGGAGGTTGCTGCTGCTCCCTTTTGCAGCACTAGCCTCTGGCAGGGGACACATCCATGGCTAGTCAGAGGCTTCTGGAAAGCCTGTCATAGCAGAGCATGAAGGCATGCATTCCACCCTTCCCCAAAAATAGACCGTCCCAAGCACCTGATATTCAGAGGCAGTATGTTTTTGAAATGATTTCTACAAGAAAGGCTAAGAGCTATTGATGTCCTTGTTCTCATTACATTTGTCTAACCTTTTTTTTTAAAAAAAAAAAAAGCCTTCCAAGAAAGTGACAATTGCCACATCCTGTGCCAGCAAACTCCCTAGATTAGCCATTCTTAATCAAGTCGCTCTTGTGTGATGAGAGATGGAGAATCATTTTGGGAACTCTTGCTCTACTGTTTGGGTGTTAACCAACTAAGTCATGCTCTGAACAGAACCACCGAAATCAGTAGACCTACTCAAGAGTATGATTGCCATTAGATACCAACACTTGTTAATTTTTAAAATTTCTATCCTGTCCTCTGCCCCTTTTGACTTGTTTACAAAATTAAAAGGCACCAAACTTGCCCCACAGGGAAGCTGCTCCAGCCTCAGTCATGCTCTTTGCTGTACCATTTTCTCCAGCACTACACCATTGTCTTTGAAATGTGGCCTTACTTCATTTAGTGCTTGAAATGATTTCTGCTGTGTGTTTTCTTGTGCATACAACTTTACTTAAGGTAACTGTTTTTACCTCCATTTCATAGGTTCTGGGCTGTCGCTTTGCCTGTCTACCTTTTAGTTAGCGTGGGAATAGCCTATGTACTCCTCTTTGGTATTAACATGATCAGTACTGCTCCACTGAATTCCACACACACCATTACAGGTAAGGATGCTGACAAGGACTGCAAGTAATAAACTCATAATACTATTTTTAGCTACTCACAATACAGTCGTGTCTTGGTTTTCGAACAGCTTAGTTCTCAAACGTTTTGGTTCCCAAATGTCGCAAACCTGGAAGTGACTGTGCAAACTATTTTTGGAAGCCAAATGTCTGACGGGGGTTCTGCAGCTTCTGATTGGCTGCAGGAGCTTACTGCAGCCAATCAAAAGCCGTGCTTTGGTTTCTGAACATTTTGGAAGTTGAAAGGGTTCCGTTTGACTTCCAAGGTACGACTGTACTTGTTTTTATTGTGGGACTTGTGAGCGCTGGGGCTGAATAGGTATTGCATGGTTGACCACATCTTCTCCTGATCCCCCACAACAGTTTTCAAAGGGCAGTGTAAAAACATACACCTAAAAGAACAGAAAGGAAATCAGAACATTATAAAAAAGAGAAAACTTTGGTCAAAACGGTATTACCCTACAATAGATGTGCAAAAGAGTTAATAAAAGCATCAAGATTTCCGTGGGCATACATACATCTTGTGGGCAATGCTGATGTGATCCTGCAACTTGTAGCCCCCTCTTCAAACAACCTGCACCTATACTTTATTATAGTTTAAAATATCTACTCATGGGTCTGGTTCGTACATGCATGTACTTGTAGAGTAAGTTTTATCATCAGTATGCTTTTTGTCATTTGCATTTGTAAGAAATTACTCTCATCAACACATGCTGCTTGACACATAGATAAAAGGCTTTCCACTGAATTAACTCAAGAGTTTCTGCATTCCATCAATAGATTACGACATATCACATGATACCTTTCCTACTTTGCCCATCATAGAGTTGATCTATATACTGAGGGAAAAGGCACATTACTGGCCTACTTGAAAATGCGAGTGGGGAATCATTTCTGGTATTAAACATTTTATGTCCTGCCACAGTTCTTCAAGGCAGCTCAAAGCACCAGCGTATAACAATTTCATACAAGAAAACAAATTTAAACATGAATACTAGAACTGTGGATGTTAAAACCTAAAATAGCAAAACCAAATCACAATCTTAGTTTAATTTAGATGATAGATAAATAGATGATAGATAGATAGATTCCACCCTTCAGGAGAGCATCCAGACTTGTTTAAAAAATAAATAAAATTAAATACTGTGTTAAGAGGGTGAGATTTAAAAGCCAGGGAGAATAAAAGCAAAAAGATTGTAGTGTTGGTTCCAGGTACACCTCTGTGGGATAGAAATTTCACAAATGAGGTGCTTCTACTGAGAAGGTTTTAATCATCCACCTTACCTCTGATGGTGGGGACACTTGGAGGTGAACTTCCAAAGGTGGCTTCAATACAGTATAGTTGCATCTTGTGTCTCCACACAAGATCCGGGAAGCCCACATGAGAGTATCCCAGAGTTTGGTAAGCAAGTCAGAGAGATGAAAAGCTCTTTCTATGCCAGGAAAACCCGGCACAAAAGGAGCTTTTAAGTTTTCTGCCTTGCATGCAATTAATTTGTGGGATTTCAACCAGCCTTTTGGAAGGTATGGTTTAAATGGCAAGTGGGTTCTTACGGAAAGAAGTGTTGAATGGTTTCCCTACCTTTTAAAAAAGTCCTTCCTTGCAGAAGCTACCATATTTGAAAGATGAATATCTTAGACTACACTTAGTGGAAGCAAAACATTAAATTATCCACCCCACTGCCTGCATTTTGAAGTGGTACAGTCCCCAAAGGATTATCCCACTTTTTCTGAATATATAGGTCATTCCTTAGTCTCTGGGACTCACATGGTAAAGCTGTATGCTGATTTTGTATGGTGGACTGCAAGGTTTTCGAAATTTGGAGTAGATGTGCTGGCTTATTAGAGGAATCATTAATATATCTTGCTGTAAAACTACTTCCTTGTGAAAAAGTATTTTCTTTAGTATGACTAAAGCATGACGTATCTTATTTTTCCTTACATTTTCTACAGACCACTACGCAAAAAATCAGAAATGGAAAAAACCACAAGAAGACGCTATCCCTGCATTAAGAGATATTCCTATCAGTGAAGTAAACAAAATGTTTTTCTTGTCTGACACAGAAGACTGCCCTAGACACTAACTGAAGAAAAAGTATTTTTTATATATATAAAAAAAAACCAAACTTATTCATATGGGAAAGATTTATAAATTCCTGAGTTGAGGAGGCTGGTTGGTAATGAAGTGCTAAAATGCTTGACTTCAGTAAGATCATGTGAAAGTGCCTCAAAAATATGGATGCAGTACTAATAAAGCATCTTTCAAGGACTGAGTGTCTTGCTCCACCTGGTCCCCACACAAGCCAAGTGCCATTTGTCCTCAACCTGTGCTCTTTACATCCCCAAAAAAACACACACACCACAAATATATCTGAGCAAAGGGCGTGTCATTTTTACCTTAACAGAAGCTGTGTGTCTCTCAGTTCTCCCATGCTGTGACAAACCTTCTTTTTTAAAAAGAAACTGCCCAGAGTGGCTGGGCCAACCCAGTCAGATAAGTATGGTACAAATAAATTAAAATAAAATAACAACAACTATTATTATTATTATTATTATTATTATTATTATTATTACTTTCCCTCATGCTTCTGTAAAAGCAGTGAACCAAGAACGCAAAGCAATTTTGTGTTATTTTCCTCTCGCTGGAAAGTAAAATCTGCAGAATCTGGTAAGGCCTAAAAATCAGAACTTGTTTTCTAATCAGCATGCTCCCCAAGTTCTCAATAAGCGGCTATCCTGCATCAACTCTACAGATATCTCTGTAAACTAGATCCTTTGAATTTATGTGAAACACCTGTGTTCTACAGTGTTGAAAAAGCCGAAGATAATCTCTCAGCTCTAAAGCTATCAATTAGTGCTGCTTTAGGGGGAAACTGCACAAGATCCTACTCTGATTTCCTGTGTCACATCAACGGATACCCACGTTGATAGTGATATATATATGTATATGTGTGTGTGTATATATATATATATATATATATACACACACACACACACACACACACAGCCCTAACCTTATTTTGTTTGGCAAAACTGCAATACTTGTGCCAATGTAAACCACTTAAGAACAAGAAAAATCCTTGATCCCTTTGCTTCCTAAATTATGCCCTTATCCAAGCAACCCTAACTTATCCACTGTTTCGTTCCATAAACAATTCTGCAAAATCATTCCTGTGAAACATACACCTTGTCCAAAATGCACTTTCTTCAGCTGCCACTCCTTTTAAACTGACTTTGATACATTTACTGATGATAGAAAAATACTGCTCCCTTTCCCTTATGGCGTATCTAAGAGCCCCTATAGAGTCCTTAAGTACCGTAGGTTCTCTGTCAGTAGGAAAAAATAACACAGGCCTATCAGAGAATATTGAGAAGCAAAGCAGCTAGTAAGCATGATCTTTATTAAACTCTTGCAACAGGGTCCCCCACGCAGGGAGGGAGGAGAAGAACCCAGAACATTGGTGTGCAAGCTCTTATACTGACTTTTGAAATTGCCTACCCTGCAGCTCTAAGGGACGCGGGTGGCGCTGTGGGTAAAACCTCAGTGCCTAGGACTTGCTGATCGTAAGGTCAGCGGTCCGAATCCCTGCGGCGGGGTGCGCTCCCGTCGCTCGGTCCCAGCATCTACCAACCTAGCAGTTCGAAAGCACCCCTAAGTGCGAGTAGATAAATAGGTACTGCTTTATAGCGGGAAGGTAAACGGTGTTTCCGTGTGCTGCGCTGGTGCTGGCTCGCCAGAGCAGCTTCGTCACGCTGGCCACGTGACCCGGAAGTGTCTTCGGACGGCGACGGCTCCCGGCCTCTTGAGCGAGATGCGCGCGCAACCCTAGAGTCGGTCACGACTGGCCCGTATGGGCAGGGGTACCTTTACCCTGCAGCTCTAGACCACCCCCCCAAAAGATCATACATACATCACAGAAAGAGGTGGTCCCCAGCAGATATTTGAAAGTGTTGCTTCTATCCTGTCTGCCAGGATACCTGATAATGCCTTATCTGATTGCCTTTTCTGGGTAGCCTGGCTATTCCTTTGAGATGGTAAATACTTAGTTCCTGAATCTCTTACACAGGGGTAGGCAATCGCCTTCTCAATCCAGCCTGCAGACAGTCCAGGAATCAGTGTGTTTTTACATGAGTAGAACGTGTCCTTTTATTTAAACTGCATCTCTGGGTTATTTGTGGGGCATAGAAATTCGATCCTTAAAAAAAAAAAAGTCCGGCTCACCATATGGTCTGAGGGACGCCTGAAAAAGGTTGCTGACCCCTGCTCTTATGCCTACTGATAGTGTGCTCAGCTTAACAGATAACTTGCTAGACTGTATTTACAGGGAGGTGTAAGCCTCTACAGTCCAAAGACAATTGGAAAGCTTTCCCCCTTCCTCCTTGCAGAGAAATATTTGAGGACAATTTGGGAGAGTACAATTCAAAATTGTTCTCCTGTACTATTTCAGACAGGGACGCGGGTGGCGCTGTGGGTTAAACCACAGAGCCTAGGACTTGCCAATCAGAAGGTTGGCGGTTCGAATCCCGCAGTGGGGTGAGCTCCCGTTGCTCAGTCCCTGCTCCTGCCAACCTAGCAGTTCGAAAGCACGTAAAGTGCAAGTAGATAAATAGGTACCACTCCAACGGGAAGGTAAACGGTGTTTCCGTGAGCTGCTCTGGTTCGCCAGAAGTGGCTTAGTCATGCTGGCCACATGACCCGGAAGCTGTCTGTGGACAAACGCCAGCTCCCTCGGCCAATAGAGCGAGATGAGCGCCGCAACCCCAGAGTCGTCCGCAACTGGACCTAATGGTCAGGGGTCCCTTTACCTTTACTATTTCAGACACATGGTTTATATATACTTATATATGTGTGTGCCTTGTACATTTATGAACATTTATTATATATATATATATAAGACCTTAAAATTCCTATAACAGATTCAAATTACAAAAAAGATTCTGACTAAACATCAGGAAGAATTTTTTGACAGAAAGAGTTGTGCAACAGTGGAACAACTTTCCATCCTTGGAGGTTTTTAAGCAGAGGTTGTATGCATTGGCGAAGGAAGAGGAAGGGGGGAGCGCACTGCCCCCGGCAGCGCGATCCTGGTGGGGTACCATCACGGCTGCCCCCCACCACTCGGTGCTACGCCCCCGCAGGCGGTGTGTCAGGCCCCCAGGACGTGCACCAAGCCCCTGTGGGTGGCATGCCAGCCCCTCCCCTGCCTGCCCCCCCCCGCCAGAGCATGAAGCTCCGCCACTGGTTGGATGGCCATCTGTCATGGATGCTTTAGTTGTGATTCCTGCATTGCAGTGGGTTGGGCTAGATTACATTTGGGATCCCTTCCAAAACTATGATTCTTTCCGCGTTTACTTGGAAATAAGTTAAACTGAATTCATTTGGGCTCTCAAATATTGGACATTTCCCAGGGATAAGTCAACCTATTAATTGCAAGCAAGTGTTTGTGTGTGTATAGCTGTAGGCACTGCTTCCAGCAATGCAATGCTATCTGTGCTTGTAGATAGGTAATCTATCTTGCTTGCTTAAAGCTTAGTTGGATTGCCACCTAAGAACTTGGTGCAGATAAAAAGACAGTGTGATAAATAGACATGCGCAAAAAGCTTCTGTGCTTTCAGTTTCCCTTGCTTTAAATAGATTTACAGAAAGTGGTTCAGCTTATTGGAAGCAGAGTAGTTAGGTTTCGAATTATGAGCATGAACGGATGCTGTTTTTCCCCAGCACCAAAAACCCTCCCAAAAAACCACCCCAGAAATCCTTTTTTGGCAGCTTTCCTGTCCAATGAGGAGCAGGAAAAGCCAGCAGAGGATTTATAATTTGTCCTAATCTTAGATAGACGGGCAGCATTGAGGAGGCAGGAGGGAAGCGAACACTTCACCAAAGGTAAGCTCTGGAATTCTCACAAGCAGGCAGAAATCCTCCCGCGGTCGGTCCCCCACCCCCACCCCCCAATATTGAATGTTCATTTTCAAAATATTGAAAAACAAAAATGGTTTTCAGCTGGGAATAGCAATAACTTAATGCTGCAATGTTTTAATTTTTAAAATGTTGCTCCAGAACAACCCTCCAGTGTTATCTGTTCCAATAAATTCTACACAATAAGGGGGTCTGCATAACCTGCAACGATTATAGAATTGCTTGCGAGTCAAGCCTCTTTTTTATCAGTGGAATTTACTTCTTCCAAGCGATGTACGCTTAGAAATTGTCACAAGGAAAAGGCTAGTGTCTCATTCCAAGGAACTGGGTCGAGATTTTATACATCTCTTTATGGGACATTTCCATCCTCCTTCAAAAAGGTTTTGTTTGTGCAACCACGGATTGACTGCCTCCCCTACGGCCCGATCCGATGCGGACTGGCGCGCTCAGAAGCCAAATTTTTCACAGGACCGATCGGAGACAGAATCGTGGGCAGCGCGCACGTGTACGAGAAAAAACAGAGGAAGCGCAATACATGATTCTAGATACATGATAACAGAGCAGGGAGTAACATCAAATGTGGATGCGGAACCAGGAAATGAAGGACGAAAATGCAAACTTTTATAGAAAATAACGTTTTAAAAAATAAATAAATTAAAAAGCATCCGTCCCTCCCCATCCAAAGACAGTCTAGGCTTTTCTGAATTCTGCTACAGACATAGCGCAAAGAAGTAGCAAGAGGATAGAGAAGCTACAGCGCGGCTACATGGCGCTTCCGGGTCTTTTACGCCTGTTCGCGCCTGGAACCAACAGCAAGAGAAGGGAGGGGTGGAGACCTCCGGACCAATCAGCAGTCCTGTTATCTTCGCGTGAGGAGGGCGGGACAGCCAATCACGGCGGCGGCGGCGGCGGCGGCGTTGGCTGCTTCCCCCGCCACTCCCCGCACCCTCTCCGCAGCCGCTGAGGTACGGATGGGGGCGGGCGCGTCGGTTGGCGGTTGGAGCCCCTCAGGCGCGTCGCCCGCGCGCCATGCTGATCACGCTCTGCTACTTGTACCTCTGGGCGCGCTGGGGGGCCTCTTCGGCGGGGCTCATCCGCCGCACGGTGCGCAGGCTGTACAGGACCCGCTGCTCCTTCACCTTCTCTACCTCCTCCTCTTCCTCCAGCCCCGGCTGCCCTCGCCAAACTCCGCAGCACCGGCAAGCTGCCCACCATCCGCTTCGCAAGCCGGGGCCCCGGCGCCCCCCGGAGGAGGAGAGAGTCTGCCTGAGGGTGGGGGACAAGGTCTTCTTCACTGACGAGACCCAGGTGTGAGGCGGGAAGGGAGGAGGAGGAGGCGCGGCCCGTGGCGCGCCCGTTTCGCCAGGTGTACATAAAATGGATGGGCAGCGGGTGGTCCTCCAGTTGTAGGACACCTCAGCCCCGACCAGTTTGGCCAGTAGTCGGGGATGGTGGGAATTGGGGTCCAGTCAGGTACGGAGGACCACAGGCTTCCCACCCCTGATGTATAGGATGGGGGTGGGGAGATTATATATCTCAACACAAGTGTAGGTTATTTGGACCGGGGAGGGAGTTATTATTACCATGTTTATGTCCCACCTTTTTTTCCAAGCCAGTGGCTCAAGGTGGCTTACAGATGAAATAGAAACCGCTTTTTTTAAAAAAAGTACATTTTAATACTCTGGGGTTTCTGGCCCTTCAACCGCTGGAGGATAGGCAGAAATTAATAGGTGCAGCTGTCCTTAGATTGGGGAGGGTGCAACAATATGGTGACACAGTAGTTTTGTTTATACGTTATGTTTATATGTTTATAGCCTGCCTTTCACTTGAAAGGCCTCCAAACTTGCAAACAAGAACGTTGCAGTTTAAAAGCGACTCCTTATAAAGCAGCTGTTTCTAAAGAGAAAAAGCAGGTACTGGTAACTAAGATTAGATATAGCAGCAGTAAGTTAATTGAAGATTACAGGTGATAATAGGTGAAAGCTCTGGAAAGCCTATTTTCACCCGATGTCTGAATAGTAAGAATAATTAAAAGCACATTTGAGAAAGGAAAAGCATGCTTTTTAAATTTCTAACCTGTAAAAAGTACAAGGATGCTTCCTATGTTAAGTAGTGTTATTTCTTTATATACACACACACCCACACACCCCGCAGCCACATTTAATGGAGATGTGATTACTCCCAATTGTTTGGTGCATGTACCAGTGAAATGCATGCAGTGGCAAAATCATGCTTGTATGTGCTTGTGTGCGTTAATTATGTATTAATACAGGCTGCTTTGTGTATATAATTTAAAAAGTGTAATGTGTGACATGACCCTAAATATTTTGGTAGGATAAAAGATGGAAACCCTAGGACAATGTTAACTACAACACTGAGGGAGCAATTCAGCATTGCAGTGTTTCAAATATTTTGGTGTAAGCATTTCTGTTTGCCTGACATAATTATTTCCCCTCTTCTCCCCTTGCCTGTCACTCCAGGTGTTCTCCTGACCCCACAAGCTAGTTGGTGAGGGAAGCCCTGTTGCGCTAGTGGAAGACCTAAATATAGCTAAAAACGTGTACAAATAAAAATATGCATTACAAATCATTAAAACACAGATACATATATTCTGAAGCTTAAACCTTCTGTTACCAGATTGCAAAAGTTTGGGTAAATAAAATTGTATTCAACTGACATCTGAAAGCTGCAGGTAGAGCTCCACCCATATTAAGGATTGAGTGGCTGGTATTGGAAGATGAGCTTCTGTAGATGTTTGTTTCCTTAAGTCATTTAGCACTGACTCATTGAATCAATGTCACAGTGCACAAGTTGCCAGTGCAAAACTTCAGTGTTACATGAGATCCCACATTCCTGTCCAAGTTAGTAACCTGGCAGCCTCATTCTGCACAAGCTGCAGCTTTTGGGCTGTTTTCAAGGACAATCCCATGTGATGGTATTATGCTTCATCAACAAAGTTTGCTCTACATTGTTATGCTGGCATGATATAATAGCAACAGTGGTTTTTCTTCTGGAGCAGAAGTCATTGTGCCTCATGTTGGAACAGTGGCTGATAGGATTGCACATTTAACTGTTCATTGTGAAATTAAGCAAAACATCCCTCGCGGTCAGCACTCATGTCCTTCAAAAATGTGAAATATTTTAAAAATAAACATATAAGAAGATGAAATCTGTTAGCCTGATGTTTGGATACAACAATTCATTTATTGCATATGATCAATCAGAGTTAAAATCAAACAAGCAGAAATTTAGTGTATGTAAAAGCGGGTGTAAAATTGAAGAGTTAAGTAAAACATTTAGGTTGCTATCTTAAGTATATTTAGAAAGGCAAAAAGCTGCATACAGTATACGTGAACTACCACTGCAACTCAATTTGTGGACTATTTTGTTTGACGTATTTTTTGTAATCTTGTTAATTCTTTGAAACATTATTTTAGTTTCGTAACATGTAAAGCGGCCCCTTGGTGGCTATTATGTCACACTCTGATCTTTAGACAGTCATAAAGTACAAGAGAGTGCAGTCCCAACACTCCTTATTGGAATTTCTAGTGTTAAGATATGACTAATTTCCACTCTCAGTTGCCAGTGGCATGCATATAGGGTTTTTATGATAGAGACTAACACTTTAACTAACAAAGAAGTAGATTACCTTCCTATACATGTTGGACCTTAAGGTGTTGTAAGATGCCATCAAAGGTGTGGGATTCCAAAAATGTATATGGTATGACACACCAAGTATAGGAGAGGATTCTCTTTAGCCGCTGGTTGGCCACAGTGAGAACACGTTGCTGGACTAGATGGGCCTTTGGTCTGACCAAGCAGGGCTCTTTTGTTTCAGTTGGATCCAGATAGAGCAAAGTGTAGTGAAGTTAGTCTTAACTGTTGTGTTTTCCTGAAATTACATATCAGAGCTCAATTTGGGGAGGAAGAGGTAAGCTTCCCAAAATGTTGTTAAGCATCTCTTTTTCCCTCTCTTTTCCAGTCTGTTGATGATTTAAACAAATGGACGTTGCTTATTGTATCGCCTTTTCATTATTTGGATAAAATATTGGAAACAGAACGTATCACATTTCTAACTGAAAGTATTTCCATTCAAGCAGGCAGTTCTCAGGCTGTAAATTGCTCAACAGAAAAGGTCAGTATGTTCTGTAATGGTTTTGGTTTTATTTTATTTTTTCATAAGATTTTATTAAAGCTTTTTTATAATACAATAAGATAAAAGAACCTAATCTAGATAAAAACACAAATAGAGAAAGAAAAAGAAAAGAAAACTCAGTCCTCTCTCTTTGGCTCTGATTGCCTCATAGAGAACTTGAACCTTTGCTAAGCTGAAATCCTTCCAAAGTATCCTGCTTTGCCACAGGATTCAGAATTTGTCAGAAACCAGTGCACGCTCCTAAATTCCTGTATTCCTAGGCAAAATGCACAGCTATGGATATGAATGCTACATAATTAAAAAAATAATAATCTGGGAAATATGTCGTGATTTTTTCCTTCAGATTGTGAAGTGGTCGGACTATTGTTCACCTTTGGCCTTCAGACCTGGCGAACCTTACATATTATTTGCTGAAACAAGCATAGATAACTTCAGTAGCCTTGGGATAGCATTCATGGAAAATAGACTCCAAATGGATAATGGAATGAAGCCTCAAAAAATTGTGTGTAAGTATCTTTATAATTAATGTGTTCCATTGCAGTGGCCCACAAAGCGACTTGGACCAACATAACTTAATTGATATTCTGTGCAAGAAAACGGGTAGGGTCCATCCTTCTGTCTGTTAATTGTAGTTCCATTATTTATATCATTTACTAGGTGCATATTTTGTGAATTTAAGGCCCAGTCTTAATATTGCTAGGTCAAGATTATGTGCTGTCAACTTCAACACAACATACTTATGACAAACAACCCATTTCTACACTTTTCACTGAATTCAGTGCTTGGGGTTGGGACTTTTTATACATCCAATACATTACATATTGAAACAATAATCAATCAATAATGACTGGCCACTGTGTAGATGGGTGTCATAAATGGCAGAGATAATAGGACTCATTGATACATCTGGAGAGAAGTAGAGGGCTAGATGTCATAGACCACACCATATCATACACCACACCATAAAATGCTTTCCTCAACTTTGATGACATCAACTCCCACTCTCAGTAACTAGAAGTAATTTACTCTAGGGAACAGGGCAGTTATGTATGTACAGTAGTGCTCACTATAAGGGGAGAGCCTGTAACTCTGCATTGGTATAGCCAGTGGTCGGGGATGATGGAAGTTGTAGTTTGACAGTATCTGGAGAGCCACAAGTTCTAATGGTGTTCTTGTTCTAATGGTGCAGTTTTATATTTTGAACTTGACTTGTTGCCCAAAATGTTGGGCCATCATTGAGTTCATTTATTATTATTAGCATTAGCATTATGAATTGTGTGTTAAAACGTGGAACTTTACTTGAGCACCTCTCCTATGAAATAGTTATTTGGCCTTCACACCATTCTTGTAAACATTTAATTTTTAATCTCTCAATTCAGTTATTTTGTTGATTGGGTAAGCTAATGACTGACAAGCATAAATCTAATTCTTATCCTGGAGTGTCTCTGGAGTGTAAAAAAGTTATAAATACTTAACCATCGCAAAGTATCCTCCAGATACTGGAGAATTTAAAAGTTCAGGTCCTCCTGGTGATGTCTATAATTGTACATTATTTAATAATGCAAAATCTAGTAACTGCTTTGGAATGCAAACTTTTCCTTTAAAAATGTTGTTTTTTAAAGCATGCTTAGTTGGAGATGCATTGAAACTAGTGATTTCAATGCACCAGTAGTTGTGCAAGGTCTTCTACATTAATAGTAAGTGAACACAATGGACACAGATAGCAAATGGGAAAGTGCATTGGTATTTTGAGATGGGAAGGGATGACATTGTCATCCAGACTGCCATACTGATGAGAACTGTATCCATAATTTGTGCATCTGCATCCAGTCAGCACCACTTTTTTCTTGTACTTTGCAAGTAAATTTCTTAATTCAGAACCTACACAGATGCATATGAGAGCATAACCACTGTCCATACACAGTTGTGTGCTGAACTGACCTGGTTGCTTATTCCTTCTGAAGGTCAGGTCACTGAAGTGTTCTTAGTTGGATATCCAAATATGAGACTCCAGAATTAACACATGCCAATCTTGACCTTTGCCACATGTTTTGGTTCACTTAATTGCTTAGCCGTACTTGTCCTCAGTCTAACTGCTAGGCATTTTTCTTTTGTGTATGCGTACAATAGCTTATTGGCATAGGGTTTAAGTAAGACAGACATTTTTTGTTAGGGCAAATGATGACTTCAGTCACCAACAGCTTAATCTGAAGATGTGCATTGCAAGCACATAATTTTTTACCAACAGCTGCTCCATTGCATCATCATGATAATATAATGTTATATTGCATTGCAAACATGCTGGTAGTAAAATGGAGACATGTCCTCACAATTATTTAAGATTAGAACACCAGTTTAAGCTTATATTAAAGGCAGCATTATTCAACATTGCCATTATTATGCATTCTGTTTAATAACTTACTTTAAATATGTCAGCTGTTCACTTGCAGAAGTCAGCACTGGAAGAGTTAGAACAACTGGCTCCAAATACCCAAAAAGAGGGAAATACTAATAAGATGCCACTTGGTGAACTGACTCAAGGGTCTACTTTTGAGACGGATGCTAAACCAGAAGAGGAAGCTCTTGATTGTGCAGCAGGTGGCGATCAAGAAATGCAGAGACCAGCATGTAAATTGCAGAAAGTAAATGAACATCCTGAACAACTTGAGCAAATATCTGAAAAGGAAACGGGAACTGGTGAACATCACCACCTTCATCTTTCCAGCTGTCATGAGTGCTTGGAACTGGAGAATAGCACAATTGAGTCAGTTAAGTTTGCCTCTGCAGAAAACATTCCAGATCTTCCTGATGATTATAGTGGCAATTCCGAAGATGTTAGTGATAATCTGGCAGGAAACCTGAAAAGGGTAAACCTTACTGGGAAACCTCCTAATATTTTAATTTACGTTGGTTCTGACCCTGGAAAAGTGAAGTTTGAGGAAATAAAATCACTCATCATGGAATGTGTAGATGTTAATGCTTATACAGTCTACCAGTTGTTAGAGAATCAAGTTATGAGCGTTCCATGGCTTGACAATGCATTGCTGTTGATTGTTGCTGCACCACACCCCATTTCAGATGATGTGTCCAAACAATTTCTTGCTTTTATGTCAAAAGGTGGGAAGATTTTGGGACTTGCTTCTTCTTTCACTTTTGGTGGAATACAGCTAAAAAGTAAAGATGAACTGATGGGCAAAATACAGGACTTCGTGTTTTCAACAGCAAAGAGCAAAGAGGTTAGACTAAATATTCTAGCTAGTGGGAAAGTTTTCGAGAGAGAAACTGCAGAAGAATTAAGCCCCATGAAGCTACTAGGTTACTTGGAGAGTCCAGATAAAGATATGGTGATTGTCCATCTACCCTATGGAAATGGTGGTGGAGAAGCCATTCTTTGTCAGGTATGGTAGACATAAGTTTTGTTTGCAAATGCTTTTCTCAGTGTTTTCTTAAAGAATCCTGCTTTCAGGAAAATGACAGATTTGTAGGCAGATAGATTTTCCAAGAACATGTCTGTAAGTCTGCACTATAGCATTTCCACTGTTCCTTCTCTAGTAATAAAATTCCATATTATAGCCTCTTCATAAAAGGCAGTATCACCCAGTTCCAACATTCAGATTAAGTGATCTAGCATTTAAATTAATTTAAATTCTAGGCTGTTGGAAAAAATATTTTTGGGGCTATTTTTAAACAAGATCAACAGTGATCTTAGCAGATAAATATTCATTGTCACTGTAGTACCATTTCTGCTTTCTGTATTGTATTAATGTGTAGTTGCTATAAAAAAACAACCCAAGTAGCTGGTGATTGAAGATTATCAAGGTGCATCAGTGTAGTTGATTATGCAGTTAATGTAGTAATCCTGGGTTTTTAAAAGTGACTTTTAATACATTTGAAGGGTAATATTTCTGCCTTGTATTCACAGGCACATTTGGAAGTGAATGTCAAGGGTTTGTCTGCTCAAACAAAGGATGACTTCAATTTGCTCAAAATGAGCAATGCCAAAAGATATGATGTTCTTACCGAAATCCTGACACTACTTCATTTGAGCTGTGATTTAAGTGAAGTTCCCCAATTAACTCCTATTTACTTGCTCTCATCTGATAAGGTGAGCCTTATTTAATTGTATTCAATTTAAAGGCAGCATTCAAAATGCCCAGTTGCTCACTTTACTGTGGTTTCTTTCATACAATATTTTATTATTGGACAATAGTATGTCTTTGACTGCGTTCATAATTGGGCATAATAAATAACTTATGTCTTGTGGAATAATTTTGCGAGCTATAGAAACCAGTGTTCCTTTTAACAGGCAGAAGTAAGTGAACAAAAATACATAAAAAATAAGAGAGAGAGAAGGCTTGCAAGTATATTATGACTGAAGTTTTAGTGAACTGGAGGGCTTCCACAGCAGATCTTAAGGTTTAGGGGAAGAAACACAATCGGCATGAGAAACAGGTTGGAGTTCACCATATTCAAGATCAACTCAAGAGTCCACTTCATCAAATTCAACTTATATCTGAAGTGAATTCTATGTTGTGAACGCTTCATCCCATAATAAATTTGTTAGCCTTTAAAGTGCTACATGACTGCTGTTTTTGTTACAATAGAGTAACACAGCTATACCTTTTTTGGAGTGGGGTCCTTGATGCCTTTTACTTCTGTGTGTTGTGGAAGCGTATATCCGCAGTTTACAAGTTTTATTTTTCCGTTGACTGAGTTTCTTGCATTTTTATGGAATATGATTTTATGTAATCTGAAATGCTTTTCTGATTGCTAAGCTAAGATTGAATCATTACGTCTACACATTTTGAAATGTCTGAATAACATGACAGTAATTTAGATGTGATTATGAAATTTTAGTCCATCATTCACTTGGTTTCAGTAAATCATGAATACAGTAGACAATAACATCAAATATATTAAATATATACTGATAATAGCATTAAAATAATGCTTTAACATGTTGAATATGTGCTTATATATGTCCATACAGTAACCTATATATAACTTATTTCCTTAGGTTATTGTATGTTTCCTGATTATCCTTCCTGTGATCAAATCATAAGTATCACAATCTAAAATGAGGGAATGGTACTATCAGACTGACAGTATGCCTTTGCAGTTAGCTTGGTGCAAGAGTAGAGGGGGTGTTCTTTGGGCCAACTTAATGAAATTAATTTGGATTCTGGAAAACTTGTTCCTTTGCATCTATCTCTTGGAAAGCTTTTTAAAATTATTTATATCCAGCCATATTGTCTTTCTGACGTAATTCAGTCATATTTTGGAAATTAATGCTTGTTTAATATAGGTATTTATTTTCAATGTAAATAGAGTTTCAGTTGAATTTGAGAAGGTTTTTAATCTTTAAAGGCAGTGTAAAATATTTAAATGACTGAATAAATTATTCAGAACATACTGTGTACAAATCTAAACTAGCTCATTTCAGTGTCTGCTTATACAGTTTTCTAGCACTTTTAACATTTATTATTGGTTTTGGGGAAAGAAACATTATGCCTCTGAATGCCAGTTGCTAGAAATCACAAGTATGAAGAGTGCTCTTGCACTCATATTCCGCTTGTGTGCTCCCCATTGACACCCAGTTTTTACTGGGTTAGATCAGCCTTTGGCCGAAGTCTAACAAGACAACATTTCTTGTCTTGCCACAAGATGGCACTTCTGAGCTGCTTTAGAGCTTAGGTTTGTCTTGTTGAAATAGTGAATTTAATAAAAGTGATTATGTTTGCCTTAGTCAGACACTGGTTTTTAGGACTTAAACCTAAAGATTGGACTTAAAGCCAATCTTAAGCAGCTCAGGGAATTCAGAAGATATGTTGCAGCAAATTGCACTGAAAATAATATTTACATTTTTAAAATTCTTGATCCTGGGTTCACTTTTCATTGCATAATTTACACAGGAATAGATCTATAGAATAGATATTCTAGGAGATTATAACCTGCACAGTAATAAAACAATGTTCCCAAATTCCAACTATTATTATTATTTACAGTCCACAGTTAGGCAATACATAGAGACCAACCCAAGTGTCATGAATGCATAGCAAGGTTTCAACTTTTCCATAATTCTTCATCAAGCAAGACTCTGCACAAAACAGGGGGTAAGGGGAACAAGGAAAAATAAGGAATGAAAAATTAATTTGATGTTGTAACCGTGGAGTCAGTTTGTAGAGTCAGTTCTAATATGGAAATTATAGCCTTAATAATTTCCACTCAGTGCTACATAGATCATCTTACACAGTTAGGATTCTGGGATACAGAAGCAATGGCTGCTCCAGATTTCTGAGAAATTAAAGTTTGACTCGTAACAGATCTGTCTAGATTCTTATAAAACACAAATTCTGACTATCGGTCGAATAAAGAAATTGATTGATTGATAAAACACAAAGGTTGTTGGGTAGACAGAAGTAAGGATAAACACTAGCAATTTCAGATGATGTGCTAGGTAAAAAATAGTCAATTGTTCTATATAAATGGCAATTGCAACCAAATTATACAGTAGCACCTAGTGGTTGAAGGGGATGGTAATCTCCACAGGTCAAGGTCCATTGTCAGGTAGTAGAAATTCATCTTTGTCTTTGATTTTTGTTTAGTGTGCTTTCCCCCCCCCTTTTTTTTGTCCAAGTCAGTGCAATATGTTGAAGTAAAAATGTTCCATGGGTTTTTCAAAATGAAATTTTAACCTGGGAAGCAGACTCAGTGATGGTTTAGAGATTTTACTACCCCCAATATATGTTAGATTTTTGCTTGAAGAAGTAAACTTATCTTCAAAGCTGCTTGTGTAATTTTTTTCGTTTCAGTTCATAAACACACACTGGTTGCTTCTATTTTGGATGTCTTCCATTTGCTCCCTCCTGTCTTCTGCTACCTCTTTGCCCCTGAAGATGTTGTTTACTACAAACAGCACATTGAGGGGCAAATAGCAGTTAAGTCAATTTCAGGAGAAAACTGGTGTGAGGCTGCAGTCTGGATCATACAATTGTAGAGTTGGAAGGGACCACAAGGGTCATCTAGTCCAACCCCCTGCAATGCAGAAATATTTTGCCCAACGTGGGTCTTGAAACCACAGTCCTGAGATTAATGTTCCATTAACTGAACTATCACACATTCCTGATCAAGGCTCAGTGACTGCTTTTTCTTCAAAATAAAAGCAGTTAGGTTAAACAATGTGCTTAAGCATATGACTACTGTTACATCTAATTTGGCCCTAATACAATAATGTCACGAACCTGCCATATTTTATTTTTAGTTGAATGCAAAACAAATTCTACATGTATAGCTGTGTCAGCAATATATGCTTGTGCTTGCAAGTATTATAGACTGAAGGAGGTGCAATCTATTAACCTCTTACTGTAGCAAGCCAGTATAAATCATTACAATGAATAATTGATTCTCAAATAGCTTTGTTCTTTTTTCAAGTACGTACATATCAATGTTTTTTCTGTCAAGGGTAGACCTGCAAAGCTCACTGTACTTCATATTTTGTTCAACCTTTTTGTTATACTATCCCATTTTTATTTTATTGTAAATTAAATGCAACAGGATTTTTTTAGTTTAGTTTAATGCATAAAAGGTTTGCACACCAAACAGAGTAAAGTAGGTTTTAAAGGGTTTTTTGGTAAATTATTGAAAATACATCAATTGGACATGTCAGCCGCATCATTTTGGCATGTTCAGTCCTCATTGGGATGCTTAATAATGTTCGTACTTCAGGAAATAATTAGGAATTCTCTAACCAGAACTTGAAGAATTGAGATATTTGTACAGTCATACCTCGGGTTGAAGTAGCTTCGGGATGAATATTTTTGGGTTGCGCTCCGCAGCGACCTGGAAGTAACGGAGCGTGTTACTTCTGGGTTTCGCTGCATGCGCAGATGCTCAAAATGACGTCACGCACATGCACGGAAGCAGCGAAACACGATACGCGCAGTCGTGTCCTACGTTTACTTCAGGATGTGAACAGGGCTCCGGAATGGATCCTGTTCGTATCCAGACTGTATAATATACAAGTGGGAGCCTGAAACACAATGTTGCAGTATGGAATGCTACTTTTTGTGGTTCCAGTCAATCCGTTCCATTGCCTCATGGTCTAGTTTCCTTAGGTGTCCAATATTTTCATCTTCATTCTTTTAAATAAATTGTTCCCTCTTAAATTTGTTTTTTTCTAATCTTCTTCATGGACTATCACCTATCTTTTATAATGCTGTCATATTTCCCCCTGTCTCAGAAATAGTTTGCTACTGCTGTTACTGTCAAAGACCTACCACAGTTATAAGCCTTAGGTCTGATTTTAAATTTTACATGCCTTTTAAACCCGGTGTCTCTCAACATAGCTGTCAACTTTTCCCCTTTCTTGCAAGGAATCCTATTCGGAATAAGGGAATTTCCCTTTAAAAAAGGGAAACATTGACAGCTATGCTCTCAACATTCTGATATCCCTGCTATCACTTTTTGTTCCTTGCATGTTCAGAAATATTACAACCTTCCCCCCCTACTTCAGACCTTCTAAGTTTGTTTGGAATGTGGTGAAGGGAAGAAGACTCAGGAAAGTCAAATTGCTTTCCTTGCATAATTTTTGATGAATCCATTGTCAAATGACAACCTGAATTACTGATCATCCTTCCTTTTTACCCAAACCTTTGGGTAAGGAGACTGAGCAGACTGCAGAATCAATATTGTCTCCTTCCTGGTTCCCCATATTCGTCTCTTTGGGTCTTTGCAAAACCCTCAGTGGTTGTTGTTCATCCTCAGACTATCCTAATTATTCACGCGTAGTCCAAGTCTCTCCCCCCCCATGCCCAGTTTTAGTCTCCCCTCCCCTTCTTTTAGGATATTTTACAAATCCCCCTTTAAAATACATGTTTACTGTCTGTTCCTGAGCTCCACCTTGTCACAACTAACTCACTTTTGCTCTCACACATCCACTTTATTGGTAAGGAGGCTGAGGCTTCTGAGTCATTTAACTGATTTATTTTATTTAAAATTAGTTGTCCCTCTTATGCTATCAGTCAAGGGTGCTCTGTAAACTTACACAGTATGGTAATTTTGGAAATGGCTAACTGAAAAAATGTTCTTGTTAGCAAAAATCATAATACAGCTGAATAGTGGGAGATTCAGGACAGATTAAAAGTACTTCACACTGCATTGTTAAACTGTGGAATTCCCTGTCACAAACTGTGGTGGTGGCCAGCTTGGTTTTGGGATTAAATACATCATGATTATGGCTTTAGGTTACTCCCAAGATCAAAGGCAGCATGCCTCTGAATACCAGTTGCTGGGGAACAACAGAGGGAGAGGTCTATTGCCCTCACATCTAGCTTGTGAGTTTCCCATTGGCATCAGATGGGGAGGAAAGATGCTGGACTAGCTAGGCCTTTGCTCTCATTTAGCTACTTTTCTTACGTTCTCGATAGTGTGCTGCTATAGTAGTAATAGCAACATTTTGTTCAAAGTGCTTCATTTACTTGATCTGTATTCTGATTCTGTAAAACAGCTTAATTTAGTGATTTATGCAAGACTTCGAACAAATCTTAATGTCTGAAATATTCTATATCACCTGTTATCAGACATTACATTTTCTTCATTGAAAAGTCTGGCCCATGTTGGTGTCTATTGTTACATTTTTGTGGCAATCCTCTATGCACTGTTGTTCTGCCTCCTGAATTGTGCTTCACTATGTTTAAATTTTTAACTTGAGGTAACGGTGTTAGCTTTCTTTTATGGAAAAAAAGGAAAGGACTGATTATGATAACTCTTTTCTGTAGTAAAACCCATTCAGTAGTAAAACCCATTCATTGTTTTCATTATGTATGTATTTCTGTAACAAAATCAGCATCAATGCATTCTTTGTGTCTAATTTTTAGATTTTTGTTTTGTTTTGGTGAGAGAGTGCTGTTGTTGAATTGTGTTTTGACCTACTTTTTCATTCATGTTACAAACTAAAGACTGGAAATGTGAAATGTAAGGGTGACAATTTGACCACATTCTGAGACTTGAATATGTTCACAAGTTGCAAAGCCCTTAATTCAGATTTGTCCCCAGCATTGTGGACCATATGTTCACAGAGCATTCCATAGTTGGCACTGGAAACATTCTGCATGTTCTCTGTCTCCATGAAAAGTTGTGGGAATCCACTAAGGCAAAGTTCTCAGGTTTATTGACTGCAAAGGTTGCGTGGGAAGGGCTATAACTTTGTCTTGAACAAATTTACCTCAAAATAAGCCCTCCTGAGTACAGTTTGACTTAAAGGTAAGTGTGCTCTGAATCTCACTTTAAGCCACATCATTCTATCCCCCACCCCGCACTTACTGACTTACAGTATTCTTATATTGCCATAATGTAGAGACTCAAAACAACATCTGAAGTCTGGCAACAGATTGCTTTTTTAATACATGATACCTGAACCATCTGCACTTAGAGTAATTAAAGAAAGTGACTGTTTTGGATTCAGTTTCAACCTTAGAAAATGTCACAGAAAATATCCTTTTGAGTCTCAGAGTTATAGGGGATTGGTGTGAAGCAGGTGGGTGGTTTTAAATATATAGACTCTGTGTCTTATAAAGTATACTCTGGAGAAACTTTTCAATTTGGCAGTAGTTTACTTAACTATGACATCAGCTGCAAAGATCTGGCAAAAAATGGAGCATTTCCAAACCTGCAAAAAAATTTTTACCCCTTTAGTGTAAATTTTTTTTTACCCCTTTTTTTACCCTAATGTACATAAGAGACCTGGATGTGTGTGGAAGGTGGCATCTTCCTCAATGTTATGAAATACTGTCACATTAATATTGTTAGTGCATTGTCATATAATCTGATAGTCAAATAAAACCTCTGGATCCTTCTAGCTAAGTACGAGAATGTTTGCATTTTGCTTTAGCAAAGAAAGCAGATGGCAAAATCTTGCTATGGTTAACAATATTAGCAAAAATTAAAGTTGGACTTCAAGTGTTAGGCAGAAACTTTTACTTTTGATGGTTTACCTATATTGCTGAATGTATGATGAATTGTTTGACTCAGCATTTAAGAAAACAATGGCTACCAGTGCTAAGACACCACTGAAGTCTAAAATAAATGCCATCAATCTTTTGAAGGTGAGCATTAAAATGTTTTGTATATGTTTCTTTGCAAGCTAAGGAAATTGTGGATGTGCAGATAAACTAACATAACATGTTGCTACTAGGAAAGCATCAGGAATTAAAATGAGTAACACCTAAACAGCAGTTCTAAGATTAAGGCAAACATTGAATTCTTTGAATCAGTTTTCTAATTGTGCACAATTAGAAAACCAGAGGTACAAGTAGGTGTATCTATTTTAATTGCCAGGTCTTACCATTATGAGCATTCTTGTGATTACTTTCTTTACTTTTCAGTGTCTTATCCCAGAATGGGTATGAAAAATAATAAGATATGTATAAAATACATCAATTAGTACATTAACCTATTCCAAGTAGGGAAAGATTCTACGTAATGCTTCAGATTGCTTTGTGTCATAGGCTGGTTAGCACTTTACCTTTTTAGTCACTCAAGGTACATTGCAGTGAGGATCCAGAAAGACAGGGGCATCCAACTTACTTATTTCTAAGATTTATATATTGCTTTTTATTACTAACATTCAAGTCAGCTTTCCTGTTATTCTTTCCAGGGGGTTTAATAATAATGCAGTAAAAAATACAATTGACCATTAATCTAAGGGTACCTATAGATTGTCACTATTTTGTTGGAGGGATTCAAGTGCATACAGGAAATTTAGGTATGTACAATTAAAAATAGGAAAGACACTTAAAAGTGTGGGTTGAACAAATGGTTAATGGGAGGATGTGTGAACACTCTGCAAGTAAATCAGGATGAATGCTCACTGTTTTATAACTGCCCCATAAACAAATCAGAACAAATACTCACTAAAGATCAGATGCAGTCTACTCACCATGTAAGCTTTGTGTAAGCAAATGCTGGGCAGATGCTGAATAAACAGGAGGAGACCAGAACAATTAGTAATCCTAATTAAAATAAAGTAATAAATCACAAGTAGATAAGCCTCTAGTTTTCATTTAAAAGGAAAAGAGTAGTAGAAGAAGCAAGTTTCCAAAAGCACAACAGAGAAGCACAATCAAACCTTTCTGTTCTTCCCTATCCAGCAGGTGCATCTGTCTTGCTTGCCCATCAATGTTTTAGTAGCTTGTATACAGGTTCAAATCATAGTGCTGATTACAAGGTTTTTCATTCCAGAGGGATTCAAAATTCAACTATGATTGAAATAATTTATAGAGCATGTACCGTAATTGTGCCTAGCATGTGGCAGTGGTGGCAGCAAAAGAAAGCCTACTGTGTTGCCACCATTGCATCCTCAAGATGCTATGGAACACTTCTTAGGGTGGTGAAAGCTTTAGGCCCAGGAACATCAGTCCATCCCTACTCACAGAAGTCTATTGTGACACATTTGCCATGTGCTTGAAGAGCAATAGCACTCATTTCTGCTCCAGCTTTGATGCTACAGTTGATATAGGTCTGGTGTAGGTTTCAATCCCTTGCTGTGGGCAGGATTTAACCCCTGCTCATCAGCTGATAGTGCAGGTAGAGTGCTGCTTTGGATGGCTTTGTGCTGCTATTCACTTCTGGGCATGCATGCAGCCTATGCAGGAGTTAAACCCTGCCCTTGACCCATCAGCCGACATCATGAGTGATGTCAGCTAATGGGTAGGTGAGTATGATTTGGAGGAAACGGCCTTGCAGGCCAACTTGGACTGCCTGGTGAGCCAAGACTGACCTGTGAGCCCTGCTTTATAAGAAAACATAACTTCCTAAAAACTGCCTCATTTGTGACCTGAGGTTGGTTTTTGATTGTGGTTAGCATATCTGTTCAGGGTTACCAGCAGAAGAAAGATTAACTTTTAAAAGCAGCAAGAGGAAAGAGGAAAGTTAATGGATAAAGTGGATCGTTAGCACATAATTCAAACCTTAAGCATGTACTTCAGAGCTACTTTAAATGTTACATACATTTGCGAAAAATATATTGGATATTGAAATACTGTTTTTATGCTTGTTTATGTTGTTGAAAAAGCATAGCAGCATGTTTTATTGCTTAGCCATACTCTTTTACAATTCTTGATGAAAACTTAGCATATGCATCTTGCAAATAAACCATAAATAGCAAAAGGTTTAATATAATCAGAAAAATTCTACTATAAAAAGTAAACAAAAATAAGACCATCAACAAATGAATAAGCTGTAGAATTTTAAAAAACCCCACAAATTTAAACACACATTAAATTTTGATATGTATTTTTAAAAATTCCAACTACTGGATTGAAAGAATCTGCTCTCGTGTTTGCTGCTATTTTGCCAGAACCACGGTTGATCAAAAGTAAATCAATATAATGAACTATAAGTCTTAAAATGATTAACATCCTAGGAACTAAAGGAACCAAGATGAACTCTTTGTTTGACTCCCTGCATATAAATCAAACATTAGAATAAATAATCATGAATAGTTTTTTTAAAAAACTACTAAAATAGCTGAATTAAAAACAGTTTCAATTCACACTAACCTTGAACTGGAAACTTATTTGTACAAAAGAGATGCAGAAATCTCCAGCAGGCCAGATTCTCAGACTGGGCAAAAAGAAAACCTCAGTCTTTATCCCCTTCCAAACTGCTAAGCAAACTAAATAAACAGACAGTCCTTGGCCTCTGTACTTAGCATTGAATTCAAATAATTGTTCTTCCCCTGCCACCTCCACCACAAGCAGCCATATAGCCTTCAGGATGTTCTGCAGCAGACTGCTTATCAAGGTTCTCATAAGGTTGAGGTGGGGTAGGGAGAATAGCTACTGCAGCAGCTCTCTCCTTCCTTGGAAGTTTTTAAACAGAAGTTGTATGACCATCTGTCATGGATGCTTTAGCTGACATTCCTGCATTGCAGGAGGTTGGACTAGATGACCCTTGGGGTCCCTTCCAAGATTTATGATTCTATACTCTCATACAGAAAGCCCTGAAAGGCTAAACAAGAACAATAGGTGACAGATTGCATTATGTGGTATGCACAACTGTCACATAATTAAGTGCAGATTGCTTGAACACCTGTCATTCTGCTTACACCCATAGATATGTATGTTCTGAGTAATCCACTTCATCTTAGAATTTCTTATAAAGAATATTGCTTTATTATTAGTGCTATTTAGACCAATCTACCTTTCATTGTTCATTATTCTGAGGAATTACACTGCTAATTCCTGATATAATGAAATAATGGAATTTATGCTTTAGCTGAAAACCTAAGGTAATTTAATTTATGACTTAAGTGAAAATAAATGCTATATATAAATTCCTGCTGTTCTTTAAAAGTTGTGGCTGATACCAAACATTAAAACAGTTCTGTTGCATCTTCTGCTTGGCACATTATTGAAGTTTGTTTTAAGAAAATACCATAAGATGCTTTGCAACCCAAATCCTATAATGGAAACATTTTTAAAGTGCAAATTTAAAAATATATTGCTATGGTGAAATGTTCCAAGACAACCTATGGGCTATGATGTCATTAAAATTGCTGCAGTAAAGAATTCAGTATACATGGCTTTTGTCAATGACTGATAGCTTTTTCAGTACTGTGAAATGCTATTATATTTTGCTGGAATAGCTGTGGCAAACTTAATCCTATATGGTGGCAAGTCTGCAGTTTTTATGACTGAAAGAGACATCACTAACAGACTAGTGAAATGTTTTAATCTTCTAAAAGGTCTAAAAACATTGGTTACATTCTGTTTATTGTGACTACTTGGTAAAAATAATTTATTTCTGAAATACTGAAAGGAAATCAGCAATTGCTTTCATATTAAACTACTGCTCATTCACATACAGGCGGTTTTTTTCCAGTAGACTTTTGGGCATTTCTGACATGAACATGGTACTGTCTTTTATGTGAGAGAGTGTTTTCTTATGCATGAACGGTATTAATTTTTTATATTGTATGTTTTCAGCTTAGGATGATGTTTAGCCTTTGACCTAACCACTTTCTTACAATAAACAGTTTGTTGATGAGAGCAGCTGCTAAGAAGATTGCTTCCAGACTGTTCTCACAGCACTGAGTGAGAGAAAAAGTAAAGCAGAGTGCACCTTACAAAGGGCAGGAATGGCAAAATTATATTCACTGTGCTTGCATTATATTATATCAACATCTCTATATTTATGCATTGAAATACTCGTATCAGAGTGTACAATAAACATAGCTGTGTGTCTTCAAAAATAAGCTACTGAAAAAATACTCATATTTGCAATGATTCTGGAGTAGAACTTGGATGCAGTGGTAGCTGGGAAGTTGGTAGAGATTTTCTTCTAAATTATGAAATTGTTCCAATTAGTACATGAGGGTGGAGTTGGAGAGATTCCTTGATGCCTGGAGTTTGGGTCTTCTTGGTTTGGAAAAAATGTGAACAAGTGGGGACATGATAGAGGTGCATAAAACCATGCATGTATGGAGAATGGCATACTTCCTCTCTCATACTGTACAGTGTAATTTGCTGCAACAGATTTGCTGCAACAGATTATGGTGATTGCTACGGATGTACAAACTTCCCACCATTTTTTCTCACATAGATGCACATTCTTCTAGTATTTTTTCATTCTGCAATGAGTTTATTTTACCCAAGTCTTTCTTCAGGTGTGTCATGTGGAAATAAATTATTTTCAAATACATTGGAATACATATACCATGGAGTACAATAGACATGCCTCATCCATCAACATATTTGCAAATCAAAACCTTCCACATGTGTTTCCCTTCAAAGCTAATGAGTTTCCAGAGAGGTAGTCTTTTGTAGCAAAACAAGCAGTCTTGTGGCGTGTTAAAGATGAAAGTTCATGAAGTTGCTAATCACCCATCACAAAACTATATGCAGCTGCAATTTTGGTGGCCCTGTGGGTTAAACCACAGAGCCTAGGACTTGCCGATCAGAAGGTCGGCGGTTCGAATCCCCGCGACGGGGTGAGCACCCGTTGCTTGGTCCCTGCTCCTGCCAACCTAGCAGTTTGAAAGCAGGTCAAAGTGCAAGTAGATAAATAGGTACCGCTCCAGCGGGAAGGTAAACGACGTTTCCGTGCGCTGCTCTGGTTCGCCAGAAGCAGCTTAGTCATGCTGGCCACATGACCCGGAAGCTCTACACTGGCTCCCTCGGCCAATAAAGCGAGATGAGTGCCGCAACCCCAGAGTCGGTCACGACTGGACCTAATGGTCAAGGGTCCCTTTACCTTTACCTTTACTCAGTATGTCCAATTAAATTTAATGGGGCTTACTTCTAGGTAAGTGAGATTATGTTTGCAGCCTATCTCAGTAAGCTTGAGAGGATTGAAGCTCATGTCACTCACTTAACAACATAGAAGTGTTTTTTATTAGAACATTTATTTCTTAATTGTGTATTTAATACAGCAAATGGTCATGCATTTGCATGTGCTAAAACAGTGTTGAAGCTAATTTATGTTTTAAACTGTTTATAGTATTTTTGTGTGTGTGCCAATGTATTCCTGCTGTGTGAAGAACAATAATGATTTTTTTCAGTTGAGATTTGACTGGGAGTAGGGCAAAAATATTTTAAGATTTGAAAATAATGATTAAGAGGGTGGGCGGCTTCCAACAAAATATTAAAATACAGTAATCCATCAAACATTAAAAGCTTCCCCAAACAGGGCTGCCTTCAGATGGCTTCTAAAAGTCTGGTAGTTGTTCTTCTCTTTGACATCTGGTGGGAGGGCATTCCACAGGGTGGGTGCCACCACCGAGAAGGCCCTCTGCCTGGTTCCCTGTAACTTGGCTCCTCGCAGTGAGGGAACCGCCAGAAGGCCCTCAGTGCTGAACCTCAGTGTCAGGGTAGAACAATGGGGGTGGAGACGCTCCTTGAGATATACTGCACTGAGGCTGTTTAGGGCTTTAAAGCTCAGCACTAACACTTTGAATTGTGCTTGGAAACATACTGGGAGCCAATGTAGGTCTTTCAAGTCCGGTGTTATGTGGTCTCAGCAGCTGCTCCTAGTCACCAGTCTATCTGCTGCATTCTGGATTAGTTGTAGTTTCCAGGTCACCTTCAAAGGTAGCCCCACATAGAGCGCATTGCAGTAGTCCAAGTGGGAGATAACTAGAGCATGCACCACTCTGGCGAGGCAGTCCGCAGGCAGGTAGGGTCTCAGCCTGCATACCAGATGAAGCTGGTAAACAGCTGCCCTGGACACAGAATTGACCTGCACCTCCATGGACAGCTCTGAGTCCAAAATGACTCCCAGGCTGTGCACCTGGTTCTTCAGGGGCACAGTTACCCCATTCAGGACCATGGATTCCCACCCACCCACCAGCCTCCTGTCCCCCCAAAACAGTACTTCTGTCTTGTCAGGATTCAACCTCAATCTTAGCTACCATCCATCCTTCAACCGCGTCCAGACACTCACACAAATTGTGAGGCACCTGTTGGACAACAGCAAATATACATAAATGAATATCTAAATAACATATATTGCAAAGCAATTTGAATGGCTATTCAATTTGCATATCTGTTTTTGCATGTTAAAACATTTGTAGAGAATTAAGGTGGAAAGCTTTCATAGTAGGAGTCTGTTGTGATGGGGCTCAAGTGAGTAGATGAAAGGAAATCTATTTTATGGTGCATTTTCAGTGGATTCATCTGACATTCCTAATTGTTTTAGTTTCATTGTAATATTTTTAGTGTTTTTTTTTAAATGTGTGTGCACTTTTGTGTTTTTTACTGTTTCTCCTGTTTTTATTGTAAATCACTTTGAGATGATAGTTTAGAAGGCAGCTGATAAATTAATCATACTGGGACAAGGATAACTGTGACTTTAAGGATGAATGGGAACCCTTTACAAAGTATCTGAAGACGCAACAAAGCGAACTGGACTCCTTGGCAGGTTTTGAATAAACATCCACAAAATTTTTATTGATAATAATCAGCTAAATAGTTTGAGGATCTATACAACTTTGTAACATGCAGAAAACAGCATTCTTAGAGAAATCAAAGACTGGAACTGAGGGAAGTCGGGGGGTGGGTTGGGGGGTTTTGGGGGAGGGGGAGGGGGGAAATGGGGACACAAGGATGATATATTTTTGGATAATATGTCTTGTTATAATTTTGAATTAAAAAATATTAAAAAATAAATTAATTAATGATACTCATAGTGATGGTTACCAGCTTAGATGGCTTTAAAGGGAACAGAAGATAAAACTATCAATGGTACTCAACATGATGAATGGGTACTGTCTAATGCCTGTAAACACCAGTTGCTGGGGAGCACATTGGAGTGATTGGTTTTGTGCTCATGTCCTGCTTATGGGTTTCCAACAGGCAACCGATTGGTAATTGTGAGAATAGAATGCTGGATGAAATGAGTTTTGGACTAATTCAGCATAGCTCTTTTTATATTCTTAGAAGGGTGTTCAGTTGGCCCTTATGCTCACTTTTATTCTGCATTAATTTAGGACAGCCTACAACAATAATTTTAAACAGGGCATTGTGAGGCCAAAAGCGCATTGATTGTGAAGAGTTTGCTATATGTCATAGTCACAGTTTGATAGGTTGTCTCTGGCAAATCCTTAAAAGTTAAATTTATTGCACTGTAGCTGTTAAATTTATTGCACAATCTGAATTTCCAAAGGAACGAGTACTGAGGTTTGTCCTTATTTGCATTAATGCAAGCATGTCTGCCAACTTTATTTAAAACATAATTTTATGAAATGTTACCCAGATTAGGCCCTCACATTTATCTAGGCGTGCTGTCTTCATCTGAGAAAAAAAATAAAATATCTTTATCAGCTTTGTATATGATGTTAAACTTGTATTTCTGCAAACTTTAAATTACTATTTCTTATCATTATGTGCTAAAACAAAATAGTGTAGGTGAGAGGCAACCCTCCCACTTTCAGAGTTGCATTACGTAGCGCGCGGGGGAGGGGGGTATCCTAGTATAGGAATTCAAACTACTTTTTGAAATTATTTTTTTATGTGGTTCCTGGGATCATAGCAGATGTCACTTCTTTTTATCAGCAGACCACTTTCAAGTATTGACTGTGTTGGCACGGGTGTTACCATTTCCTTTATTTTGGATCACACGAGGGTCCTATTGCTACTGTTTTAGATTGTAGTTTGTTTGTGTTGGTATAATGACATGGAAGGTCTCCAAAGGACATTTGACAGTTTCACTTTTATATGTCTGGGTGTAATATAGCAAGTAAAGTATGTGCGCCAGTTCGGTTTCTTCATGGTGTTCAATTAAGACCCAGAGTGTAGTACTTTAAAAAAAATAATCAAAGACATTATTGATAAATTTTTACCCTTTTCTAAATTTCAAATAAGGGTGATTCTTGAACCAAACTTTTTACAAGTGAAAATAAGCTAGAAAAATAACATTTTAGCTATATGAAGGTGTGATATCTATAAATTCAGTCATATTAGAAACAGGTTATTCATAGTCTTCAATACACTGCTGCCACTCTGTGTATAAGTTTCAGTTGGCAGCAAATTTTAATAAATATATGGTCTTATAGAATTTAAGTTCAAGCTATATGTATATTAAGCTTTATAGATTTTTGACAGTGTTCTTGTAAACTTACAAGTTACTATTTCAAGGATCTTTTATCCATACTAGATGTCAGCTATTATGCACTGTGTAAAAAATTTAATTGATTTCATATACCCATCCTCTACATGACCTTTTCCTAAATTTTGTAATATGTACTTCCTTATAATTTGTTTCTTTTTTAAAAGCTGTTTTTGATGTGTACATTACAAACATGTCAGAATCTGAATAGCATCCATACTTTGGAGAGCTTTCTGTAGTTTTAACATGGTCAGATTTGGCCATGTTAACAGTTATAGGGTGGGTGAGTACTTAATGCTTTCCTAACTTTCCATTCCTTTACTCCAGATTGTTTCACAATGGCTATTCCCCCTACAAGGTTCCAGTTGCATGTGTGCAAGAGTTACATTATTTTTGTCCTAGATCTTAATTCTTTAGGTTTAGTAATTCTTTAGGTTCACTGCCAAAATGATCATGAAACTTCCACAAATTGAAACATTGAAGTTGACGCTCATGCATGAGACTTAACATCTATGCCTACTATAAAGCAACAGCTGAAATAGCATTTGTATTTTGTTTAAAAATATATATTGGACTTTATTCCTAGAAACCAAAAAGCCTCAGAGTTCATTGAAGTGAGTTTATGTAAGTTTATGTAACTATGGTTTGCTCCATGGCAGGGAAGCAGGAGAAAGCATATGGTGTAATGTAAGAACCTTTAGATTTCAGTTTGTTCATGTTTTCTTTGGTGACACAAGAATGAGATAATTTTTACCTTTCCATTTCATGTGATAAATGCCATGTGATGTCAGCTAATATTTACTATGTTAACGAAACAGATACCTTTTCCCTTGCATTGTTGAATGCTTAAGGTATTGTTGGTATACAATTGACAAGTAATATTTACATAAGCAACCACCGAAATGAAATAGCACCTCCTGTCATGTCAAAAAGGAATATTGAAGTTGGCTCTGAAAGAGCTATCTAGCCATCTAGTAATATGCAAAAAGTGGGAGCTATTACATCACATCATCCTTCGGTATAACAAGTGGGGTATTGCATACAATTGTCCATGTTACCAACAGTAGGCTTAATGGTGCAAAGTGAGTGCCCATGGCTTGCTTCAGATGTAATACAGGCAACCCTCTATTTATGTGGGGGTTACATTCCAAACCACTACACGCGTCAGTGAAATCACATATATTTGAAACACCATTGGGAAAAGCCTGCAAACACCCCATTCCACTCCTGCCCCACCCCTTTTTGTTACTTTTTTGGTCACTTCCGGGTTCAACACGCTGCACATGTGCACGGTCACACACATATTGAGCACGTGTAAATGGGGAAGTTGCCTGTCAAGTTGTGGGTTGACATAGCAGATGACACAGCGATTTCTCCAAAGCAGCTCTTTATTTTTGTAAGCTGGAACAGAACTGACTGAGGAGCTCAGTCAGCCTGCTTATATAGAGCTACAGAACAATTGTAACTGTTGCAACATTCTAAAACTATCCAATCACTGAACGTCACTTTTTGATCCTTCATTTGCATACAAAACTATCCAATCACTGAACGTCACTTTTCGATCCTTCATTTGCATAACTACAGTATCCCCCCGCTGGCCCAGGGTGATAACTTCAGTACATAATACCCCTCCCCACCGAGATAAGGGGTTAGTTACAATCGTAATGGTTTCCTTATATACAGCACTACACGTAATGGTTCAATTAGGCACAAAAGCATATCGGTTACTTAGACCAACAGTGATACATGTCCAACAACATAGTCCTTTAAATAAGTTGGGTGCTTGGAAACTGCCAGACCGCCGGGGACTGGTAGCCAAGTCCAGGGGGGCCACACAATTCTTGCTGAGGCTGTGGTGCGACCCTAGGTGGCGTTGAAACCAAATCCCCTGGATCCGCTGCTGTGGGTGGAGCCTCCACAAGTGGAGTGGTCTGAGCCTGTGGTAAGTCTGGCAGACCCTCTGAAGTGGCTTGGTTCGGCTCCACGCTGGCAGTTTGCGAGGGAGGTGTAGGTGGAGCCTTGCCATCTGTAAGTGTCTCTTCTGGAGCCACGAGCGCAGTTGGGGGCACCACGGTAGTGTCCAAGTCCACAACCCTGCGCCTAAGCTGGTCTATGTGCCGGCGCCACAAGCGTCCGTCTTCGAGTGCCACCTGGTACGAGCGAGGTCCAGTGACTCCCACTACTGTGGCTGGCACCCAAGGAATGTCCCCCACATAGTTCCGGGCAAAGACCTGGTTTCCTGGAACAAATGACCGTGGCGCATTGGCACAGCTTGGGGGTTCAGCCACGGCAAAGTCCGGGTGCAGCCGGTCGAGCGGTGACCTGAGGCGGCGGCCCATAAGCAGTTCAGCAGGACTCCGCCCTGTGGCCGCATGAGGGGTGATGTGTTGCACGAACAAGTATTCGGCGACCCGCTCGTGCCAGTCTCCCCGGTTCAGGCGCGCCAGTGCCTCTTTTGCCAAGCGCACCATCCTCTCCGCTTGCCCGTTGCTGGATGGATGAAATGGTGACGTTAGGGCATGGCAGATGCCCAGTCCCAAAAGATACCGCTCAAAAGTGCCTGACGTGAACTGCGGTCCGTTGTCGGAGACAAGGACATCAGGACATCAGGACACCCATGCGTCGCAAACAGGCCTCGCAGCACCCGGATGACGGCCTCGGTAGTGGTGGAGGGCATCAGGGCCACCTCCAGCCATTTGGAATAGGCATCCACCACTACCATAAAGGTCCGGCCGTGGAAGGGGCCAGCCAGATTGATGTGCACCCTCGACGAGGGTGTCTTTGGCATCTCCCAGGTGTGTCCCTTAGCTGCCGGTGGTGCAGGCCTCGATTCTTGGCACGCTTGACAGGCGGACACCCAGGCAGTGATGGCATCGTCCATGTTAGGCCACCAGACGTAACACCGAGCCAATGCCTTCATTTTGACAATTCCTGGGTGGCCAACGTGCAGAGCCTCCAGGACGCGTTGACGGAGTCTTTGGGGAATCACGACGCGGTCTCCCCAAAGCAGACAGCCGCTATGAGCCGAGAGTTCATGTTGTCTGGTTGCGAAGGGCTGGAACTCCGATGCAAAAGGCCCTTGTGGCCACCCCCTCCACACCCAGTTGAGCACACGGCTGATGGTGCGATCCTGGGCAGATGCGGAGGCCACAATGGCAGCCGATACAGGCGCTGCCGGAAGATCCTCAATCAGGAGGAGTGATGAAGCTGGAGCCAGGTCTTCCACAAACGCTGGAAGAGGGCAACGGCTGAGGGCGTCAGCATGGCCCATCGATTTCCCCGGGCGATGGACGAGCCGGTAGTGGTAGGCAGCCAGGAAAACAGTCCATCGCAGCATGCGCGGCGAGAGGACTGGTGGAGTTGGACGATCACCGGCGAGGAGGCCCAGGAGCGGCTTGTGGTCAGTGATGAGGTCAAAAGTCCTGCCATAGAGGTATTCATGGAACCTCTTCACTCCAGCCACAAGTGCCAGTGCTTCCTTGTCGAGCTGGCTGTAATTCCGTTCTGTCGGAGATAGCGTCCTGGAAAAGTAGGCTGGAAAACGGTGACTAAGGACAGCACCGATGCCAAAAGGTGAGGCGTCGCAGGCAAGGACCAGCGGCCTGGATTCACTATACTGTACACGGTCCGATGAAAGGAGAGCCTTGACCGCGTTGAAGGCCGCCGTCTCCCGATGACCCCAGGACCAAGGCATCTTTGTGCTGAGGAGTCGGTGAAGAGGCTCAGCCACCGTGGCTTTGTGGGGCAGGAACATGTTATAAAAGTTCAGCAGCCCCAGGAACGCCTGCAACTCCGTCTTGTTCTTTGGGGTGGGGGCCTGCTGGATAGCGCGGATCTTGGGTGGTTGGGTGAAGGCCGGAGGCATCAATAAGATAGCCCAGGAACTCTAACCCTGTGGAACGGCAATCTGGCACTTCTCCCTCTTTACCTTGAGCCCGGCCTCTTGGAACCTGGTCAGCACTGCACGGAGGCGCTCGAACAGCTGCTGGTGTGAGTCTGCAGACACGAAGACGTCATCAAAATATGGTACCACGCCCGGAAGCCCTTGCAGGAGACGCTCCATAAGGCTTTGGAAGATGCCAGGAGCCACACTCACCCCGAACTGCAACCGGCGGCAACGGAATGCCCCTCGGTGGGTGACGATCGTCTGGGCTTCAGCAGTGGCATCATCGACGGGCAGTTGTTGATAGGCTTGGGCAAAGTCCAGCTTAGCGAAGACCTTACCCTCACCCAGGGAATGCAGCAGGTGTTGGACAACAGGAACCGTATAAGCGTGCTGCTGAAGTGCCTTGTTGATCGTGCACTTGTAGTCAGCGCAGATTCTCACCAACCCCTCTGGCTTGACAGGCGTGACGATGGGGGTTTCCCACTTGGTGTGGTCAACCGGCTCCAAAACTCCTTGGGCGATCAGCTTGTTCAGTTGTTCGTCCACCTTAGTCTTGAGAGCAAAGGGAACCCAGCGTGGCTTTAGCTTGATGGGGGCGACTTGTGGATCAAGGCTAAAGGAGATTGGTGTACCTGTATATTGCCCCAAAGTGCCGTCAAAAACCTCGGCAAAGTCTTTGACCAGACCCTCAGTCTCTGCGTTAGAGATGCAGTTGATGCTGGTGACTTCCAGGCCGAGGGCATCAAACCAGTCTAGCCCTAGGAGGCTTGGCCGCTGACCTTCGACCACCACCAGCCGGAGCAGGCCCGAAAAATCCTTGAAGGCGATCCGGAACCGGCCAACGCCTACCACGGGAATGTCGTTTCCCTGGTGCTCCAAGACACGATGGACAGGGCAGACCCGGTGTCGATCTCCATGTCACATGGAGCTCCTTCAATGAGCACCGTGACGTTCAGCTTGCGTCACGTAGGCGAGTTGGTTTGGCCAATCGTGGTTCCAGACGGGCAGCGGCAGTTGGTGAGAGCGAAACAGCTTTCCTTGGCAGACTGGAGTGAAGATTGGACTTGCGAGTCGGTGAAGGGGGGGTGTCAGACGGAGCCGATCGGCAGACCTTAGCGATGTGGCCCCTTCTGGAACACTTCCGACAAATGGCGTCTCTGAATCAACACTTGGCACGAGAATGGTTGCCTCCGCAGCCGGCACATTCCGGTTGGCCCTTGGACTTCTGTTGGAACTTCCTGCGCTCTTGCTTTGTCTGGTGCACGTCATCATCTTCACTGGAGGATGCCTCATCACTGCTGGCCTCTTTGTGATGCACTGGAACTGGCTTCCTAGCAAGACGCAGGCTGCTGGACTTGCCGATCTCCTGGGCCACAGCCTCCTCAATGGCTTTCTGTAGCGTGAGGTCTGGCTTGACAAGGAGACGCCGTTGCAGATGGATGTCCTGGACCCCGCAGACGATTCGATCCATCAGGGCATCGTCTAAGGCTTGGAACCCACAGTGCATTGCAGCCTGTCGCAGGGCGGTGGTGTAGTTGTTGACTGACTCCCCCTCTGCCTGGTTCTGGTGGCAAAACGCATGGGCAGCAATCTTAAACGGCTTTGGCGCGTAGTGGTTGTGGAGCTTCTCTTGGATCGTGTCCCATGGTGTTGCCTGGACTGCTTCAGGCGCAACCAATGCTTGGGCCGTCTCAAACACCTCAGGCCCACAGAGGCTGAGGAATAGGCCCCGCTTCCGTTCCTTTGATACTGCTGTCAGCTCGTTGGCTTGGAGGTAGCAGTTGAACCGAGCGAGGTAGGAGTCCCATGATTCAGAGGCTGGCGCAAACGGCGGTAGAGGCACAAGTGAAGCCATGATTCCAATGCCGGCGTGAAGAGCGATGGATGGAACACAGTGCTCTAGCCAGAACAGTCAGCTCTGAATTGGTTCTGTCCAGTGATTTCGCTCAGTGATTTCGCTCTGTGATTCAGCTCAGTTATTCACCTTAGTTCAGAGGCTGGCCGCATCTGGCTGTGCTCTGATGTCCATCGATCCCACCTTCGTTGCCAGTGTTAAGTTGTGGGTTGACATAGCAGACGACACAGCGATTTCTCCAAAGTAGCTCTTTATTTTTGTAAGCTGGAACAGAACTGACTGAGGAGCTCAGTCAGCCTGCTTATATAGAGCTACAGAACAATTGTAACTGTTGCAACATTCTAAAACTATCCAATTACTGAACGTCACTTTTCGATCCTTCATTTGCATACAAAACTATCCAATCACTGAACGTCACTTTTCGATCCTTCATTTGCATACAAAACTATCCAATCACTGAATGTCACTTTTCGATCCTTCATTTGCATAACTATCTACAGTATCCCCCTGCTGGCCCAGGGTGAGAACTTCAGTACATAACATTGCCCATACACGTTTTAAAAGGGGAAAGATGGTTTAAATTTGTGAACATAAAATAATTGTATAACACTTAAGATTATAAACTAAAATTTAGAGTTCCGGGTTGGCGCCTCTTGCAATGGCGGATTTTCTCTGATCGGGAGGAATCCGCTCCGTGGAAAACAGGGTCTGAACCGCCACGGCGAGGCGGAGACCCATTAAAAACCACAGGTGGGAGAAGCCTGTGGACGTGGGATTCAGCTGGCACCTTTTGCGCCTCCCCTACTCGCGGGGAAACCCGGTTTCGGGGATCCGGAGTGACGTGGGGTGAGCGGTGCGGTGCTTCGAATCGACTGCTTCTTTCACGGAGTGAAGCCGCATTGCTGTTGCCAGAGAGTGCTGACTTTTTCCTGTGGACAATTGGACTCTAAACAACTACCCGTGAGTAGAACGGAAAATTGGATTTCTAAACTCTTTAATTTGGCATCGAAACGGGAAGGTCTCAAACAGGAAGTCCGCCTTCCTTTTTTGTAAACAGGGTAAAGCAAAGACGTTGCAAGCTAAAGCCTGGAAAGTTTTCTGTAAAGGATTAAATCTCCATCGGTTAAAATAACTAACCCCCCCCTTGGAAGCAGGAGAAGAGGGGGGAAATTCTATTGTTTAAGCCTGCAGGAGAGAGTGCGAAGAAAGATAAATCACCACCGTTTCGAACCTGGGAACAGACTGTCGGTAAGATTGATGCTTCATTGACTGAGAACAAAATGATGTTGACAGACAGTTAAATAAGAGTAATACATTGTTTCAAGTGCTTTCTTTTACATTTAAAAAGGAGGGAAAAAAGTAACTGAAAATTGAAACTAGCTCGGTGGCTGGATCTGTGCTTAAAAGGATGGATACAAATAGAAATTGTTTCCTTTAGAGGGAGCTTTTGGAACTGTTGCAGGAGTGGAGCTGGGGAATTTTCCAGCTGCAGAGATTAAAGAGTGTGAGAACTAGAGTTTGACCTTGGACAAGAATGTTGACAGAAGAAGCCCTAGTGATTGCATTTTGCAAGACAAGTGCTTTATTGGAACAGCTTCAGGAGAAGACGGATTTGAGGATTACTAAAATTGACAACTTGGGAAAAAAACCGGCTGAGTTGGGACAAAAAGGGAATACTTATACAGAAACGACTCAGGAATTGACCCAGGAATCTGTTTTGACATGGCAAGCTGTGGAGAAGAAGGAGAAAGTTGTTGTTGAATCTCAAGTAATTCAGGTGGAGGGAGCCCCGGCCTCCCAGAGCCAATTTGATGAACATAAGCGGTTGTCTTTTATGACTGAATCTAGAGAAAGTCAGATTTGGTGGGATGAAACCCTGCTTGGATTGGAGAAGGAAAGTTGGATAGATCCTCCTATGCAGGGATGCTCTGGCCTTTGGGATTTTGATTTGGGTCAGGGGGAGAGTGGCGCTCTGAAATATCTTTTGGACTTTAGTTCTGACTATGGAGAATGGGCTGACCTGTTGAGAAGGAATAAAGACATTGCTAGGTTGGAGCTCCCCCGAGATCTACTCCTCAGTGCCAAAGGAAGGAAATCAAGACCAAGATCAGCAGAAGACAAAGTAATGTGCATGGATATATATGAAGAAGATCTGCAGAAGGGACAGGGAAGAGAGTTAAGACCCTCGGACAGAAGGTCACCAGGTTAATGGACTATATGGTATTGATAGAAAGGGCTGACAGAATCCGAGACCAGGGAGAGGAGAGGGTGGAAGAGGATCGGATTTTTAATTTAATTTTATTCAGAGAAATGTTGTAATATCAATGAGTGTTAGAAAAATGTTGGAATGAAATTAGAAGGCTTTAGTAGAAATGTTATAAGGAGTTAGGCACAAATAAGTTTTAGGGTATTAATGGTAAGATAAGGTTAAAATAAATCATGATAATTATATGATAGAAAATAGTGAAAGATGGAAAGGATTTGCCGAAACAATTAATAACTAGAATACAAAAAGGGAGGTGTGAGGAGGTCGATGAAACACGTTAATGAAAGATAAAGATATGGAAATAATGGATATGTTTTTAATTGTTTTTGTTTTTGTTTTGATGTATTGTGTTTTTTAATGCTTTTCTCTTTTATGTATATGTACTGTAATGTGTTGATTTTTACTGCTTATTTTTTCTTTTCCCTTTTCTCTAATTCTTAAACTTTTAATAAATATTATTTTAAAAAAAGATTATAAACTAAAATTTGTTCTTTTGGTAGGAGCTTAATAACTTACTTAAATTGAGCTGTCATTGATTCTACCAGTTTTAGGGTAGGTTGTTATTGATATAAACGCTTGTGTATTTTTAATAGCAAAACTTAAAGTGTTTGAAGAGTGCCACCTTCCTAATGATGATGATGATGATAATGTTAATATTTATACCCTGCCCATGTGGCAGGGTATATTGAAACATAATAAAACATCCAACAGTAAAAACTTCCCGATACAGGGCTGCAAATCTATAGAGATTTGCTGTGATGGCACATTCAAATGCCAGCAGGTGTCTGTGTAAAACACAGTCCAAGCAAATGCATGCATCCTTAGCTAATTAAGCATGGTTTAATTTTAACACACATGGCTACTGATATATGTTTTGTGTTCTTTCTCATAATTTGATGCTGGCTTCTGTAATCATTACCAGGAACCTCGGTCTCACAATTGTGCTCTTTATGTGGTATTTCTGACAAGGTCTCAAGGGAATATAAGGTCAGATATTTGAACATTAGTACCAACACCTTTCATTTAAGTGGCCACTAGAGGCTGCCACAAAACAGTGCACACCTTGGTCTATAGCTTGTAAATAGTGTTAAGTTCTGAGTTCTGGAATCAAAGCACTTAGGTGTAGGGATTTTCTTTTCATTCATAGCTTTGAAAAAGTAGTTTACAGACAAACATATAGGTTTGTTTCATTTTTACTAATATTTATGTCTTATCAATATCCCTAAAAATAATATTATATTTCTGAGATAATGCTTAATAAAACTGGATATGGATTACTATTGGCAATGGTCTTCCCTTGTTTCATACATTTTCATATGTCAGTATATTTTAAAAGAAGCCCCTTTTTGACGCTAAACAAAATCTCATGGATCTTGTGGATAAAGTAACAGAGAAGAAGGTAGAATGGGCTTGAACAACTACTTCACATTCTTTAGATAATGCTCTTTCCTTCAACAACTTAAAAAGAACTACGTGTTAACATATTAAAATAGATTAAGATTAATAAGGGATATATTTGGCTAAAAAAACTAGTTTGAAACAAAAAAATATTTCTTTTTGATGAAGTAAAGGGAATTTTGGCATGAAATTGTATTCATCAATTTTTCATTTAATTAATTGCTTGACACATATGTCTCCAAGTGACATAAAAAATGTGAAAGCATAAAGGATTTGATAAAATCCGAAAAAGAACAATGCATTGCAGTAAAAGTCATAAAAGAGACTTAACAAGTCAGAACCAACATTTCAGCAGCAAAAACTCTCCATCAGAAGGTGGTTTGACTATAACATAGTCAAGAGATTATAACATGCCAGATTACAACATATAAAATACAATGAAATGACTAGCTATAAAACATCAGTAAAAACATCAGTAAAACATCACTAGATACTGGTAGATGCATTCAGACCATCATCAACATCCTTTTGGCTCAGGTAAAAACCTTTTTATGAACAAGCAGGTGATAAATTTTCAAGTAAATAAATAATACAATGGTGCATCAAATAATGGGACACAAACTGTTTCAAACTGACTTTAAAACTCAATGAGCTGATAAGCATAGCATGTGTTGGGAAAACTGTTGTTAGAAAACCTTATCTTCAAATAAATGATTCCTAACTGATTTTTGTCTAATTTTGTTTTATGCCCAACAGGATGTCCATAGTTTATTTTTGGGATGGCTTGAAAGAAACGTGAATGCAGAAGGATTAATCAGATCCAGCATGGTGTCCCTCAAGTTTGTATCATCTTGCATCAAAGGAACAGAAGTAACACCCTCGCTCATGCCGGTAGTTACTGAGATGCAAGCTTTCTCATCCGAACATTTCAGTTTTGAGAGATACAGGCAAAATCTACATACAAAGAAGCTTGGGAAAGTGGTTCTGTTTGCTGAAGTTACGTCAACCACCATGAATCTTCTTGATGGGTAAGATTAGCTGTGATGGTGATAGCTTTTTTTCTATATATTAGTTGGCAAAAACAAAAATGTTCTGTTGGACTTCCCATACTCCCAATTTACTGAAAATAATTCTGGCATAGGAATACAGAGACCCTTAACATTTGACCAATTTGCTGAAAGAGGTTAGACAAATGTTAAACATATAAACTGTCATTCATTAATCAATATATATGCTTTACTACAGAGTCTATAGTACAGTTTTCCTGTATTGGGAGCATTAGATCCTCAGTCTTATAGCTGTAACAACACAAGCTTTAATTCATGACACAGCAGCTCAGGGGTGTTCCATGCAAGTATGCAGCTTTTCATGTTGCAGGGTGGCAGTTGTCTTTTGACCATGTGGGGTTGGAATGGTGATAGGGATGAGAAGGTCACTCCTTTTGTCTTTAGGATACTCTGTTAGAGTTAAGCTGTCTCCTAACTTGCAAAAAACTTTTTTATGTGTACGGCCCTTCCACTGTGTACTCTTCCACTGTGTTAAGGCCCTTTCCCCAGATGATTGCATGGACCTAGAATCTCCTTCTAGTGTTTGGAGGAGATGGACCTTGTTTCTGCACAAGAAGCTCAGAGCACAGAATCAGCCTTTTTCTAGCAGGAATTGAATGAATTTCTAATTTGAACTTGAACAAGTGGAGTTATAAGATTGCAACAGCAAATATATGTTGCACAGTTTCCAAGGTAAGCAGCTCCACATTTTTCCATTGTGACTGTTCTGAAACTGAGCTTGTGAAACAAAACATTCTTTTTTAGCAAGCAGGCTAACATGCTGAACGTTTCTTGTTGGCAATTTTGGTCTGTATAAATCTTTGTTCTTTTAAAATCGTTATTTTAGAATTTTGAATCACACCACAGCATCACTGCAGTTGTGGTTTTGGAAAAGCTAATGAGCAAAGAGTATCTCATTGATAGCTGTAGTTCTTTAATTTATGAACATGACTGTTTCAGGTTTTTAACCTCAGCAACTAACTTCAAGAGCTTATGCTATAATAAATTAGTTATGCCTTAATGTGCTAATATTTTAGCTACAGGTTAATTAAACTGTACTGAGCAAACTGTCTATATGCATGCAATTTTCCATAAATTGTATAATTTTAGAATATTTCAAGGCAAATGTTGAAATCTTCATTATATTTTGTGCTATTCTGTAGCTAGATGAAAAAAACTGACTTTTAATTTAATGGAAAGGTGAAGTTACTCTGCAGTAAATATAATGGTCACATGTCTTAAATGGACATATCCTATAGACGTATCCATATCTGGCTTTCCATCAGCAGAACAGTGCATCTGCCAAATCTTACTGCCTTTCAGTCTGTGTCTTTCAAATATAGGATAGCAGCCTCAATTACGTGAACATTCTTTTTCTTTATCTGAGTCTTTTTCTTAGAAACTAGATACACTAATATGTTTCCACAGTGGGTTTTTCACTAAAGTCGGTGTGGACAGAGTAGTTAAAGATTTTAAAATATTCAGCTCATAAGAAAGCCAGATATGGAATGATTCCCCACAGAGTCATTTCAGCAACAAAGAAATGCTGGCAGAATGACTGAAGTGAGTTTGGGTCACGGGTGGCACAGGGGAGAAGCACACTTGTGTTGTATCCTATACCACTTCAGTCTATATCCACATTCCTGTTGGTGGTACAACCTTTGCCCCGGACCAAATGCAAAAAAAATAAAAAAATGAATCCATGTCATTGACTTGAGTGTGAGGGGGCAGGTGTCTCTAGTAGCACAAGTACACAAGTAGATTTGTGTTTCTTTCAGGGTATGTAGGGGAGGGATAATAAGAGTGGGAGGGGCATTAATTCCTGGGATGCAGCATAGGGAGGGATTGGTCACATTGTTTGTCAGGAGAGGGGATAAGACAGACTAGAAAGACTAGTTGGCCATGCAAGGGCCAAGCTATCCAACCATGTTGCATTCCTGATCACTGATTCAGGCTTGTTTCACTGGAGGCTGCTTTCCTCTTTCTTAATAAGGGAATTTGTCCTGGATTTATAACATACGCTCTTTTACTCAGCTGAGGCCCCTGTGTCATGACATCTATGAGTGGGGCTGGGGTTAGAAAAATGCCCTGTGGCAGGGTTGGGTAACTTCATGTCCAGGGGCAAAATACAGTCGTCCAGCCTTTTTTATCCAGCCTTCATGACTCTACCAAATACCCATTCCTCACTGACCCACTCTGCTCCCTCCTCAAGTGATTTAGCCTGGCTGGAATGTGTTCTTTAACTTTCAGTAATGTCTTCTTGCTGGATAGTGGGTGGAAAGGTAGAGAGGGTGGTCATGTAGGTATAGAAAACCTGTGATTTTGTGGAGTGCCTTGTGTCTTATTAAATCTTGCAGATTGGTATTAATGTAGATTTAAGGTAACTCCAAAAATATCTAAAATAACCTTTTCTATAAAAGAGTACATGTGTCAATTTATGATCTATTCAAATGAGTGTGTGTAAAGTTAATATTCACTTTATTGCTTTTTTTTTGGTCACTGTAGCTAAGGGTATCATGTAGCAGAACTAACTTCCCATTTTTTTCTTTGACAGTCCAGACCATAGTCTATAGAACATTATGCTATTATATTGTTAAAGCTAAGTAGGTCACTTCACGGCCACTCTACCTTGGTTTGGGATCATGGGGGTGGGGCAATATAAATGCTCTAAGTTTCCCAATGAAACAATATATGTGTATAATAAATTTATACTCAGTATTCTCTGTGTGCAGAAGACAGGAAGTCAGCAGAGCAAGAGACAAATTATTGCTGGTTCTGCTGTATTCCTTGCTTTTGTGCTCTTTCTCTTCCATTGTTTAGTCATAACCCCTGCCAGGTATGCTACTTCCCATGACCAAGGCCCACACATGGAAGTAATAGTGTCCCTGGAGCTTGTACAAGGAAACCTATATTGCTCCCTTGCTATAGATAGAGTGCACTTTTCAGGTGCCAGGACTAAGTGGCATGAGAAAAGAGAAGGGCTAGGGAAACTAAACTGGGGTGGTTAGTCCCTGCCATCTTTGGTTTGCTAGTTTCCCATACTCCACCACATGACGGAGGCAGGAGAGCAAAGAACTCTGAGAGCCAGGCACAGTTCCCTTCAGTTCTCTCCTCCCTAACGGATCAGGTCACTTTCTTCTGGCTGTCTCTTATCTTCTCTGTCAGCTAAGTGTTTTTAACATCAACAGCACTTTATTTCTACTTATTTACTGTTCCCTCCTATATCTTATCAATTTCCAGTATTGTGTGTATGTCCGTTTTCTAACTTTACTCGTTTATTTTCACTGAGGTTAAAAAAAAGCGGGGGGGGGGGGGAACGACACATTTCCCACTTCTTGTCACTTTGCTTTTCCTTTCCTTTCTTTCTCTGATTGACCAAGTCAGAAATTGCATTCAAACATTCTCTCAAAAGCAGGGTGTGGGATATTCTTTGGCCCAGATTGCATTTACTGTTAAGCTATGACTGTGAGGAGGAAACAATAAACTTCTGCTTCCATTTTTAATAATCCTGGTTTAGGTCATGTCCCAAACCTAAACTATGGTTAATGAAAACAACCCAGTTTCATAAACTATGGTTTGAAATTGACTTGATTCCACTACTTATAGTTAAGGCTAAACACAGTTTGTTCATGTTGGGACATCACAAGAAGCTGCAGTTAGCTTAAAATGAAAGTTAAAGTCTCATCTTGCAGCTGTGCAGGAGGGGGAAGATGGCCTTGGTCCAAGACTCACTAGTTTCTTGCTGTAAATCTAAGCCATGGTATAGTCTTTCATGTGAACAAAGCCTTTGAGAGATGCAAGCACAATGACACCTTTGTGTAGAACTAGTTATATACATTTTGGATTTTTGGCCTAGAGCTACATTAGAACATGCATAGAAATAAGAGCTGATGCTGTGGTGCTTAGGCCATTTATTTTATTCTTTTCAAACATGTTTATACATGGTACTAGGGTTATTTACTAGGTTAATAAAATGCAAATAAATTATCTTGAATAAGCTTTGATTTCACGGAAATGTATTAATGTAATTTTAGGCTTTTCCTGTTTATGGAATGTTTTTGAGTTTTGAAGGCTTTTTAATATGAAAATGTAATGTGATTTAATAAATGAAATCTTGAGATTGCAAATGACATCTCATATTCAGACAATGGGTATATAAAGTTTATATTTAATAGGCTTCCAAACCTTTCTGAAGCTGGATACTAAATCTATCCCAGTCCCTCAAATCTACATATCCCCCCCCCACAAAAAAAATTAAGACAGAGAAGAAAGTGGGCTGGAACTAATTTAATGGCTGAGTGACCTCACAGTAGAGAAACAGCCGGAGTCTAATAGGGGTCTTTGTCTACATTTCCACCCTAGCTGGTAACTTGCCAGTCAAAAGTCAAGCAAGAGAAACAGGTGGGAACTATTAGACCTGTCATAAAGTTTGAAAAATTGATTCTGGAGCCTAAATGAATAGATTAAACTTGACAGTGTTGTCCTAAAGATTCTAAGAAAAATTCTGTAGTTTAATTTTGAGTCCCTTGATTATTCATTAGCTCTCCAGATGGCCTGTATTGATGTATCACATATTATTATACAAGCTGTATTATTGTTGGCATATATTTGCATGTACAACTAACAAGCAATGTGTGAACACCTCTATTAGTATCTTTAAATTAAGGGGTATTACTCAAATTGTAAAATAAAGATTTGTTTAAATATTAAATAATTTGGAATGATCAGTAATACTTGTATTACTCTGACATCAGAAATGTTTAAATCTATTGGGGCTATCATTCTGGAATGATTTGTTCAAAATTGTCATTGTCATGGTGGCTGTGGAAATTAAAGTTAAATTTATCATTTTATAGCATGTCAGTCAGAAGCATTACCAGTAACTAGGACAGGTTAATGCTGTCATAGTCCTTCTGTAATGTGCATATCTTTGTTCATTATTAAGGATGTACCTGCAAAATTACAAATTTCATGTAGGTTAGGAATAATTCAAGAGTTGCTTGAGAAATACATCAAGTGTCAGGCAATTGGTTTGAGTCAAGTTAATTAAAATCATTATTAAAATCAAGAAGAAAGAAGCCAAATTTCAGTTAGTGATATAAATCAAATATTCATTTTTGTAATTTCATAGATTTCTAAAACAAGTGTGCTAGAATTAAAACATACTGGTTTGCAGCTAAACAGAGCCTTTATACTGCCTGGGAGCATATTCCAAAATATTTGTTTGCATAGCCTCATGCAATGCAAGCATCTCTCTCACCCCTCTCCCTCCCCGCAAGGCTTTTCAAGAAGATGGAAAATCTTTATGACAGCACAGACTTCAGTGGGAAAGAGAAACTGCCCAAAATTCTGCAGAAGTACTTTCTGTGAGTTGATAACTACTCATGCAAGTTGCCTCTGCCTTATTTAGGCAATAGTCTCCAGTGATCTCTGATCCTTGGGAGGTGCTTCTTCAGGCATTCAAGAAAGAGGACATTGTGTAAGCAGGACACTTAGCAAATCGCATACTTTTAGACTACAGTGAGACTCCAAAGAATCTTGAAACTGGTTCTGTGAACCTAAGGGGTTTGCAGGTTTGTATATTTTAAAACAACCCCCTCTGCTGCCTGGCAAACTGCTTTGGAAACTGAAGAGAGTTTCATAAGCAGGTAGCAATACTTTGCAGGAAAGCAATAATTTAGACCCAGGATTGTGAATTGTTTTGTTCTATTATTACTAGCTGGCCTTAAACCATGGTTTGTTGATGGCTTACCAATCATGTTTTATTATCGTGAACTTGGATTCAAATGTACTGTTAAACTATCATTCCTGATCTGTTTATGTGCTCATACCAGGCAAGGAAGATGAGATACACACTTCTTATAAAGTATATGATTTCTTTCAAAAATATGGAAGTCATGGTACTAAATGTGATTTTATTTTGTAAAGTGATTTTAGTGGCAGGAATGAATGTATAATATGACTATTTCCAAGTAGAAGAACTTTGTTTGTAAAGAGCTTTTTTCAGGACAGGGTAACTCTTACGATTTGTGATTATTATTATTATTATTTTCATATCATTATGAAACAGTGCTCCTTGGGCTTGTGAATTATGTGCTCAACATTGGTTTATTAAAAAAAGAAACCATTTAAAGTGAATTGTAGTTTTCTGCATGAAAGTATTGTTCAAGAGCTACATGTTGTTAGCATTATCATTTTTGTGGCACTTTTCCCCCCGTGACTTTTTCCACAAGTGGTTAGATATTGGGCAGGAGAATGATGCCATGGCTAAAAAAAGTATATTATTCACTTTTTACTGTGCATAAAATGTGGATCGTTAGAACAGAAGACATGATCATTACATGCTGTAGTATATGAACCAGTGAACAGAGAAAGAAGCAGCTAAAATTGCTGGCCACTTCAGGTTCCTGTACTCATTTTTAGAGGAATGTTTCAAAACTGACATCTTTAATTTAGTGGACTGAATGTGCAGCCATAAATGTCAATCCAGCACATGCAATGTTTTTTTAAATGGAGAATTAGATAGAAAAGAGATTGAAATACTGGAATTTTATAGTATATGCTATACTGTCAACTCTTCTTATGCAAGTTGATCTATTTTGAGCCTTCTCCCTCTTTTTTTTGGCAAGAAACATCAAAGTGAAAGTGTTGCAAACTGCTTCAAGCTATGAACTTGATGTTATTTAATTATAAGGCTCTGATTATAGTTTGTAGCCTTTAAATCAGCGTTTCTCAACTCGTGTGAATGGAGGGGGGCATGGCATGAGGCTAGGGGACCACAAAGGGAAGTGAGAAATGAAGAAAACAGAGAAGTGACCCAGAAAAGAAAACAGAAAACAGAGAAGTGAAAAAAATAGAAAACAGAGAAGTAAAGTGAACAGAGAAGTGACTGTGCTTCCCAGTGGATAGATTGCCACATGCACTATGCGGCAACATTGCTTCTACTTCCTTCTCCCTCCCACTTCTGCACTCCACTGCTTTCCCTCTTTGGCAGCAGTTAGTGATGAATTGAAAGATGATGAAATAATTGTGCGTGTGAATCATTTGAAGCAGCTATATAATGTTATGGAAGTTCATTTCCATGATCTGCTGGACATGGATATTCCGCCCTGGGTAGTTGATCCATTTGCTGCCTGTGAATGCTGCTGATGTTTATGTTTCTTTGCAAGAAGTGCTCATACAGCTACAGAGTGGTATAGCAGCCAAAGTAACTTTTAGTCAAGAAAAGCACCATTTTTGGATAAAGAGTACAATATCTAAAAAGGTTCCATGGCTTTGGGATAAAGCAAAAATGTTTTTTATGGCATTTCCTACTTCGTATTTGGTAGAATCAAGTTTCAGTCATGTGAATTATTTACTCAGCCTAATGCAGAATCGCCTTGACATAATGGGCAGAGGTGATCTTCTGTTACCCCTCACAGCAATAGAACCGGATATTTAAAAAAAGCTCGTTTCTAGTCATCAAGCAAAAGTATAAATTTCTATGTAATTGTATTTTGTATAAATTATAACAGTTATAAATAAAATATGTTCTCTTCACAAACAAAACATTTAAATAGCTACCTTTCTACCAGTAGGACCGGGAGGGGGGCACAGGAAGGAAACAAGGTTGGATAGATGTTGTTATACCAAGTACTGCTCTTACTTTTTGATTCAAACAGTAACTAGTCCCTAAGATAATTGACTTGGGAAATCACCAGACTAAACCATTACATAGTTTAAATTCTCTGCAGTGGTATTACATTGCTGGAGAATTCTGAATTGAGCCGCCCCTCCTTTTCTCATGTACAGCAATTCATGTTGGGTGGATTTGTATAGCAATTCATGCTGAACATGAATTCATGTACAGCAATTTGTGTGCAGCAATTCATGCTGAATGTGAATTAATGTACAGCAATTCATTGTTCAGTGGACTTGTGACTGGTTGGCTGACTTGAACCAAGATAATAGAATTGTAAAATTGGAAGGGATCCCAAGGGTCATCTAGTCCAACCCCCTGCAATGTAGGTATCTTTCACCCAATGTGGGATCCAAACCCATGACCCTAAGATTACAAGTCTCATGCTCTACCAACTGAGCTATCCCAAATCATGGTTCCTTATCATCCAGGGAAAAAATGACAAGTGGGATGTGACAGGATTCTGTGCTGGTTCTAGTTTGTTCAAAATATTTCTAAATGACTTGAATGAAAGAATAGAGAGCATGGTGATCAAATTTGCAGATGACACAAAACTTGGAGTAGTACCTAATACCTCAGAATGTTGAATCAGGATTCAAGATGACCATAACAATGAATTTCAATAGGAACAAATGTAAGGTTCTGCACTTAGGCAGGAAAAATCAGATACACATACGTAGGATTGGGGCACCTGGCTTGAGTGCAGTACAGTTCTAGTGTCCAGATCAAGGGAAGTAATAGTACTCTATTCTGTTTTGGTCGGCCCCAGACTGGAGTACCTTTTCCTCTTGTGGCAGCACGATTTAAGAAGGATATTGACAAGCTGGAACATGTGCAAAGGAGGACAACCAAGATGATCAAGGGTCTGGAAACCAAGCTTTATGAGTAACTGTTGAGGGAATTGAATATATTTAGCCTGGAAAAGAGAAGACTAAAGAGGTGATACGATAGCCATCCTCAAATATCTGAAGGGATGATGGAGCAAACTTGTTTTTCTGCTGCTCTAGTGGGTAGCACCTGAAACAATGGATTCAGATTGCAAGAAAGAAAATTGTTACAGAAGAAGGTAATATTTGCTCAGAGGAAGAGAAGAGGTGGGAGTCTTTTTGAGCTCGAGTCAAATGAGCATTTACTCAGATTATGCCAAAGCATGGTTTGACATTGCATCTACAGGAATTGTTTGCTTCATGTAGATATAGAAGGAACTTGTGTGCTTCTTCACAGTCGGAAACAAAAAAAGTACATCGCTTTCCATAGCATTCTCCATTGTCTGTTTAACATAGCTTGAATTTATTTATTTATTTATACCTGAAGGAGCGCCTCCACCCCCATCATACTGCCTGGACACTAAGGTCCAGCGCCGAGGGCCTTCTGGCAGTTCCCTCGCTGCGAGAAGCCAAGTTACAGGGACCCAGGCAGAGGGCCTTCTCAGTGGTGGCACCTGCCCTGTGGAACGCCCTCCCACCAGATGTCAAAGAGAAAAACAACTACCAGACTTTTAGAATACATCTGAAGGCAGCCCTGTTTATGGAAGCTTTTAATGTTTAATAGGTTATTGTATTTTAATATTCTGTTGGAAGCCGCCCAGGGTGGCTGGTGAAACACAACTAGATGGGCAGGGTATAAATAATAATATATTTTCTCGGTGGCTGCTCCCAGACTTTGGAGCTTCCTCCCTGGAGAAGCTAGACAGGGCTCCTCTTTGCTGTCCTTCTGCTGGCAGATGAAGACTTTCTTGTTTCAACAGGTTTTGGGGAATTAACCACTTTTAATTAAATGTCTGGTGCCATACTGTTTTCATTGTAATTATTGGTTTGTTTTAAACAGATTTTACATACATGTATAGTTTTAATACTATCATTGTTTAATTGTATTTTTATGATCAGTTTTACTGTGTATTTAGTGGTTTTTGTTTTTATCTGTGAGCTCCCTTGAGTCCAATCAGGGGAAAAGGCTGAGTATAAATAAATATATAATAATTTCTAACATTAAAGAGCTTCCAGATTTAGCCAATCTTTTATATGTGTGACAAAAGCAATTCTGAGATACAGTTGAAAAAAGTATATTTTAGAACTATTTTATGAGCTGTTACTGTAGGTCACGTTTATCCATCACTGATTTTTCAGCATAGCAAGTGCAGCCTCTTTCTAGAAAGCCACTAATTAGGAACAATAGTTTATTTTTTTACTGTGATACATCATCTTCTTTACTCAGTCATATTGTGAGTGACATGGAAAGGTAATTCACAGCTTGCTTCTAGAAGGCTCAGATGATAAACGGTACAATTCAGTTTGTGGGAATTCATCCTTGGGCACACAAAGATGCTTCAGGAGGAAAAATACTGGCCTGCTATGCAATACAGGGTTTTCACTAAGCGCAGCTCCATGTTTTCATTCCCTGTCTTGCTAGATCTGTTTCATTTTCAGCAAGTGCTACTAGGAACTTAAACAGTTCCGTTGAATAAGATGAGACTGTGGTGAGAAACTTTGAGAATGTTTGGGGTTTTTTTTTGCAGAGCCATGACATCTGCAAGTCTTTGTTATTAATAGATGGGATGGAGAACTGTTGGAAATATTTTGGTCTGTTTTTAGTCTGAAAGAAAATGAGAGTGAAATGAACTTTTATATGTTTACCTATTCGTTTATGCTTAGCTAAAGTGAATGTGAAGAAAATATGAAACCATTTTGTCTCCAGGATTAAAAACCCTATTCAATAATTGAGTGATAATTCATAAGTGGCAAAGTGTTAAAGTAGATAAGTGCTTCCCCACTGTGGCAAAAGCGCTACGCCAAAGTGTAAAGTGCTGAGGTGTTTATTTTAACACTGGGAAACATATTATTGCAAGCATTCCTGGTTTATACTTAGTATCTGTTATGCCAGATGTGCCACGTACAAATTAGACATGGCTCATAAAAGGTAACAATCCCAGGTTTCTGAAAGACATAATAAAAAGTAATTCTGTTTTATCACTAACAATTTTCTCAACCTTCGGAATGAGGGATAAACTGGTTGATGAGGTCTGTTAAATGTGTTAAGGATATTGTGCAGAATTTCTACATTTTAATACTTAAGTCTTCATTTCATCACAGAGAAACATACATTTGGAAGGTAGCACAATAACCACAAGATACATAATACTAAACTATCTTTGTAGGATGGTACGGTATATAGAATGCATTGGAATTTCATCACAGAGCATTTAACCAACAAATGCCATATTGGGGGGGGGGGATGTAATATTGAGTGGTTGCCTAATACAAGTTGCCTAATGCCAAGCTATTTGCCAGATGCTTGCTGGAGGACATTCCAGATAGGGGTGACCCCCTCCTGCTGGAGGATCAGGCAGGGTCCTCAGGCAGAGAGAAGTCATTGGCAAGAGCTCCAGTTTATTTGAGGGGGCGAGATGTGATTGGTTCTACTTTCAAAGAAAAAAGGTAACCAAGCAGAAAAGAATACTAAAAACTAGTAGGGGTTGGCAGTGTAGCAACCAGAGGCAGAGTTGGCAGACATGACCATGACAGTAGTTTTATAAGAGTCTCCTTTCATAGTGTCATCAAGGGGCTGAGCTGCTATGCATATAAGTACTTGACTAGTGCATACTTTTAGTTGTATATATTCTAGTAAACCTTGTTGTTGTTTTGCTTTTATTTTATTTTTCCCCCCCAAAATTATTGATTTTCCACATTTATAACAGATATAACCTATAAAACACACAAAAGAAAACACATTACAATACTAAAAAACCAAAAATATAAACACTTATTACTTCTAAAACCCAATTTAACTTTCATTGTTGACTTCCTCAAATCCCCCCAACTGAATTTCCTTGTATCACCTTGTAACAGTTCTCCAAAATCATCTTTCTAATAAAATTAACTCCTTCAATTTACTATCTTTTCTTAATAGAATCCATAATGGATTCTTATTCTAATCCTAAGCCTATTTGATATTTTCAAGTGACTTCTAATTATCTTATGTTGCAATATTTAGCTAAATAATCTTTAAATTTCTTCCAATCTTCTTGGTATTCCTCTTCCTTCTGATTGCGGATTCTTCCGGTCAGGTCAGCCAGCTCCAAAAAGTCCAACATCTTCATCTGCCATTCTTCTACAATTGGTATTTCTTGAGATTTCCAGTTTTTAGCTAATAGCAGTCTTGGCGCTGTAGTGGCATACAAAAACAATCTAACATCTTTTGGGGGCAATTCCAATCCTGTTATTCCAAGTAGAAAGGCTTCTGGTTTCTTAACAAATGTATTTTTCAACATTTTTTTCAACTCATTATAAATCTTTTCCCAAAAGTCCTTAACCTTGGGATACGTCCAACCACATATGATAAAAGGTGCCTTCTTTTTCTTTACACTTCCAACATATCATTTGTGTGATAAATCTTTGCTAATTTTACTGGGGTTAAGTACCACCTATACATCATTTTCATAATGTTTTCTTTTAATACAGTGCATGCAGTAAATTTAACCCCTTTCTTCCACAGCCTTTCCCAATCTTCCAACATTATATTGTGTCCAACATCTCTTGCCCAATCTATCATCACAGATTTGACTTGTTCATCCTTTGTATGCCACTCCAACAGCAAATTGTTGTTGTTTTGCTTTTAAGGCATCAATATGCACTGAGTACATAACCAACCATCTCATACACTAGCACGTGCCCATTTCATTATATAAAAGGGTGGATAGGAACATATTGATGTGAATATTTTATACTAGTACGGTTCTCTAGTTCACTGAATTGCCTTAGTTTACTGGATGGTTTCTCTAAATTATGTGGATTTTGTGAGTATATGTGAAGCTGTCATAGAATAACTTAGCAATTTTAAATATCAACAGTACAGCTACTATTTTTGCAGAAATGCAACCACCTTTCATGTCTTTGGAACTATCAAGCATTTTGTTTTGTGTTAAGAATACAGTACAGTGATTATGCCTTACTGAAATTTTCCCTGTCCTCCCTTTCAGCTTCCTAACATTACTGTACCTTTGCTGGTGGTGATGTACTATAATTGGTGAACTATGAAGTAAATATGTTGTGAAGGAATAATTTTACCAGCTACCATCTGTCATCCTGTTTCAAATAATTGTCAGCTTGTTCTGCATATCTTTTTTTTTTTTTTTGGCCTGGGGCTGTACTTCTTCACTGTCTGCAGCTTCATCCACCTGTTGAATAACATCCTCGTGTCTGTTTCTCTGTACTGCTGCATTTTTCTGGCATTTCCAAGCATATACAGAAATCTCCAACTATGTGTACACTATTATTTATTATCTGAGTAGGCCTGCTAAAGCCAATTTGATGTAATCAGATTTACCTAATTCTTCCTGACGTAGTTGCTTCTTACCCAGTGATGATACGTCTTCACTCTAGACCAAGCTTTCCAAACTGTGTGTTGCAACACATTAGTGTGTCAGCTGCAGTGTGTAGGTGTCATGCGAATGCTTCCTGCACTCCTCCCAGGGCTGGAAAGGGGTTAATATAACCCCTGGTTTACCAGTAAAACTGAATTACTGTGTCATGAAATGATGCCTGTCTAAAAAGTGTGTCACCAACATGAAAAGTTTTGAAAGCTCTGCTCTAGACCATGTAGTCCCCAGCAAACAGCAGCATTATTTCTCACTGTAAAACTTGTTTCAGTCCCTTGTTCAGGAAGTCAGTCACCCCAGCAAACTCAAAATTCAAGAAGATGAGCCAACACTCTTGCTTTTATTTCTGTCAGGTTACATCTGGGTCTGGGCTCTAAGCATTTAGGTTCCCAGACCTGGCAAAGTGGTGGCGGCGGTTGGCTGTTGATCCAGCAAATCAGAGGTAGGGGATGTGGTGCAAAAGAAGCAGGTGTCAGGTTCCAGTGTAGTCAAAGAAGAATCAAAGAAGCCAAGGGCACTTGTGCAGTCAAGGTTCAGAACAGCAAACAGGATCAGGAGGACCTGAACCACATACCTAATCAAAGGCAGGCAGAAGTTAAGACCAAATGCAAAAAAAATTCTGTAAAATCATTCATTTCTAACAAACTGTAAGCAAAGCGAGTTGCTTCTCACAATCTACTCAAAATCTAAATAAAATATACTGGTAGCCCACAGGATTTTTCTTTCTGCAGGATGGATCCCACAGAAGTTATTTTAGACAGTCAGCATACAGTTTTCCTGATAATTCTGTCTCCGCTTTTGGCACTTAGAGTAGTGTTCCCAGTAGCAGAAGATTTTTTCCTGTAGTTTCCTCTTCTGTTGATACTTATGTCTGTGTTTTCTGGCCGGGGGTGGGGATGGGGGCGCAGATTGCTGCTGTATAAACCTCCAAAAAACAAGAGAGAAAATGAAATCTCAATAGCACTACAGAGAATGGTGATCATGGCAGATGCAAGACTGGCAGCACAGAAATAATCAGAGCAAGGGACTGAATATTGTGCTGTACGTAGTCTTTGCTGCAATGAAGGAGGCTTCTTGACAAGGGAAAGTAAGTTGTTAACTTCACCCTGCAGTAATGATGAATGATGAAGTGAGTATATTGTGGAGGCATTCTTGTTTTTGCCAGAGGTACCTGCCAAAGGCAACACCCAACAGTACATATAGAATAAAGTAATTGGCTTGACTCTGTTACCTGACAGTTTTCACTTAGGTAGAGGACAGTGTTAGAAATTCCCCAGACTTCAGGTGTGTTTTGCGACTGATGTGGGCCCATTTGTGACTGAGTGGAGATCTCTGGATCCCAGGTTGGCAATTGACATGTCCATCTGGCTGGCCCTTCCAGTTTTCTTAAGCAGGTAAGCAGAAGAGCTTATTTATTGCATTTATATCCCATCTTTTCCTCCAATGAGTACATGGTTCACTCTCCCCCACTCCTTCAGTTAGTCCCTCCAAAGACCCAGTGAGGTAGGTTAAGAGCCTGTGACTGGGCCAAGGTCACCCAGTGAGCTTCATAAGTGAGTGGGATTTGAACCCTGATCTCCCAGGTCCTAGTCTGACACTCTAGCCACTACACCACACTGGACTAAATACATGATAAATCTTTAGTTGGGTTGAAACACTGCTTCCCCCTGCCACTTCCTTACTGACCCGCCTCTCTAAAAATAAAGTTGGACCAAATTATTTATTTAGCCAGAGTTCATTCCAAAACAAACTCACTCTGTAGCTATATTTTCCTTCAAAGTAAGGAACATATTTGGCATTTACAATGACAATGTTTGCCAAACGCTTCTTTACTGTAGCATTTTGTTCAGTTTGCAGTGGGCATATGAACCCTTAGTAGTCTCTAGCTTCATGTTTTAGTACCTCAGGTTTCAGAGGAAATCCTTTCATATGAGAAAAATCTAATTCTCCCTTTGCACTCCACTGTTGAGACTTGTGAATTTTCTGTGCTTTTCTTTTTGAGAATGGCACATTTATGAATTTGGAAGTTTACACTTTCATAATGAAATGGGTATAAATGACAGAAGATTATCACTGATGACACCGCATAATGCTTTTCTATATCGGCTTATGTTTTGCTTACATGGATTTTGTTTTGATGATTTTCAGGTGTTGGTGAATGTGATGGAAATGTTTAATCTGTTTTTAAAAACTACATATGTCTGTTTTGCCAGTGCTAGGCTAAGCAGTCTTAGTTTTGGTTGATGTGTAAGTGAATCACTAGTAGCTAAGGATTTGGACCTTTCTGTGACTTTCTGGTGAGATACTTTAAAACGTCACCCCAGCACCCTTCAGGAATCCTATCACCTTATTTGAGTGTGCATTCCTTGAGTCAGGTGGGGATAGGACCCAGCAAAAATGTTGCACTCACAGCACCATCACAATTTCAAAGAGAAAGGGCAAGACAGAAGCCACATGCAAAGGGCAGAATACCTATAAAAGTGACATGTAAGAGAGAGAGTATATTGGCAGATACAGCTTTTCTCACTGCTGTGTAATGAAATCTTTATGCTAAAATTTCCTATTTTAAAGCTATTAAATAGAAAACGTTCATTGCAACTTTTATTCTAGACACTAGAAGAGGAAGAACATCTGCAGGAGGAAATAAAACAAAATTGGTGCCTTGTTACAGATTTGGATAGTGGAATGAAGCTTTGTATTTTAGTTGAAATAAATATAAATGTTTCAAGTAAGATGTTTTAAAACGGGATACTATTCAATTCTGTGTTTGGAAAAAATATTTTTCTGGTAATTCAAATTCCACTATCTAATATGAAAGAACATGATCTAGAAACTAAATTATGTCATTGTAGATATCCTTACTGATATGTTACAGGCAAGATGGATGAGATGCTAAGTTTTCAAAGCAAGTGACATTAGGCCAAGCTGAGTAAAGACAACTCCTAATTGATGGGAATGTTGTCTGTGAGTTCTGATGTTTACTTTCAGATTTAACTGTTTAATTAAGGAGGCCTTGTGCTCCTCATTCAGATGTTGGTGGATATAGTTTCAAGGTTATAACATACAAGAACTTACAACCATCTTGTAAGATGGTTGGGCGCTATTAGTGCTTGTTCCCCTTAGAGGTTCTTTAGATTTAAGGAATATCATACTAGACCATCCTAGTTTATTGAATCTATTCAGTCATGGTATTTCACAAGTAAAATGTCACTATTATAATCTGAAACACGGTATTTCATGCTTAGAAATACTGTTTGATCTTATATTTTAGTAGTCTGGCAGACATAGAAGACAATTACATGTTTGGATAAAAATGAGTGACATTTTTTTATATGTTTTACTAACACAGTCCTACAAATCACACCAGATGTTTGATAGCATCCTTTTTTACCTGCAGGAGCACATTCAAGGGACCAAATTGCTTTACCATCCTTGGTATGAAAAGTGTTTCATTATCTTCTGGTGAGGGTGACAAGAGGAACAAGTCTTAAGTTTCTTTCGTAGCATAGTTTTGGGAAAGGGCTTAGGAGTTGTCCCTATCTTCTGCTCCAGCTTCAGCCTAGAGGAAGTCGGGGGCTGGGCAGTGGGCAGCCACGGTACTTGGAGCACCTCAACTACCCACCATGCAATTGACTCCCAGCCTTTTTCTTTATGTAAATGAATTAATAGAATTTTTGTTATCGACATTTCATGTTAAATGAAATGTGTGACTCAGATTAAAAATGTTCTGAACTTCATAGCATTTTGACTTGAGCATTATTTTTTTAAAGGTTCATTATATACCACTGGTATCATACTTTTTCAGACCAATTAAGGCAAAGAAGGCCTATCCAATTTCGCTACCCCCACCAAAGCCTCACTGGAGTTGAATGGCTGTGGCTTCTGGCAAGATCTTGCAAGGCTCTTGTAAGATCTCATTGGAACCCGGAAACCACCGAAGCTGCTTCTCCTTGCTTCAAAGGGGGCACACTCATGTAGGAGCCCCTTGGATTCTGCCACCTGAGGCGGCTGCCTCAGTCTCCCTCATGGATGGGCTGGACCTGAATTGAATCCACAGCCACTTGACTTCAGGCTCTCTGCAGCACAATGTTATCTAACAACTCACTAAGTCAGACTTGTGTTTTAAAAGGGAGTTGCTTCTGTTTGTCCAGTATTCTGATGATAGCTTGATGACCACCAAAATGCTTCTATCTAGTTAAACAGAAAAGTTCTACACAAATGCTAAATGCTATTAATATTAGCCAGTATTATTTGAAGGTTTGAGTTTTTTGTTTGTTTGTTGTTGTTTTTTGGACTGTGCAGAGTTTGAAGCAAAAATGTGGTATGGAGCAATAACGCTTTAACCCTGCTGTCCACCCATTTAGTTCTCTTCCCTGCACTGCCATGTAGGGTTCCCAATGTGTGTTGGTCTCTCTGAATGTACATTTGGAGCACCTTTCCACTTTTATATCCCCCACCTGAACCTGAATATTGGACTCTGCTTGTAGAGGTCTGGTTCACATCCTCACTTTAGCTGACTGGGAGACTAGAACGTCATTCAGCCATGACTGTTTACCTATAGTTGGATAAAAGAGATAATCCTATATAAATTGAGCTCTTTGGAAGAAAAGCAAGATATAAAATAGTAATTTCAAAAATATATAAAATTGACATACTAGAATTTATTGTGTATCTGTCACTGAAATGTTGTTAAAGCCATATGCTAGGTATACTTGCGGATCACTGTTTTGATTTTACTAGAGAATGTCTAAAGGCTATTTAGCAGAATTTCTGATTTGCTTGTTTAAAACAAAATCAAGCTTTTATGTGTGTCTTGCCACTTTTTGCCACATCTTAGTGAACTTACAGTGTGCTGTAGGTATAGAGGAAATGTAGGAAGGAAAATGAGTTGTTTGGTGAAGCATAGGGCATATGATCAGTGTTTGTTGTTGTATAAAATCACAATCAAAATTGACAAAGTTGCTATTAAATACTATTTCCTGTGCTAAAAGAGAGTCAGCATAAGCTGAAAAGAAACCTGCAGCAGTAGATTTGCACATAGACCTTAATTGGCCCAATTGACCTTCTGTGCTGTATTTACAATTGCCTTCAAATTGTAAGCAGATGTTTGAAAAACCTTCATTAATAGGTCCCTAACATCTGTTTCACCTACAATATTGCTCACCAAAGCAGTTGTGATTATACATTTATTCCATACATATTTTCTTATTGGTCTTGGATATTTATGCTTCTTTCCAGAATTTTAGATAGGGTCTTGCTGGTTCTTTTCCTCCTCCTCCTCCTCCTCCTCCTCCTCCGCCTCCTCCTCCTCCTCCTCCCCTTCTTCTTCTTCTTCTTCTTCTTCTTCTTCTTCTTCTTCTTCTTCTTCTTCTTCTTCCCTACATTGTGGATTACCTCTGTCAGTACAGAGCAGTAGCAGCTGAGGTCTACCATTATTTTTATTTTAAAAACCCACCAAAAGTTTGCTGTTCTGTACCAGTATTACCTTCTGAGATATGATAGAATTAAACAGACATGAAATATAACTCCCATCTAAAATGGTCAGGTATTTCTCTTAATGTGTTGGAAAATGTTATTTTGAACATTCTCACATATTTTGAACATAGCTTACCTATTAGAATGTATATGCTATCCTTTGTATTTATGTATATCTTCAGTTTATGAAATATTTTTACAAAGCTCAGAGTTGAATATTTAACTTCTTATTGCTAGTTATCCTGCCTTCTTGACCAATAAATATAATTTACAGCTGAACTCTTGTATTGACAAATTCAGAATTGTAAAACATAGAGGTTTTTCATATGTACATCTAAGTACATATTAGGTATGCATATTAGGATTGTGCCCCCATCCTGTCCTGGATATGTACCTATATTCTCTGGGTAGGACCCCCTCATATTTTAATATTGGATGTAGCTGGAAACCCCCATTGCAAAAGTAGACTTTTATCATAACCATTATTAATACAGAGGCATTGCAGGTTAATTAACATATATGGCAGTCTGCCCAGAGCAAATGTGTGAAAACGTATTTGGGGATTTTGACATGCCATTTGATAGAAATCTAGTTAGGATATAGCATTTCTTGTTCTGCCAGACTGTTTCTATTTAGCAGGTGTGCTAAGTGGTCTGTCAAAGTTCTGAGAGCGAAATGTTAGCAAAGATGCATTGGAAAACAGACAGAGGGGCTCGAGACACAGGAAGCATGTCCAGCCTGGAAGCTCATAGAGGCCAGGTCCTGTCATGTGCTGTGCTCTAATCAATCAAGAATAAAGTTTCTTATAGGACTGTTTAAGCCCCTCTGCCCCAGTTTTCCCTCCTTCTCAGACCTTTGTGTGACATATCCCTGAGTACCAGTGTCTGATATCCCAACTTTAGGGACTTGCTGCAGGTTTTAGTTCTGATGGGTGCTGACTGATCTACTGGGATCTACTTGCAGTCTCAAGTGTTTCACCAGCAAGTGAATGAGGCAGTAATTACTTTCAAGGAAAACATGGTTTAGGTCTCAATGTGAATGTGGTCTGAATCTAGTGCTTCTTTACTTGGGCTTTAAGATCCTATTTTTCAAAGTAGAAGTAAGAATGAATAGATACTGTTGTGTACATTTAATTAGTTTATCAAAACCCACTGATATAAAACAAAACTGAAGCTGTTTGCAAAAGGGCTTACATGTTATGTTTGATTATAGTTAAATCTATGGTTTTTATGTACATACTTTGTGCCTATTTTAATAGAAATGTCAGTTAATGAAATTTAGTTAATCTCTCCCTTTTATCTAATCTAGTCAAGTAGATTTAGAATAATCTTGCATATTACCTAGTCTTTAATATTTGTGGGTTATGATATATTGAAAGAACTGAGAACCTAATGTCATAAGCAAAATCTGCTACTCGCTGTTAGATATTTCATTCTCTATTACAGTAACATACTAGACAGAACAGCCTCAGAGTACTTAACAGCCCTACAAATTACCGTATTTTTTGCCCTATAGGACGCACCTTTTACCCTCCAAAAATGAAGGGGAAATGTGTGTGCGTCCTGTGGGGCGAATGCAGGCTTTTGCTGAAGCTTGGAGAGTGAGAGGGGTTGGTGTGCACCGACCCCTCTCTCTCTCCAGGCTTCAGGAAGCTATCCGTAAGCCTGGGGAGCCCGCGGGAGTTCCCGCAGGGCTCCCTAGGCTGCGGATAACAGCCTGCTTGCCCGAGCGCGGGGCGCACTGAAGCAGAGCGCCCCGCGCTTCGGGCAGATATCCGCAGCCTAGGGAGCCCTGCGGGAGTTCCCGCGGCTGGGGGGGGGAATAATTTTTTATTTATTTATCCCCCCCCCAAAAAAACAACTAGGTGCGTCCTATAGGGCGAAAAATACGGTAAAATTTGTGCTTGGTGATTAAAATTTGTGCTTGGTGATTAAAATTTGTGCTTGGTGATTAAAATTTGTGCTTGGTGATAAAAATTAGCCATCACAGATTAAACCAGTTAAAAAGGGAGAGACTACTTCAGTAACATGGAAAAAACCACACCATTAGGAGTAGAATAAGAAGAGTGTGTTAAGCTAGCACAGAGAGTGAAACCGTGAGTTGGGAAGGAAGGATTAGCAAGGAACACTCTTAGTCAGGCCCATAGCTCAGTGTTGGAACATATGCTTTGTATTTAGAAGGTCTCAGGTTTAATCAGTAGCCTCCCCAGGTAGGACTGGGGGGAAAACTTGTCTTAAAAACCCTAGACACTCACTGCCAGTTAGTGAACTAGTTAGACTAACAGTCTGACTCCATGTCAGGCCCCTTCTTATGTTCCTATAATTGTTCATCCTTGAGGAAAGAAGTAGCCGTGGTTCACATGGTTTGTTATTTTCAACATTATTCCTGCACTGTGGGAATCTGGCCATGCAGAAGCTGCAACCATACAGGAATGGCACATAACATAGGAGCTAACCCCTAGGGGCTGAGGTCCCCTTTGCCCCCTCTAAAATGGGCATTGCCATTTAAATGGTGCGTGTGCACTGTGTCTTGTGATCAATGATTCAAGTTGGCAGGCCTGGCACATAAGAACTAGGCTGTAGAACTCTGTACATTCAGAGGTTTCTCATGCTTTTCTGTAAGAAGAACACCCCCTCCCCCAAAGCAAAAACCCTAGTTATGCATAGATTAATTTTAAAAGTTGTTTTCATTTATATTAGAGAACATGGACATTAACTTCAAAGTGTATGCTCCTTAAAAAGACTACAGCTATAGTGTTAGGAAAAGGTCTGAGTCCATGACTAGAATTTCATGGATTCATATTGTGCAATGCGGAAACAGTAGCAGTCATTATAAGCTTGGCAAAATGTCCATGACTGCAGATGACTTGCAGATTTGTCTAAAATTATTCCTCAGTAAGGAAAACAGTTCCATCAATGTGTAAAATTGCTATTCATTTATCTGGGTTTGACCTCAGGCGATCTTTCTAATATTTAGTTACTCTCACATGTTATAGTTTTGCAGGGAAGGAAAAAGAGGATTTTAAAGCTGACATTCTTGTGAGCCATGTTGAGAGCTTTTGTTTCTAGAGTTGTAGCACTGCCCATTGCCTAAGGTGCAAGTCTCTCTTCTATTAGAAACCGTGTAGAAGACATTTTATTACTCTAACATTTTAATTCTCACTGGAATAAATTAGTTTTTGAAAACTTTCAATACAGACTTTCTTGTACTGCAAAATCATCAGAATTAGGCAAAGTCTTGAAATCATGCATTATTAACTTCTAATATAATTTTAATTAATGCATGTAAAGCAAGTGAAAAGATCTGTAGCTTATATCTCCTTTTCTTTAAGAAAAAGTGGCTGATAGCAGGGATTACTAGATTGTTTTTAAAAGTCATTTTTGAAAACTGAACATTTATTTCATTTTCTTGAATTACGTAATTTACATAGTAACCCAGTGTTGTCATTTTTGTTTGTTTAATTTTGAATTCATAGAAAAGTGTGGTAAGAAGAGTGAAAATCTTTGGCACATAATTTTTAACAGGGTTCATTTTTTAAAAATTAAGCAAAAGCTTGAAGGTATACCATTGCTTTATCCACTACTTCACTGCCATATAGCCTGAGGTGCATGCTGTTATTCTTTCCCCAACTTCTTAGTTTGAGTAAACAGTAGTTTATCATTAGCATTAAAATCGGCAAACTGTGTTTTTACAGTTTGAAAGTCAAGGGCAGAGTAAACTTTACCTGAACCAGGAAGTCAAGGACAGAATATGCAAGCCTAAGGCTTAGACCTATGGCCAAATCAGCGCCATTATTATTATTATTATTATTATTATTATTATTATTAATTGCTTATACCCCTCCCATCTGGCTGGGTTTCCCCAGCCACTCTGGGTGGCTTCCAACAGAAGATTAAAAATACATCAAAACATCAGTCACTAAAAAACTTCCCTAAACAGGGCTGCCTTCAGATTTCTTCTAAACGTCAGATAGTTGTTTATTCCTTTGACATCTGATGGGAGGGGGTTCCACAGGGCAGGAGCCACTACTGAGAAGGCTCTCTGCCTGGTTCCCTGTAACTTGGCTTCTCACAGTGAGGGAACCGCCAGAAGGCCCTCGGCACTGGACCTCAGTGTCTTGGCCGAACAATGGGGGTGGAGACACTCCTTCAGGTATACTGGGCCGAGGCCGTTTAGGGCTTTAAAGGTCAGCACCAACACTTTGAATTGTGGTCGGAAACGTACTGGGAGCCAGTGTAGGTCTTTCAAGACCGGTTTTATGTGGTCTCGGCAGCTGCTCCCAGTCAGCAGTCTAGATGCCACATTCTGCATTAATTGTAGTTTCTGAGTCACGTTCAAAGGTAGCTATCCATCCTCGAACCGCTTCTAGGCACTCACACAGGATCTTGACCGCCTTCACTAGTTCCGCTTTGAAAGAGAGGTAGAGCTGGGTATCATCTGCATACTGATGAACACCCAGCCCAAACCCCCTGATGATCTCTCCCAGCGGCTTCATATAGATGTTAAAAAAGCATGGGGGAGAGGGCAGAACCCTGAGGCACACCACAAGTGAGGGCCCAAGGGTCTGAACACTCATCTCCACCACCACTTTCTGGACATGGCCCAGGAGGAAGGAATGGAACCACTGTATAACAGTGCCCCCAGCTCCCCGCTCCTCTAGACATCCAGAAGGATGTTATGGTCGATGGTGTCAAAGGCCGCTGAGAGAACTAGGAAACAGCTTTCACCTTTGTCCCCAGCTCGCCAGAGATCATCGACCAGCGCAACCAAGGCAGTTTCAGTCCATGATGAGGCCTGAATCCCAATTGGAAGGGATCCAAATGGTCCACATCCTCCAGGCATGCTTGGAGTTGTTCAGCAACCTCCCACTCAATCACCTGGCCCAAGAATGGAAGATTTGAGACTGGGCGATAGTTGGCCATATTGGCCGAGTCTAAAGATGGTTTTTTTAAAGAAGCAGTTTAATGACTGCCTCTTTTAGCGCGTCTGGGAATGCTCCCTCACAGAGGGAAACATTCACCACCCCGCAGAGCCCATCGCCCAGCCCTTCCTGGCTCGCTTTTATTATCAAGGAGACAGGTGGTTGGTTTCACTCATCCAAGCAGCCTGTCCACATCCTCGGAGGTAACAGATTGGAGTTGATTCCATGCAACTTGACTAGACAGGACCCTAGCACTCTCCCGCCCCAGCCCTGCTCCCATGGTGGAGTCTACCTCCTTCCAAATCTGAGCGACTTTATCTGCAAAAAACTTAGCAAAATCGTTGCAGGAGGTCTTGGGGTCTTTACAAGGCCCCGATGGCAAAGGTGGTTCTGTTAAATTGCGAACCACCTGAAAGAGTCTCCTGCTGCTATTTTCTGCAGATGCAAGAGAGGCGGTGAAGAAGGTCCTCTTCACCATCACTATCGCCACTTGGTAGGCTTGACGTTGAGCTCTAACCTGTGTCCGGTCCGATTCAGAATGAGTTTGCCGCCACCAGTGCTCTAGTCGTCTCAGCGATTGTTTCCTTGCCCTCATCTCCGGGGAAAACCACGGGGCTGTCCGGGCTTCATGCAATTGGAGAGGGCATTCGGAGCCAGACAGTCGATAGCCCTGGTTAAGTCCACTTTGCAGCGGGCCACCAGAGAATCAGCTGAAAGGCCATCAACATGGGATAAAGCATCCCCTACCACTCTCTAGAAACCATTTGGATCCATTAAGTGGCAGGGGCGGACCATCCGAATTGGTCCCACCTCCCTGCAGAGGGGAAGGGTCACGGAGAAGTCCAGGTGCACCAGGTATTTACGTGCATGTTCTGTCTAATACTGTACTGAAAATGAATGTTGGTCCAAATAACGTGGTATTGTCTACTCTAAGGAGAAAATAAAGCATGGACAAACTATTGAAAAGTGGCTAGAATGTTTGACATTTTGAGTGTAGAAGCACCTAGGGGATTGGGTGCTGAACGCACTAGGGTTTGAGATGCATACTTGACTCTTATAAATATACACCAGCTGTGTGAGTGTGGGTATACTTTTTCTTTCTTTCTTTTTTGGTGTGTGAGCCACTCCCTAAAATTGTAGTTGGGGGCAGCCTTTTTCAAATGTCAGTTCTTAATTATCTTCATAACGTAAGCACTTTGTAAAATATCCACATAATTCCAGTCACTTATTAGACTTGTCAGTTATTAACTAGATGTAAAAAAGGAAATCTAATACATGTACCATTATTCCTTAAGTCATCAGCTAAGGTGAAATGTGTGCAAATTGCCTGTTTGAAGTGTTGTGAGTTCTAGAAAGCTTTGTGTGATTTGCAGTGTGTATATTCAGAATTCAGATTGAAAGAAAAACATTTAGAATCTTTAGTTAATTCCACAGATGCTGATCTAATACTTTAAACCATAAGATAGAGTGGGTTATTCTTATATTTTTTGTAAATTATGCTTATACTGTGCTATAGTAAATAGGATTTACTCAATTAATCAAATTTACAGATTAGCTCCTTATTGATCACAACTATTTTATGCTGAAGATCAATGGTAATGTATTTTAAATCTTTAATTGTTAATCCTTTTAAAAAATGTAACATTGATTGGTATAATCCTTGCTAATTCTTTTGGTGCTGTGAAGTACTTTCTGAGCTCACTAAATGCATTTAGGCAAGTGAAATTTCATGTTTCCAGTTTCATGTTTCCAAGCAGTACTCAGTTGTCTTATCTGTTAAATATATTTATTTGCTATATCTATGAATGAAAAGGCTGGAATATGAAAGGCTCCTCAGTTTAATTGTTCATTACTATGTACAGAGTTTTATAATTTCCCACACAGATTTTTCTCGCCATACTATCTTACTACCAGGAATGTAGTAGCATTTTGGAGAGTCTCCAATGATTGGTTCAAACCAAATGGTGAATGACAGTCATGTATGTTAAGTTGCCATTGCTGTATACCTCTAGTTACGAACTTAATTCGTTCCGGAGGTCCACTCTTAACCTTAAGCTGTTCTTAACTAGAGGCGCGCTTTCGCTAATGGGGCCTCTTGCTGCCGCTGCGCCGCAAACACACAATTTCTGTTCTCATCCTGGGGCAAAGTTCTCAACTTGAGGTAATACTTCCAGGTTAGCAGAGTTTTTAACCTGAAGCATTTGTAACTTGAGGCGTTTGTAACTCGAGGTACCACTGTATGAAGGTGTTTTCCATAGCATTCAGTGAACCAGTTCCGAAAGGTTTGTGTGAGGATAAAATCACAATACTCAATTTTAGTATTGTACTGGCAAGCAGGAGCTCCCCTTCCCCCAATTCTCAGAGTGGTGGGTGTTGTTTTTAACTTCCTTGAGGGCTTCTCAGAAGCATCTCACCAGCCACTGTTAGAAATAGGTTGCTGGAATACATGGAATTCTGGCCTGGACAAATAGAGCTTTTCTTAAATACCTAATCTTCTAACTCCAGAGGCTTGCTGTCTCTTGCGGCACTGCAGCCTATCCTGGTCATTCAGACACCCATTTGGAAACAATATATGCAAAAAATGTTTTGTTGGTTTGCCACCCATCTGACTGGTTACACTAGTCTCTCTAGGTGTCTTCCAACAAATTAAAACACAGTAAGACATCAATCATTAAAGACTTCCCTATACAGGGCTGCCTTCAGAAGTCTTCTAAAAGTCAGATGGTTGACATCTGATGGGAGGGCATTTCACAGGGCGGGTGAGACTACTAAAAAGGCCCTAACTGAAGAATCATTTAAAACAGGGGTCGGCAACCTAAGGCCGATGGGCCACAAGCGGCCCATGGGGGTCGTTTAACCGGCCTATGAGCTGCCCCCAAATCGAGCCACCCGCTTGGCAAGTCCCTGTGCGCTGTGCTAAACCGGCGCGGGAACTCGCTTCCGCGGCACTGGAAATCGCATCTGCGCAGACGCTGGAAATCGCGGGCAGGCGCACGATCAGGCCCACGGAGGGATCTTCGCTGGAGTGAACCGGCCCAGGCGAGGTAAACCTTGCCGCGCCCTGATTTAAACACTATGCTCAGGATAGTTGGTTCTCTTAAGAGAAAATGAGAGAATGCTCTTTTTAGTATATAGACATTACTTGGTTCAAGACAGATGACAAATACTGCACAATATAAAAAAGGCAAGAATACTTTGTCAAGAACACTCTGAAAGAAGATATAAAGTAACAAATCTAGTTTTTCCATTCATGTTTCTTCCCTTGCTCCTGCTTCCATCATTATTTTGTACTTATATTAGTCCAATACTCTCTAACTGTACACATGTATGTAGTACAATACATTGGTTAAATATGAACATAATCTGTCACCAAATATTTACCCACCTTAGTTCTCACAACTGCCCTTAGTTGCACCTACTTTTGAACCACAGGTCCTCTGCTTTTAATGCAGATTCATTTGGATGTTGAAATAATGAACTATTCATGCTTCAAATTCAAATTGACTGTAGATAAATTGGGGAAAACAGAAACCCTGGTTTTAGCAATCCTCCTGTTGCTTGAGGATAGTTTGAATCATATGGTGTCTGGTGTGAATGAAATAAGGAAAGATCTATTATTTCTGCTGTGTCTCATTTTCATCTGCTATAAGCTCATACCATTCCTTCACATTCCCCAACCCTTAAGACTAACTTTTTAAGAGAAGGAGAGGGAAGGTAAGTACCATTTGGTGAAAAGAACTGAGCTCACAGTTGTTACAGATTCAACCAAATTATATTAACAAGAGTATACAGCTAAGTTTTACATTAAGGTTATGTTTTCATTACATAATAGAATAAAACTGAAAAAACTTGCCCTGTTAAAATATTTCATTTATAAATTTATGTTTTGAGTACAGTTATATCTAACGTAATACTTTGAAGAGATTCCTAAACAATAAAAATGTCTAATCAGCACATATGACCAATCTGATTCCTGTGATATGTGACCATTTTTATAAGGCAGTTCGATAACACTTAACTTTGTAGGTTATGATGACCCCCTTTTTAGTCACTTTGAATGTAGTGTTGTTCTCTAATTGGCTTACCTTGGCAATCTGATAGTAATTGATATTCTGCTGTGGAAAATTAAGTGCAAACTTAGCTACCACTCAGGGAGAAAGAAGATACCCATTCCTGTATATAAGTATTTGAATAGGAAAACACACTTTTTCAACTTTGATCTCAGTATTTTCTAATATTTAACACAACTTCTGGCCAAATTGTTTTGTTTTTTCCCTTAAATTAATTTGTTTTAGGATTAAGGAAATTGCCACCTTTCTGTCTCATCTGATGTAACAGTTCAACAAAATACTAGTATAGCTATTCTTGCTCCAAGATATATGCAACCTTCTTGATGAGTGTAGATCTGCATGGGGCTTGCTACCATGACATATTCCAGGGCACAAAACAATGACCAGAGGCAGACATCTACAACCTAAGGCAGGGGTGGGGCGCACCCCTTTTCAGCCCAGGGGTTGCATTTCCTACCAGTGGAAGGGTTTGGCAGGGTCAGAGGCAGAAGTGGGCAGTGCAGTGAATCTTAACTTTGTACAGAAGGCAACATTTCAGCCACATATAGTTCACACGCACACACACAAACTCAGACACATTTCCATCCAGGCGCGCAAGGGGCAATATTATAGTTCCAGAACATGTTCTAGTCATACAAAAGCATTCAAGGAAGGCATGGAGCAGTGCCTGTGAGAGATGTGGTCGTGGGAGAGGGTACATGATCTAAGGAGGAGTTATGGTATAAGGACACTCCCATGGGTCAGATAAAAAGGGTGAGAAGAGTGGCTTGATCAATTGCCTTTCTGTTTCTTTGCCACATGGTTGGTGTTTCTAACATATATCCAATATGATTGATTTATGCTTGCTGATCTTGTTATCTTATATTATTATTTTTTATTTATTTTATTAAATATATTCCTTATGTTATCTTGCCCAAGGCATTCCAAAGTGATGTACAACCAAACAATTATTTTGGTTGATATACTGCATTTTTATTAATTATTCCTATCGTTTTACTTGCAGTTCATTGCTTTGGGGGCCTTAAAGCAACATATAAATACAACGTAACAACAATAATTTTAAAATCCACACATTGCAAAGAGCTAAATTAAGTAAAACAATTCTTAAGAACTGTGAATATCTTACATCTTTTGAAAATTGTATAGGGAATGAAACATATCCTAGGGAAATTTCATTACACTGTTATGATACATTTCCATCCAAAGTAGTTAGTTGGTTACAGAATCTATTTAGCTGCCCATAACGCAAGTTCTGGGTGACTCATAAAACAATTTAAAAACTTTAAAGTGCATGCTTTCTATTCTTTTTCTATTGTTTTCATAATTTTGTGTGATATTGTCTCATTAATGGTCAGTATTCAAGATGAAACTGTTTAGTATTTCTAAATGTGCCTGTATTTTCCTGCCAAATATATGTAAAAATGAACCTTTTTAAGACCTTGTACTTTAATGAACCATCTTATTGTCGACATTCAAAATCCAATAGTGTGCCTTTTGGTGACGTCGTTTAGAATTTTAATGCATTTTAGTTCTCATTCGGCACGGCCTATGTGCTCCTCTCGGGAGGGCCTTTAGAAATAGGATTAACTTCTAGAGGAATGCATTAGCTATGCCACAGAAGTAGGCAAAGCTCTAACTAGCCTGATAGATTGCTCCATGCTTCAAATCCTCCTTGGTCCCCCCTCCCTTTTTATTGACAGCTTCTCATTGAGCTTCTAGAAGCATTAGTGTATTTAGGAGTTAGATGTTTTGTATGATCCTAGGCTGATCTCATATTCGCTTTCTGAAATTAATTCGACACTACTTTACATGTTAATCCACAAAGGATTGATTTTGAGAAGGTCAGAGTAGAGCAGTTTCAGAAAATGGAAGAAAAGCTCTACTTAAAACAGCTCATTTCAGTTCCCAGAATTACGTATAGCTGCCTTTTCATTGTGGCACTTAGCCAGCTGTAGGAGAATTGGTCCTCTTGCAGGATATATCAAACAGCATTGTTTGATGTGAGCTGCAGAAAGTTGAACTAATTAAGTTTAGCTTCATTAACCAATTGCAGTTTGCAAATTGCACAACTATACTTGAAAGCCTGCAGGATAATAGACTTCTTTTGACCATAAACCATAGTAATTGAATGGTACTTTAATGACAACATGAATAAGAGTTCTTTTAAAAATTAAAACAACTTACCCTAGGTTTTTCTCTTGTGTGCCTTGACTTTCCTTTCGTGTATTTTGAGTTGCATAGTTGCTAAAGTTGCAAAAGCAGAAAGCAGACATATAAGAAGTTCACAGTATGCTGTAAGGTGAGATTGGTTGATTAGAAATAAACAATGTCTTTAGTATGTAACTAAACTGTCAAACAGAGTTGTTAACAGCAGTGCCACAAAGAGTCTGTGCTGATAAGAAACTAATAAACCTGAAACAATATACTATAAATATGGAAGTAATTAAACATGTGCATTGTATTGGTTGCTAGTCGGATACATGTTATGTGCAGTGGCAGCTCAGTCACACAGATTTCATGTGAATAGATGAATAGACACTGTTGCCACTAACACTCATCTAACCCCAAGGTAGATCTGAAGCTGGAACAGGATAATATTACCAAAATATTGTGTCTGTTAAAAGTGTGGCTCTTAGCAACTGTAATTTCCTGACATTCAGTGAATATGGAAAGCCCGTAACATGGCATGTTAAACTGAAAGTTTTTTTAAGAAGGCTATGGTTACAACTCCTTCATGAGGCAAACTTGAAAATGAAAAATCCTATTCAAGGTGGGAGAGAAATATCCTCATTAATAAAAAAACAAAACACCACCATTTAGAAGAACAAGAATTCACATGCAACTTATCATAAGTCTATTAAGTGAAATAAGAATAGATGTTAGAGTTGCCAGCTTTTTCATAGCTGGGCTCTTGTGTCTTTAATAGAGTTTCCAACTTTTCCTGACCCCCACTGCTTCTATGTCAGTAACAACTGTTTCATTGAACAACGTTAGCAGGGGTCATGTTTGTTTTCATGTGCTGGAATCTCCCTGACTTATTTCTGCATGTTGTATAGATGATACAGATGCAGGAGGAGGCCCAGCTGGGGCTTTAAAGTTCTATCAGCAAACCTAGCCTTTCAAAGTTGCAGTAGAAAAAGAGGAAATTCAGCAAATAAAGTACACACACAGAGAGACACACATTCACAGTTGCCTTCTATATCTCCCTCCTTTTTTTCTAAAGGTTCTCCTGTGCCTTCAAAAGCTGACCATCAGAGTCCAGCCAGTGTACACCTCAGATATAGGTCTCCCTTTTCCTCATGTTTCTCAAACTAGTTTTACTCATCATTTTTTTCCTGTGGTCCCGAGAATTATTCACATTTTCACAGCTGTTGCATACTGGGTCAGCATCTTCATTGAGCTAGCCACCAGGATCTTGCCTCTAATAGCTTACTTGACTTTTCTTGTTAAGGACACTGGAATCCTCTTGGCCTTGTCAGTACCTTTCCTAATCTGCAGTATACATTCCAGAAGGGCTTTTATTATGGTGGCTTTGAATAGCCCTCAAGCATTCTAGGGAAATTTGACCCTCTTAACCCTTTCCCTTTCAATTCCCTTTTTACCAATTTTTGAGAAATTTCTGCTTTTGAAGTCATATGTTACCATGTTGCACTAACTTGGCAATTGCCCACCTACATATATGTTGAATTTTGAAGAAATTTGGTCATTGTTTGCATCTTGCACTAGGTCCCACATGCCACTTAAGATTAAGTCTAGGGCCACATCTTCTCTGCTTGGTCCTATGACACACTCTTTTAGGGTATGTAGGAAACTTACTAAGAAGTCTTTGATAAGAGACACAGGAGCCACGGTGTGGGGCTTCTGAAACTCCAAGTGTATGTAATGCAGAACCTGTGGCCCTCCAGATGTTGCTGGACTCGCATCACCCCTATCCAGCATAACTAATGGAAAGAATGACAGATGTAGTCCAGCAACATCTGGAGGACAACACATTCCTTCCTGCTCAAGTGTCTCACAATCATTGATGCAATCACTGATACCAAATCTCTCGCCACGTCTCCATACCTAGTTATAGAAACCTCTTGGAAACCTAATGATAGGACTCTTTAGGAAACAATGAAACTAAGGACTCTTTAGGAAACAATGAAACTAAGACATATCATGGATATGACTTTTGTACATGAAAAAAAGCATTTGACAGATTATAATCACCTTTCATATTACATCGCTCCAAATTTTCCACGTTTAGGAATACATTTGTAAAATGATTGGATTTATTATGTGTAAACTCCTATGCAAGTATTTAAATAAATGGACTTCATGGACTTCATGAAGCAGACTCTGTTCAACTTCTTTGCCTCTAGTTTTCTGATCCTGCAGCAGCTTGTAGTTTACTGCTACGGACAGACTACAATAATACTTTTTGCCATGGTTGGTCTAGGTTGGTCCATAAAAACGGACTTCAAAGCATGCTAAAATAGCATTCATGGAATATCCATCAAAAGGCACATGAGGTACTCGGCATCAATATGAAGGTGATCCTAGAAGCACAACAGGATGCAGGTCCAGAAGTGAGGCTTCTGGTCAATGATACAAGTTCTGTGAAACATCAGGAATTTTTGCCTTTCAGAATTTTAAAGCATTCTTTAGCATTCTGTTTTCCTCAGACTTTTCAGCACTTTTCAGCACTTATTTCGAAAATACATCATGAGTCATCTTCCGTACTTAAATGTACTGCCTGTAGACTTTGTTTCCCAGGCCAGCCACTTCCCAGATAGAAATAGATTTATTATTTCATATTTATTAATTGCATTATCCTTCCCCCTTCTAGCCTTGAGCCGTATTTTTTAACATTCAACATCATAGCAAAGTTATGAAGTTTCTCTCATAACAGTTCCCAATTCTTTATGGCTAAATATATTTAGCCTTCTGTAAACCTAGCTCAGTTATGAAACACATCATCCTGTAGCTTGGTGCAACTGTTTTTGCCATGAAAAGAAGTGAATTTGGAGCACTGGAACTCCTCTTTCCAAAGTTTTCTCCCAGATTATGTTTGCATCCTCCTAAAATGTAAGATATAGTAATTTTTGCTTTAAAGAGTGGTATTTTTTTTATTGAGTGCCTATACAAGTCTAAGTTCTCAGATAAGGAATTACATTATACTGCCAACAGAGGGGAAAGAGTTGTGATGTGAGTGAACAACTAGTTTTATCTTGCCAGCAGACTGCTTATCTTGTTTAAAATAGCCTGACACTGAGTGTGTCTGTGTTTAAATGTAAAGTCAGTAAACATACAAGGGAAACATTTCTATTTATTTATCTATCTAAACATTTATACCCCACTTCTCTTTATAAAATAAACTCAAAGCAGCTCAGCAAAAAAGTTCATATACCAACAGTAAAAACACCCCAATTACTAATGTTCCTTTTGTTCAATAAATCCAATAATGAGATAAAACAAGCTTTATGAAGGCAAAACTTTAACCCACACTAAAAGATCAGCAAAATAAAGCTTAAAAAGAGAAGGCACCAGTTGAAACCTGCTGGGGAGGGAGTTCCACATCCTGGGTGTCACAATAGAAAGGGGTAACAAGACTATATAAAGATAACAAGTTATGATTGTGTGCAGTTGCATGAAATCTTACTAATTGAGATTTGTAAGTATTCTTATGTCAGTTTTTATGTTCAGCACCTTCTGTTCACAGAGTGGTTGATGGAAAGGGGCAGCGCCATGCACCTGGCCTCCCGTTAGCTGTGTTGCTGTGCTCCCAGGAGGCAGTGGGGAATTTCAAAACATGTATGTGCATAATGCTATTTTACTGACATAAGTTATGTTTTACTGACATAGTGGGTAACATGACTTAACTGTTTTATTCTGCAGTGTTTATCGACAGTTGGGACTTCAGACAGTGCCAAAGTATGGCTGTGTCTAGCCCCGTACAAAATATGTGTGAGTTGGACATCGGCATCACCCCAAAGGTTTATTGTGTATTAGCAATTTGACGCTCAACCAATCTTACGAAATATGTTAGTAATTTGGTATTGTCAGTAGTGTAATTACATTGTTGGGATTTGTTTGAGATACAGTGGGATTCTAGGACCAGGTTCCCTAAGCCCATACAGTATCTGCTTTCAGAGGTAAAACATATTTCATTATCTCTGTTCATACAAAGACATATGCAGGAATTCCATGCAAGTAAAAAAGCTAACATGGCAACATTTTCCTTCTTTGTACTAGTCTTCTGTTTCCTGAGAGCTTATTTTTTTAATGCAGAGAAATAATCTACCTCAGAAATTTGCCACTTCATTCCCAACTCATTCTGCTGTATACATAGCCTGGACCACTTCCTTAAGACTAATTGAGGGCAAGAAGCAAAGTGGTACAAAAATAAGAACTAGTAAAAGAATACAAAGTCTGCTTTATAACTATCTGCTAGCTGAAATCTTGGGAACATTGCCTTTTCCCCCCAGGATGGTTGTGTTGTATACACAGATGCACATATATGTGTGTTTATATGTGGCTTGCTCACAATGAATTTATATGATACTGCTCAGAATCACAGGTGTCAGTAAAATATTTTAGTCATTTTGATTTGAAAAAGAAACCCATATGTAAATGCTTCTCCCTTATGAAACATATATTTCCCCCTGTAATTTTTCTTCATGTGCAATTGATATTAGAAAAAGAATAATGTTTTAGGTTTAATAATAAAGCCAAATATTTGATACGAGAATAACTTGGTGCTGCCTCCTGTTATTTGGCTCTATTTGTACAGTCCCCAGCTGCATTATCTAACCCCAGTGAAGAAAATTAAGTCAATGTAAAAGTATACTCTGTTTTTTTACAAAGAGGTCACGAATAGTCTTTCTTCCCTTGGTAGTCACCAGTGTTCTTATTACACTTCATTTATATAGTTGAAGGACTCAGGAGAACCAGCTGGGTTCCCTGTCTGTACTCATCAAGTGTTAATTTCTGAAAGAGGTACTGCTGTCATGAACAAGTGCCGAAGGTACTCTGGTGGTCCTGCCAAACAACAAGAGCTCTTAATTAGCACCAATGTTCAATCAGACTGCTTAACCTGCCACAGAGCGGAGGAGGTCATGTTCCTTCCTGCAGCATTGCCAACAGAAAATACCCAAGAACAGACCCTGAATGTTTCTTTTACTGTAAGAATAGTTACTAAAGGCAACTGATCCTTGAGAGTAAGGTGGCTTCTTTTGAGGGTGATGTATGTACTTTGAAAAACAAATTTTCTCTACTGTAAATCTTCAAGAAATTTTCTTAAGCATATTTTTATCAGTCCAGGGTAAATATAGTAGTTTGATTCTGACTTTGGGCTCCTTCTGAAGACTTAGCTAAGCACATACAGTTTAACCATTGGGTATATGCAATGCACTAGGCCCGTTACACTTGGCAAAATTGTAGAAGAAAAAGGTCATCCATTTTTTAAAGTGTAATTTGTGTGCTTCATAAGCTGTTTATGTATTTAAATAACTGTTCTTATAGAAGATAATGAAGGGGAACCTAAAATAGCTAGGAAGATAACTTTCAGTATGGTCAGTTGAGGTGTGAAACACCAGGGGTTACTTAGTCTTAGGGTGCAAATACCCTTGGCAGTAAAATAAAATAATGCTCTTCAACAGATGTCTAACAAATTTAATTCTAGAGGTATTTCAAGCTCAGCTGTCAAAATGGAAAGGAAGTAGTTTAAGAAGAGACTTCACCAACAGTCGCTTAGCAGAATATTATTCATGACTGCGAAAGAATCTTTATATGACATTCAATATGCTGTGTTACAAACGATCAGGCCTTTTGGATTTGTTTACAGTTGAATACACTTGCTGCGGCCTTATTGCAGGATTCTCTGAGCCTAATTTGGGAAGCAAATTATTGTTTCTACTTTTAACTTTTTTGTAGATACTTTGAAATCTGAAAAGTGAGAAATCCTGTGTGTGTTTCTGGAGACTAATAAAGAGCTGCATAGCTGCTAAGACAGTTCTGTTGACACAACCTCTGTGCATTATAAAAAGGGTACCTTACCCTTTTCAGGGTGAAAATACATTGGAATGCTTTCTCGTCTTATTGTGTAAGTGGGAAGATGGCATGCTAATCCTTTTGTACATACATACTTATCATGGCAGCCACATTGTTTAGGTGGTTTTGCACAAGCCAGAAAGAATTTAATGCATGTGTTAAAGAAGGATTTTAGTAAAGATTGTTTGCTGTCTGTCTTACAAAAGTGAATGTAGGGTATTTGCAGAGTTCCTCTCATTGTCTTCACTTATTTTCAGTTGCTATTTTAAATAATAGTTTAGTTTCATGTAAAGTCATTCTAAGGAGAAAGGGAAGATAGCATTTCTGTGCCTTTTCAAAAGTAGCAGTATAATAGTTACTGGTGGTGGGATTCCCCCAAGTTGAAGTATGCTTCTCTCCTATAGTGAACATATTATGTCACTTTGAGTTTGTAATATTTCTGCAGTGAAGAAGTACATGTGAAAATGTCACAGTTTTCATTCTAAATTGCATTACACTCTGTCATTATTACTTCAAGTATTGTGGTACAGTGGTGCCTCGCAAGACGAAATTAATCCGTTCCGCGAGTCTCTTCGTCTAGCGGTTTTTTCGTCTTGCGAAGCAACCCTATTAGCGGCTTAGCGGATTAGCGCTATTAGCGGTTTAGCGGCTATTAAAGGCTTAGCGGCTAAAAGGCTATTAGCGGCTTAGAAAAAGGGGGGGAGCGAAAAAAATTTCAAGACTCGCAAGACATTTTCGTCTTGCGAAGCAAGCGCATAGGGAAATTCGTCCTGCGAAGCGCATCGAAAAATGGAAAACCCTTTCGTCTAGCGGGTTTTCCGTCTTGCGAGGCATTCGTCTTGCGGGGCACCACTGTAGAAGTGTGGATACACTTTAGGTTTATCAGCTCAGACAGTATAGAGTGCTCCTTGTGTCATCCATCAGGCAACATTGTACTATAATGTGTATGTTGAGCAGTAACTTGAGCTGTCATGGTTACACTGATTGAAAGATCTGTGGGGAGGTGTGCTTTGTAGGAAGAGATTCAGAAAAACAGCACTGGAGGTTTCAAGACTTTCAAACCTTGTCAATAGAATTACATAGAGACAGGGCAATTAACTGTGTAAATGTTGCAAAAATATACGAGCTGTAATCTGGCAGGATCACTAGTTTGTGTATTCTTATTTAGTGAGCTATAGCAGTTTTGTGCGAATAGAAACTTAATCCCAGTTTACAGTGGTACCTTGGGTTACATACGCTTCAGGTTAGACACTCCACTAAGACAGAAATAGTGCTTCAGGTTAAGAACTTTGCTTCAGGATAAGAACAGAAATTGGGCTCCGACGGCATGGCGGCAGGAGGAGGCCCCATTAGCTAAAGTGGTGCTTCAGGTTAAGAACAGTTTCAGGTTAAGAACGGACCTCCGGAACGAATTAAGTACGTAACCCGAGGTACCACTGTATATGAGAAATGGGCAGCCTTTTCCTTTTCCTAGATTGGCTAGCCCCATATGCTCCCCACTTCCCTCTACAGCATGTGCAGAAACCGCCTTCTTGACTGTTGGACCCACCATTTGTCTTGTCCGCTCATTTTGCCAGAGCTTATCTTTTGATGCAGGGAAAGTTCACACCAAGAATTACCTCAATTAAATCCATATAATTCAATGATTTAGCCAAAATTGTGGTCCTCTATTTGGTATAGTGTTAGATTTAAACATCTCTGCCTAGGACATAGGCTTTCCCTGGAGTTTTATTGACTGGTTGAATATTGATGAAAGTTTCAGTTGTCTTAACTTTATGGTTTAACACTATGTTTTTGACACTGTACTATATCATCAGGGCATTTTTAAAAGTATAATTCCACAGTTTAGAGCTTTTATTCTCTTTTGCTACCATTTCCTTCAAGCATCATGTGTAATCCTTCCAAAATTAACTTAAAACACCTAGAATAAAAAACATCTAGTAATTATTTCAGAAAGGCATTTTAAAAAAGAGAATGGTCTTACAGATAAGCAAAGTTGGATGTCTGTGTTCTAAGCAATTCTGTTTAATGAAGTTCAAAAAATAATTTGAAAAATTACAAGCGATATATTGGTAACATGATACAAAGTTTTTTACTTAGATCATTAGCTTGAATCCAGCTCAGATTTGTAGTAAGTAATGAGAAATTGTTAGCAGGTGAAGATCTCTTGGTGGGCTGTGTGGAAAGAATTGACCATCTGATCTTATTCCTAGTAGACAGATGTTTTCATCATAAAAGGAGCCACTAGGGCACCTTTTGTTGCTGGTCTGAGCAAGGAAATTAACAGTTAAGTGAGGATGAAGTGATTGAACTCAGTTTTATTGGTGATAATTCCACTCGTCAAATACTGAGCAATCTATTGAAATACTGTTTTACTAGTCTGTAGGACAGCAAATCATGCACATTTTATATGTTTCTTTTTGGTTAATTTTTTTAAGCTTTTTAAAAATTGACGTAAAAAAATTATATTTCCTGCAGGTAGTCACGAGTTTAAACTCAGAATTTACAGTAGTTTTGTAAGCCATGGGGCAAAGGAAAGCTTTTTCACGGACAAGACTTGGTTGAACCAAGTGTGCAAGCTTTGCTTTGTCTGCTGCAGATATAGCGAGGTAAGGGGAAATGGTTGCGGGCCTCCTTTTAAACCCTGGGAGCAGACCCAAGATGGGAAGTCTTCTCCCAGGTCCAAAGCACCAGTCCCAATTGGATCCCAGGGTGGAAGCCTACAGCTGGGTGAAGCATGCCAAATGCGCCCCACTGCAGGGTGATGGCTGCCATCCCTCCCCAACAGCATATGCTGTGCAAATCAGGGCTCCCAGTGAATTGGGAGGAACCAGGACTTCCTGGGAAGCACAAGTGGTAAGCGTGCCATGGCGCTCATATCCTGCTCGCGGGCTTTCCAAGAGCATCTGGTTGACCACTGTGGCAACAGAATGCTGGACTAGATGGGCCTTTGGTCTGATCCAGCAATGCTCTTCTTACGTAGTTTTGCTTCTAAGGAATCTTTGTTTAGCATTGTTTGAACCAAGAATCCTAGTTTTAAACAAACTCTCCTGAGGTTAAAACAAACCCTAGTTTATGAAGCGCTCTTGCTAAATTTACCAGAGGTAATTTTAAACCAGGGTGTCTAGTCTGAACCTGAAACTAAGCTGAGATTTCTTACAGATGAAACTAAACTCTGCTTGAAGTACCCATCAGCCATGTGAGGGGGGAAAATGATTCCTGCATTGCAGGGGGTTGGACTAGATGACCCTTGGGGTCTCTTCCAACTCTACAATTCTCTGATTCTATGAGCCCTATGCTTTGGTTGAGCTCATTTGAGGCTTGTTCAAATAATAATGAACCATGATTTAGCATTATATTGCAGACACAACTACTGTTTGACATCTTCTGTTGGTAGACTAGTTCACAAAGCTGTTATCAGATTTATTTATTTTTGTTTGTCTCTATTAAATCTTAAATTGAAACCATTTTTTCATTTCTATGTACTTTGCATTATTATTTAAGTGAAGAAGATTTGTGACTGAGAAGATAGTATATTAAAGAGGGGATCGAGAATTATTTTAAAAGAATTTAAAGTAAATATGATCTGAAGTCCTCACCATCTCTGACAGCTCTGTTGGAAACTCCATTTTTTGCTGTAATTTTGTGGACTTTATGATATTAACAGAGAAATGATTTACTGAATAAAGAGGTCCTTCTAAACTTGGAGTTTTGGAATTTTACCAGTGAGTCTGAACCAACATTTCAAATTTTACTGGCATTTTGTTGGCATAATAGAGCCTGTTTTCTTATTTGAATATATTCTCTGGTATTTTGGGTTGCCTAACTCAAACTTGTTCTATTTATTTGCTTCATGCAACAATACATTTCCCTTTTTTAAAATGCCTTCTTAGATGTTAAGTTGTTAGAAGGCTTTTACCCACTTATGAATTATTTTAAAAACCCAGTCATTTCACACACACCCCTGACTCCCAAAAATACCGTATTTTTCGCCCTATAGGATGCACTTTTTCCCCTCCAAAAATGAAGGGAAAATGTGTGTGCGTCCTATGGGGCAAATGCAGGCTTTCGCTGAAGCCTGGAAAGCGAGAGGGGTCGGTGCGCACCGACCCCTCTCGCTCTCCAGGCTTCAGGAGAGCCGCAGCGCCAGCCCCACAAGCTCCGGGGACAGCTGGGAGGCGCAGCACGTCTTCCCGCTGTCCCCGGACCTGGTCTGCAGGCGGGCGGCGGGCAAGAGCGCTTCTCCCCGCCGCCTGCCCCGCAAGCTCCGGGGACAGCTGGGAGGCGCAGCGCGTCTTCCCGCTGTCCCAAGACCTGGTCTGCAGGCGGGCGGCGGGGAGAAGAGCGCTTCTCCCCGCCGCCTGCCCCGCAAGCCCCGGGGACAGCTGGGAGGCGCAGCGCGTCTTCCCGCTGTCCCCGGACCTGGTCTGCAGGCGGGCGGCGGGGAGAAGAGCGCCTGGGGAAAATTTTTTCCCCCTTTATTTCCCCCCCAAAAAACTTGGTGCGTCCTATGGGCCGGTGCGTCCTATGGGGCGAAAAATACGGTAACTCTGGGTTATATTCAGTGTAGCGCTAAGTAAAGCATTCCATCAATACAAGAATTTACACTTGCACAACAGAGCTTCTCCCTCTCTTCCCACTGCGTACGCCTTAAAACTATTCTAGGGGTTGCCCTAATGCTCTGGAGCAGATTTGGGGAGAGTGTGGGGTACACATAAGGAGCGGAATCTTCCATTGTGCAAGTGTAAATTATTGTGCTGGTGGAACAAATTAGTTGTGGGATTGACCACACAAAAAATAGGATTTTGCATTTCAGAAATAGTCAGAAAACTCCCAACTGGGTTTAAAATCTAACTCTTTTTGTTTTATGTCTATCTTTGAATAACCTATTCCATCAGTGGGGTGCCATATCATGTGGACTTGGAAATACCGGTAGATTTGAGTGCCAGTGGTTGTGAAAAGATTGTTGAGATTCAAAATCCTGTTAGTGAATATACTCAGAAGTTGCAGTAACTTTTGAGAGCATTTGTTGTCTTTTTCTTTTACATATATGTTTAAGAACTACAGAAATGTTATGAACATGGGGGGGGGAGCACTTTTTATTAAAACAGGTGGAAGGGGAGTTCTGTGCTAGCAGAGTGACACTAGCATCACTCTGCAGGCAACGGCCACAAGGAGACTGGCAGGGCTGGGCAGAGGGACCTTCAAGTGGCTTGGATTGATCTTTTAAAGTGTGATCCTGTACATGATTACTTAGAAATAAGTTTAATTGTATTCAGCAGTACTTACTTCCTAATATGTGTGTATTCTTTACGATTGCAGTATTAGAGTAACAGTTATGCCAGGTCTATGTATAGAACTGGAATGACTTCTCTTTTTTTAACTTGAATAAAAGATACAATAAAAATACAATGTATTTGATGCAATTGCTTCCAATTCTGAGGCATATATTGTAAATGGAATCACAGAGTCTTGTACACAAGTCATGTGAAGACAATAATTAACAAACAGCTCAAAAGAAAGATGGTAAAAGTTACTTTTGACCCTCAGGTTTTTCAACATCTGGAATGTAATGTTGCTTTTTGTAATACTTCTGCAATACCATAAAACAGCAGGGTGCATTAATGAGAGTTTCAGTCTGAAAACCACAACATCAATGAAATTTATAGATGTCAGATCATTAACATTAGTCAAACATAGTTTCTGTGGTTTTAGTTCCAATTTTAAGTAGGTATAATAAAAGTCATTTACTGACTATGAGCACTGAGCGTCTTTGGACTTGATGAAATTTCAGTTAACTATGCTGAATTAAACTAATACCATTTTCAATCTATGCTATAAGCATTTTTTGTGAAAAATGTTTAATGGGCTGATGCAGGAGCATTTAAAAAGTTCTGCCCGGTTTTACTATTTTACCTGGCCTATAGAAGTTTAAATTAAACTTTAATGCTTCAACATTTTTATGTGAAATGGCAACTGGAGATTAAGCTGAAATTCATTTTGGGTATCAAAGATTTCAGTCTCCTATTTGGTCTGGTGCTGCTGCTTCTGTTTTACTAAAATATACTATCCTTCAGTATAAATTTGCAGGTTGTTTTTCATAAAGTCTAGGACACCATTATGCTTTTCAAACAATTTCTTGTGCACAGATCTTCAAAAAATGCAACAGTTTCTGAAAGCAGAAACTTTGAAAATATAAGCTAAATACCAGGATCATACCCTCCAACATTTCTCAGATGAAATAGGGACATTCTATTCTACTGCTTTTGATCTCACCTTTCCTTAAAAATGGCTGGCTTCTGAAGCATTGCTATTAAAGAATTTTCCTTCAAAATTATAGAGTTTTGTATGTGTATAAACATACACAGAAAGAGAGAGATAGAAAAGACTCCTGTTTCCCAGAAGGACAGTGGGGTGTCTGATCTCTCCACCACTCTTAATCAAGACAAGGAGGGGAGGAAAAAGGAAAACCAGGACATACCGCGATCATATAAGAAACTGGGATGGCTTCTGTAATTCCAGGACTGTGCCTGGGAAATCAGAACACTTGGAGGGTATGCAGGATGCCAAATTATTTTCCAGCATCCTGACAGATAGACTTCTACCTTCTTCCAACCTTGGTGAACAAACTGGTTATGTGTGATCAAGGCATATTATTGCTCAGCATATGTTTAATTCAATTTATTATGGCAAACAGATGCCAGCCCTTTGTGCTTGTTTCACTATACACTAAACAAAGTACACTAAACCTATCTTTATGCTCTCCTCTCAAATTTGTGAAGGCGCTTCATAATCTTTGCGAAGGCCATATAGCTATACGTTGTGTTAATGCCAGGCCTCACTCAGCTTTCCGATCCAACATGCTACCCAAATCTGTTTGTGGACAATATTGTCCTGATAGTAGCCAAGCCTGAATGATCTCTCGCTGCGGCCCTTCAGTAAATATTTACATATGAAACATTGTGGAGTTCACAATAAACAATTCAAAATCTCAACTTCTATGCTTCAATATTCCCTCAGACTCTCAACTATGACTACAACACCTTACAAGGTTTTAAATATGTTTGAAGTTTTTCAATGTTTCATATGCAGATGCTTAAGGGTACAAGTGCCAAGATAATGGTCTAACATTAAGAAATTGAATTTTACCCCCTTCTGGCAGAAGTCAAAGAATACTTCTTTGATGGTCCAAAACAAATTTATCATGGCTGTGGAGGGTAGCAGCTGTCAAGATGATTCTACTCCCCTAATTGACTCTCTTATTCCAAGTGCTCCCAATAAAAATTCCTTGAAAAATGCTGTTGCAATGGCAGAAATGCTGGGACTCTGTTCTACACCAGGGCAAGAGACCTAGATTAGGCCTGGCAACCATTTGTTAAAAATCAAAACAAGAGGGTCTAGGATTACCTCAAGTTAAATAGTACTAAGAGGCAGTTCATTTTAGAATCCTTCTCACTATGCTATAGGACCCTAAGGATTGTTCATGATTAAGGACGGAGTATAATCAGGAAGTTCACAATAAAATATGTGCTATTATGTTTTCATCCCATAATAATAATAAAGTTGGAACACATTTTGGGCTACAAACTTAGGGGCTGCCGCCACCGCCAGGACTTTCAGGACAGGGCTTTTGTTTTTCAAAAGTGGAATGAAGAAGGACTGTCATTCATGTGACATTTACAAAAACCATTTTACAGCTGCTCAGATTGTTACTAAACTGGAAATAGTTGGCATAAGCTGGCACCAAGACCATTTCAGCATGAAAAAATTGATTCACCAGCAAGCAAGCAGGCCCTTCACTCCTTTTGAAAAAAATATAATAAATACATCTGTATCATAAAAGGAGTACTTTCAATCAACTACAAATCTTGTCATCTCAAATCTTTGAAAAGCCTATAGGAATCAAGCTTGGGGAAGGAATTGGAATGGGCCAACAGTTGTAATGTGTGGGCCAAAAACCTCCATTATCAGTATTAGTGAAAAATAGAGAAACAACATCTAATATCTTATATAAATGTTATCTGACACCCCAGAGGTGCTGTGATAGCAGCTTCCAAGTTCCATCACTCCAAGTTTCAAGAAGATAGTATTTATTTATATTTTATTACCCACCCTACAGTCTAAAGTCCTGGGATTAGAAGCTTCTACCACATGTGATCGTTATGCGAAGGTAAAAACATCTTTTGCAAGACGGTCTTTAAGGAGATTGGCACAATACCCACCCAACATTCAGTTAGTTGTGTTCCACAATTAGCTCTGTTAATTATTTTTGACAGGGAGAACTTACTACCTAAAGAGCTTGTTACATTTATACCAGTGACATCAAGGCAACTGGCTCGCACACAACTGGAAGAGCTTGGAAAATTTGTTGGTAGACTGTTGGCACCAATAAATCTGGTCCCTAGCTCGTATGGATAAACTTACCAAACAAGTACAGGACATGATGATAATGCTTTTATTGAGATTTGGTATGCATTTATTGCTTATGTAAATAAGGATGACCATGGTTTACAACAGCCAACACACATGACAATCTTTGGCAAAATGTTATTGGTTAACTCTTGCATTTTTAATTCAGGAGTGGGGAACAAGGACCAGGGATGTTACTTCTATTTGTGTGATCACACACACACACACACACACACTTACAACAAAAATAATTAAAAAACATAAAATAACAGTTAAAGAAAATAAGCAGATGAATTATATGCTGATATAAAATAAGTCACTACCTACTGTAACATGTCTTTATAGAATATCTGGACAAGGTTGGTCTGGGTTTTTTCCTGTAAGGCTCTTAGGTATTTATAATAAATACTGTTATTGTTTATTGAACCATCAGCACATATGTAGTTTATAGTTTGAACAATAATAGGTGATTATGCATTATCATATGAAATTATTGCAGTATCAGATGGTTAAATCTAAGTTTATGTACCAAAGATTATCCCCCCCATATCTTCTTTGCTTTTTACTTCTTCCTGAATAAGAGTCCTGTCAGACTCAACAGCTTGCAGTCGAAGGTTAGCTCAAGAAAGTTACATATTTTTCTTCTTTCTGTACCCACATAGATATAGGACTACACTAAGGTAGTTTAGCATGTAGACTGTTTACAATCACTTCTTTCTGTTACAAAACCCTAAAACTTGTATTTTCTGAAAAGGTGGGGGGTTATAAAAATCACAAGCACTTTATTATGGTCTTGGAACTGTGTGGTAATGCCCCTAGAGTTATCTCAGATAGCATAAATAAATCTGTCTGTCTCCAGTAGTCTCAGTCTAGGTATTAGCAACTTCTCTATGTTGTATCCCTTCTTACAGAATTCACCTCCTTACAGAAACTATGCCTTCAGTAGCACAGGAGCTCAGTCTTGTCTTGGTGTGCTCTAGTAACTCTGGCCAAACCACTTAGCAACTGCATGTGTAGGTTTCCTTAATCACATCATTGTTCTACAGCACTGTGTTTGGTGTCATAACTAACTTTTTCCCCTCTCCTGATTTGTCTCCCTCAGATTTGTAACGTATGACTTGCCTGTTATGTGGAGCCTAGACAGTTGCTTCAGCTATATTTATAATCTGTCCATAGCACCATTTCCAGATTTAAGTTACATTTCCTTTTATGTAACATGAATGTGGTATTGAAGCTGAAGCAGTTTTTGACTCTTACGTGCAGAGTTTCTAGAAGACAATATTAAACTTAAATGGTTACAAAGAACCTCTCTCAGATTCTTTCTGCCAGCTCCCAGCACAAGTAAAATACGGTTTTAACGGCAACAGTTGATGGTAGACAGTCTCAATAAGCAATTCATGGTGGCCAAGAGAAACAATTATCAGGCTGCACTTTTAATATATAATGGAAGTGGGACTGGCAAAGAGATACTCTGGCCATTGCTTAGAAAAAGGACTATTGCTGATATTTGCATTAAAGGGAGGAGAACATTGCATTACCACTCCTGTGGCTCAAATACTTTTTTGCCTTTTAACTTACTCTTTTTGCAGTTAGGTGAACAACTGAGCCATTGTGGAAAGATGTTCAGAAATCTTTTGGATCATGTTTTGTGTTCTTTATGCATCCTCTATGACTATGTAACCTATTTATAAAACATTATTCTTGAAAGCCAAGCAGGAGTGAATTAGGAAACGCCCTCAGGAACCATTGGCACTAATCAATGTTGGTTCCCAGTATGCAGCAGAGGGTGTATTTGTGCTTACAATTCTGCTTTTCCTGACTGTCATTAGCTCAATCCCAGAGTTTTTAAGTCCTTGAATCTTCCAAAATTCAGAAAAAGTAATTCTATAATATGTTATAAGCAGAGGCAAACCTAGGGGCTGGCAAAACCAACCACTGCCAGAGGTGCCAGCTCTGGGGAGATGCAAAATTCACCTCTCAGACTATGGAATATATGATGTGTATGTGTGTGGTGATATGCTGCCGCTGTTGCAGCGAGATCAAACACAGGGGAAGCGTCCCATCTTTCTTGCACTACAGCACAAAGGCGTTTGAATTTTGTTGCCCTTTCTCCTCGCCTCATCCTCATTCCAGACACTTGAGTACTCATAAAAATGTAGTAATTTCTAATGTAGATATTGCAGTAAAGTGTTTGAGGGGGGGCACTGATATAGATCTTGCTGGGGGGGGTGCCAATACAGTCTTTGGTTGTAAGTATCTCTGCATTATATTAAATGGAAATTCTCCACATTAAAAGGGTCTATCAAAGCTTTAATAGTTTAAGCCCTGACCAATATGTCATAGCATGCTTTTTTCTGCTAACATGCAAAGAAAAGAAAACCATATCACTATTTAGTGCTACTTATTACCAAGGCAATTTAAACAATATTCTCATAGCAAGATTTATGCAAGTCAACATTGGCTCATTTGGTGGTGTTTGAATATGCTTTAGTTTCTACTTATCCCCTGTAGGAAAACTGTATTCTTTTAAGTGAAACAATTTTAAAAGCAGAGCACAAGCCTAAAATAAGCTAGTGTTCTCTAGAGTTCTCAGAAGGTGTAGATTTATTTACTGTAGTTAAATCATAATTAGTTCTCAAGGGATAGTGTCTCTCTTAAACTGCTTTATTGCCACCATACTGGTTTTCTAAATAATCAGAAACTGCTGCTGTTGCTGTATTCAGGAGTATAGTCATGAATTTGCTATAAGTAGTAACAAATGTTAGAAATTGCTGGTTGTCACATATGGAAGATAGTGAAACACTTTAGTGAGAATAAGCACCTCAAAAAGAAATGTAGGAAGTGCAGCTACTTGATTGAAATATATCCTGCTGTTATAGATTTGATATTTTCATTGCAACATTTTTCTATATGTTTTGCCTTTCCCATTGTTTTAACATTTTTGACCTAAAGCTGAAATGATAATGTAACAAAAATTATAAATCTAATGTTTATATGAAGGCCACACATTGTTCTAATAGGAGTTTTCCTTTTTACAATTTGCAGGTTGATGTACAAGGTGCCACAGGAAATAGGTCTGATTGCGATTGCGGTTCAACAAACTCAAGGGAAAGGTATGTTGGTGTAATTCTGATGTCGGCAATACAAGTTCATGAATTGGAAATAATCATCTGCATTGAAGATTACAATTTTAAATAGCTAAAATAGCTGTGTGAAAGAGTGTGTGAAACCATCCCGAGTTGTTAGTAAGCACTTTTCTGACTCTGTATTTTCATCCAATTGGGGTTCTTTTCAGGGAAGCCAAATGCAATCTCACCACACCCCAGTTCCGTGACAGAGAACTACTACCAGCTGTATGCTTTTTTTGGCATGACAAATATATACCACAAAGTTGTTCTTTTCAATGTATCTTTTTTAAAAAACAACAACAACTAGGTGGTATTTAATATGAAAAACTATAAAACCTATCCTCTAATAATTATGTATTTAAGCATGGATCTAATCCGTTGACTGGATTGTTCCTGTTTTTAATCTTCATTTCTCTTCTCTTTTGGCCAGAGTAGACATATTGACAGTAGACATACATACATTTCTTATTGCTACAATTTACGGTGTAAGCAAATCACATGTATATAATTTTTTACTTGTGAATTAAAAACAGAAAGAAACAATGTAAAAACTTTAAACCATCAATATATTAGAACGCCTTCAAAATATTTCATTAGATTTTCTCAGTGAACTGATGAAGCTTTCTTTTTATATAACAAAATAAAACTTTCACATAAATACTTGTTCCCCTTTTTTTAAGGCCGTGGTGGGAATGCTTGGCTGAGTCCTGTGGGAGCTGCTTTATCAACTCTACATATCACCATTCCTTTATCTTCTGAACTGGGACGAAGAATTCCTTTTATTCAGCATTTGGTTTCTCTAGCAGTTGTAGAGTCTGTTAGATCCATACCTGGATACCAGGTATTGTATTTGCGTGTTTCCTATTCCATTATTTTTACGCTTTTTTGACCTAAAATGACTTGAGTATATAATTGACATCCCCACTTAGCATCATTCAACTATCAGAATTTGCCCCCAGGCAAATTTGATTTTGCCCCCAGGTAATTTTTTTCTCTTCATGTGTATGATTGCTGTTTCCATAATGAACCCCCCAAAAAGTAAGTTAAGACTAGCAACCCATTCTGGTTTACTGTATTATACCTGAGTTTCTGTAATGAAGATTGATTTGCCTCTTGGTCTTACTCCTGGACTTTGTTTTATTTTTGTTATAAAACTGATGAGAGGAACTGAGAAAAGAAAAAATAATAAGATTTGCAATTGCCTCTTAGGTTTTAGTTGGAGCTGTTTCACTAGCCACTTCATTCCTTCTTTCTTTTTCCACTTCTTGTTTAACACTGAAAATGTTTGCCCCAAGCTCGGAAGCAAGAGGCTAACCATATCCTCTCAGGGGGGAATCAAGTGTCCTGTCATCAATGCTCAAATTACAAACCAATCTTCTTTAGCACCTCATCAGTTTCCTTTGAATGTAACCAATTCATAATATTGGCTAACTGTAAAACATTGGTATTTTACAGGACTAGTCAATGAAAACATGTGTTTCCTATATTACACAAAATCAGTGACTTGAGCACATTTACACATGAATTTCATTAGAGTGGTACCCAGTAGCCTTTCATATAGTTTAACGGTTGTCTTCTATTAACACTTCCCGACTTCAGGACTTCATAAGTTGACTGTAAAAATGCTTCACAATGGAATGTAAAATAAAATAAAATATAGTGGTTTGGAGTATTAACTGTTTAATGTAGGAGTCCCCAAAAAGAAAATGAATACTTTACAGGGATAATTCAATCTCGTAAATACATTAGTTGTCAGACACAGTACAACTGAATAGCAAATCATCCCTTTAGAAGTCTGTTGTACTTTTTTGTTGTTTTCTCTGATATGTTCAGTAACTTTTCATAAATAAGTCTCTAGATTAGTGCACTTGGATCTTTGTTCAAATAGTTCAACAACTATTTTTCCAGGTGTGCAGGGGAGAGCAAAGGACATTGGTCCCACTGACTTTGCACAATACTGATACCATCCAGTGTCTTAATATAGCACATTACAGGTTCTTTCAGATTACCTGTTTATTGAACATTCTCCTGAAGAAAGGATCTCCAATCAGACCTTATACTTGATCTCAAGCCAAATACACTGAAATGTCAAGTCTTTGCTTTGTCATCAGTTCTATCCAGGACAGATTCCTGTGCTCCCATCCAGTATTTAAGAGGTTCCTTCAGGGAGCATCTCTTTGAAGCCCTCTGGTCATCCACAGGTTTCTCTCCTGGAATGGACATGGTCTTCTATGTTCTCCCACAGCCTCTCTGCTTCCTCAGTCTCTCTGCCTCCTGTTCCTTAAGGTAGATTTCTTCATTGCTATCACCCTAACAAGTAGGGTGACTGAACTCAACATACCTTCCATCAGAAGCTAGCCCTACATGTTCCAAAACTTTTTACCCCACTAAATATACCTGTATATGCTAGATGTCAAGACGGGGACTCAAAACCTACATCCAGAACACAGTAACATTCAGATAAATGGGCAGCCTGTACTACTACACTAGGTAGAAAAGTCTCTACTTCATCTCTGGTGAGATGGATAAAAGCTGTTGGTTATGAAGCCCATCTTTTAGCACAGGCTACTCAACCTCGGCCCTCCAGATGTTTTGAGACTACAATTCCCATCATCCCTGACTACTGGTCCTGCTAGCTAGGGATCATGGGAGTTGTAGGCCAAAAACATCTGGAGGGCCAAGGTTGAGGAAGCCTTCTTTAGCAACTCTGTTTCACATAACAGCTCATTCCACTTGGGCAGCTGCCACTTCTGTTGCTCTGTAAACCAATGCACCCATGTCTGAAATATGCCAAACAGCCACATGCCACTCAACAAACATGTTGACATGACAGCACAGTTTAGATGGTATGGAGCTTTGGGGGTAGGGTTTTATGCACATTGTCCCTCAAGTACTGAAGCAGTCATCTACCCACTGCAGGAAAGCAACAGTTTTTATGTATCCTGCCTGCAGGATACCTCCTGCATCCAGCAGGAGAATGGGACATTGGTTTCTTCCACAACCTACCTTCTTGCAAAGGCATCCAAGTCAGGTGGCTGCCCACAGCACCACTCAGTGCATCCAGATCACATTCAGGATCAGGGCTCTTCTCTCTTTTTGTCTTTTCCATATGTCTGTTTATTTTTTAAGTGGTTCTGCTAGTCTGAAAATGAGATGTTAGGGAGAAAAAGCTCCAGGGTCACGTGTTTCCCAACAAACAGGAGTTATTATAACTCACCAGGGGCCAAGAACAAACCTTGAAGGTAAGTGACTAGTGTTTTTATCTGTGTCCAAATTCATTGTGGGCTTTTGCCTCTTTGTGGGTATCTTTTAGAAAGAGAGAGAGGGGGATGCTGCTAAGTTTTCATTTGTGTATTCAGTGTCAGTATTAAATATTTGGAGAACAGGAAGCGCTAGACAAAGGATTAACACCATGCTGCTTTGGGATGCAGTAATATAGAGCTATAAATATACATGTTGGTTTCCCTAGGATATTGAGCTTCGAGTGAAATGGCCAAACGATATTTACTATAGTGACCTTATGAAGCTGGGTGGCGTTTTAGTGAATTCCACACTAACAGGAGATACATTCCACATTCTTATTGGTAAGAATATAAATGGTTTAAAATATATTTGTTTGTTTGTTTGTTTGTTTTTAGGCATTTTTGCTGCTATTGATAATGCAAATACATAGCAAAATAAATGTGGCCGTGATTCACCTGGCCCTTAATGGATTGTTATCTGACTCCCTGCTTTCAGCTTGCAGGAGAAATTATTGATTTGTTCAGTCATGGGAGGAGAGGCATAATCAAGAATCCTTGATTATTAAATAAATAGTGTCCATGTTGTGTGCTTTAAAGAATAGGTAAATAGGAATAACAGAATCAGGTCTAGACTTAGAGCAATCAGCAGACCTACTCTCAGTATCTCCTGCTTCAAAATTAGGAAGCTTCAGGAGATGGTGGCAGCAATACTCATTCATAAACAGTATGAAGAATGCATCTCAGTGCAATCTCATTTGGAACAGGGATAATGTTCGAGATGATCCAGGTGGGAGAACTTTGAGATCCATGACTTTCACAGTGTTCACCCTGCAGTAGATAGTTGCTTAACATTTTTTTTAAGCCCATATCCATTAACAGCATTCACAATGTTCTCCACACACACCAGAAAACTTCTTGGATAAAACTAATGTGGAAAATACACTTTTGAGAATATTATCGTTTCACTTCAGTGCTTATAGGAACAATCCTAAAATCGTATGTCAATCTGTGGGTTTTGTTAACAGAGAATGTTCTTAAATTTTATAATATGAATTTGATTCCTGACTCCACCCTTCTTAAATGTCAAGATAACTAATCCTCCTCAGATCTATTTATGAATACTACCAAATAATTATTTCCATATTTAATAGGTATATTACTTATAAATTATTAAAGTAATGGTTTCAAAAATAGGGCATTTAAATGTGAGTATACTTGACAAGTCTGGCTCTGGCATCACATGCACAGGGAATGGAAAACCTACATTGCTCAGAAAGGGAGGAAAATAAACAGGTATTAGAAGATTGGTGTGTACATTTCGCAGAGCTATGTTTAGGAGGCCTGATCAAGAAAGCCCTGAGAGCTGCATTTAAACACCCTGGCTTTCTGCCAATAATATTATCCCCTGCTAGAGAGCTGGGTGAGAAATGAGGCTTCAAAGAGAGTCTGGCAAGAGAGCCCTTGAAAGCTGAAAGTTGACTTAAATGTGGAATCCTCTAGGCTTTTCTCAAAGAAGCCAGTTGCTGCCCTGGAGCTGGGGGAAATGCAATTTTTAAAAATGGTAGAATATAGCATTTCATAGCCGCATCTTTCTTTTTCCGATTAATGCTCTCTTGCCTGTATGCTGAGCCATGTGTGTATGCATGAGATGGCCCATTAATTTCAACCTAAAGAGCACATCTACACATGCACACCAAATAGTATACGCAGCTCGACTTCCTCCATCAAAATTTAGCAGGGCAGCCCTTGTAGGTGGGGCAGTTTCCATACCCACAAGAACTCACTGTGGTGGAATGGGACATTGTTCTGTCACATATTATGTGTATTGTTCTGTCACATAAAAACTGACAAAATATATCATTTGGCAATTTTACTGCACAAAACTGTTCTTTGTTTTAAATGAAGATTGTTCCAAAGTTGCATGTCTGGATGTGGATTGTCCTGGACTGAACTAGCTTTCATTGGAGGAAAAAACCATCAAGCACTGTCATGAGGCTGAGCCAAGCTGTCTTGTATTTAGCACATGATATGGATTTGAGTTTATATGAGCTTCTGTCATCTTTCATCATTATTTAAAGCAAATCTCTTCAGGAAATCTGTAGATGGATTTTTACAGCTGTCTGGAGGAATGGATTTGTCTTATGATACAAAGAGGCTTTTTCAGAGAAACAAAACTTTTCCTACACTGCCTTTCTAATTTATTTTTCTTCCCCAGGCTGTGGATTTAACGTGAATAACAGCAACCCCACTATATGCATCAATGATCTCATTATGGAGCACAATAAGACAAAGAATACAGAATTAAAGCCCTTAAGTGCAGATTACCTGATTGCACGAAGTGTGACAGTGCTGGAAAGTCTGATCAACACCTTTCAAGAGAAAGGACCTAATGGAGTTCTTCCCATGTACTATAAGTACTGGGTGCACAGGTAAATAATTTAAAATATATATTCTATATATTTTTTAAAAAGAATACTTATTTTTCTTTTACAAGTAATAAAGAACAACATAAAGAATCAACAACATAAAATAAAATTTCCTTCTTAATACAGGTAATCTTAATTGTTTTAGTGGTAAATTGAACTAACCCCATCAAGAGGCATTTATCTCAAACCAATAGTGACTGATCAGATATATATGTATGTATGCATTTAACATGTTTCACTTTTTCAGCATGTGTTAGAAGTATTTGTTTATGCATAGGCAGATTTGTCATTCAGCATCCATGCATTAAAATATATCAGGATGTTTACATTGGAGTTGTTCCTTAAAGCTACATTTACCTAGCATTTTGAGTTAACGTGCTAGACATAGATCATGAAGTCTGAGCTTTGCAGAATATCTGAGAAGAAACAGATTAATTTTACTATAGTTAAGCAAGTCTACCTATGAACGGGTGGGTGCAGGAAATTCCCACTGACATTGTTCATTATGATGGTAGGCCATGTCAGTAAACCCTATTGTGTATAAGCTATGTAGGATCCATGTGCCTTTCTGAAGAACTAACTCTCGTACAGTGCCATTTATATGAATTTCATTAATCCATTTATTTCCTTTTGTCTATTCAAAGTTGGTTAAAACCCTCTGTTTAGATGGGGAAATCATTCATTTCTTAATTTTATTCAAGGATTTCTACATCATTTTTCAAAACCCAAAATTTTCCCGAAGCATCTTCCAATCAGTATAAAAACATTTTAAGCTTAATATCAATATCTAAAATACCAAAGCCTTTTACATGTTTATGTAACATTTATAATTAGACTGGGGTGAGTTTATGAAACTTGATGGTTTTTTAAAGTGGGTAATTCCTTGTTTTTTATTTGCAGTGGTAAACAAGTACGGCTTGGAAGTGATGAAGGGCCTTTAGCGTGGATCGTTGGAATCGATGATTCCGGATACCTTCAAGTTCATGAGGAAGGCAAAGATGTAGTAACCGTGCACCCAGATGGCAATACTTTCGATATGCTGAGAAACCTGATAATTCCAAAACAGCAGTAGTTTTTGAATGTGGTGAAACAGCTTCTCAGACCATTTTCTAGAGTTTGGCTGGAGGCTGTCAAACTAGAAGTATCTAATCTGAAGAATTGAAACACTGTATACCAAGGAAAACATTGAATTTTGAGTCATTTAATTTTCCTGGGCTCTTGGCCCAGTGACCTGGGATTTAGTGGCTTTTCATGTTTGTTTGTTTGTTTTCCTTTCAGTCTCCATGCAGATGTGAAGGAAACCTTATGGTCAGCATGAAAAGCTCTAGCTTCTAATTTTTGGCATGGAACACTCAAGTAGAATTAGCTCCATAAATCTGTGTTATCCTGTTACTACAGATTCTTCACGCTTGCACTTACAGCATACCTTTACATCCAGTGCTCATATTACTTTGTATCTATAGGAAGGAATGCATTTTGCAGTAGAATATTTCCTATATTAAAATGATAGGGTATAATAAGTTTGGTTTACCAATGCCCCAGTTTAGTATGGTGTTTTGTTTTTAAGCTGTGGATGAACAGCTATATGCAAAATGAAGTTATATTATTCATTTTGAACATCTGTTTTAGAGTATGCCATAAAATTATTTAAAGAATTTTACCCCTCCTGCTGTCTCATACCCACAAAACAATGATCAAAAGGAATTTTAGCCTTTTAGTAAGGACCCTCCATATGCTGTGTTATATTGGGAGTCCAAGTCTTTCAGAAGCTTGATGTTTCCACAACTGACCACTAATTCTTATTTTTTCTAACAATAGATTTCTGGCAGTTGCCCTGATTCCTATAAGACTATACAGAATCTGAATTGCTTGGAAGTATGTTTCAAGTTCACAGTGCTATTTTGCATTTTCCTTGGATTATGAATCCGACAAGTGTTTCTGCTTTAATGGCTATAGCAGAACCTATTTTCCTGTATTATCTATTGTGCCTTATGCATTAAATATATCATAGTTATGATACATAATTATGTGTCATCTTGCCTACTCAGTATGGTCCTCTGATCACTCTGATCATTTTTATGATCAGATGCCAAATACTGATGAATAGATAACACGTTCAGCTTCTTGCACTGTTCTCAGAGGCTCCTAGGTGTATGACTGTGTTTCTGGACTAGGCTGCCTAGGCTTATGGAACTCACTCTCAACCCAGCCCTCCCAGGCTATAGTTTGAAACCAATTTCTGCATATTGAGGAACTGTTGGTAACATGACCTCCTCATGAGAACTGCCATGGGTTCTAAAGGACTCCCTCATGTTACGTTAAGAAAGTGCCCTGAAATGCATGCCTGACATGTAGCCAGAAGCAGGTTTGTAGGTTAAAGTTCACTTTATAAAGAATCAGGAAATAAGTAGATTGGCTCAAATATAAATCCAAGAAGCCTTAAAGAAGGCAAAGAAGTTGGCCTGTAATGGTGGATTAGCATAATCCCTGCATATTGGAGTCTTGAGTAGTTTGACTATAAATTACTGGAGATTGAGTTTTCATTTCATTTAAAATGAGGATTTTGACTTCTGTTGCATAATGTTTCCCACACTGTGACATCTATGACTGTTTCTTGCTTGATGGCATTGTTATCTAACAAATGAAAAAGTAAAACAATTTAGCTTATTTGAGTGGCTGTATATTGATTATTTGTTCAAACAACTAATGGTGAGAAGTAATGACTTGCAAAACTCTCTGGGACTAGGAATTCAAAGCTCCTCTTATTATTGATTTAATAACTCCAGTGATCCTTAAGATTGAGTTAGTATAATAAAATAAATGGAAACTCCAGCAATGTATTTGGTACTCAATTTTTATTTTTATTTGCCTGTAGAATCCTTCTGTCCTGTTGTCCTATCTCAGGAGCTTTTAAATGTATGATTCATACTATTTACCTGTTAGCTGCCAAATTAATAGAGCAGGGCTGTGCCACTTCATTGTTCAGTCTGAACCTTCATCCCAAGTCGCACAGCAATCCACTCCCCAGTTTCTATCTGACATCTTGCAAACATGTTCCTACTGTGAAAAGCTTATGACTTTTCACAGTATGTACCATTTTAAGAATGTATGGTAGTTTGAGTATACATGACAGCCAAGATTGCTCACAATTATTCAGGAGGGTAAATTCAAAAAAGAGGTGTTGAATTTGGAGACGGGATCAGTGAAATTTAATTGTTGAAAGGTTCTCTAAAGCTTGTTCTTCATTTAATTCTGCCCCTTTCACTTACTAATTTCTGCCCTGGTTTTTAGTATGTGTTTGAGGAAATGTAGGGTACAACATCACTATTGATGTTATTTGGGGCAGTGAAAGATCAGACAGATGAGGGAAGGGATAACTTCATGCTATCGTGTCATCTGGCAGTCCATCAGATGTAATTGCTTTGCTACAGAATACTATACCAGTGAACAGGAAAAAAACAGCTACCATATAGAATTTGGTATCTACCTGGCATTCATTATCAAGGTTGGGCTGGATGAAAGGGACAGGCCTAATCTCTTCCTATGGTGTCCTGATTGGTGCAGCAGCAATATATATTCAATGGCTGGGGAGAAGGGGTCCATCATCCACTTTCCTTTTCATAGCAGCCTGTCCAGCAATTAACTGATGCCAAAGATTTACATCAGGTGCTGGGCTCTCAGGACAGGACAGGGTTCTTGTTGATGCGAGAGGTGGTCTTTGAGATGCTCTTGGAGACCTCCTCACTTGTTGCCATGCATGTCCGGATGGCAATGGCAAAGAGTGTTTTTTACTAGCTTTAGGTGGTGTGCCTGCTGCTCCTTTTCCTAGTGAAGCTTGTTCTGGCCTTTGTTGTTCATGCCTTAGTTATACAAGGTGACTTTCCATAACAATGTGAAAGATGGACAGTTCTCTGCTGGTATTGACTTCTGTTTGCCTGAATGACTAAGCATATGGTTGGTCTGGATCTTCCCCTTCTTCCGCTCCTCCCTGTTTCATGTATGCACAGAACACATTTTATTGATTTATTAAACTTGATTTTGTATTGTTTGACTATATTTGTTTCTTTTTGGAAAAATCAGCAAAAATACCTGTTAATCAAAAAATTATATCAAGATTAGATAACAGTAATGCAATCTACATAGAGCTACCTTTGAAAATAGTTGGGCCAAGCTCCATCTGCTAGAGTTTTAGTTGGGCTTTATAGCTTAGAACTACCCTACTCATAGGGACGCGGGTGGCGCTGTGGGTAAAACCTCAGTGCCTAGGACTTGCCGATCGCATGGTCGGCGGTTCGAATCCCCGCGGCGGGGTGAGCTCCCGTCTTTCGGTCCCAGCTCCTGCCCACCTAGCAAGTAGATAAATAGGTACTGCTTTATAGCGGGAAGGTAAACGGTGTTTCCGTGTGCTGAGCTGGTGCTGGCTCGCCAGAGCAGCTTCATCACGCTGGCCATGTGACCCGGAAGTGTCTCTGGACAGCGCTGGCCCCCGGCCTCTTAAGTGAGATGGGCGCACAACCCTAGAGTCGGACACGACTGGCCTGTACGGGCAGGGGTACCTTTACCTTTACCCTACTCATACTGGCTACCAATTTGTTTCCAAGCCAAATTCAAAGCGTTGGTTTCAACCTTTATAGAACTAAAGAAGCTTGTCCTCTCCCACATGAGCCTACTTGTAGCTTAAGATCAACAACAGACACCCTGCTCTGTGCCCCATTATAATTAGATGATGGGTGGGCATCAGAGACAAGGCCTTTTCTGTGCTGGTACTTAGACCTGCAATGCCTCCTGTGGCTTGCATTTTGCAGAGCTGTTTGCTTCTACTGGTATTTGGTACTAGACTAATTGCTTGGCCTATTATTATTATTTTATCTTGCTATATATTTATACCGTTACTTCTTGAATTATTATTGAATTATTTTGTAGTTTATATATATGGTATGTTTTTTTGTAAGCTGCTTTGAATTTATTGTGTAGAAAATTGGGGTAAAAATTTGAATAAGACATAAGATTTTCTTACCTGGATAATAAAGAATGTAAACCTTTGTTAAAGTAAAAACAACCTATGGTTTGTTTTATTTCAAACCATATTACAGTTTTTTGCACTGGAAAAATTCTTTCATTTAATTTCCTTTCTGTAAATGAAAAGTAATGAAGTGTGGACATGTTGAAGCACAAGTGGATTAGGTGGGAATATCACTTTTACTTCTGTTTTTGAATGGCCTGCCCTGTACATACAAGACAACATACTGTCTTGAATGAAGTCAGCATCAATTGTAAACTGTCATATACCTGACTTTATTTTTGTTTGCTTCAGAACAGTTGAACAAGGCCTTTCTGACTCACAACTGTCGTAGTCAGAAATGCCTGTGGGAATTTCTGTAGGATACACAAGTAAAGGTGTGCATGGGTAGTACAGCTGGTAATCACATTGTTTTCCACATCAAATTTGGCAACTACTCACCATTTCTGTATGAAAACCATTTTATAACAGTCCTTGTGACTTTATAACATAGCAAAATGTGTCTGGACAGAGTCTGGAGGAGCCAGCCAGGCATCCTGGAATCCAGAAGTAGCCCTCTGAAAATGTGCAATACTATTAAAATGTCCAGGTTAGTAAAACACCTTTTCCACTGTGTAGCTGATGTCGTCTTTCAGACTGTTCTGTAGATGAAGTGCTTTCAAAAATATTTCATTATGGTGCCCATATTTTTTTGCAATATGTGCTTTTCTTCCGGACCAAAGTTTTAAAACTCCTCATTACATATTAAGAAAATATCTGTACAGATTATTTATTGACAGTAAGGCTTCTTAAGGAACTCTGGTGTGCTAGTATTTGAAAAGAACGAGGTGAATTGCATCCAGACAGAACTGATGACCTTTCCAGAATTACACAATTTCCACCAGGATAGGTACTCAGAACTAAGAATAAACTGGCATTAGTCATCTGTAAGCCTCCATAACACCTTGGAATACATGTCCTAGCAAGTCATTATGCCTCGGTTATCTTTTTTAAAGCATGGTGTGTTTATGCTATGGATCATGCTTTCCTTCTGCAGGGATTTTTTTCTTTTTAAACTGATTACATGGTTATAAAGTGCAAGTTCATAGTTTTGTTTCAGCATAGTTCTGATTTTTGAAGCTAGCTGGTGGGAATATTTATACATTGCATAGCTGCCAATAGAAGTGCTGTTAAACAATATATTGTGTGGAAAGCAGGACATAGCAGTTCTTTGTAGTCTCTGTGCAGTCTCACCTTTCTGTTCTCCACATGTGTAGATTAATATTTGGAACTTCTGGAGCAAGCTGGTAACATTCTGGCATGAAAGACTTATCTGCACAGCCGTAGCACACACCTAAGAACTTCACCTTCTTGATCAGTTCCTTTGTGACTGCTGCAGTAGCGATTACAGGAACGGTAGAAAGGTAGGCACTTCTTTCCTTCTACCTCAGAACTTTGTTCCTCTTTTTTTTTTGCCTTGCCAGATACTTCTTCACCTACCCACAAGCAAACTTGGGACTGTCAAATGTTTGTGCTGTTGCAGAGATGCACTGCACAGTCTTGTAAAACTAAAGACTGCCATTCTAGCAGTCTAGGAAAAAGTAAACTTGATCTTTTGTTTGGAAGTCCTTTTGGTGTTAAATCCATCTGCAACAATAGCATTTGGACCAACCTGAATGTTGCAAAATGGTAAGCAAGCCTTCATGATGGTTGTTAAACAAACGGAAATGGAGACGAGGGGGAAAACTTGTTTGATGTTGAAGTTGTGGAGTCTGCAGTCTTAACATAGACTGTGGAAGGGGTTAGCAAACTTAAATAGATAAGGCTGTACTAGGTACTACGCATGTTAAGTTGTGTCTAGGACTGCTGGGACAAAGAAACATACAGTGGTTGAACCCCATTTCTGAAAATACAGTCCAGTTGTTACCCAGACCTTTCTCCATCATTAGATTCAACAGATACTTTGGTAAGGTGGAAAGCAGATATACTGAGAAACTAGGCAATTTTTTAACATCAAAGCAGCAGCAATAGAGATGATTGGATCCCTTTCTGACCTCGAAGCATGGGTACCCCCAACAAAAATTTAAAATTTGGCTCTGTAATTTGGAACTAATGTGATTTGATTGGTTTGTTAATAAAAATTATTTTTTTTAAGAAAAGAGAAACTAGGCAATTTTTATATTAACTATAAAGCCGGAGATTATTTTTAAGTGGTGCACTCAGATAAACAAAGAAGTCAATGCAAAGCAAATTGACTACTATTAGTAGTTGGAGAGAAAGACCTATAACAAAGCCCCTTCTTCAAGTGATAGAAGCGAATCTTTCTCCAGTTTTAGGATTCCACTCCTGAATAGGGTATTCTAAAGGTAAAGGATCCCTGACAGTTAAGTCCAGTCACGAACGACTCTGGGGTTGCGGTGCTCATCTCGCTTTATTGGTTGAGGGAGCCGGCGTACAGCTTCCAGGTCATGTGGCCAGCTTGCTCACTATTTTGACATTTTGGCTAGTCCTAAAGGTATTGCCTAATTCATTTTTTTTTCTCACGGACCAACATGGCTTCATTTTTTATACTTAATACAACTTCATTCCATCATAGCTTGAGTTGAGGATGGGAATAAGTGCGGTGGGGGGAGCATTTAATTAAGTATCAATAGAATTACATTCAAAAGTTCTGAATAAGCCCTAACATTCTGTCTGTTTCTAGAACTGCTATGCAGTGAGGAAAACAAATGATGTATTTCATTTCATTGAATTACCTAAATTGGTCAATGTAATATTAAAAATACAATAAACATTTAATGTATTTTATAAATACACATTATTTGTACTGTACTTCTAAAACCAAGCAAATAATAGAAGTCCATTATTCCTTTGTCTACAGTATTTTATTTAACATAGTCTTAAGTAATAAATAAGCAAAAGCTTTACAATTTAAGGGAGTAGATATATAATCCTAAGCAATAGTAGGATGTGTATGTATTTCTTTTTCCACATACTTTTGTCAAATAATTTATTTTTGCATCATAAAAAAGCAAAATCTAATGTTCCAGTAAAGGAACAAACAGAAGAGTTTTCTCTCAAGAAACTAGCTCAAAAAACTGTATCGTGATTTTGGACAAGTAAAATTATAGCAGGAATTTTATTAATGCATTCAATGCTGTCCTTTACTTATGAATGTGAAGTTCAAATCCTAAACCTATTTACTAGTGAGCAAGCCCCACTAAACATAGCTAGACTCACTTTCTGAGTAAACATGCATAGGATTATGCATCTTAAAATTATTCACTGGTTTGTTGCTGCAAAGTTGAGCTTTTTAACCAAAGTAGATTGATGCGAGGGAAATCTACACAATTGTACTCAGCAGAGCAGTTTGTACTAGGTGTGTGTGGCATTTCTACTCATAAGATACAAAACCGAGGGTTACATTTCCCAACTCCATTTTTTACCATTTCTTACAAAGTGTACAGAACCTTGCAAAGTACAGTGATAGGCTTTTTCTGGGGGGACACAGGGGTACACATACCCCTAAACATTTTGTGAATCTTTGTACTTTTCTTCATTTACTGTATTTATTTTCCACAATTTGAACTATAAAATGGTGATTTTCTTGAGTCAAAATGGGAGTACCCCTAAACATTTTTTAAGAAAAAAAGCACTGGTGATAGGTAATTATAGTTCATTAATTATAGTTCATAATCAAGAAGAGAAATGGCAAAGTAAAAAAGTGGGTGTCCCACTCTCTGTACTTCCATTGCATGTAAATGATACATCCAGTTTTCAAGCACTATTCAGGATTTTTAAAGTTTTATCCATCGTGAGAGGGAAGGGCTGCATGTGACAGCCTCACCCCTCATGACTGGGAAGGTCTGCAGAGGGACTGTAAGTACATTGAGCTGAAAAGGGTTCCAATTCTTAGGAAGCCTGATTGCAGGGAGCGCTGTAAGCTCATAAACAAAAATGTGCTTGCAAGTCCTGTTCAGGTCTTCCCAGGAAGGTCAGAAGCGAAGGGCCAGAGCAAGCATGTGCATCCTTGAGTCCTCTCTGTGGATAGGACTTCAAAATGCCTAAGGTAATTTATACATTGTGATAGTGGCAGGTTGTTAATTATTTGAAACTGCTTATCGTCAACAGCATTACCTAAATGACACCGGGCAATTGAACAGTTTAAAAAGTGTACTTTTCAGAAATATTTTCTTTCTTACAAAGTGAAAGAGGCTTAGCATATATACAGTCACTCTGAAGAAAATAAAGTAAGTATGCTACACTGCAGTTGTGTATCAGATTTCTTTTTATGAGTCAGCTAATTGCCTGTATCTCATTGGGGAATACATTTTTTCACATAGCAAAATAAACAAATGTTATTTGGCATAAATGTATTCTTTCAGGATTACATCTGCATGAACACTTTGAAAGACTGTAAACAAACTTGCATCTGGCAATAGAATTGTGTAATGACATCATGATAAGATCATTCACAAAAGCTCCTTTCTATGAAGACAAGCTAAGGGTGCTGCTGCTGTTTTCAGCAATATCAATTACATCAGAAAAGGTATCAACGTTCACAGAATTTACCTTGGGCATCTGGGAGGATATTTTTGTTTGGCTGTTAGGGGGGAAAGTTCACTTCCATCCTGTTAAGTACATTAGTCCAATTTAACTATAAAATTAAGTCTCTGTCAAGTTTGTTGCCCAGATAATTTATGCATGTTCTTAACACTTAGAAGACACACCACCAAGCAGCAGTTTTTTGTAGTCAAGGTATTGAAATATGTTCTACAACAATTAGCACCGTGCAAAGGATGTGTCAGACACCTCTTAGTGCAGTGTGGTGAATATTACAAAGATGAGGCTAGAGCCCAAACTGTAAATGTGAAGTTCCCTTTATCTTAAAAACCATTCAAAATAATGCAGTTTTGAGCCTTCCAATTCATAAAATACTCTAAGCATTTATCCAAATGCAACTATGACCAAAGAATGGTAGCCAGTTCACCTGGAAGCACACACTTTTTTCTGAGCCTGAAAGATCAAGCACAAGAGGGAATGAACAAGGCCATTCATTCAAACAAACAAACAAACATGTGCAAGAAAGAAGGATGACCCAGTACCCCATAAAGCACTAGAGATGGAAACATATTAGTCATGGTGAACAATGGGCTGAAGGCAAGGTGCCTAGCACCTATGGGAGAAGCGTATTTTTACACTTTGGGAACTATTGGCTTCAACTCAAGGCACAGGTTAAGTCTGAATTCTAATGTACACTGCTTTGGCACTACTTAAAAATGTGCATGCTCACAATGGTTAACTTTAAATAGGGCAATACTGAGCACAACCAATCACTTTTGAAAAGCTTATTTCCTTACAGTAACAAATAGCCTTATAAAATTAGACAAGGAAATGGATTGTATTGCTGCGTCTAAATGCAGAAAAATAGTTTAAGAAAATGTCCTCATTACCTTTCAACTTAGTTGAGATTTGAAAAGGTGCAATCAAAGCTGTTTTCCATATTGCACAAGTTAAATTATATATTATTTCTTGGAGAAATATTCTTAAATTGGTTCTGTCTATACTCAAAACAACGGCAAAACTGTTATTTGCTTCCTGGGGGCACAGAAGTTCTTCCATGCTTCTAATGAAAACTTCACTTGTCTGAGGGACATTTTAGAAGTTTTTGATGTAACTCAAGAGTTCAGCAAAGCTAAGAAAAACTAGTCAAATTAAAATATACGTCTGACTCCAGTGTTAATGTTCTTTAATGCCAACCATTTTTATACATAAGCTTTTTACATATTAGGGTGTGTTCTGTTCTGTGATTGAGTAAGATGATAAATGGTTTATTAGTTATGTTGAAATGACAACCACATTCTAGTAACTCCTAGTGTGCAAAACAATCTTCATGTGTATACACACCCACCACATGTACACAAGAGCTTCCCCCATTTAACTGGATAGCACGAACAACTTTGCATGTGTATTCTTTTGTGCTATTGCTTATGATTTTATTAAAGCACCCACAGAAAACTGGAACACATGAGAGCTATATATTTATGGTATTAAATCTTTGCAGGTGCTTGGGTTGCCTCACCTTCCAGATTAAACATTACAAAGCCAAAGATGAATATACTACGTGCTCTACGAAAAATGCAAAATAAAATGTAAGTGCCTGAGAATTCTAATCTAATCATTAGTGCAGTTGGTGAATGTATTTTATCATATCTTAACCATAAAAGTTGCTAAAACTGGCTGGGCTAAAAACGTAAATCCACCAAACAGAAAAGATTTGAAGTCTCGTTGACAGAGCAAAATGAAGAGAATGCAACTTCACTCCTCTTTGGCTGGCAACAAATACAGTTTGGGATATATTCTAAATGGAAAGTGTATTTGAAACAGTGAAAACCTTTGTCTTTCATTTTCAAATAGATGCTTTGATTTTTCCCCCCCTACAGTGTAACAATCACCAGCTCTTTGGTAGTTATCTCCAAGCTTATTGGGCAAGTAGATTTTCATTTTCTAAAGATGCATAGTAGCCATGCAGCCTGGCAATTCTATATTGCCTTGAGTAATATATATCCAAGCCACATGAATAAAAAAAAATGGTTTAATTTCAGGGATTGAAATCCTAAATGCATGTCCCCAAGGTAATGCATTGGACAGCAGTTAAACAGAGACTATCACAAATAACTGGTAATTACTGTCTCTTACCAGACTGTCCGTTTGTTAAGTGATCTATAATTTTCAAATAACTGAGGGATTGTATTTTTTAAGAAAACAAAGTCACTATGTATCAGCACATAAACTCTTATAATTTAACTTATATACTGTAAAAATAACAAAAATATGATCTGTTACATGGCTTCTTACTAGCAGAGTCAACTGCAGAGATTAATCTGGAACAACAAAGCACTGAAGCTACCGGTAATTTTTTCCCCTTGACCTTAAAGGTACTGTTACACATGGCTTGCCAAGAATGCATGCAAGTTTGTCCCACTGATTTTAAACCATGCTCACTAAGTGCAACCATGTATCCTCATGCTTTAGGGGAACTATTCCAGTTTGTTTATTTATTTATTTATTTTATAAACCACAGCTTTCTATTACTGTCACCTTCCATTGGCTATTATTACAGATGTTCCAATATAATGGGGAAGTGCAGGCTCCTTGTGAGCCTCAGGGGAAGAGGCTGATGAAGGACTTTGGTTTTTGTAAAACATATTTACTTCCTCAGAACTGTGTCCATAATTCTCTGCTACATGTCCTGTGGCAGTACACGAAGAAGTTTGAAATGTGCCATGTTTGGCTAAAACCCGGTGGTAGTTGAGAAGTACAAATGGAACTTGCCCTGCATGCCTAACATCCACAGTGTGATCGTTTTCAGAGTCATGATCAAACTTTCCGGTCATTCTGTCATCAGGTTCCAGCTCACCTAGATTTGCAGCATGATGGGCAATGTGCTCAAATTTTGGTTCTTTCATACAAATTCTTCTTGTTTGTTCATATACTGTTGGGACTGGGAGAAGGTGATTTAACTGTCCAATAGATTTAGTTTGGAAACATTCAGATTTTGACAAAAAAGAGTTGGCTAAGGAGTTCGAAAAGGGCTTTTCACTTAAGTTGTTTTTATCTTGTACACCTCTATTGAAAACTAGCTTATTTTCTTCTTTAATGAGATGATGATGTGCTGGATATATTCGGCTTTCCATTTTGTTGCTGTGCTTTATAATGGTGGAATCATAGCTCTCTTCTTTGTATCTGCTATTTGCTGCTAGGGTGGCACAGCTTGCAAAGCTGTCAGATGTACTGTCTTGGCTATATCTTCTGTTTGGTAGTGGCACTTTGAAAGAAAGAAAAATAAAGTTCTTTAATGAAAGCAGTTCAAGCAACGAAGTGTAGTTTGAACATACAGTAAAGTCTATTTAGATTGGGGACATTCGTTTAATGCTGTTTTTGAGCTTGCTTTAAAGCCTTTGTGCAAATTAGCAAGAAGCTGCATTCCAAATAGAATCAGGAGGGGGGAAGGAATAACTTATCCATTCCTTCTCCGTGCCAAATTGCAAGATGGGAGTTAAAGCAAGTTCTTGGAAACTCTAAATTATAGCTAATTACCTTCTGAGGCAACTGGAGCATTATTGGAACTATTTAAAAATGTAATTTTTGTAAACAGTTTTGAGTTTTATTTTTTCACTTTGGATACATACCTTCATAAACGGGCAACATAATCAGATGTAATACATGAAAATGCTTTCCATTTGATTTATTAGGCTTGTTTGTGCTACTTGTGGAACACTCCAAAATATGCTCCCTAAAGAAAAGTTGCTACTGTGATCAGTATTGTACCCACAAAAACTCTTTCTTTTCAGATCTGATTCTCTGACAAAACAACAATATTGTGAGGACAATGTGGTCCAATTGTCTGCTCTGATGTAGCCCCATGAACTCTAGTGTGAGGTCTACAATATACAGGATTGTCAGTAAGCTTGTAGTAGCAGGGCTACACAATAAAAAGTGTGTTGTGTGAATACACCCTAAGAAAATCTAGGAGACCTAAGAAAACTGAATTTAGGCTTCTTGTTAAATTCTTTGCAACAGAATTGGGGTAATTTTAGTTATCAATCAGATTTGCATCTTAACTATTATTCTTGCATTATGTTCAGAAAGAAATATGAACAATTCAGGAGCAAAATTAAAGTATAAATGTAAGTTGCAACTATTTTCAGTCCTTTCCTTAACAACTCATCAGCCTCTTTTTGTTAAAGGTTTAAAATAGTTTTACCCACAACACATGTTTAATATTTGAAAAATATTTAACATGTATGATTTTTTTCTGGGTATAATAGAGCTTCAGATTTGTTCATTTAATACACACCTTCATAACTCTGTAAGAGATTATGGCGTACGCTGCTTGCTGACTGATCGGAAGGACTTTTCGATGGTGACTGACTGCCTCCTGGAACAAGAGAATTGGCATAGTGCCACTGGCACTCTCCACTTGTCTGCAAAGTACTTAAGAAAAATCGAGCTACTTCGCAAGGTGTTCCTTGAGATTGCCCAAATTTAGAAGGCAGCATTTGTTTTTTGCTACTGAATACATGAGGGTCTACAGGGAAGTGTCCATAATGGTAAGAGAAAGGTAAGCTGTACGATGGGGTGTATAAAAGTTCGCTGTTTTCTGAATGGAAGGCTTGTTCTTGGATGGTGGCAGAATTTGCTGTGGAGTTGGATCTCCAGCTTCCAACCTGGCCACATTCCAGTTTGTCTGTCTGGAAGGAGCTGTATTGCTGAAAAAGCAAATAAAAAGAAAGAAAAGTGTTTAATAGCTGACTCTGAAATCTGTCAGTATAACAGACTAACAGAGTGCACTGCAGCCAAGTACCACCTTGAACTGCAGTCACACCAGTTCATATAAACTAAGAGAAGTTGGCAGCACTTAATTTCTAAAGAGAGGAACTGGAGCGCAAGCCTTTCTGGCATTTTTCTGGAAGCTCTGCTCCTTAATCCTGTGTGTGATGGACAAGCTATAGCTTTAGTGGTGAGGGAGGAAGGCATTCTGCACATGTTTGGAAACACTTTAAAATGATTTCACATATTCCCTTTAGCTGGCAAGATTTCAGAGGGCCACACAGAGGTCTGGGGGACCTGATGTCGTGCCCCCCTGCACTGAGGTGGGAACATCTGCTTCCCCATTGGCTTGTTTTTGATCTGACACACTTATCTTGCTTTGGATTGAAAGCTCAAGGTCACCCCTACCTCCATATTTCAAGTCAGGCTGTCTAATTTTTTATTTCCTTTTTTCCAAGTGCCTACAAGTTTATCCACTCAAACATTTGCCTGCCCCTTTTTTTTTCATTTTACACTTAGAAAATTGCTCAGAAAGAGGTGAGAGCTAGCTTTGACATGAGGGTCAGCTAACCAGCAATGTGAGCAGCCTTGCTCCAAGGGAAGTTTCCTAATGACTGGCACAAAGGCTTTGCACAGCACTGCTGGGAATGCTCTTCTGTCAGTCATTTTAAACATTCCCTAAAAGCAAGACTTTGCACATTGCTGGTATGGTGCTCCTCAAGGCAAAGATGGCTTCTGCTCCAAATCAAGACAAATCCAATCAGGGAAAGAAGACTGCAAGTCTCTCCGAAATGCAGTATCCAAATGATATACTCCCAAACTAGGGAGGAAACTACACCAGTCCTGAAGCTGGCAGATCTTTAGATGGACAGTTCAACCCTATTTTATTCTTTGTCCCTGCACTCTACCTTTGTCTTGTTCTTGTGTCTATTGTTAACGCTCACCCTGAGCACCTTTCTGGACCTGGTCATGTATTGTCTCCTTTCTGCCCGTTTTGTACGATCTTGGTGGCTTTCCAAGCAAACTGTTGCATCTGTCAAAAGGGTGAATGCTGCTGGTACAACAAGCTGTTGCACCAGTGTAGTTCCCTGAATTGGTTGAAATAATTCAACCACAAGTGATGCTGTATTGCTGCAACAGTTCATATTCTTGATCCTCTAAACTTGCAGTACTCAGTACCCCAAGCAGCAATTTGTAGGATCAGGCTATTAAAAGGAACAGAATTTATAATATTTTGAATTGCAGGAAATTCCAGTGACTATTCACAGCTACTGTTGCAGATAGGTTGCCACACACTTTTAGCATGAAATGTTGATAGAGGGGAAAAACTACTACCTGTTGTGGATATGGCGCTGTTCTGAGTTTTGTCTTCATTTTATTACTTCTAGGTTTTGTTGCTTTTCTTGTTTCTTGTGAGGTAGACGCTGAATTTCTGCATGGAAACTGTGATTTAGAAATGGTGACCTGGTCCAATGATAATGGGAGTTCCTTATATTCTATATCTCTGAAAAAACAACAACAGCATTGCAACAGAGGAATGGTCCATTTGCATCTTTCTCCTCACTTATGTGCCCCCAAGCATTTAAATTGGGGCGGGGGGAGAACCTCAGGCCTAAGGTGCCAATGTGATCCTTTGGGCCTCTCTAGCTGGCCCTTGGGACTCTGCAAGCCATGCATCACCCAACACTCCTTGAGTACAGCCTGGCTGTACTGTTTCCTTGAACTATGATAATATCTCTCAGATGCCTAGATGGAGACTGTGCGTGTATACACACGTGTACAGCAGGCTGCATTCCAGGTGCACACAAGGTAAAAATCACACCCATTGCTCTATCTACTTTTGCCTCCAGCCTTGCCCCCTGCTGGCACATAACCCCTGTAAAGGTAACCCTGAGTGTATGTTTCCCTCACACTGAAAAAAGGTTCTCCAACCCTGGCATAAAGAAAGCTTCAAAAAATAATACCAGACATGCCACAGTCACTGGACTATTAAAACTGAATCCTTAATGCACAAAGAAATGATAGGAAGGGGTTGGTAGCGGTGAAGCTAGGTTAGGAGTTCAATTCAGGACACTTGAACTCCAGACACTGCCAGAGAGGAGTAACTGGGCCACCTCTCATACTTTCAAAGCTTTCATTCAACTGCCTCTATAATACTGTGTATGTAAGCAGTTATTTGATATACACTCTCAACCTGTCATTTGTTCATAGTTGTGCAGCTGGAACCCATAAATAGTTAATAATATATTTGAAAAATGGTTGCCCTCCTCCATCCTAAAGTAATTGTCTGCCTCCGTGTCGTAAGAATGGTTATCTCCTTCGGTTGTTGTTTGTTTAATTAGTTTTCTGGAGGTTTTTTTTTTTTTTTTGGTCATCAGCTGATCTGCACCTGCATTTTCTCTAAAAGAGCTGCATTTATCCCAATGCCATTTTAGTTCATTAATATGTCACAGTGTAGGAGTAGAGCAGGACCAGCCCTACCATTAGGCAGAGCAAGGTGGACATCTCAGGTGGCAGATGCTGGAGTGCAGGGGGGCAGTAGCAGCATCGCCCCCTGATCCCTACCCCAGCTGTGCCTCTCTGATGCAGAATAGAATTATGTGTGTGCAATGCAGCCTGCATTGTTCCTCCTAAGGTAGACTGCTCCCTTGATGTGCAGCGAAAGATGCTGTACAATTGCCAGTGTTGAAATAAGATTTAACTTCTAGTTCAGGCAACCTCTGTACATGGAAAGGGATGTGCCCTCTTCTACCTTGTGTCAGGCAGCAAAACATCCCTGGTAGACGGACTTCAAGAAAGGTTTTCAATAATGACATTTAATGTTATTTGAAATGTAGTCATTCTTTTAGTATTAGATTGGTTGTCTAGAACAGTCTTCAGCTGTGAGATTGAAGCCCAGAAGTGAGTTGGCCATACCAAAATACTTTCCCCACCCCCCCTAGGAAATGATGTCTACCTTACTAAAACCTGATAGAGTATTATAAAGCACAACAAATATATATATATCGGTGATCAACATTTTAAAGTAACAAAGTGGAAATCAGGATGGAAGAATCAGATAAAGTTATCAACATGAGACACTGAATAAAATGAATGTGGTATACAATGGTAGGAAATATGGACTTACGTTAGGACATAATTAACACTCACTATGCAGTGAGGTCGTGATGAGCGGCTGTTGTGTACAATCGTGGCATAGCTCTGGACCCAAACCCAGCCACTGTTCTTTGACAGCAACCGATAGTACTTGGTTGTGACTTGTCCTTTCACCAACACTATAAAACATAACATGAAAGGAATTTAATTATACTCATACTCTGCCTTTCCTCCATGAAACTTGAGGTGGCATATTTAAGGCTCCCAGGTGACCTTCTATTCAGACATTGACCCAGACCTGCTTGGCTTAAGAAAGTTTGTTACATCATTGATTTTCAGGCCATACCATTCTACTTTGGTTTATTTGTTTTTTAAAAAGAGCATTTTACCCTTATAATTGAACTTTCAAGCAAGGGCAGTATTTCGGTTATTGCGACTGAATGTTCTCTTAATACAGGTCTTTTCTAATACAAAATCCAATAAATAAAACACAATCCTAGATACGTCTGCTCAGAAGTCCCACTAAATGTGTATAGGATTGCAGGCTAAAAACTCATTTGAGCCTTCGTTTGTGCTTTCTTGTACTCCTGGACTCTTGCCTAATTATAAGTTTATCCAATTCTCTTATAGCTGTAATACAAAATCTCAAACCAAAACGTGTTCTGCCTTCTGCCTTCTTGTATATCCTTTTCTTAACATCCCATATTGACTGTAGATTTAAGAATGAAGTGATATGGAGAAAGAACATTTTGGACTATACTTTCTCAGTGACTGCTTTCTGACAATCATATCTTGGCTTAATAAGCTGAGGTATGAATGAGCCTCATACACCTGTATGTCGCTACTCTGCTCCTCTCTTTGTGCAAGACAGGAAATTTGCAGTTAACTATAGCTTCCTGTTACAACTGAAGCAGGAAACTATGGTTAATGGCTTCCAAACAAGCCAGGCTATTTAACTTTAAAGCATGACTTTATATTTTAGCAGCTTATTGAAAAATAGTGGTTGCTTGAGATCCTGCAACCACTTCCATGAGCAGAGAAACGGGGCACCACAGTTTTGGGAACAAGCAGAAGTCCTGCTCAATACACGGAACTAGTTGTACAGTTGTCTAGCTTTAACCTAGAGTTCTTTCCTCACAGACCACTTCCCAAGCTTCCTGATGCATGTATTTTTTCATAAAATTAAAACATCTCTATTAAGTCGATATGCATACCCTTAAGAGAATTTGGATTTTCTTACTATAGATTAGTTCAGCTAAGATAGCCAGTGCCTGAAGGTTCTTTACATTTATTACTCTGAGCCAAACATACCCAATTTCCATTATAAATGTTACTGCCTTCCACAGCAGCCATTTGCTCCCAAAGGTGCTGTAAACAGTTGGGAGAGGATAATATTTGGTGGGAAATGAATGCAGAGCTCCAAAACACTGCTTTAACTTCAAAATAAAAGTTCTCAGGCTTGTCTAAAAAGTGTGAATTATTTGTTGTTGCTATTTATTAAATTTATCCAGGCAGCCTTTGAACACGTGAATTCTGCCACTACTGCACTGTCAGAATACCAAAGAAATTCATTATGATTAAAAAGGAGTTGCCTAATCTGTAATACACATGAAATCCAGAGACTTGTGCACAAATATCATTCCTACCCTAGTCATCCTGATAGCTTGGCATGTTGCTAATGAAGTTCTTTAGGAAATCTACTAGTACTGGAGCAACAGCTGTAACAAACTGTCAGTCACTTCGTCTTCTTCCAGTACTAGCTCACATTTTCTTAACTTGAAGAATATGGATATGAATAATCTCTGATTCATCAATTTACTTTCCTTTCAAAATTTGTTCCAGCAGCTTCACATATTAAAAAGTTACACCAATGAATTAATATGAAACCCAGGTGTAGACAATACATTACCATTTTACATGTGAGTTTTTTACTAGGAAAGCTGTGCCCAGTCATAGTTCCCCAATACTTTTACTGTGAATAACTCACATCAACATCATTACAAAATTATTTTACTTGTTTTCCATTACTTACAAAGATGGTGAGCATATCGTAAATGAAATACATCACATCCATGCACATGGTGGTAGAGAGTTTTCTCTATCAGGTCCTGTGGCTCATATCCAGTTAATTCAGTCACTCTAAAAGAAAGAAATATAGCTAATAAGCAGCATCCTTAAATATTTTACAGCAATAAAAACAATTGCTCTCCTTTTCCAGAAATCAAGTTTCCTGAAACCTTCAGAATTACAGTAAACCCACAACTTATGCACATTTAAGTTGTGCGCATTCAGTTTTACGTGCTTGGCAAAAAGCATTTTAAACACCAAAAGGGGCAGAAAGGGGGTAGGCATCTGAGAAAAAAGACTCTGGCAATCCCACCTGCTATTGAACCCAATGTGTTTTGACTATACACAATTTTGGCTTAAGGAGCAATCCCTGGAATGTAACCCCCACATAAGTTGCAGGCTTACAGTATACATTTGTTTTTAACTTTATTAGCTTCATAGAGTACAAAATCTCAACAGTATATTTAAAATACCTATATGCATTTCAGTATAAAGGATTATGCTGAAATATATCAAGCATTACATAGCACTGATCTATTATAGGGGAATGCTATAATAACAATTCTCACTTTTAAGCAGAAACATTTTCAGTGGCTGTTCCATTTGGTAAGATAATGAGTAGGTATGGTGTTGACTGGTTAATGGGACAGAGGATGAATATTTGCTCACATGCAGAATTGCCGAAGGATACAACTAGCAGTACTGCAGGATATGGCACAGATGAAATAAATTGTGGGGCCTCCTACGGGGACTCTGGGACAATAATACAGACTAAAAGGGTACATAAGAGATAGCTTCCTACTAGAGCACCTGCTGGATACTATTAAGTCTCATTCCTGGTCCAAATGTAGCAGTTGTTATTTCTTTGGGATGCATTAAATTTATGACGGCCCTCCAGCTGTTTTGGGACTACAACTCTCATCATCCCTAGCTAACAGGACCAGTGGTCAGGGATGATGGGAATTGTAGTCCCAAAACAGCTGGAGGGCCAAGTTTGGCCATGCTTGGTCTAGATGCTTTATTGCTATCTCTTTGCCTGAGTAGGGAGGGTGGGGGGATACATTCTAAGTGTGCTCAATAGTATGTATCAACAATGTGATAGTCAGTTTTTCAAACAAATTTATTACTGTCTTGTGAGCTTCCTTCTGTGCTTAGAGAGCTACTCAAGAAAAGAGTAAGCAAACCCACAAGTGACATTTACCTTTTGCCAAGATTAATGAATATAACAGGAGTGATTAATCTGTAGGGCCTGTAATCAGTTTATAAATATAAGAGAGCATAAAAGAAACTAGATACTTGTCTTAGGAGAAGGAATAGCAGTGTCCCTTAAGAGGGATGAAAAGAACATTTAAGTTAGATATTACAGAATAACAGGACAATGAACACTGCAACACAAATAACTTGGGTACAAAAAAAAATACTAAGGCCCTACCACTGAGGATAAAAGGATAAAATATGCCTTCTGCAGCACCTGTACGATGTGAAAGTGTGATCATTTCACTGTCTGGACACAAGATTTGCACAGTTACAGCCTTCACTGCAATATAACTCATGTGATAAGCTATTATTATTACAGGTCCTCTCAGCAGGAATCTCATGATGTAGCCATAGGGCAAAGCCATCTTGTCTTAACTGGTCTTTAAAGATACCGTACTTTTCCGTGTATAACATGCCCCCTATTATGGGGGGCTCAAAATTAAGAAAAGGGGGGATTTTGGGGGAGGACTGCCCAGAATTGAGCACATCGCCAAATCAACCAATCCTCTGTCCCAACGCCGAAAAACGCAGCACATTGGCTGCCCAATTGCCACAGTGACAGCCAATCAACACCAGCCCTTGCCACAGCCACCAATAATCTCCAACTAGCAGCAACCAATCCGATATCCCCACAATGCACACTACCCATGTATAAAACGACCCCTAATTTTGAGTAAAAAAAATCACAGTCTTATAGACAGAAAAGTACGGTAATCCAGATTTATCTAGGGATCAGAATGCTAAACCCATCCACATGGTCCATCTTGTTTGTCACCCGTCTTTGATTATCAATAGGTATCAGAGAAGGTGCTATTATTACTTAGAACAATGATACTAAAGGATTAGGCAAGGCTTCCCCCAACTGGTGCCCTGCAGATGTTTTGGACTTCATCATCAATGGCTGTGCTGTCTGATTACAGATAACAGCAAGAAAATGCTAATAAACTTTGTGACATTGATTTTTATCCTTTCCTTGGTGGGGGGAGAGCAATAGGGTATTCTACTCAAAAGCCTAAAATATAACTCTTTACAAAGGCATTATGTAGAACTAATTTCCTGTTTGTAATGAACACAGAAGAGGAAATGAGTTAATACAGCAAATGAAATCAAGCACTGCTGAGAGTATTCATTTTCCTCTACCACTAAGGTCATGAGTTTGCTATTTTGTCTTGAAGTCAACACATTTTTCATTTATCTCTCACGTTCAATATCTGGTAAGTTTTGAAAGTAAGATACAGAAATTTAGTAGCGTGCTTTTAGCCTCCTTTTGAAAACTGATAGAAACAAATACTCATATGTCCACACCCCTACCCTATTAACTTTTCAGTTCTTCTCTACATTGTAACCTCCAGCACTGCTCCACTTGTAGATAATTTTAAATTATTTCTCCACTAAAGTTTCAAAATGTATTGCTTAGTTGAACACCAAGGGAAAGGTCACTTATAAGTAGCAATGGGGAAGAAATTGAATTCAGTTAGCTTTTAAAGCCAAATTAATCAAATTCACACTCATCTGAATTTTGCTGTGCAGTTCTCCAACCAATGTTTACAAAAATGCATATATTAGAAAGATATGTGTATAAGAATGAATTATCTGTGAAAGCATACAGAAACACATTATATTAGTAAAAGTTGCTTTTAAAAATCTGTACATTAGTCAAAACTGCACCCAAAAATATGTTTAGGAGGATAAATTTGCCTACTAAATTTGCACTAAAATGCTGAAGAATTTTCATGAGGATTAAAAATAAATAAATCACAAATTGCTGTAGAACTGAAGTTAAGACTGGAAAAAATGAGAAGCTTAAAGAATAAAAAATGACAGATCTTTTCATCCCATCTTATGATCAAAAAATTATCTGTAGCTCACATAGCACAGACATAATTCAGTGTCTTACCCCAGTACATGAGTCGACCAAAAAACTACTGGGTTAACAACCAGTATTCCCTTTTCACTTCACTCCAGATACAAGAGTTTAACTATATATTAGTAATATAAAATGCTGTCAAATACGAAACACCATTGCATAGCAACTAAGATATTTTCAAATATACCCATATCAAATATCAACAGATGTCATGAGCAATATTTCAGTTCGAGAAATATTTACAAAGACAACTTCACAACCTACTGTTTCTGTCCAATATCCCTTTCCCTATTATTTTTAAATTTTGCTAAACTGGGAGCAAGATAAAACAAAACATCTCAGTAAAGACAAAGACAAACATGACCAAGAAAGAGCAACACAGCTGCTAACAAAACAGCAAATGTTATTATTGTGAATTTATAGTAAGTTGTTGCTTAGACTGCTTTGACCATATTTATAATTAAATGGTCCATAAACAAACAAACAATTAGTGTGAATTAGTTTTATTTCTTTTTAACATGCAGTGGTTTAGGGCTGGGTGAGGTATGTTGTACACAGCAGGAACAGCAAAAGAAGACTCTCCTGTTCTATTATTTCTGTGGGAATTCACTTCAGCATTTTAGCAGCAAAGGCCTATTTTGTATTAGTTAGGATTCAAGCCAATATTGACATTACATCTTACAAATGGCTATTTTCATAGAATCATAGAACTGTAGAATTGGAAGGTACCCCAAGGATCATCTAGTCCAACCCCCAGCATTCCCATATTATGGTATGCAAGCTATACAAACTGCGACCTTAGGAACAAAAGATGGAGCAAATATGGTTTTGTGATAAAAGTACAAACTAAGAACTTCAGAGTCCTGGTCTGTGTATGAAGTTTTGCCAACAGCTTTCTATTTGAGCTGTGCCTCATTTGTCAACTTTGTAATGCAGCAACTTAATACTTCCTCTATTCTCCACTTTGCATAATTCAAAGAATATCCAGTCTTCAAAAGACAACCTCAGTCTTCCAGTAATTTTGGTTAACTCAATTTCAACAATGACTGCTAGATGCTACCAAATAAAAGTATTTACTCCATGAGCAGTGGCTTGTCCTACAGTGATTCTTAAAGTGTCACTTTATGCCATGTTCATGTTACAGGCGTAACAGGTATAACATACAACAAAGCTTCATTTTCAAATGCTGTAACTATTCAAAGATAATATTGTTGCTACAGTTTTGTGTGGATTCTATTGTTCTCTTGCTGTTTTTTCAGCTTTATATTTTTCAGCTATCTTTTGCAAGTTGCCACAAGCATGTGGAAAAATAGAACAGCCATTTTTAAAAAATAAATTTTTACTTACCTTGAATCTAGAAATATCAGTTTTAGATCTAGGCTTGCTCTGAACATAAACATGTTACTATGGAGTTTGATCTCAGTGATTGCACTCGGAGGTAATGATTGACCTACAGCAACCAGCCCCACAATTTGGTAACAGGTATCATACAAAGACATATCCAACATGTACTGACGTATCTTCAAATAGCCACTGCAGTGGATCACCTGGTATGATATGGGAGAAAAAAGGTACAGTTATGAAGGGGAAACGAATGACTAAGATGGCCTCTTGACAATACTGTTTACCTAAAATCTCCAGGATATATTCTCTCTCTCTCTCACTCTCACTCTCACTCTGTGTGTGTTTCCTGAGTAGTCTTTTTACAGGTGAATTGGTAGTTTTAAAGCAGAGGTCAACATATACCATGTATTGCATGCTAACACTATATGACAATTAAGCTGACATTAAATTGCAAAGATCTTGACTCGACATTCTCTAGATACATTCAGAGTATCAAATTATTTTTGTGGCCCTCTGAATATTTATTATACATTATCTTCTTATAACATAATGGTCAGTGTGAAATATCCAGATAATATTTTTCTTTGCATAAACCTAATTAAACATGCATACACACAAATTTAAATTATACATTTGATAAGCCTATGTTGAAATGCACACACAGAACACTGTTTGGTGTTTGTACCGAAGTCTTGCCATAAACAGTTATCGGCTTGGAAGGAGGGAGGCAGAGATGAGTGGTGACAGAAAGACTGACAGAAACTGAAAGACAGTAGGATTGTGTCCCAACCCCTGGGGTTGCCAACATGGAGTCCACAGGTCTCAGTAAATAATCCGCTCAAAAATCTGCAACGCATGAGAGTCTGTTTGCTCTTTCAGCTCAGCTCCTGTTTGCACTGGTTTGGCCTCTCCTACACTGACCACACTCTATTAAACATGCCCACATTTCACTTGAATGGACACACACCTATTCTGAACAAAGAGAGGTGCAAAGAACTTCTCTCTATGAGCAATACGGTAGTTGCTGGGGTAGATGCCTTTTTCCACACTGATGCAACAGGGGGGACATGCACACACCATTTGGTAGTCCTGAGTCTTTTTCTGCTCTTTTAAATGTGGGCGAGTTATGCCACACACCCTAAAGCAGCCATTTTATGCCACCCACACCATGTTAGTCATTTTGTGGTTGGCGCTCATGGCATAATTCAGCACAAAAAGATGTGAGTGTGGAAGCACTGCACATGCAACTGGAGACATGCCTTTTTCAGAGTTTGCGATTGTGCAGACAGAGCCTATAGCCATACCATCAGTATATGAATAGGCTCGTTCACATGGCATGCTGAACCTTCATAGGGGTAGAAGCAATTCCATTCGCTTCTCCACATGCATTCATGATTCATTATAATGTGTAGCCTATGCATATTTACTCAAAAGTACGTTCAGTGAGTTTAGTGGTCTCAGTAACATGTACATGCAGAGGCCTTCCACCTTCGCCTCCTCACATTCACTCAAGGAGAGAAGAGAAGGAAGAACTGCTGTGCAATTTCCACCTTCAATCCATCTGATCCTCAGAGTTTTCAGTTATCCTTGCAAACAAGCCATTTGCTATTTGCTGTGGCAGAAGCTGCTTTCATAGAGGCTGCTGATGCAGCAAACAAATGACAGCCAAAACCATTGCAGACTGGATTTGGGGTTGGCTTCTCCCGGGACATAGCATGAGGTAGCAAAGGAAAACACACAACACTATGATTGTTTACTTGGGAATAAGCCCCAATGAATTCAGCAAAGCCTTCCTTTTGAGTAAACATGCACAGTATTAGGCTATAAGCTTTACTGCAAAGCATTTGCATGTCTGCACAAGAGGCTGTGGACCTGGAAGAAGGGAATGGGGAGGGAGGGAGGGAGGGACAGAGAGAAAGAGAAACGTGCATGGTGGATGTGCATGGGGGAAACGGAGATTGCCCAACAGTCTGCTAATTAGTCAAAGGAGAAGGTACAAAATACACTGGAGTTTACCTGCCTAAATAAATTCTTTGTTTAATTTCCATATTGCCCCATAGTGAAGCATTGTGGGTGGTTCACAGTAAGAAAGAGCTTTACAGAGCAAAACACTGTAGCAAGCTGTATGATAACAGGCCAGACCATTTGCCTACCTTGCCCAGTAACGTCTACTATGACAGAAGTTATCATGGGTGTCTGGCAGAGGTCTTCCCCATCACCTGCTACCTAATCTTTTAACTGGAAATGCTATGGAGAGAACCTGTGACCTTCTGTACACAAAGTACTGAGCTACGATCCCTCCCCCAAAAGCAAGACAAAATATCCTGTTTTAAATCTAACTCAGCTAAGAGGCCCTTTGCAATAAAGGAAGGTTTTCACTGGCCCCCTCAAAGATAGTAAGAATAGTACAATACAAGCCTCCCTGGAAGCAGAGTTCCATCACTGAGGAGCCTATGGCAATAAATGCTATTAATCAGAGCTGTACTGAATCTTCACCTATGAAGTTTTAAAAAAGAGTGGAGTGTTGCACATGCACCCATTGCTTATCTTTTTTGCATACTGTTCTTAGGTGCTTCTTTTCCTGATCTGCCACTTTAGTGCCTTTTTTAAAAATGGAATTCCAGACACATACAGCATGAGGATGTCAGAGAGACAGTCAACTTTGACTTCATGGTGTTATCATGAAGCTGTATCAGAATGATGTCTTCCTGACTGCATTTTGAATAGTCTAACATTTTTGCCATGTTTCACAAATCCACACATACCTCCAAAAAAGAGTGAAGGCAAGTTTCATGATGGGGGAAATTTTTACAGACTTCCTTCCATTTTGGCTCAGCCCTAGCATTAATGTCACAGATATTACTGTATATTACTATAAAATATGTGTTTGCTTTAAGGCAAGCTTCTATAATTAAAACCTGTTGCCCTGCGAAGATGGCAAAAATCTAAGCACTTTACCTTGTAACCACTACATGTTAGTCCTGCATTCCGTTTGGCCAAAACACACTTCATTCGCAGAAAAAAAGATCTCTCTATTTCATACTCTGAAAACAAAATACAAATGTTTCAAGACTCTTTACAATATTGCTTTTGCCATTTTAACAGTTTTAAATATTAAACCTGTAGTGCATTTTTTTAGTTATGCTTACAAACATGAAGCATGAATATGAAAGTGATAATTAGAATGCTTGCTAAGCCATTATTTGTCACAGGTCTCATGATTTTAAGCATCCCTCAAAACCTTAAAACCATGAATTTATTTATTTTAAACATTTTTAGGTCAGTTTCTGTACTATGTTCTCTGAAATGCCATCATTCTCTCAGAGGTATCAATTTTTACATTTCAGAATAAACATTTTACATACTTTTAAATATCCAATGACTTCCTTTCTTCTCCTTCCATGGTTCATTTTACTTATCTTCCATTCCTGCATATTTTACTATAACTAATTAAATCAGTTCTCTATTTTTACATTGTTCAAACATTAATCACACTGATGAATTTATCTTAATGCTGCCAGCATTTTCAGCTGCGTGCAATTATTTTCCATATATTCAATAAATATTTTCTGCTCTTCTTTAAATATGTGTTCTTCTTGTTCTCTTATTCTATGTGTTAAGCCTGAAGTTCTGCATATTCTAGCATCTTACATTGCCAATCCTCTTTACCTGGGACCTCACTCACTTTCCATTTTGGTGCTAACAATACTCGAGCCGCTGTTGTTGCATACATAAAAAAACTTTTCTGACATCTGGGAATTTCTGTATGAATTATTCCCAATAAGAAGGACTCCAGTCTTTTTGGGAAGGTTATTTTAAACATTTTTTTTCAACTCATTATAAATCATTTCCCAGTACTCATTTACTTTTTTTACATGTCCATCACACATGAAAAAAGTCTTTCCGTTTCCTTACATTTCCAACACATATCTGATTTCTACTTTATACATTTTAGCCAACCTATTCGGAGTTAAAGACCATCTATAGATCATTTTCAAATAGTTTTCTTTGAATGAATAACATGCAGTAAATTTCAGATCATTTTTCCAAAGTTTATCCCAGAGGTTTATATTGTGTCCTATATCTATTGCCCAGTGTGTCGCTGAAGCTTTAACTAGCTCATCATTTGTTTCCCATTCTAATAAAAAGTTATACATTTTGGACAAAGGTTTATCCTTATTTTGTAATACTTCTCTTTCAAATTGTGAGCTTTGGTCCAAAAGTATCCACACTTTGAGAATGAGTTTACTATTAGAACAGAATAGGTCAAAATCAGGAAGTTTAAATTAACTGGAAAGCGGTGTGGCAATTTTAAAACTCCAGTATGACCAGCCCCACTGTTACATTATGCAGTAAGCGTAGTTTCTGAACAGTCCTCAAAAGGTGTCCCACATGATGCAGTACGTTACAATACTCTAAACGCATACATGGAGAACTGTGGTCAGGCTATCTCCGTTGTTGAGAAAGATAGCAGTTGGTGTGCAACTGTTTGCAGGTGAAAGGTGCTTCATGCCACAGAGGTCACTTGGGTCTCTGAGGCTAACACCTCCATATTGGGAACCTGATTTTTCAGGTGGAGTACACTATCACTTGACAATGAACAGCACTTATACCGCTTCACCTGACTATAACAAACAAGAGAATAGAGCTTCATGCTATCAAAATATTGAGAACACCTCAGTCTGTAGATTTATAATAGATGCTGTCCAACACATGGAATAAAACCTGAAGAACACCATAGCATAACTTCCAATAAGCAGCCTTATAGTTGATCATCAAGGGAGCAGGAGCCCACAACATTATACACCAATTTCCACCAGCCAACCAGTTCATCAAGATATCATAGTGGATGGTACTGGACACCTCTGAGAGGTACAGGAAAATCAACAGGATTGCAATTTCTTACTCTCTCCTGACAAAGGAGGCACCACGGTGATCAAAGTTTCTGTGCCAAACTCTAACCAAAAATGGATTTAGATAATCAGTGTCGTTCAAGGGTGTCTGGGGTTGCGGGAACACCTTGGCCCCAAAAGGTACATTGGTAACTGGCAGGAAGCTGGCACAATTGTCTGGGTCCAGCATAGATTTTTTAACGAGTTGACTGAAAACTGCCTTATTTAGTGTAGCAAAGACAACCATCTCACACAGAGATGTTCATTTCATTATCTCTGAATATTTAGGTGTTTAAAATTTATGGTCAAATTGGAGCACAGGGTTTCAAACTATATTGTTAAAAAATGATTTTAATAATATAATTTTATTTGCAATGAAGATGCTTTATTTAAATGCAAAATTATACTTCCCTTAGTAACTTCCCAAACCCCCTTGATGAGGACTTCCACATTCCAGCAAATTGAGAAACAGTGTGATCCTGTGCATGTCTACTCAGAAGTAACTTCACCAAGTTCAGTAGAACTTACTCCCAGCTAAGCATACAATCACAGCCTAAATTTATTTCCTATGGATTAAGAAGTTGACATTTCTGTGCTGCTTCCACCAAATTAAGGCGTTTACATGCTTTCACTTTCTTCCATGTAACATACCTACATGAAAAACAATAGTTCTTCACAACAAACGGCTTACAAATATGAACAATACACATGTAAACTCACTAAAAATTGACTTTATGACATCTGTACTAAGATCCAACCATATCCTTACTGGTTCTGCTAGAAATTAGAGCAAGATATTAATTCTCACCTTCCATGTTCTTTTCTGGACATGTTGGAGGCACATGGATACTTAGCCCTTGCGCAAATATTTGGGCACCCTACATCTATGCACAACTTGCTACCTCCTGCCGACTGCATTCATTTTTTCTTTCCTCAAGGACCTGTGCCACACAGAGCACATCCTTGCTAGCTAGACAACTGCAATAAGCTGCCTGGTGAGAGATCATAGAATTGTAAAGATAATGCAGCTCCATATAGCTAGCAGGTTGATATCCCCTGCAGACAAACTACGAGAGAGAGAAATGACCTACCCACCTATCCTTGAATTGCTTGAGGATTTTGTTTGGTCTTCATTTTTAAGCAAACTGACTAGATTTGCACTTACCAGACTAATACGTGGATCAGAACGCAGTTATCCTTCTGTTTTCATACTTCTCCCATTTTGCAATACAGGTATCGGCTCAAAAAATGTACCGAAATGCACACAAAAATGTGTATTTTAGGATAAAATGCGTTCAAAATGTGTCTTTTATAAAAATAATAATACATTAATGTGATTATTTTTGCTTTTAAAAAATTGCAGATAGTTGCAGAAACAGATTTATGATCATATGTGAACCAACACACACCAGAAATGTGTTGATCCATCCCTAATCTATAGATAGCAAGAAGTTTCCCAAACCTATGAAGCTATGTAACTCCTGAGCCACCCAAGAGCTAGGTTCATAAACTAAAAAAACACACAAATCTATTGGCCTAACATCTATAAAATCCTGAAGATCTATCTAACTAGCTGACTTAACATGTTACATACAAAACATGAATATGTAAGCCATACCTTTACTTCAACACATTAAGTAAAAGATGACATTAGAATAACAAACTAGAAAATCTTTTTCTGCAAGGTGTCTCATAGTCTGCTACATTTTTTTCCGAGTCAGCAGCTGCAGCAATCTAACTGGTAGCTAAAGACCCTTGATGCTATAGCCTACATTCTGAGAAAGAGCAGCCAATCTAAAATACACTTAGGAAACATGGCCACAGTTGAAACCTTGAAACTTTTAAACCTCTGCAGGATCAGGATCTCGGCATCTTTGTCAATTGTTTAGCAATAAATCCACTTGAGTGATCCTGCCACTGTTTTTTGTTTTGTTTTTTGCACTGTATTCTCACCCAGCTGCTACTGCTGGCCCTTAAATAACACTGGTCAACAACAAATTTGTTGTCTGCGTTTTTTCAGTTGATTTAGGATGAATCTGATGCGCTGAATCCAAAAATCACATTGGTTTTGCTCAATCAGGTCAAGTTTTTGAGCTATGGCCACATGTCATTTTTTTATGTTTTTGTTCACATGTACGCTTGAGTGGAGCATTTTAGAAGAAGTTGGTGGGGGTAAAATGCCATGTCGAATAATTGTTTTGATTGGAAATGATTATTTTAATGACAAGAAGTATTCAGGTCCGATAGTTCTGGGTGATTATGTCGAAAAGGGATCAGTTTGAACTCATAAAACGTCGAAATCTTCCATAAATTGGTGCGGCTGGGATCAACAGAAAGAACTGGAGCAGCCTCAAGTATCCTGATCTTCAATCAGCACGTCGTCCTGTAGCTCATTGTGATGAAATTCCAGTGCCTATCTTCGGAGAACCTCCTGACATTAGTGACGAAGATGCCTCCAGTGTTGAAGGACATGAAGAAGAAGAAGTGGTTCTTGAAGATGATGCTCCACATCCATTTTCCCAAAAGGAGTTGAATGATTTAGTTCGCAACCTCAGCTTGTCAAAGGTCTCTGCCGAACTGTTGGCATCCAGATTGAAGGAAAAAAACCTCCTCTCTGACAGTGCTCGCATCAGCTTCTTCCGCAACAGGCATCAAGAGTACCTCCGTTTTTTCTCGGAAGAGAAGGACTTGGTGTACTGTGCAGATATTGTGCAGCTTCTGCTCAAGCTTGGAGTGCCACAGTACAAACCCAAAGATTGGAGACTGTTCATTGACAGCAGCAAGCGATCACTGAAATGTGTTCTGCTACACAACGGCAACCAGTTTGCCTCTATACCCCTGGCTCACTCGAGTACACTGAAGGAGAACTATGCAGCAGTGAAGTATGTGCTGGGGAAAATTGGTTATGATCAGCATAAGTGGTTTATTTGTGTTGACCTGAAGATGGTGAACTTTTTGTTGGGACAACAATCTGGCTTCACCAAGTACCCATGTTTTCTGTGCATGTGGGATAGTAGGGACTGTGCTCAGCATTACACGAAGAAGGACTGGCCTTTGTGGAAGGAATTGGTGCCCTGCAAAGAAAGGAACGTCATCAACGACCCTCTGGTGGACAGAGACAGAATACTATTCCCACCGCTGCACATCAAGCTCGGCTTAATCAAGCAGTTCACCAAGGCTCTGAACAAGGATGGTGACTGCTTCACTTACTTGTGCCAGGCTTCTCCAGGATTGACCATGGAGAAGTTGAAAGCTGGCATCTTTGACGGTCCTCAGATCCGTCAGCTCATCAGAGATCCAGAGTTCGGAAACTCAATGAACGAAGTGGAACTGGAAGCGTGGAAGGCATTTGTTCTGGTAGTGAAGACCTTTCTTGGCAACAATAAGGCCAGAAACTACGCAGAACTTGTCAACAACATGCTGACTGCTTTCAGAAACCTGGGCTGCAACATGAGCGTCAAGATGTACTGCCTATTTTCACATATGGACCGGTTTCCTGAGAACCTGGGTTCAGTGAGTGACGAGCAGGGGGAGAGATTCCATCAGGACATGAAAGAGATGGAGACCAGGTATCAGGGTCGCTGGGATGCAGTCATGATGGCTGACTACTGTTGGACTCTGAAGAGAGACCTCCCTGCCACTGAGCATTCCAGGAGTTCCAAGAAACGGAAGTTCAAGCCCTGAAGTTTGAAAAATGGTGAAGCAACATGCAATTTACGTGTACTTACCTTTATCAATGCCCACCATTCAGTTTACAGTAAACCTGACCTGATGGAGAGAAACGGATGCCATTTCCTGATTCAGCAGTGCAAAAATACCCTAAATCAGTTGTCGAAATCTAGACAACATTCAAAAAGTAAAACATTGTTGCCCAGTGTAATCATTGTCAAATCACTGAATTTCCATTGAAGAACTGTCAACTCACTGAGTCTTCTAAGAACATATACCTGCTGCTTCAAGTTAAAGGACAAGTAAGGTAAAAGGTAATGGATCCCTGGATGCTTAAGTCCCGTCAAAGGTGACTATGGGGTGTGGCGCTCATCTGACTTTTCAGGCCAAGGGAGCCAGCAGGCAGCCTTCTGGGTCATGTTGCCAGCATGACTAAACGACTTCTGGCGCAACGGGACACCGTGGAGAGTGCCAGAGCTCACATGGATTCGAACCACTGACCTTCCGATCAGCAAGCCCAAGAGACTCAGTGGTTTAGACCACAGCACCACCCACGTCCCTAAAGGACAAGTGAGGGGTAGTGGGAGTTATGACAAAAGGAGTATGTATGGGAAGGAAACCTATCCTTTTCCTTGTCTAGCTCCAATACTAGAAGTACAGCACAGAGAAAACCTCTTAAGGGAATGCAGACAGATAAGGATGAGGAAGGGAGGTTTTCCTCCACACCCTGCATGCTCCTTTTCATGGAAAACCTCCCTGCCCGCTTTATAACTAAACCAGTAAGTTCATGTGCAACAACACAAACACACATACACCTACCTGGCGCTCAGATTAGTAGCTTTGTGAATTCAACCAGAAAGCAAAACAAGAAACCCACTCCAGAGTTTCAAGCAACATTCCCCTTCCTGGGGTTTAGGTCTTCCTTAGGAGATCCCACTCCAAGAAGGAGAGCCACATTCCAAACATCTCAAAGTCTGCTAAACAAATATTACAGCTAACTTAAATGGTCAGTTTACTGCTCCCTACCTCAACACCTATGTTTTTTGTAATTCCCCCCAGTGTAAATTCAGCCATCCTGGGAGTGGCTTGCAGATAATAATAGTGTTTGATCCTCTAGGCTGCTACTACTCAGACCATTTCTAGCCACAAAAACTGGAAAAACATCTGTTCTGTTTGAATTACAGTCATACCTCGTGTTGCGTTCCACTCTTGTTATGGACTTTCAGCTTACGAATGCGGCAAACCCGGAAGTGTTTGCTTCCGGGTTCGCCGCCTGCACATGTGCAGAAGCAATCTGCGTGCTTCGAGCATGCGCAGAAGTGCTCAATAGCACCACGCACATGCGCAGAAAAGGCACTCTAGTTGTGGACTTTTCGGGATGCAAACGGTACCCCGAAACGGATTAAGTCCACAACTAGAGGTACCACTGTATTAAGCACTTTTAAAAGAAAATTTGCAAATAAAACTCTAGACAGTATTTTCCAGATACATGGCCTGCTACTGGACAATGTGTGATACTTAATGAATTAAAACCAAAGGGACAATTCATCTCCATGTGTAGCCACCATCAGAGGGGCGACGAATGTTGTGTTTCTCCTTTCCCTCTTGGAGACCATGTACTGGCCATTACTCAGAACAAAAGGCCAGCATGGTTCTAGTGTATCCAGACCTTCTGCACTATTCCAATGTAATGGCTGGTGCATATATGACAAAGAGGTGGAAGGAAAGAACAGACATTTACCAGGCCTTATAAGAAACTCTCCACATGTGACAAAAGAAATCATGCTCCGTGTCATTTGTGTACCTTTGTCTTACCCATACATCAAGTAGATTGCTGATACTTTGAAGATCAGACAATCCAGATATTAAGAGAGAACATAAAACAGACTCATCTAAAGCCACATATTTATTTACATCCAGTTTGAACTGAGATGCCAATTATCAAATACACATTAAAGATAAAATACTCATTTGATCTCGTCAATGGAATTTCAAATAAGTGAATTGTTCTTGTTTTAATCAAGTATGTATCTTAAATTATCCCATTTTCCTGGAAATTCAAAGACATGTCCTACTTCAAAAAAGATTTACAAATATGTCCTATAAATATTTAAATGGTTTGCTCTGCTATACGTCATGGTACTAAAAAAGGAGGCAGTGGCTATTTTATGTAATGAATTTGTGCTTGTACATTCAGATTGCACATGACTATTTAACAAGATACTTTAGCCCCTTCTGTGAAATTATGTTTAGCTTTCATGCAACCCTGAATCATCCCTGAGGTGGTGGAATGAAATCAATCTTACTTGCTCTCTCCCATTTCTATGTGTTTTGAAGAAGGATCACATAAAACTTCAGAATGTTTTGTTTGTTGCCAAATGGTCACAAAGCATTTTTCACAACTCCATATCTACTATACCCTTGTTCACAGAGCAAAGTCATTTATTATTTCATAACTGTAGTTTACAACTTAAAGTTTCATCACTGTGAACAAACCTATTATTGCAACTAGATGTGCTGAAGAATGAAGTTTTAATATTATTTTCACAATTTGGAATGGGATGAAAAATGCTACATCAATATAGCTAGATACAACACTTGGCCAGGAACCCTTTTTACAATTGTAAATTTCAGTGGATTAAGTGTTAGCATGTTAAGATCAGCACTACATCTCATCATCCTTTTTACTTGTATATGGTCATATCATATGGAAGTACCTTGTAAGAGATGAGGATGAAGAGGCTGGTGAGCTGTTAGAACCGCTGTCATTTCATCATGGTCTGATGGATGTATATACTCATAAATGCTATTACCGGTGAGTTCCACCTGTCAAGAATATATTTAATACATTCAGAACTATAGCAGATTTTTTTCCCCTTTTAGTATTATGTTTCAGAGGTCTCTTGTATGTAATATACATATGATTTACAAATACACCACTGCATTTCTAACACTCCTATCATCTTCCTGGACCAAAAGCAGCTATCAACCAATAGCCATGTTCTACAAGTTGTTTTGTCTTATCATGAGCAAAAAAAAGGTTCAGTTGCAGCATACATGACTTAAAGACTGTGATCTATGTAAATACTAATTACACCAAAAAAAAATATTCAGTGTTAAGTATGACCCTATTTTGAGCTCTAGATTCAAACAGTTGTTGCTGGAGGAGATAACAATGAAATAGAATGTTTAGTTCCCGTGATTTTTCACAATGAAAAAAACCTCTAAGTGGCATAACCCCCTTTTTAAAAATGTGTGATCAGAGCTTGGATGGAGGGTGGTAGGGGAGAAATGAATAGCCCAACTCATTTCTCAAAGGCTAATCAGAGTTTGGTCTTTTCCTAAAGCACTATGCTCACACAGCCCTGGCAGTGTGGCTGTTACATTGAGCTTGGGAACAGTGTATACACCATCCATTTGAACTCATGATTCCTCATACAACTGACATAGCTAGCTTTTCTATAAAGGTGAATTCACACCTTATGCAAATTTTACCATTGCAGTTAGCATTTAGTAGGTTAAAACTGCAAAACAGTCCTTTTTATCATGGTCTGGATGAGCTATTAAGAGTCACAGGTTCAACCGTTTCTTCATGAGACTAGTATTCTGATTGAGTCCCAACCAGAACTAGGACATTTAGGGTTGGAATGAAAAGCAGCTTTAACAAGTTTGTGAATTAGATTTCACAGTTCTCAGTAGTTAACTAGTTAACAACAGGTCTAAATTTAAATATGTGGTTGAACTCATGTGTTTTCTACAAGCATGTGCCTTGCTTTACTGAATTAAGGCATAGATTCATTTAGAGATTGGAATCTCAACCAATTTAAAGTTTTAAAAGCTGTCCCTCAGTACATTTTATAAGCCAGAGAATGCAGCCTTTCATCTGGCTAACAGCTATGTGAATGCTTATTAATGTTTACCAAATGTATACACAATAGCTATGTGAAAAATTCAGTCTTGTCCTGTGGGCCTTCATTCCAGTTTTGAGGAAACAAGTGGTATATAAGCAGGGGCAGATCCACCCACATGGAAACAAGTAGTAGTAGTATCGGTTTGCATCTCTGTGTCCTTTCCAAGAAGGAAGAATTACCCCAAATCAGACCTAACATAACACAGCTCACTGCTTCTAGCTTTGTTGGGAAAGAGGCTGTAAATGCAAAAGAGACAGTGTTTTACCCAAAGCCATTATTCCAAAATATATTTTCCTACTTATTGTTCTCAAAAGGAAAAAAGGGTAAAAAAAGAAGGTAGAGTATTGCAGACAGGAGAGTGAAAGAGGCAACACAGTTTGCACAATGAACATTTTTAGGGAGTGAAGGATAGAAACTGGAAAGAGGAAAGGTGGTTTGAAAAGGCAGAATAGGCAGCTATAGTAGAAATCAGAGACAGAAAGAACTTGGGGAAGGGTAGAACAGACATAGTCATACCTTATAGTCTCTTAACAAGGCATCACATGTCTAGAATTACCTCTTTACCTATACAGTATTGGTGCACAGAAAAAGTGAGGGGAATCCTCTCCCCAGAATGCCAAAACAGTCAAAAGTTTTTTAAGAGTGCCTCTAGACCTCACATACCTCCTTGCCATGCCTCCATTTAGGGATCTGCTACTACTAACACAACTAGTTGCTTTCTTTTACTTTTATTTTTTCCACCAAAGAACTCCCTCATTCTATTGGTGTCTGCTTTCCTCTGAGAGTCTCAGAGAAAAGCAGATGTCACCAAAGCAGAGCACTTTTGAAAAGAAATGAGAAGTTACTAAAAAAAAATAGCTAGAAAGTTGGTTTTTACTGTGTAGGCAACTGGTGAACATGGTGTCATGTCAGGGACAAGTCTAGTACAGAGGTCTTTTCTAATCACAGAAAAGGAAATTATTTCAAAAGGTCCAACAATGACAAAAATGGTCCTGCAAAAAACCTTAGTGCCCAATTGTTAATTGCCCCTGAGGAAACAGCAAGCAGGTTGCTTCTGCTGCCTTGCCCTTCCCCTCTTAGTGGTGCCTAGGCAATATGATTCCAGACTCTACCTCAGGTCCCTTGTCCTATCAGTGAGTTCTTAAATAGTTACATACCATTCTTAAATCTTTTATTAAGATAAATAACAATCTGTCTCTAATTAATAAAAGTCAAAGCAAATATGTGGATCTTCGCTCAAGGCTACAAGGAGAAGCCTGCAAAATGAAGCTGGCAAGCTAATACTGACCCACCATGCACTTTAAGGCCCACATGGGAGCATTCTGTAAGAGCCACTCCACACATGAAAATAAACACCCTCTTTACTGTTTACTGAATCAGCAGTACTTCACCCAGGTTTCAGGAAAAAAAATATTTCCATGATAGTGGGAACATCCAGTGTTGATAAATGGCACAATCCTCTACATCAGAAGGAAATTGCACTAAGTGGTATATGATTGCAACCTAAGGTTGCTAAAGAATAACTTTTCAAACAATTAAACATGGGCTAATTACAAGTTTTGGGCACAAATATTTCAAAATGCTGTATCACATCCCAATTCAGCTTGCTAACAGAAATAGAATTGCTTTATTCTAAACACATGTACTTGAAAGTAAATCCCATTGTTTTCAGTTGAACATACATTTAAGAAATTGTTAGTTACCTTTAAAATGAACAAATGTAACAGTGCCCTAAAACCCCAAACACTAACGTTTGAGCAGAACAGTAGTAAACCTGGTTTTATGAGTTCTACCATAAACATATAAAACGCTTTACTGAAAAGGCCACAAGGCTGGCAAAACTCAAGAAAAATTGCCTGAATTCCATGTGAACACTCATAAATCTGCTCCCTTTTTATTTTTTCCTAAAGCACATTTACTATAAAACTCAGGTTTCCTCTGTTTTCACAGCAGCTAACACTACAAGTGGAGAGACTGCTGTTGCACTCAGTTCCTGCTTGTGGACTTCCTATAGGCATCTGGTTGGCCACTGTGAGATGGATGGGCCTTTGGTCAGATCCAGCAGTTCTTCTATTCTTACTGCATACAATTCAAAACACAGACTGGAAATTTCCACTTTTTTTCTAGAGATCTATACCACTGCTCTGGCCAATGGCCATTTGCAACAACACCCAGCTAGGAATAGGCAGTACTTGCTATAATTTTATGACAAGTGGACTAGGCTGTATCCAGCTTCCAGGGGGCTTTAGTAGCACAAGGGTGAGTAGAGTTAGCAAAGCACTTTTGTAGACTGCATTCTTAGTTTCAAAATGTATATAAGTAACAAGCAAAATGCAAAGTTTTTCCTTTACAGTGATAAGCTGTGTGAATTATTTAACTTAAAAAAACAACAATGAAAATCAATTCAAAGGAAGAACATCATCATTCAGTGGGGGGACAGAACTTGCTCCTACCTGTGATAAACCTAGATGAACAGAAGCAGTTTCTGAGATATACATTATTTTGCCATCAGATGATACCACAAAAACAAACCCATCCAGAGTCTGCAAAAGAGAAAGAAATAAAATCTTACCACTTACAATATACAGTCAAGTTGCTTGTGATAAGTTTTTTTTATTTCCCCCTACAGAAGAACATATATTTTAAAACATATTACCCAATTTGGCTTGATGAAGACTAGGTTAGGTTGATTAAATATGTGTATCACTTCCCACTAAAACATCCCAAAATGATTTATAAGCAGGTAAATAATAAAATTAAGTATACAATAATAAAATTAAAACAGATTTAACTGTATTATATAATTGGTGCTGCCCAATTACTATTATACACACACTATAAAAAGTTAAATCTAACTCAGTCTCTCCTTACATATGCTAGTTTTACAGCAGCAGCAAATTTAACATTCTCATGTTGATATTGAGTTATTATAGTACTTAGCAAAAATCCTGAGTTCTTATGGGGGAAACCAATCCCAATTAATTGGTAGAAATAACTTATCACTATTTACAGTTTTAATGATTCCTGAGTGATGTTTTACATTCTTCTGACTATTTTTATTGAGGGTTTCGTGAGTATAGAATAATCTGACAAGTGGCTCCTTTGAAACTTGTAATGAAAAGAACATGAAAGTTTCATAAAATAAGTTTTATGAAACCATAATTTCAAAAACGATAGAAGGGAAAGCCCTTGAAAGTTAAAACTACCTTATATAATTGTTCACAAGTAACTCTGCAATATGCTACTTTGACTGATTCTATAGTTATTGCTTGGGACCTAATATTGCATATTTTAACCAATAAGATAAAATGAAGGCTCAGCAAAAATTAAAGAATACTGTTGTATTTTAAAAACGCTAATCCTGATCACATGAGTAGATTTAAATCTGATTCCAAACACCATTTTGAGGATTCGGATATGAGTCACAAAAGGAAAAGCATCTCAGTCCCAGAAACATGTATTTGGAAGCAAGCTCTGCTGATCTCAGGGAAGAACCTTAATGCACTAGAATACCATTTCGTATGCAGCAGGTCCCAGGTTTAATCCCTGGCATTGCCTTTTGAAGAATCTCAGGTAGCAAGGCAGGTAAAGTTCAAAAAAGCCTGCCAATCAGAATGGCGCAATGATTGAGAGAGGTGCCACAACTCAACAGCAGAGCATCAAAGGTCTCAAGTTAAATTGCCAGTTAAAGCATCTCAGGTAGGCAGGCTGAGAAAGACCTCTGACTAAGACCTTAGAAGTTACTGCTTATCAGAGGACCAAATGTTCATTAAAACAAAACCCACCTCTACGCAAGTGTGATTAGACCATAAGAATTCTCCATATGGAGGGAAAGAGGTCTACATTTGAAAAGGGAAATGTATTCCTAAATACTGTACATAGATAAAACAATTGCCTTTTATATTTACTAGTTCATATTTTAAGATGCTGAAACAAAAGGAAAGTAATAAAAGTCTGCAACAGAGGGGCAAGTTCAATGTTACCCCAATAAAAAATATTCCAAATTATTCTCTGACCTACTCTACTTTTACAGCATGTAATTAGAACCAGATTACTCTTTGGTTTCATTCCCGCCCCCCTTCTTCTGAACATAAACAAAACTTTGTAGCAGTATTAACATGGGGAAGAAATCACTGCTTTCTTAAATAAAACATTGCTTTAAAACATTCCTCATAAACTAGCAATTTGTTCCCCGATGTTATAGTTAGGCTGCATTGGCACTTCCATTAGAAAACCTTACTTTTAGTGGCTCTTTAAATACATGGCACTCCCCTCCCTTCTTTGCTCAAAGGGGAAAGCACACATATTTTCAGTAAAGTAGCTGCATGTCTTAAAAACAACATTTATAATTCATAAATAACTGGACATTTTAAATAGTATTACATCATTATTTTGTGTTAAACACAATTTGAAAATAGTAAATTAAGAAGTTGCAGGTATGTTATAAATATTAATTACTGCAAACCATCTCAAGCATAAGAGGTAAGATACACATTTTTAAATAGCTAGCAAATAAATAGATGTCACTAAGCTTCTTACTGTGTGCCAAACTATATTTTTGAAAGATTAATTTATATCACATTTTGTTTAAACATATATTTGATTTTTGTCAACAAAGATGTTCTAAAAGTTTTTTTTCTTAAAGTATACACTATTTTTCATGAAGCTGACTTTCTATGCAACAACGTTATGACAAATAAAGTATACTTTAAGGATGTGAATCAATTTCTGTTTTCATTAAAGTCACTTTCAAAACAGGTTACATTCCAGCAAAAAGATCATTATACACCTCATTCTACATCAATGGCAAAGCATTTGTTAATGTGTTACAATTATATACACTCCACTATCCAATGGAAATTAGTGAAAATAATGATTAAAATATGGAAACCTTTATCATACAGTGTCTGTTATTCAAGTTTCAGAAGGCCCTGCAAATGTCAATCTGCTAGTAAAATGTGGTTGAAAAGTTTAAGAACCAAGGGTGCAACACTAACCCCCTTACCTAGGAGTAAACCCCATTGAATTAAATGGGAACTACTTCTGAGTAGACATGGTTAGAACAGTGGCATAAAGCGTAACTAAAACAAAGTTGTCAACCCTTACCTCATATTTTCAGGGCTACCTTTACCAACATGCAAAACGGTTACAATAGTGAGTGTAAGATGAATTATAGTAATTTTGAAAAACGGTTTATTGTTTTATTTTACCGGTTTCACCTACTCAAGGCTGCTTTTCTCTTTATTATACCTGTAAAATCAGGAGGAATTTACTAGCAAAAAAAACCTTTTGTGAGTTGAGCACACGCATGTCTATACCCTTTGCAGCATTGGGACTTACACAAGAGAGAGAAGCAGAATTCCAAAGTGGATCAACCAGATTTTGAACAACTGTATTTTCAGGTGCTAACGTCAATGGAAGATCTAATCCAGATGTTCTCCTCCCACCACAGGAGCCATGCGTTCTTTTAAAGGTTTTCCCTACTGAGCAATGAGTGAACTGAAATCTCCCATTAAAAATGCATGCTTGTGTATAGATATAGATATGCAGCTGTTTAAAAAGAGCCTATTGCAGCACATGTAGATTGACTGAAATGTGTGTAAATGCAAGCATATATTATAAATTACAAGCCACTAGGGTTTCTTGCCCATTTATGCTACTTGATTTATGGTTGTCCTGCATACACAAGATCATCACATTCTTTTATTTTGCATTAACCCATTCATTGCCACTCCCTAATTCTGTACCCCCAAATCATAATAAACCTGGACTGGAAGTCCCAATCTACCCCTAAGAGGAGGGAGCTGGCCAGCATGTGCCCATTTTCTCTGCGACAGGTTTGTTCACAAGCCGCTGTTACTACACTCATGGACCGTCTCCTCCCTTTCGCCTTTGAAACAAAAAAAGGCGGCTCTCTCCAGGGGACCGAGCCTTGTGTTTTGGGGCGAGATCCAGTGGGTTTTAACGCAACGAACTTCTCCTGAAACAACACAAGCAGTATTGAAGAAGCAGCACGAATCGCAGAGACTCTACCTGAAGCAAATGCGAGCCCAGCTCCTTCGCGACATTATCCAAGGGGCCTAATCTGCTCGGCTGTCCCCAGGCGTCTCCCAGACCTAGAAAAGGAACCGAGAAGCCTCAGTTAACGCACATGAATACAGTTCATCTGAAGCACTAGCGGGAGGTGCAAGTTGGCCTTTTTCCTCTGCAGCAGAGGGAGAGAAGCAGCGTAACATTGGCTGGGTCATATTAGGGGGAGCTGGGCCTCCCTGCCCTGCCTGTGCAGTTCCCCGAGCGGGTTTCTCGGCGAGTTAGGTGGTCTTTTCCTCAGGAAAATTAGCTCCATGACATTAGGGTTTAGATTCAGCTGAAGGCCGCCACGTTGCGAAAGGGCCTGGCCGGCCCACATGTTACTCAGGGTTCAGTTGCCATTTTAGAGGTGGGGGTGATCCCCCACAAAGTAACATAAGCCTCCCTGAAATCGGCCGAAGGGACCTCGCTAAAGACGCCCTCAAAAAGCGTTTTGTACTCTCTCCTCTTCCCCTACCCCCCCCCGCCATCTTCCCACAAGCCCTTGCGAAGGGAGGCCACGGAGGCAAAAGGCAGCCGAGCTATACAGTATTATTGCCTTGGTGCTTTTAAGCGCAAACGTTTGGTCCCTTCACTCAAACGCCCGCTGCTGTCGCTTCGGCAAATCCATCCATTTGCCCCTTTCACAAATCCTTCCGATTCAAGACCTCCCCATCTATACAACTTGACTTTGGGCGGAACGGTTTGCTAGCAAACCGTGCAGCTCCTGTTAATTGGATATAGACCCAGTGAAACCAATGAAATTATTTATTTCAATGGGTCTATGCTGTGCATAACTTGAACGTAACTTTCCCGCCTTTTCTCCTGTGAGGGAAAATTCCCTCAGCCGCGTGAAATCCCCTCGTTTCCTCCACCCTCGGAAGTCCCTTCAGCAGGAAGTCTAGACTGAGGGTAGATGCGATCTCACGCTGTTTATCCCGGGCACGGATCTCCTTCAATATTACACATTCAATCAATTTGAAAATAGGTTCTTGAATATGAATGGCATTGCTCGGACCCACCTCCTGACTCACTGAGAGGTTGACCAACTACCACAAAAGTAGTGGGATGTTGGGAGTAGTAGTAGAAGAAATCAGATAATAGGGCTGTCGCTTTCGTAGACAACTTAACCGCTTATTCTTTAAGGGGAGCGAAACACCTTAGCGCTCACACTCCTGGTTGTCTGTAGAGCGTGGACCACTGCTTCACTTCGGCTGCTTTTAAAATAATAATTATTCTTTAAATAGTGCTCTGTGTAAGCGGATGGCCGAAGCCTCTTTCACCAAAGAGAGGTCATAACATAATGCCCTTAACTTCAACACGGCCATTTCAGAACCCCTCGAACAGGCTTCGGATCAAAACAAAATGAGTACTCCAGGCGGTTCCTCGGAGATCCTGTTTTTCCCCTGACATTGTCCTCGGGAAACTCATCTCTCCTAAATTACTAGCAGTAACGAAAGCAGCAGCCCATGTGCAAAAGCCGCCGAAACCAACAACGCCACAGGTTGCATCAGGGAAGAAGAATCCGTTTGCAGAATCCTCCCAAGGTTTCAATTCTAAGCTAAACATGTGCCACAAGTCAGCCTGCAGGGAAGGAAGACACACACCCCGCCAGGCCACCGTTGAAGATGTCGGGGCTTTGGCCTGCCCATTGGACCCTAGAAGCCCCAGCCCAGCCCCTCGAACAGCAGCTGCAACGGCGCTCTATATGTACTCTATACATGCATTCCTGGCCCAAATCTTTATGCTGAAAGAATGTTCAGAGACTAAACATGCGATTTGGGTGTATACTGGCATAGTATATAAACCTTAACTCCTAATATTACACTACACACGCTATACCTTTAAAGCATATTCAAACCACGCACACAGCCATGGCTTCAAGTTTCAAGAAAGGAAGGATATTCCGAATCCGTCTCAACGTCAGGAAGAATTTTCTGTTCAACAGTGGAACGGACTGGCTACCTCGGAAGGTGGTGGACTTTTCTTCCTTGGAAGTTTTTAAGCAGAGGTCGGATAGCCATCTATTATGGATGCTTTAGTTTAGATTCCTGCATTACAGGGGGTTGGACTAGATGACCCCCGGGGTTCCTTCCAACTCTACAATTCTGTGAAGAACCCCACAAACTGCATTTTACCCCCCCCACTGAACTATATTTACGAACTACAGTTCCCATGATTCTTTGAGGGGGAATGTGATCTGTGCTTTAAATATCTGGTGTGTACTGCAGCCTACATAGATTGTACATACTATATAATCTCTCCCACGCCCTTCGCCCCCTCTCTCCAGTCCCACTCTGCTCTCTGCTAATAACAGTTTTGTGACACGGAATGAAAGATTTGCATGAAGGCTTGCTTTAAATCGTGCTGCAAACGACCGCTCCGCCCGGAGCTAAATCAGAAGCAAGTTGCGCTGAAATCGGCTTTTAATAGGACGCAAGAGAGGCGTGAAGGTCTCGTTCTCCCCTGGGCATCTCTTTCCTTTGAATCCTTATCCGTCTGGCACAATATTGCCTGTGTAACTGGGTTCTTATCACTTTTATACACTTTTTAAATTAATTAATTAATTAATTAATAGATAGCACCAACTCGTACAGCACCTCATATATGAGAAGGGGTTGGTGCGATCTAGATGTGTAAATATGATTTTGGGGCAGTTTCACAAGAGGAGAAAATCTTATTTTGTCTGAGCGCTAGCAGATTATGAGTGCTTGATTCACAACGGGGGCACATTTCCTTTATCCAATGCTGGAGAGCATGGTTTTGGTGACATCTCTATGCAGCAAAAGTTCCATAGCAGAAGAGATTAATGACAATGATGTATATGACTTTAGAGCCCCACAAGAAGACAGAATTTATCCCGTTAACCCTAGCAAAAGGGCTGTGGAAAGCAATCTTCCAGCTTCCTCACAAGGAGTAAGGAGATGGTACACCCCTTTTAACCCAGATTAGCTATTCCAGAGTAACTATCAAGGCCTGGTACCTTCCTTGTCCAGAAGCATTGTAAACACACAGTAACATATTCGTGGTTACACAATACTCATCTTAATGAAGAGTTATTAACCTTTCTTCGCACTCACAGAATGGGTTTTTATTTCCACCCTTTCCCTGTATGTCTATGAGTGCTGCGGGGATGCTAACCAACGTTCGTATGCAGCACCAAAACCCGGTAATTATTTCGGATTAATGTGCGTGGAGGGCTAATACGACTTTGCACACATGGCCAGTCCATGCGGGAGGCGGGGGACAGTTGGTGGGAAACTCGCAAGTTTCATCAAGGTGACTGCGGTTAAGAATAGCCAAAGGTCACTCATGTGCTGGTTCTAGCACAAATTCACTTTCTTCCGAGGCTCCTGAAACGCTCGCCTAGGTTTACAGCGCTCGCTCCATTCATTCCACTGTGAATTCCGCGTGGCTCCCAGAAAGCACAGCGAAGAGCCCCGTGGAGTCGGTGGCCGCGCCTCCCTCCTGTCATTCTCCTGCTCTGCCTGCGGGTGGCGCACGAGATATTCATCTTCTTGCTTTCCTCTTCCGGAGACTGGAGCCCTGACCCCAGTCAGGTAAACAGAGGACAAACGCGATCTGCCCTATGGAGGCAAGAAACCCTTTTTAAACAGCCTTGGAAAGAAGGCTCTGTCGGGACCACCAGAGAAAAGGTGCAGCTTTCAAAGCTTTGAAACAAAGGGTTTAAAAAGGGTTTCTTGCTGATGTGAACTGCTCCTTATCTTGTGCAGGAGGGGAAGGAGAAAGGGACTCGTCACTCAGCCTTTCCCGCTGCACCTGCTCCCAGGGTCGCTGCGCTGGAGACATTGCGAGACAAGCTCGGAATCGGAGCGGGAAATGCATGCATGCGTCTGACTGCCATCCAGCGCCATGCAAATTCGTGGAGAAGTGCAAACCCCCTTACGCTCACACTCAGAAAGAACATGCAACGCCTTTTTGGCAGCAGTGGGATTCACTTGAGAGTACATTGTGCTGCAATAATATTTACAGAAATCAATTAGGTTCCGAATTTTACAGCGGTGTGTTTTTGTTTTGGATTTTTTTTTCTTTTTTGTTAAAGCTAAGACTTGGCTTTAACAGGTTTATGGATTGAGCCATCCCCACATTCAAAGAGGCGTCCGTTCTTCCGAGCAGATGAGCCAGCCATTGTTCGCCGGCTTTTCAAGACCCGCCGCTCGGTACCTGCTTTCTCGCCGGCTGCGCCGCGCCTGCTAATTATACAAGCTGATGCAGAGCCATGAGCACTTGGTGCCCCGTCCACTTTTTCTGCTAATAAGAGAACTGCATGCAATGGGAATGCACAGGGCGCGGGGGGTGCAGGCAAGACTTCGTTGTAAACACCGTATCTTGAAGAAGTGATGTCACAAAGATATAGAAATTAAGAGCCACACTCCCATCTTTTAAAAGGAAAAGATATAGCTATCATAAAATTCCTGAACAAGATGAATGGGAGACCTTCCATCGACTCACTGTGGTTTAGATCGCGCCCCGGCGTTGCCAAATGAGGGAAGCACTAGAGAGAGAAATCATACATCGTTTTATATTAAACATCTGTTAACTGACAAGCTAGTGTTTAAGTGGCTCTGCGGGGTTCACTGTCTCTTTGAGTTTCTTTTTCTTTATTCTCCCCATCACATTGTGGTACGAATTTATCAGCATGTTCAGAGTTATTTCTACATGCACCTTTTGTCTGAATAACTATCGCCTGGGCTTCAGTAAATGCTGCCTCATAAACCTTTTAACCTCTTTGTACAAGCAAATCATGTTGTTTTTTCTTTAATAATCAAGCAGAACCCATCTGCATTTTGAGGAAGACATGAATCCATTGTTGCATTTCCCAAGGAACAGAATGTAGATTTATTTGCTACTGCTCTCCGCTACTACTTATCTCAAAGCCGTTTCCAGAGGGCTACAAATTCCATTCCCACGTATACCCGTTATGTCTTTATCCATAGAAATGCTGTCTTAACTTGGTTAGAAAAATACATAGAAATACACAGAAACGTTGCCAAGTCTATCCCTCGGCGTGACTTTCAACCAAGGCATCAGCAGTTTCAACTTTGTTGTCATCCTGGCAGCCATAAGTAAATCATAAGAACGGCCAACAGAGTTAGCAAAATGCTAAATCTTTGTTTGTGAGTGTGTGTTTTGATGCTAATATGTCTGCTGACGATCAGGAAATACAAAGCATGTTTGTTCTTTGAGCCAATGGATCTATGCACCAAAATCCACCAGACGGGCTCCTTTGCATTGTATCATTTGACGTTGCGGGATTCCCGAAGATTTTTAAGTGTTGCAAGATTCTCTCCAGTACAAAACTGAATTCCTCCAGTCGCATTGTCAACGGTGACGGCAGGGCTTTGGGGCAGAGGTCCAGAGTCCCACTCAGCAAAATCAGTAGGGGGCTGATATCAAAACGCACGTTACTAGCATTCAGAGACGGGACCATATAAGACCAAAGTCTAAAATTGCCCCACTGCTCCCACCGCTAAAGCTAAGGCGTATGTCGCCAGAGAGAGCTCGATCCAAAAAACAATGAAGCCGAAGTGTTTAGGCTAATGCTGATAGAAACTGCGACATTAGCTATTTAAAGCGCAATCCTGTGAGTGTTTACTTGGAAGCACAGTCAGCATTCAGTGAGGTTTGGTCCCAAGTGTGCGTCGCCAGTGATGTAGCGGTGAATACTGAAGTGCGGGCGATCTTCATGGCAACCCCATCTCCATGTCCCTTCATGGACGTAGCCAAGGGAGGGCAGGGGAGCAGCTGCCCCCCATCAAGTAAAACTAACTGACCAATCACTTCGGTTCTGCCCCGCTCCCCACAAAAGTGCTCCCCGCAACAAAAGCCATGTGCCCCTCCTAAGGCAAGACAACAAAGCTGAACCTTTGACCAATACAGTATCAAACCTCTCCGCCTTACTTTACAAACAGGCTGATGAAAGCGTTTCGGGGGACTCAAAAAGCTCCTTTGCCGTTTTGTGACATTTTGGTTGGTCATAATAAATAAAGGGACTCCGACATTTCTTCGAAGCAGAAGTTGGCTGCTTAATCCTTTAGCTTGCATCCTAGTGTAACCTCTACCTCTTCTTCTTCATTTATCGTACATGGTGAGGGTTTCACCCCTCGGAGAACAGCTCCTTTATTTGGCACGCAGAGGATTGGCTTGGCAAATAACTCCCAGAAGACATGAAAGAAGGAGCAGGGAGGAGGCTCGTCGTCCTTGCTTGCCTTTCCCTGCTCTGCTGCTGTAGCCTCTATTGAGGAATGACTGCCTAGGTGACTTCCTCTTTACATCTCCATCCTAAACGGCTGCCTTAAAAGAAACAGCCAGTTTTGCCACAACGAAACCGACTTGACGATTCAACTAAGCTCAGCTGAATCTTTCCTCTTCCCCATTGTCCGGAGGAACTGTTATCTTCCCGGCATGTGGGAAGATTGCTGTCGTTGTTGAGTATTTGATGAACTGAGTACATATTTTAAAGGTCCGCACCCCAGTCCCCACCACCTTCCTTCTCCTCTTCCCACCCCGAGTCCAGATATATGAGACACGGGGATCGGGGAGATTTTTCCATCGACAGGAAACCTTTCGAACCGGCTTTCAACCTTCGGGAGAAGGCGGCATATAAATCCAAAACAAGCGCATCGCATGAATAGCAGCAATGCGTTTAGGATCCACATCGTGCTTCCTAAAGTGAGGGTCTTTAAATGTACGTGGAACTTCCTTCTAAGTCAGGTACTGCGGAGAACCGCGGAGTTTACCCGCGTTACTTTCCACCCGAGGGGCTAAGCCTCCATCTCTCTTTAAAATGTAAACACTGGACGCCAGGGTCTCCCACCCCAGGGAAACACGGACGCCCCCAGAAACAGACCCCCCGAACCCAGCACAAGCGTCCGTCTCTTCTGTGTTGTTGTTTCATAACCAGGGATTATTTGCAGAACTCTGAGAATTCTCCAGGGCTTCCTCACAGATAAATGTGTGTTTAAATTCCTGCTTAAATTTGAGAGCTGGGTCTGTCTCCCAGGTAAACAACGAGCTAAAGGCTTCTTTTTGGAACAGCTCGCTTGGAAGCGCTCGCTTTCCGGAAAGCGGAAGGAGCTTCCAAAGAATCGCCCCTGGCCCCAAAATCAGAACCATCAGCGGCACTTTGAAGGATCCCCGAGGATCTTCTGGGGGCCAGTGGGCATAAGGGAGTACAGTATATAATGAAATCGGCATACGCGGGAGTAAGGCGACGGGGCCGCGATTTATTTTTATTTTTATTTTTGCTGGTTGTTGGCAAAGGCGTACGCGCATCGACCGGCCCGGCGACTCTCAGAGTGTCTGGAAACCTCCCTCTTCAGACTTCAGACCTTCTGCGCCCAAAGAGTTGCGTGGGAAGGGGAAGTAGGAGACTGAAGAAAAGCTGATTCTTCGGCTTTGTAGGTACTGTACTGTCTATGACTCGCAACAGTTACGGTTGGTCCGGATTAATTTACCTAAAGCTATCGCCCCTTCAAAAACTCATGGCTAATGCGCTTGAAAGGATAGGAAGTCCCATTCTGACGCCAGTCCGTGACGACGATGATGAACACCGATATGTATGTCATGTAGTATCGGATCCACTTTAAGAAATCCGGAGCCGGAGCAATCCTAATACCTGCACGGGCTGTAGAATGCGACATTTGCAATGCGATCCTAACGCAACTGTAAACTTAGAAGAAAATCCCACCGAATACAGCGAGAAACGGAGGAATCGCAACCTTAGTTGATTAATTGATCGAACTTAATCGATTTAGAAGGCGTCCCATGAATCAGGCATTTCAACACCCCCCACCCCACATTAAGTACTTTTTTTAAAAAAACTGCACGTGACAGGCGCCATCTTAGAAGAGGCCCTTGGCTTCTGTGCGAGAGATCTCGCTTCTGCTAAGGCGCTGCTGCTGCTACTGCGGCACGCGAGCGAGTCCGCCATCTACAAACAAAGAGCGCACCTTTTCTGGGGCAGAAAAACTGGGCCGCAGCCCAAAGACAATTCTCTCTCTCTCTCTCTCTCTTTCTGCTGGCAAGTCCTGTTTGCTTGCCTGGTGAGAACAAGCAGCAGCAGCGCCCCGTGACTCTCTAAGGGGAAATCGCCTGCTAGAGGAAAGACATCTCCGCTCCCAGGAAAAATAAACGTCTCCCTTCCTTTTAGCAGCAGGCGCCAAACCTGGCTCTGCGCGGCGTCGCTCCGCCCGTTGACTGCAAGCAGCGCCCGCGGGCCGAAGGATGGCGCTCTCCCAACCCAGTCCCGACTCCTTTTCATTTCGCGCTTGAGTCGAGCGGGGCGGGGAGAGAAATTGCTGAAAGGTCAAGGCTGCCATCCTAACCAGGGCTGCCCTCTTGAATAAAATGTTGGGGAGGGGGGCAGGTAAGCCCCACCCCGCATAATCGATCACATGACTTGGTCACGTATTTGAATGGCAATGTCCATCATCTGGGGGGGGGGTTCGGCCCCCTCAAATATTTTATCGGAGGGAGCCGAAGACCCCTTGATCTCCCTAGGAATTGGCTCCTACGATCCTAACCATGCCCATCTAGGACTAAGGCCCCCTGGATCCAATGGGCCTTACTCTTAGGTAAGTGTGGGGGAGAGGCAGTAATGTCACTTACCTGGGACTGTGTCCCATTTAACTCAGTCGGGTTTAGTCCTAGCCCCGCTTACCTGGGAGCAAGCCCCGTTGAATTGAATGGGACTCGCTTCTGAGCGATGTATAGGATTGCGCTGCCTGGAACCCTGGGGATCTATAAAACGTGGAAGTCTGGCGCAAAGGCTGCCTCGGGAAGTCTGGGGTTGCCCTCCCTGCAACACGGACGGCTCCTCTTGGAGGGGGCTTCCTTCCTTCCCCCTTGTCCCAGACGCCCCTTGCCCTCCCTTCGCTCACGGCGGTCCTTCAAGGGATCCAGCGGGGCTGGAGAAACAGGAGAGGAAAGCAGCTGGGTGTCGCGGAGGGAGGGAAGCCGAGGGCGCCTCTCCCCCTTACGTATCATCCAGAGCGGGTTAAATCCGACGGAAAACTGCTGATAGCGCTGACACTTGATCCTAAGCACGGTTTACTGCATATTTCAGTCAGGGTCACCATCAGCTTTCTGGTCTGGCTTGCCCCCCTCGCCCCCGCCCACATGCCTTAAGCCAGTCTTCGCCAAGCTGTTGCCCTCCAGATGTTTGGACCAAAACATCGGGAGGGCACCCGGTTGGTGAAGGCTGGTTGAAGGCATAGGCAGGAGGGAGCCACAGGCATAGAAAGGTCCAGGAGCTCTGGCGGAAATATATAATCCAATTTCCCGAGAGCATCGGGTGTTTAGGATGGCGGTTTTAGGAAAGGCCAGCGGTCCTTCTGGGTCTTAACCAGCCGTCACACAAACAAGAATTAAGAACGTTAAAGTTTCCTCTCCTTTATTCGAGGTGCAAACACGCCTCTGCCCTTAATGTCAGATAAATAGGAGCTGAGACTACACGGGAGGGAGGAGATGGCACTCTGCGAGTGCTGGGGGTGGGGGTACTCTCGTCTTTATTGGGACCTTCGGACCCCGCCTGAAAATAGCTTGCAGCAAACATTTAACTTGAGAGTAAGTCCCTTTGGATTCAGCAACGCCTTGCATCTGGGTAGGCACGAATCGGATTGTACTGTCAGCCCCGCATTCCTTCCCCAAACATACTACAGTACAGTGGTACCTCAGGTTACATACGCTTCAGGTTACAGACTCTGCTAACCCAGAAATATTACCTCGGGTTAAGAACTTTGCTTCAGGATGAGAACAGAAATCGTGCTCCGGCGGCGCAGCGGCAGCAGCAGGAGGCCCCATTAGCTAAAGTGGTGCTTCAGGTTAAGAACAGTTTCAGGTTAAGAACGGACCTCCGGAACGAATTAAGTACTTAACCCGAGGTACCACTGTACTGCATTGCTCAGGAAAGTCTCCCCACGACCAAATTGCGTATTTTAAAAAATTGGTGTGCAATTATTGAAAACAACAGCAACCACCCTGTGCTCTGCCGCCCAGATCCTAACACCTCAGTAGAGCAAGCGCGTTCATTGTCACTTACTTGCATAAAAGTATTCTAATACAGTACCATCCATGGCATGTCTACTCAGAAGTAAGCCCCATTAAGTTCAGAGGGATTCGCTCCCAGGTTAGGCGACAATTAACTCCACTTACCTGGGAGTAAGTCCCACGGAACTCACAGAGATGTATTTCAGAGTAGATTTGGTTAGGATTACACTGCTAGTGTGGATAGGATTGTGCTGCAAGGTTATAATCTTTAAACATGTTTACCCATAAGTAAAGTAAATGTGAATTCACTTGGACCTGGTATATAATGTTAGCTTTTCTGCTTTAATCTACTCTAGAAGTAGTGATTAAATAGATGGAATATAACTGATCATGCAATATTCATAAGAAAACCAGAAACAGTAATAAGGCCATGCGCTGCGGGTTTTCAATTCTAACTGAATAAGAACAGCCAATGCCAAGGAAAGCTGAAAATCTCCAGGTTCTTCCCGCTGCTACAGAAGGAGACGGCTGCCTTCGGCAAACGCTGATTGATAGTAAACAGGGGTTTTGTGCTCATGGCACGTTAAAAGGTGCATGAAGTATTTCAGCTGAGAGAGAAAGAGAGGGAGTGTGTGTGAATATACAAAGCCCTCGGATTTTACAGCCTAGTGGTTCTGTGCAAGACGGCTAAGTTTTTATTTAAGTGATCCACAGTTGCGTCACGGGCGTCTTAGTATTCTGAAGCTGGGCTGGAAGGTGACTAAACGTGAAAGGCAGAAAGCGGGATACCTTTATAAATGAAGCGAGTCCCGTTAAGATCGAGTGGAAAAGTCCTTAAACCCGAACTGGACTCTGGATTCTAAGCACATTGACTCGAAGTGGGAGAGTCTCTTACTTTTTCTTAGTGCGAGAGTCCTCCTGCTTAACCAGGCTGTGGCGTTCCCCACCACTACCTTGGCGGCGCCCCAAACCCAGTGCCACCAGGGCAGAATCTGGAGGGCCCCCCAAGCGCAGCAGGGTCACATTTTGAAATAGCACGTAACGCATCCTAATAGAGGTGCAGACCACTAAGTCCGCAGGCTACAATTTACCCAGTTGCCCCTCTCTAGCCCGAGTCCTCCGCAGTTGTTGCGTTTAGAGAGGGATTGTGAGCCCCACGCGCCTTTTTCTATTTCCCCATATAAGTTAACCAGCAGGGCAAATAGCAATGATGGCGCAATGCTAGCAGAGCAGGATACAGTGGTACCTCGGGTTAAGTACTTAATTCGTTCCGGAGGTGCGTTCTTAACCTGAAACTGTTCTTAACCTGAAGCACCACTTTAGCTAATGGGGCCTCCCGCTCCCGCCGCCGATTTCTGTTCTCATCCTGAAGCAAAGTTCTTAACCCGAGGTACTATTTCTGGGTTAGCGGAGTCTGTAACCTGAAGCGTATGTAACCCGAGGTACCACTGTATTTAAAGCGCGCACGACATACATTTAAAGCAAAGCAACTGAATGATGGGGACCGTAGTTTCTCCCTCCTTCCCTACGTGTCCCAGCACCCTTCATAAACTACAGTTCCCAGGATCCTCGTGGGGGTGCTTTCAATGCAGTTATGGCACCTTTGTATTTGATTTTGAGCTGATAACTATACGATTATAAACGCGGGCTTATCCGGGGAAGAGACCTCTAGGAAAGCGTTATCATATGTATGTCTTTCTTTCTGGATTAAGAAAGGACCGAGGTTCCAGGTTTGCTCGCTTTTTAAAAAAGTCATTCATTAAGCAGCTGGCCTCCCCTTTTGGTTTAATCATTACGAAGGGGGCTGTTTTTAAATGTCCATTTTCATCGCTACGCGGTGTCACACTTTAACCATGGCGTGTCCCCAACCTGGAGGGACCTGGATGCGGGCGGGGGGGGGCGCTTTACTTCCTAAAGTGTTCCTCTTTCCCCCTTTCCTATTGTGGAGGGAAAAGAAAACACCCGCGGAGAGAGGGGGGGAAGGGAGGGGGGAGAGGAAAGGAAAATGAAGGCATCCTGTTCTATATTTTTGTTTTACAGCAATAAACGGTCGGACATGAAAACATGCGCACACACAAAATCCAAGCACAGCGGCGGGTGGTGTTACAGTGCCGAGATCTGACGCAGGTCTCTGCCTCCTGCCTGGACTTTAATTCGTGGATCACGAAGGTCAGCGCAAAAGCTCAGGGGCGAAAGGGGAGAAAGTCGAGCGCGACATTAGATCCTGGGGAGCAGCTGGGGATTCTCACTGCGGGGCTCGGGGACTCCGCCGGGTCAGTCGAGAAACCTCGCCAGCATCTGCTGAAAAGGCTCTCGGTCTGATCCCCCGATCTGTAAGAGCTGAAGAGCCAGGATTTATGTCGGTCAGCGCTCCCGCGTTCAGCCCGCAAAGGGCCCGCTCATAAAGGCGGTTTACTTGCACGTAAGACCCAGGGCGTTCAATGAGGCCGACGGCCTTCCTGCGTCTCTTCGGGGTCGCAGGCGGCCTTAGCGGCCACCTGTTTCATGCAGGATCAGGCTTCAGCGGAGGCTGGGGCTGCCTAAGCCCAGGGGAGCCGGGGGTTCAAAGGCATTTCCTCCTCCCAGCGGTGCTACGGTTTCCTTGCTCCTCAACTCCCCCCAACCACACTTCTTCCTTCGCCCCCGCTAGTCAAGAGAAATGCCCAGCCAGGCTGCTGCGGGAACCTCTTCTAAGTACCAGGCAGAAAAACAAGGGAAGTGCAGCAAATCTCTTGGAAAGTGCCATATTTTAAAAGGAAGGAAGGAAGGGGGGAGCGGAAGACATTTATTTCGATACATTATATACGGGCGAATCTAAATTAATATTCCATATAGAGTTGCCTTTGCATTTATTGCACACCATACAAACCATTACGTCTAGAGAAATCCGCAAACTGGGGGAGTAGGTGGTTTTGTTCTTGTTTAATGTATTTATTTGGGCCATAGGACACTCTTAAGTGATTGCTGTCGGTAGCAGATTGCAGTGGGTTTCAACTTTCCAGTGCAATCCTGTTTTTGGGCCTTTTCGGTGGGCTTTTCTGGTTATAAAGGCCTGGGAACCCTTACAGGTTCAGCAAACCTTTTCAGCAAGGGGCCGGTCCACTGTCCCTCAGACCTTGTGGGGGGCCGGACTATATTTTTTTGCGGGGGAATGAACAAATTCCTATGCCCCACAAATAACCCAGAGATGCATTTTAAATAAAAGCACACATTCTACTCATGTAAAAACACCAGGCAGGCTCTACAAACAACCCAGAGATGCATTTTAAATAAAAAGACACATTCTACTCATGTAAAAAACACGCTGATTCCCGGACCCTCCGCGGGCCGGATTTAGAAGGTGATTGGGCGGGATCCGGACCCCGGGCCTTAGTTCGCCTACCCATGCACGTAACCGGAGCCCTTGTTCTTGAAAGATACACGAAAAGGCAAATAATCTCTCTTTCTTTCTCTCTCTCTCTCCTCCCGTCCTTACTTTTTCCTTTCTGTCTCTTTGCTTAAGAAAACCAAATCCACTCGAAGTGACATTCCCTCCATGCATTCCGGACGATTGTGAGTTGCTAGCAACGACAGAGACAGAGAGAAAGCGAAACCCCTTGAAATAAATAGCTTGTGCGTTGCAACATGTTTTTCCTGGGGACAATGAGGAAGAACCGTCAGGGAGGTCCTATATAACACCGAACTTTCCGCTTTCCTACTGTATTTAACAGATCCCCAACTTTGAAAAGAACTGCTGAATACGAAAGTTAAAAGAACCACCCCCCCGCCCCCAGAAACCCTGCAATTAATAAACCTGATTACTTTGATTTATAGTCCCAAAGGGGGTTTCGGGGGACCGCTACGTCCGGTTCTGAAGAGGGCTGAGGCTCCAGTCTTAACCCCGTTCACCTGGAACTTAGCCCCATTGAATTCAGCAGGGCTTACACAGCAATCGTTACCGTGTCTACTTAGAAGTAAATCCAACTGAATCCGTGGGCGTAAAATGGTTTCCCCCCTATCATTTTAATTGCCCTCGAGGTGTCCCGGTCCTTTAGAAAAAGTGTCCAGGCGAATTGCGACCCTCAGAACCGGCTCCCTTCAAAAATCCCAAATCGGAGCATGCACGCACAAAAAATCGCTCACATATTTGTGCACCTTCACTTCTCAACACAGGGAGTTTGGCTAATTTCTAGAAGGAGCGCGGAAGGAATTGAAAAAAAATATGGATCAAAATTATCTCTCCGATATTACTCAATTCCTATGTTTTAAGATACGTGGGGAATCTTTTCAAAGTTTACAATCACCTTTTGTAAGTATGGCAGAATTCTCGAATCTCCCTGCTGTTAACTTGGTACTTTATTCACACTTTTTAATTTATGAAATAATGGAGAAAGAGGAGCAGCCCAATCTTCTCCATCTTTACTGGGAAGTAAGTCCTGCTGAGTCCAGTGGGATTTATTCTAGGAATGCCCAGGAATACAGAGTCAGCGGCAGCCCTAAATCCACTTCCCTGGGAGTAAAATCTATTGAACTCAATGGGACCTACTTCTGACTAGACACGCTAAGTATTGCAGCGTCCTTAGTTTTTGTAAGTTCAGATGTTCTCTGTTTAATGGATCTTTGTTAAAGCTAGACTTTGCCGGTATATCTCCGCAGCAGGAACACGAACATGCTGGCAAACTTTTTCCCCCTGGTGCTTCCGGTTGGACAACTTGGTATATGCCTTTAGAGTCTGACTAGCAGTCAATGTTAGGGCTGCAATCCCATGCCCAGTTTCCTGGGAGTAATATCTGTTTAACTTAATGGGCTTTCCTACAATCCTCAAAGTACTTACTCCCGAGTAACACCAACGAACTTTATGAAATGCCGAAGAAGCCGAATGAGGCTGGAGCTGCAATCGCCTTAACACCTAGAACTCGTCTTAAACAGGACTGTGGATCAAGCTGCGAAAGGAAAATCGGGGCTTTTGAGGTGTCTATTATTTTCTTACGCTCCACGGTCTCGAGACAGGCCAAACTAGCACTTGATTTGGTATATTTTCTTTAGGCAAACTGCCTCAAGTTATCAAGGTAGAGGAGGGGGAAGAAAAAGCGTGAACAAACTGCACGTCCGGTTGTTACTTCCTCCGACTGAAAAATGCGCAGCTCAAACGCACCTTTCCAAGTGAGCAGGGATTACGGACAGTGTTCGTGTCCACTAAGAAACTGCCACTGAAATTATTGGGACTAATTGCTTCCTTGTGTAGGATTGTGGCGTTTTCGGGGGGGAATGAAACCTTGGATTCAAAGCTTATGAAATAAAATGCCGAGGACTGGAGAAATGAGGGCATCCTTTTGCTGAAGGAACCGCAGTTTTGCCTGAAAATCTACCCAAAGAAATTGAAATGATGTAGCTGGCTATTCTTAAGCAACCTCCCACAATGCCTCTTCTCTGAGTTAATTTTAAGAAGCGAAGGGAAAATATCCCAAAGAGAATTCTTAGCCAGCAGGAGCTCTGGTGACTTGGGAAGAGCATATTCCCGAAGCTACTTGCCTTCCTTCCGACGGGATGGGGCTTTTTATAGTGTGCTTACAGCTATAGCAAACGCTTGATCAAATGAAAACAAAACTCTCGGCTTTCCAGGCAACAGATGCAAAATGAGCTCATTAGAAGAGGTCCTCAACAGGCCAGAGTTGCCCGCAAGCAAGAGTAAGAAGGTAAACCCAATTGATTTCAATATAAGCTTTTTAAAGGATTAGGATACAAATAGGACAACGATTTCTACTGTAAGCTTCCTGGGGCAGGGAACTATTTGTTACAGTGTAATACGCCATGTACGCTGCTTAGATAATAATCAAGCTTGATAGAATACCAGCCTCAAGCACATCAACTTGGAAGCAAGCCCCCTTGATTTCAGCGTGATCATCAGTGCAGTCCTATACCTGCCTACTCAGAAGTCCCTTTGACTTCGATGGCACATACTCCTAATTAAGTGTGCATAGAATCCTAGACATACTTTCACGGGAGTAATTTCCATTTAACTCAGTGGCATTTACTTTCGGCAACTTTCATAGAAATGTACTTTTATTAAGTATGCGTAGGGCTCCGACCTTAAGGAGAGAGATATAAAACAAAAAAACACTGTCTCAAACCACTCTGAACTAGATAGTTTGTTCGAAGGCAGGGCATATTTCCAAATCCGAGTGTACAAATAAAACGTCTGCTATCAGAATTAGAGCGGCTCAGGTGTAAGGGTGACTTCCTTTCTGACCCAGCGATTGTTAAACCATAAAACGAAAAATGAAAGTCTATTTTCCCATCTCTGGAGGAAGTGATCCTACGAAATGCGGAAGTTGGAAGACTCAAGCGAGTAAGCCAAGCCACAAGGCAATCTTCACCAAATGGCAGGTGCATTTTATTTTAGGGTTTAGGATTGTAGGGGAAGAAAACGCAAGGACAATACATTTAATCTGACGCAACCCTGCCTCCAGAGGGAAAGAGGTGGGTAAGTCATCTCTCTCTCTGTTTGTAAAGGAGAATGAACATTATTTAAAGCAGTGCGCGGGGCTTATCAGAGCAGAGAGGCTGCTTTGAGCAGCTGTCCGCTGCGCTGGATGGAACTAATTATATCTCCTGCCGTCAGCTCAACTCAGCTCGATTCCCGGCTGGCGCTGCCCACCACCCAAGCCGGCTGAGCGCTTGTTTACAGCGGAGGCTAAGACGCAAATCTCCCTGCGACTCCTGTCAATTTCAAGGCTGGCGCTGAGGAAGGGTTTCCGCCGAAAGCGCGGCCCTGCAGGCGGCTGCGCGAAAAGGGAAACCGGCGAAATCCACACCATTGCGGATAAGCCGCGGTGGAGAGTTTACTTACACCACTTTCAAATATGGGAGACCCAGCGGGCTTCCTAGGCCGAATCTCAGCTTTTCAGTTTCTACTGCAAGTCCAGTTATACTGCTAGCTAATCTTACATCTAGGAATTGCCGCTGATCTCGCCTCTAATTCCAGTAGGGCGCATTTTAAAGTAGATATCTTAGAATAGCAGACCTTACGCCTAAGGTCTAAATGCGTTTAGGGTGCTGGATTTGCGAGAGGGGGTTTGAGATCGTGTGCGACTCTCTGAACCCCCAATTAAGCTGATCTGTATTACAGTATAAGAAAACTTAAATTAAATCATTCCGCCTCAACTTTCAAATAAAGTTCTTCTGGCTGCAATCTCTCACACACTTCTGAATAGGAACGCATAGAATTGCACTGCTCAGTCATTTCCTCTTGCATCTGTTCACTTAGATCCTCAGCGCATTTACTTAGGAGTAAGCGCCATTGCTTTATATGACTCATCTTGTGATAACGCCTCAGGTTGGAGGTAAGTGAGTTTACTTTCCAGCTCCTCCCCACTCGATCGCCCTCGGGCTGTCGAGTCCTTTATCTACTCAATTCAGCTTGTTTTGCTAGTTAAAGATACGGATAGCAGGACTGTTGTCTATTTTTCACCTGGACGGTTTTCGGGACAGTATATGCGATTCAGGCAACAAGCGAGCAAATCTGTAGTGTTGGTAGGCCCTTGATCTTGGAAAACTTGACACTTTTCCCCCTAGACCGTGAGATACAAAATGTAATCTTCCAAAGTTTTCTTTTTCTTCCCTGAGTCTGGCAAACCATTGACTGTTGGCGGAAACCCCAGCAGTCATGGCTAAAACACGGACCTCCCCTTTTTCTGGAACGTTAAACACACCTCCCCCTCTTTCTTCTAAATATTGCTAGCAAAGTTTAGTTAAAGGGTTTATTTTGCTGTGCTTTTATGGTAAATTGTCTGACAACTGACTGACAAATCCTGTCTTGTCTTCCTCCCACAGAAGTCCTATCAGATGCAGTACATGTGACATCGGAAGGATTTATATTTCTAATGGTGGAAAGTGCTTCACTGTCCCTGCTGCAATGGCCATCTCTCTCCTGCAAGTCTCTTGACTTCAGCAGGGCAACTCCAGCACTAAACGCGTTGCAGATTGCTGCAAATACCTTTTATTTCTGCACTCAGGCTTCCGCGACTGGAATTAAAGAACTCTCAGTCCGATGTTAAACACATTTCGTTAAGCAAAAGGCCACTGAAGTTATTTTAAAGAAACGCCGTTTGGGGTTCTTGGGCCACAATCTACAATTCTTGAAACTTCAGAGTAGTGCTACAAAAAGTCACGGAAATCGGTCCCAAAAGCAAAGGGCTTCACTGCAACTAACAAACATAGGAACAAGGGAGAATTGGGGGGGGGGGGGGCGATCCGTGGCTGCCTTGACGTCCGTGGGGCTGAACAAGTTATTCAGCTGGTGGTGTCAGAGAGCGGCCACCCAAAACGTTGCAAATCGAGCTCTGACTGTCTAACTGTGTGCAGAGAACTAAACCCCGGCCTCTCCAAGGCAATCCTGAGAGCTCACGACAGCCTCCGTTGTCAATCGAGTAGGACCCTAAGAAGCCCCTGGATTGGCCCCAAAGATCCATTTAGCCCGTGGTTCTCTTTCGGGTCCTCCTAAAAGCCAACTGGTGCCTTCAGACCAGGATTTGGGGGCGTACGTCCAGGATCCCCCCTCGACAGAATCAACCCTAGTAGGGTTAGCTGACCCACCTTTGAAGCTGAATGCTTGCCCCCTAAAGAGGCGGGAAACCACTAAGTCCAGGGTCCAACATTTCTCAGCTGCATCCCTGGAGCCCCCCCTACCCGCCCACCTCCCTCGACCCTCCCGATCTGAAGGGGCAGAGGCGAATCCGCCTCGTCCCGGAGGACTCACCTTCGGGGAAGACGGCTCTCATCTTGAGGTAGCTGGTGGTGAGGCGGATGATGGACGCCTTGTCGAGCTGCGACGTGATCGCCGACGGCAGAGGCAGCAGCTTGGCCAGCTCGTAGAACTCGCCGTTCTCCTTCTCGCGACGCGTCTTGGCGGCGTTCTTGGACTTCTCCTTCATCGCAGCGGCAAGTGTGGCGAGGCGGACGCGAGGCGGGCACTGGCATAGTCTCGGGCCCGCGAGGCTGCTGCAGGCGGGCCGCGAGCAGGGACTTCGCCTGGGCCTTCCGACGGCGGCGGCGGGCAGCACCAGCCCCCGTGCCCAGACGAGGAGGAGCGTGAGGTGGCGGCGCCCGGTTGCCTCTTCTCCCTCTCTCTCCCTTTTAAAGCGGGCTGGCGAGATGGCCGTCCGAGCACGTCGGCGTTTCTATCTCTCTGCGCTTAATGGTCTCCCTCGCCTCAGCGCAGCCTTCGAATGAAGCAGGCGGCCACCCGGGCGGGGAACCTCGGCTCGGCGGCGTCTCCCCTGAATCGAGACTCGCTCGCTCGCTCGCCCGGAAAGCAGGGAGGAATCGCTCGCTCCTTTCCCTCCGCCTCTCTCCCCGCCCCCTTAACACGTGTGTACTTGCTGTGTTTATTTTAGACCCCCCTCCGGGCCAAACTGGTCTGCCTTGTGCGTCACACGCGCCCCTCGGCCGGGAAGGAGAGCGGCTCGCCTGGCTCCCAAAGGAAGGGTTCCGCGGGGATCCGTTTCCCTCAGAGAGAGCCCGGAGTTGCCACAGGGCGTGTGGGGACGTCGCTCTCTCCCGCCCGCCCCGCCCCTCAAGGCAGCAGCGAGCGGCTCGGCAGTGGGCTACGCAGACCTGCCGCTTGGGCACTTGGCGCGCCAACAAGCCTGAGGGGATCTTCTTTCTTTCTTTCCCGCCAGAAAGAGAGAGAGAAATGTCCACCTCCCCTGGCTGGGGTGGTTCTCTTCCCTGCTCTCTTCCCAAGCCTCTCTTCACGGCCACCGGAGCGAGAGGAGAGCGCTTCCCGTGGCTTGGCTGGGCTAGCGGAGGGCGGCTGCGCTGCGGAGCTGTCGCCGGGCGCCGCTTCTCCTCCGGGCGGCAGCCAGGCTAGAGAAAGAAGCTCTGAAGTGGGCTCGTCAGTTCCTGGCGAGGCAAAGGCTGAGAGCCGCCGGAGGGGAGGGGGAAAGCGCGCCCAGTGACGTCTGCGTGGTCTGCTCAGGGCAGCGGCAGCGCCGTCCAAACCAGCCAAATACAGGCCCAATTAACACTCGAATTGGAGGGACGGGGAGAGCGCGCGCGCCGGGTGCGTGCGAGTGGAGGGAGGGGACTAACTGGACGCAGGGAAGGGGGGGCAGGCAGGGTTTCTCTTCGAATGGCGCGTTCCTATTTCCACTCTTATATCCTGAAGCAAAGCGCTCTCTCTGTCTCACTCACACAAATAAATAAATAAACCTCTCTTTCTTTCTCTCGTTTCGCCTCAAACCATCAGCCTTCTGACAGCCCCTCAGCCCTCCCTCCTTCTTTCAAATATGCGTTGACTTTGCAAGTAGATCCCCTCGATTCCGAGGGCTGGTCTTTCCAAGAAGGCCCCGCTTCGGGCTGGCTTGGCTCGAGTGTCTTTTCCCTCTGCGAGGGACCCTCAGGCCCGCAAGCCTCGACGCCCGCCCTCGCGACCCTGGTGCAAATGGCGCTGGTTTCGAGGGAGCTGCTCGCTTCCAAGTGCAGACGTCCTGCCGTGGCCGGCCAGGAAGGCGCTTGTCTTTCAGCTCTCTGTCCACAAAAGAAGGATCTCGAAGGCAGTCTTTCCAAGCAAAGGCCTTGCCTTATTTAAGATCCTACAGTTTTCGACAGAATCTAGGCATTTGGGAACAAAATAAACCGGCGCCTGATCCCCGCCGGATCCAGAATCCACTTAAAGCAGCGGTCCCCAAAGCACTGAACTCCCCGCAATTTGTTTATTTCTGAATAAACGTGCTTAGGATCTGATCGCGCTGGAAGTTAAGGTTCCTTCGGTCGGTTAAAGGTCCTTAAGTTGCACTAGTTTCCACTCAACTGACCAAGCTTGTTACCTATTAAACTGGGAGTGAGGCTTCAGCGGTTTCTGAGCAACCATATTAGTTAATGGATCCTGACTGGGTTATTAATAATACATTCCATTAAAATGGTGGGATTTCCCCTCTAGTGAGCAAGAAAAAGGTTTGGGGTATAAAATCCCTTCTGGACTCCCAGGCATGTTATGAAAGAGCGGATCAACATTACTTAGGCGCCCATCCTTGACTCACTTCTGTGCCCCACTGAACTCAATGAGGCTGGCTTCTGAGTTGACAAGCATACGATTGTGCTGTTAGTTAATCGTGTCCTCTTCCAAGTACCGGTATATATGCAACCCCTTCATCTGTCACCAGACTTCCCGTCAACCTAGCTGATTGCTCAACCCTATTCCCAATGTTCATAGGGATGCGCGATCCTGCACACACGTCTCTGTGGGTCAGTCCCGTGCAACTCTGTGGGACTTTCTTCTGAGTTTAGATTTGCGGGTCCCCAATAGCTCTAAGACGCATTAACGTAGAGGCCCAGATCTACTCGAGAGGCGGAATGGGGGAATCCAGTAACTTGGCCTAAACTCAACCTTGGGTCCCAGTATGTTGTTGGACCACAAATCCCATCATCTCTGGCCGTTAGCTGAGATTCCTTGAGTATGTTGGGGGCTGTACTCCAAGAACCCAGAAGTATATGATTTTCTGCAATCCTATACACACTCACTGGATAGGAAGCTTCATTTAACACTGGGATTTCCATCCATTGAACAGCCCAAGCAATACAGGGTCTTATGCGCGCTTACTCAGAAGTCACTCTTCCCCGAGAGTAAGCTCCACTGAACGCAGTGGGAGAGACTTTTGGGTACATACGTGCAACCCAGGAGGAAGCCTGAAAAGGCCACAATCTCCTTCGCCTACAAGCCCGTCTTGCTGCGGCCAAGTGACTTCCTGCAGGAAAGTTGCATGAGCCAGGCAATGTGCCCCGAAGTGTCGCCCATCGAGGCCACCACGCTCCCAGGCCGACTAAACAAATGAAAGCGACACACTTTAACTGCGCTGCCAGCGGTGGAATTCATCCCACCTACGGACTGCTCAGCGGCAGGCGGCTACAGCAATCAGGCACGCCTTGGGGTTGTAGGGGACGGTGGAGGGGCCGCCGTCGAGTAACGCGGCTGGCGGCTCTGGGACCAGCGAGGCGGTTTGGGTGTGCTGGTGATTAGGGGTTCCAAATTCTCCGATCTGGAGATTGACCTCACAAGAGGATGGATCTGCTATTGAGGCAAACTGACCTGCATTTACGCAATCAATGGACACGAGCCACTGACAGTCTTTAGGGCAGATGGTGGGGAGCCTGTGGCCCTCCCGATGTTCTTGGACTCCAACTCCCATCGACACCAGCCAGCATAGGGAATTGTTGGGGATGGCGGGAGCTGTAGTAACCTTCTCCTTTGGAACCCAGTCGCGTTGCTATATTCCATGGCCTTCGTTTTCTCTGCCGCTCGATCCTAAAGACTATATTTACTTACAGAATCATGGCAGAGTTGGACGAGACCCCGAGGATCCTGCAATGCAGGAATATGTAGCTGGTCCGCACGAGGATCGAACCCACGACCTGGGCGTTGTCAGCGTCACGCTCTAACTCGTGAGCTAACCACCTTAAATACTTGAAAGTAAGCTGCGCGAATTAATGCGTGCAGCTCGATCCTATGCATGCTTGCCTAGAAGCAAGTTCCTCTGAATTCAGTAGATCTTGAGCGGGCGCCTTCTTTCCAAGCGAAGATGCTCCGGAGAAGGGAGGTACCTGCGCCCGAATCTGCCTACTTCCACATCGAGAGACGGACAGACAGGGAGTAGTTAGCCCCACGGAACTTACATCTGAGCAAGCATGCATCCGTTTAATCTCTATTCAACATGGAGTATCTTCTTGGGCGTTTTTAGACGCGCAGAAACGGTCTAAATAGCAGTGTAAGTAACACAGTATATGTATGCTGTTGAGTAGTCCGATTAAATTCGACGGGACTGTCCTGGCGTAAGCAGGACTGTGGTTTGCGGCTCTGGGTTCCTTCCCATCAGCTCGCTGCTGCTGCTGCTGCTGCTTTGCCCGAGTCCTCTGACAATGCATCTGCTTTGTGAATTCATGCCTCGCACACTGACCTTAGCGAGGAGGATTCCGAGGTGTTTTCTGAAGTCTGCAGAGGAATCGGATGGAAATCTACATCCTGCGAAGCTCCCCGCTCCCTCCCTCCCTCACACAAGGCACACACTCTGTCAGCCCTAAGCAAGTTTTATTGCAAGTGAACCCCATGACGCTTACTTCCGAGGAAGCGCGGCTCTGCTCGCATCTGAAACGCCTCTCATAGGGAAATCCGATTGTCTTCCCAACCCTGCTGCGTCTTTTTGACTTTCAGGGCTCGGAGGGGTCAGTTCCCCAGCAAAGCTGCTCTGTGTCCACACCCGGCCTCTGCGAAGGGCTCCGTTGCGCCTTTAGGCGAGAATGGCACAAGAAGGGCTTTTAGGGCACCGCTCGAGGCAATTCCTCCGCAGCCTGGGCCGCGGTCTCACCTGCGCTTGGAAGGCAGGCCTATTGAAATGGACCAGACTTCCTGGTACATCTAGTAGGCAGGGATGGGGCTTAAAGACGCTCCCTGCTCCCTGGGAAGAGGATGGAAACGCTTTTAAAAGCCTTAACACCATCCTTTAGATTTGGAAGCAGCGCCTGCATGGCAGAAGGAGCCATTGGTAGCCGCGCATTTCTCAGGTCAACAGATTGCAAACACCGTATTAACACCAGCAATTTAATCCATTATGGGCCACTTATTTAATTCTTTTGAATATTACGGAACATGAGGCGCATTTAATAACACTTTCAAATAGGTGATTCGCAGTTCAATCCTACTCAGAAGTAAGCCCTATTGAATCCAGTGGTTTTACTCCCAGGTACTTGGGAGGGTTAGTATGGCAGCCTACGAGCTCCGATGACTTTAGCAAGGTTTATTTCCGAGTAGACACGTGTAGGGTTGCGCTGTTAATATATTTCCTTGCTTACGATGCGAGGAGCTGAGGCAGCCTAACTGCTTTCTCTAGGCTGGTATTATTGACAGTAGTAGGACTTTATTCCTCACAAAATTACATAAGATCAACGACTACGAGACTAGACATCCCTCCCCCCTCCAACACACATACAATGAGTGACACGTCGCGCTTTTGTGACAGTTAATGACATGGGACTAAACCGGCTTTATTCTCCATTTAGAGGGTTTAGGATCCCGGGTGGCGCAGACCTACCAAACAATTGCTCTCAGCAGTTGGGAAGAAAATGAATGTGCGCGCGCGCTGCTGCGCTTAAACCACTCTCTGAAATCACTTAGTTGGTTGGCGGCTGACTTCCGCAGGAATCAAGGAACCTTGCTTCCACCTAAAGTAAACCCCTTTGCGCTTGTGCTATTGACTATCCCCCAAAGCCACAGAATACAATCTGGATGGCTAAGGCTTGGGCTTCGCTCTCTGGAGACAGAAGTGCTGCTTCTGTGTATGCGGAAACAGAGTAGACACAGGCAGGATCACAGATCTGTTCCTGAACTAGCCGGGATGGAACATTTGGGTTTAAACCGCTTTGTCCCAGTTTTCTGCAAAAATGTGCTCCATGAGTTGGAAACCAAGCCGGCTCCAGATCGTTGGCAAAAGTTCTCAGGCGCTTCCACACATTAGGCTTTCTCTCTCTTAAGAGTGTCTGATTTTGCTGCACCCACCACGACACGAAAAACGTATTTTCTATGTCTGTAACTTTCAACTTCGCGGTGGTGAGACTGCCTGTTCAGTCGACTTGGAAAACCGACTAACTCGGCTGAACAGGACACGAATAGCGGGACAGCGGGACTTTGCTCTTAGGAAAGAGTTTGACAAACGACGCATTCTGTATTAAGTATTCCTTAAATAGGTTTAGCATAATCAGAGCTGGCTCTTTTAAACTGTGACTTGCGAGGGCCAGAGAGAGAACTCCTGAACAGTCCTGGTTCAGTAAGGCGTCGAAAGCGCTCCTCTTACACCCGGTTTGGAGTCCTGCAAAATAACACCACCACCACATTTCCTG